CAAACTCAGAGAGCACCAGGACCTCAATAATCCTATTTCCCTGATGTTCTAAAACATGGCTTGTGTGTTTGTGTGTGTGTGTGTGTGTGTGTGTGTGTTGCTGCACTTGGGAAGCTTCATCCACTTCTAACCTGAAGCAAATGAAATCTCTTGGTCCAGGTTAGCAGATGTACTTTGTGACAAATGCGCAAGACATTGAACACCCCAAAGTGCCTGCTGAGATGTGGTTTACTGACGCTTGCTTGGCAGTCCCCTGGCAAATAAAGATCTTTTTCAACTCTTGAGGACATATTGCAGAAAAGTTTGGTTTTTCCAGACAGCCTTTCACCAAATGGGTTGGCTAGTTCTTCTGTGCAGGTAGTGCTTGACTTCTAATCATTCCTTTAGTGACTCTTTGAAGTTACAATAGTCCTGAAAAGAATTACTTATGACCATTATTCACACTTACAACTGTTGCAGCACCCTTGTGGTCACACGACACTTGGCAATTGGTTCATATTTAGGACATATTGCGGTGTCCCAGGAGGGGGGGGTGTCATATGTGATCTTCTGATAAGTAAAGTCAATTGAGATGCCAGATTGAGGCCATCACAACTGCAGGAGATTCGCTTAACAATTGTGGCAAGAAAAATTGCAAACGGGGCAAAACTCATTTAAGAACCGTCTCACTTAGCAACAGAAATTTTGGGCTCACTTATGGTTGTAAGTCAAGGACTAATTGTAATTACTGCACTCAAATTAAATATTAAGCCTGTGGTGTGCAGGCTGCGGTTCCAGAATTGCATGCAGCTCCACATAAACCTCTAAAGATGTTGCCATATTCCTATTTTTAATGGGGCAAGGAGGGAATACTTGATAAATAATCCTCTTGACTATATTTAATAACACCTTACTGCATTTCGCTCCATTCAGCTTTGTGTTTGTCTTTGCTCTGCTAAATTCTTCAATACGATTCAAAGGTTAGGTGCAGCCCTCTGTCCCCACAATTGTGTGCCCTTCTGTTAAAGGAATGCTAATTATTTCTAGAATGTAATAAATAATAAAATGTAGTATGTCATGCTAATATTCAATGATTGCAGCCGTAAGGAAATGAAGGCAGTTTTCTTGAGAAGCAATTAAGGAGGAGAAATAGATGTTAGGTAGGCCACAGGCTTCTCCATTCTTCCAATGTGATGCATTAGGAAGTTTTTCTATTGAGCTAGGACACAAACATCTCCATTCTTTCAATATAATACATTAGGAAGTTTTTTGTGTGTTTTTTTTTAATTGACATCTGCATCCACTGAAAGGCTAAATTTTCTTTCTGTTGGCATATCTGTTGAAAAATGGACTGTATTCTGCATTTCCATCAGTCATTGGTTCTATCAATAAACATTTCAATAGACCCAATCAGTCAATCTGTCTGCAGACATCACATTCTCTTTTTTTTCCAATGGTTATTTTTAAAAAGAATTTTTTAAAAAGTGGCATCTTGATTGCTTAGCGATTTAGTTCAGTTGCTAATTGTGAATATTGACTCAAGCTCTGCATAGAGATTTCAATAACAAATAACCTCTTTATTTCTAAGGCTTAGAGACAAAAACTTGACTGGTTTCAGAATGCAAATCTGCAACATGGACCTTTCTTTTCCCAAGGACCCTTCCACCTAAAAAAGAAAGAAAAAATAATAATACATTGGGCTTTATTTAAATGGGAGGCAAGTAGTTTTTAAATGCTTGGCCTAGCCGGGCACACATTAACTTTCTTGCTTCTATTGTTTATTTCTTAGAGATAAGATTGTCATGTCAGACTCTGTCTTTTATTCTTCAGGCATTTTAAGACATTGGACAGCTTTTTTCCCCAAGGGACGCGTTAAGGAGGACAGGAACTCTCCTTTTATATACTGGTTAATATTTGCCCAGCTTTGCTTTTACTAGATTTCCGATGCAAGTCATTAACTTCCAATGGTAACTTTAACTCCTGCGAGCAGAATACCATTCTTTTCTCAAAGGTACCTCAATGGACATCCGTGTTTTTCATCAAATCTTTTTTAGGCCAAGCCTTCTTGCTGTCCCCTCTTTTGAAAAGAAAACAGGTCACCTCTAAACAACAGGTTGATCTGCTTTCTGTGTTTCAGTAATGCAAGGAATAAGAGGAACAGTAATATCTCCTTTTGTTGACATGGGATATAGGCTGGATCAAGAGGGAGGAACTGACGACCGGTCCATGGTCCATGTAGAGACTGATCAGAAACATGTTCAGAAATAAGGACTCAATGAGAACACTTTGGCTTATGGACTCAGAATCTGGTTCGAGATCCACAACTTTGGGTTAGTTGTTCTCACTGTCAGGCAATTTCTCTTTAGGTTGCTTCTCTCCTTGATTAGTTTCCATCCATTGCTTCTTGTCCTACCTTCAGGCGCTTTGGAGAATAGGTTGACACCCCCCACCTCTTTGTGGCAGCCCTTTAGAGATTGGAACCAGGTTTTGAGGGTCTGCCAGATTTGATGGCCTTGGCTTTTGATCTTTCCTTGGTTTTGAGGCTTTACTGCCCTTGATTTGATGTTTGTTCTAGTTAAGCAAACTGTCTAACCTGTTCTGCAGTCCTAACCATGTTTGAATTTCTTATCTTTGGGTGAGAGAGTAGCCACAAAATAAAACTGTTTTATTTAAAACACACACACAAACAGCAGAAGTGCAGTCTCTTCTAGTTTTCTTTTTGTGATATCTTGTCATGAATGAAGATAAGGTTTTTTTTTACCTAAGCAAGATTTTCTAAAAGAAACTTAAGGAAGTCATTATGGTGTCTTTCTAGGGTAGTTAGGCATTCAGATATCCAGATAGCCTAGGCTAAAAAAAAAAAAAATGCTTGGAATTCCTGTTTGTGGATTGAAACAATACATAAAAGTGAAATATTCTCACATACCAAGGTGACAGCCTTTACATTTGGAGAGAGTTTTTTTTTTTAAAGTGAGGTCAACTATCTGCTGTTTTGATCTGTTTCTAGTCTGGTTGATGAAAAACAAAGTAAAAGGTGATTGGAGGTATGGCAGTGAGGTTTGATAACATCTCTTGAATGAAATGAAACACCAGGTCATTTGAAGGCAATACTTCCTTTTGAAGGACCACAATCCATAGGTCAGTTTTCAGGATGTGGCTTGTTCAATCTCTGTCATCCTATGCCATTACATAAGAGGATTTTGAAGACTGGATTTGCTGGCAATGGAGCTAACATTTAGCTTGGCCTCACCTGTGGTTTTGTTGCTACTGGCATAATTGCGACGTGCCAATCTTTGCACTTTGTGCGCCATGTTTATGGCATAACATAAAGAGTAGATTCAGCCAATGATAGCTTCTAATTCAGTACAAAATGCTGAATTTCATCTTGGTTTAGTGAGATGTGAAGACCCAGTCCTTGTGAGACCACATGAGATCCTCCATCAGGGACAGCAGACACACAGGAGGGGTATGTGTGTGTGGCTGTCTGAACTCAGAAAATGGCTCATAATAGAATAGAATACTTTATTGGCCAAGTGTGACAAGAAATTTCTCTCCAGTGCAAAAGCTCTCAGCATACATGAAAAGCAAGACAGTAACAATGATCATAATCTAGGCAGTCCTCGACTTACCACACTTATCGCATTTAGTGACCGTTCAAAGTTGAAAAAAGTGACTTATAACCAGTGGTGGGATTCAGCCGGTTTGCACCACGTCGGCAGAACCGGTAGCTAATTTTTTAATTGCCCAGACCCAGAACGGACTTCTGGAAGCGGCATCCACACAGAGAACCGGTTGTTCACATATTTGAATCCCACCACTGCTTATAACCATTTTTCACACTTACGACCGCTGCAGCATCCCCAGGATCATGTGATCAAAATTCAGATGCTTGGCAACTGGCATGTACTTATGACAGTTGCAGAGTCCCAGAGTGCATGATCCCCTTTTGTGGCCTTCTGACAAGCAAAGTCAATGGGGAAGCCAGATTCACTTAACAACCGGGTTACTAACTTATCAGCTGCAGGGATTCACTTAACAACTGTGGCAAGAAAGGTCATAAAATGGGGCAAAACTCACTTAACAAATGTCTCACTTAACAACAGAAACCTTGGGCTCAACTGTGTCGTAAGTCAAGGACTACCTGTAATGATACCAATAAGAGTGGGTAGTAAAGAAACTGGGAAGCATAATAATAATAATAATACAGCCATACAACATAAGTAGTTTTGGGGAAGTCCATTGTGTCTTGATTGGCCACTAAGTGATGGTCATTAAGTGAGGCTCGCCTGTGATGCAACATCTTAAATCACAGGACATTTGGAGCTTATGGTTCCCATAAATTCAGGAGGAAAAGAAAGGAAATAGGATTATAGTTCTTAATAGTTCCTAATATTTAAAACCTTTATTAAAGTGATGGGTAAGTCAGTTCTCCAGGTGTGCATGTTTTCATGACAACATCAGGGAAATATTAGTGGAAAATAATAGGAAATTTCAAAGGTAGACGTGTGCTAGGAATAAACCCACAAACCATGGAGAAGCAAAATGCCTACATAAGAAGAGTGGCTACAAAAGCTGATTATTGGGAGAAAAAAAAAGAAAATCAGAGGAGAAGGAAATGGACTAACATCTTTCAGAGTGTTTGTTGCAGAACCCATTTTTGGAAACTCTTCCCAAAAGTTCCAGAATGTCAGGAAACTGGCCTTGATTCTGCTCAGATAATTGTTGCACCTCAATTCCAAGCATCCCTCACCTTTGGCCATCCTGGCAGGGGCTCCTGGGAACAGTAGGGCTGCAACATCTGGAATTCCCCCTCATCTGGAGTTCCCCCTCTTGCTACAGATGCAGAACTTCGGTCGCCGTCCCCTATTGCATCTTCTTTCTCAAGAAGATTTTTCTGCATGAACTCAGTTGTTTCTAAACGGCTAGAGATAGGCTTTATTTTTGGGGGGGGGGAATTGGGCTTCCTTCTTTCTTTCTGTGGTCCTGCCCTTTTGATAAAGGATATCTTTCCTGTTATTCAGGGATGCAACCCCCTCGCAGAGACCGGCCGGAGTAAATTGCAAAACCGGAGAGCTGTCCTGAACCAGCAGATTCTGAAAGTGGTGAGGATGAGAGCTGGCGCAGAAAACCTCCTCCGGTATGTTCCCACGAGTTCCCTCTCTTTTATGCCCACAGTCACAAAATGCAGCCTTTGTCCTTCTCAACAGGGAACAGCCTCTCACTTCCCAGCCAGCAGCCCTGTTCGCTCCAACACCTTATTGAGAATAAATAGAAGACAAGAGCTTGGCATGCCGATTTACATAATGTTTTCACTGTTCCCTCTCAAAGGAGGTATCTGCTCTCCCACCGACCTTCTCCTGCTTCTCTTTCTATATGGTTTCCTTTCAAAACAAGCCCGTTGCTGTGTGCCATTTGATGCAATGGGATGGTTTTGACCACATTATCCTTCTTCAGTTTACAGTAGTTATCAACTTAGGATCACAGCTGAGTTCAAAATTTCCATTGCCAAGCAAGACAGTTGTTAAGAGAGTTTTGCACTTCAGTTGTTAACCTAGTACCGTGGTGGCGAACCTATGGCACGGGTGCCAGAGACGGCACTCAGAGCCCTCTCTGTGGGCACGCGCGCCATCGCTCCAGTCCTAGGCCTTCAGCTGGGTTTTATAAAACCTTTCGCTTCAGGCCTCCGCCGTGTACAAAAAAAAGGTTCAATCAATCAGTCAATTTCAACTTCTCGCAGGAAAAAAAAAGATCTTGCAAAGTTGGAATTGATTGATTGAACGTTTTAGTCCCACCCAGTCTGCCGTTACCACTGCAGCCACGCCCAGCCAATGGGCCACACCTACCCGGCACTCGACAATGCATAAGTGGGTTTTGGGTTGCAGTTTGGGCACTCAGCTCCCCCATTAATTTTGCTTGTCAGAAGTTTGCAAAATAGCACTAGCACTTTGACTTATATACCGCTTCACAGTGCTTTACAGCCCTCTCTAAGCGGCTTACAGAATCAGCATACGAGCCCCCAACAATCTGGGCCCTCACCCTCAGAAGGAGAAGGCTGAATCAACTTTGAGCTGCTGAGAATCGAACTGCTGGCAGCCGGCAGTCAGCAGAAGTAGCCTGCAGTACTGCATTCTAACCACTGCGCCACCACGGTGATCACATGACCCCAGGACACTGCAACTGTCATAAAGACTAGTCAGTTGCCAAGTCTCTGAATTTTGATCACGTGACCGTGGGGATGCTGTAACAGTCACGAGTGTGAAAAACAATCATATGTCCCTTTGAGGACTATCAATATGTCGGTGGTGGAATAATCTGAAAAATAGAGAAAATAGGAAAGGGAAATAATAGGGAAATATTATAAGGAAACAGTCTGAGCAGCGCAGCAGTCTAGAGGTGAAGAAGCTCACCTCCCACTTGGAAGGTTGAGAGTTCAATTCTAGGCAGCGACAGAGTGCAATGAGAGAATATGTGCTGTGAACTCTGCATAGGTGTCAGGAAGGGCATTTGGCTGGCAAATGTTCAGCTCCATTCAGTTGCCCTGACTCCATCCCAATAAAAGGGATTACAGGGTCATAAAAATAAATATATATATAAGGAAATAATTTTTTAAAATAGAGAACATGTGTGCAAGGCTCATTCTGTTATTGATTACTCTCCAAACTTTTAATTTTTCCTTTGGCAGTGCAACGACCAGCCCCAAAGTGCGAGAACAGGTGCTGCTGGAACTCAGCTATGTCAATTCCAACCTACAGATCCTCAAGGAAGAGTTAGAAGGACTCAATATATCTGTGGAGGTATATCAGAACACGGAGTAAGTGAAAGGAAAAATGATTGCAATGATGTTCTCTTCTTTTTGCTAACTGATGCAAAAACAAACAAGCCAAAGAATGTAAGACTGAGGAAAGAATTTAAAAAAAAAACCATAAATGGACAAAAAGAACAAGCTGTATTACTGAAATGGTCCTGCTGTGCCCAAGGATTAAGGCAGAGCTTTTTAAATTGCTTCTGAGAAAAGTATTCAAAAGTAATTAATACTGCCAAAAAAGTGGTTTGGATGCAGTAAGGAAAGGCAGAGACAGTTCTTCTTCTGCTGGAAGCGAAGAGGAAAAACAGAGTGAATTTGCAGAAGATTTAATGATGATGATGATAATGACGATGATGATGATAAAGTTGGAAGGAATCTTGGAGGTCTTCTAGTCCAACCTCCTGCTCAGGCAGGAAACCCTATACCATTTCGGACAAATGGCTATCCAGTTTCTTCTTAAAAACTTCCAGTGTTGGAGCATTTACTGCTTCTGGAGGCAGGTTGTTCCATTGGTTAATTGTTCTAACTGTCAGGAAGTTTCTCCTTAGTTCTAGGTTGCTTCTCTCCTTGATTAGTTTCCATCCGTTGCTTCTTGTCCTGCTTTGGAAAATAGCTTGACTCCCTCTTCTCTGTGGCAGCCCCTAAGATATTGGAACACTGCTATCATATCAAGTACTACAATATGGCAAATGCAAAATGGCCTCTCCTAATTGTTGGTCTTGCTCATTTGAGAGGGTCTCTCCCATCACAACATCCAAACTTAGTGTTCCTGTAAAAAGTCCATCCAATAATTTGGGGTTTTGATGGGGAGAGTGTATCGAGAGTGTTGGAAAAACCAACAGCGCTATTTGGAAGCAAATGAACTATTACCATTTCGCTGGCATTCAGTGGCATCAACTACAGAGAATAAGGCAAAGGACTTTGGGCAGTTCCTCATAGTAGCAGTCTGGGGAGAGAATTCTCTTTGTAGCTCAGAGCTGAAATGAGGGGTCCTAAGTGCTCTCTGAGCCTGGTTGTTTCTGAGCTCGGTTAAATATTTAGAAGAAGGACGTCTGCCATTTTTCTCCCTGTGAATTTGGCATTTCAGAGAGTCAGAAGGAGGAACTGAATGCCCTCTACATTCATCTCAAGGGTTGGCAAGAGCACTGGTGACCTTAGAAAGCTGGCGCACAAGCGTTGGCAGCTTCGTGAAAATGGTCACAAGAAGGACGTTGAAAATCAAAAGGAAAGCTGTGCTTCTGTTTCCAGTGCAGGCTGCCTCAAAATAATAGCAGTAGATTGCTCCTGTTGGAATGGCTTTTAGGATTGTTCCTGCCAGTGGCAAAGAAGGACCAGGAGAAAATAGAGAAGAGCAACATTACGTTGGAATACATAGACATTCCCGTGCAAATGATGGCGATGGTTTTATGCTTAGAATCTCTGCTTATTTCTGCCAGAATAGTTGGATCTCTTGGTATGTGGCCACCTTGGCAACTTTTAAGATCTGTGGACTTCAGCTTCCAGAATTTCCCATGAATTTCCCAGAATTCTGGAAGTTGAAGTCCACCAGTCCTAAAGTTACCAAGATTGGACACCCCCGGTATGTGGAAGAGAAGTGATCTGTCCTTACTTCTTACAAACGAACAGGTAAGGATGCTTGACTGTGAGTCGATTCCAGGAATACTCCTTCTAGTAGCCTGACTATTCTTTGTGCTTTGGGGTCATTCTATCTCTTTGGAGAACCAGAAGTCTCCAGGGTTCAGTTGCTCCTGCTGTTCATGCTAATTGGTCATTATCCTCCCCATCCTTGCTCCATTGGCTATCTTCCTAAGTCCATCTCACTGTGATGGGTCATTTCCCTTTCCTGTGAGTATTTCCACTGGCAACTTTTAGAATCCAGAGGTTTTCTAGGAAGTTGGAGGAGATTACATCTGTAAACTAAGTAACTAGGATGTAAGGAGCAGAATGTTCTAAGATGGGCAGGCGGGTAAACAAAAGTATAAACTCTGGAAGGTTACTTAGGAATCCTTTTATCTTAAATAGGCTGGCTCCAGGTTATAGTTTAATTAGCTCCAGCTAATTAAACATGGGCCAGTGGGAGGTGGTCCCAGGTTACACTTAGCCCCTGGATTTTTGCTGTGGCTCCAAGAACTTCTGCAAAAGTTGCCTTTGAGACTTGTGAATATTTGTGACAACACCAAAACATGACTAAAACATAAGGAAAAATAGCACAAAGCAAATATCATTATTGGCATTTCTTTTTCATTGAACTGAATGTAAACTAAATCAAAGCAAGCTGAGTTTTAAGCCTGCCTTTGCTTTCTTCTGCATGGGGAGCTCACACATTTCTTGGAGCATGGTCCCCAGCATGCCAGTCAAAGCGTGGCCTTTTGCCTGAAAAAGTTGTGTTCTTTAAGCCACAGGGGACGGGCGTGTCTTGTGCCGGTGCTGAATGAAATGAGGAAGTCCAGATCACGACAGTGATTTATATACAGCAATTCCTCAGCCACCAACTCTCCACCACAGCTGTGTAAATCAAAGATATTAATGTGCATTTCTTCTTTTAACACAGGGAACCTTTTAGCATTCCTCTGATACCCCTTGGCCTGAAAGAGACGAAAGATGTGGACTTTGCAGTACCCCTCAAGGTATTTTTTTTCAAGCAGCAGCGCTAAAGGGAATTAAGCTCTTTTGCCCATAAATAAATTTAAAAAGCATGATAAAAGAAATATTTGCTCAAAAATAAAAATAAATTGCCCATATTCTTCTGAAATGTTTAAACTTTCTCCTAGGAATGAAATAGCTAACAAATTACAATAGAAACCGGATCAGATTAAATTTGGACAGAGAGATGGGGCTTCATGGGACTACCTTGCCTAAAATGGCTTCTTTGTATTTCAAAACTCCTTTTTTGTTGTTGTTGTTGTTAGATTTATCCAGAAGCTGCTGACCGGTAGCTATGCAAATGTTTATAGACTCTGCATGAAATTAGTTCTTTCTCAATGCCTTTATCTGAGTTCCCTCTCTCCTAATTGCTGAATACGTCTGACTTAAGGACTTTATTCTTTTGATTTTACTCTCAAGTCTCTTTTCTGTTTTTAAAATCGGAGATTGCACCAGACTTTTTGCTTTGAACTAGATGATAAAAGAGATGTAAAAGTCCAGCAGCCCATCTTTTGTGGAAGGGCCAGGAAGTGTCAAAATTAGCTATGGAAGCTAGTTGGCTGAAGGATAGGATCCAGCTCTTTGACTGTTATTCGCCTAATAACAGGACGGACCTGCTAGTCAAAGTCCAGCAGACTTTGGAATTTGGGATGACCCCCTTTTACCTGGCCAGTTGTGGAGGTAAACAATGTTTGGCAACTGTAGAATTTTCACCAGTATCCACGTTGGTTGGGGAATGCTGAGAACTGACATTCACAACATCTGGAAGTTGTTGCCAAGCTTAAGAACTACTGATGCCAAGGAACTTCAGTATAATAGCAGTAGCACTTAGACTTATATATCACCCCTTAGAGCAGGCATGCTGGCTGAGGAATTCTGGGAGTTGAAGTCCACAAGTCATAAAAGGGCCAAGTTTGAAGACCCCCTGCCTTAGAGATTTATAGCACTCTCTGGGCACTTTATAATGTAAGCACTGTTTGCATATTGCCTCCAATCATCTAGGTCCTCATTTTGCCGACCTTGGAAGGATGGGAGGCTGAGTCAGCCTTGAGCCCCGTCAAGATTGAACTATGGGCTGTGGGCAGAGTTTGCCTGCAATATAGGCTATAAATCAGAATATCTATAAGAATTTAAGCCATAGCTTCGTTAATCAGATCAAAAAATCATCTAGTCCCAGGAGCAGACGTCCAGTTTATTCTCTGTATTGATGAGATAGTGTTCCATCTCATCTTGGCTTTTAAAATACATTCTTAAATAAGGTGGGGCAGAAGAAAATACACATTTCATTCACAGCGTTCATTGTAGTGTTTAGGAACCTAGCTTCCCATAAACTTTGTGAATGCCCTGGGAAACTTCTTATGACATACAGCATGAGATTTTTAAAACAAATCACTCTGATGCCATTTAATGTGGAAACTTTCCCTATATCAGGTCATAGATACATTTGTCGAATCTAAGCTTTTCATTTTTCTTTCTTCTCCGTTACATTCCGAAACATGTTTATCTGCTGACATAACTCACAAAAATGCAGCATTGATTGTCCAGAAGTTTAAATCAGGTTGGAGAGTATATACTGCAATGAAATGCTGACGGTTAGGGAGACAAAACGCATTTTATAATGGAATGGAAGTCTATTTTTATTGTTATATTTATTGTTTTAATTTTGTACGCCGCCCTGAGTCCCTAGGGATTGGGCGGCATATAAATTTTATTAAATAAATAAATATCTTTAAATCCAACTTCTCAACTCAAAAGTATCATTCTGGGTAAATCTCTTAGATAGATTTCTTCAGTTCCTCTTGAAGGAATGTTGCATATTTTAATTTATGTCTGTGCCGGAATGAAACAAATACGTGATTTGGAGTCTTTTTTTTAAAAAAAAAATATTATTATTGTTTTAATGGATTATTTTAATTATTTTCAGGACTTTATTCTGGAACATTACAGTGAAGATGGTGCAGAATATGAAAATGAAATTGCAGATCTTATGGATTTAAGACAAGTAAGCTGGCTCTGTTTTAAGAAGGCTATATTTGATTTTCAGTCTGGGGGGGGGAAGAGCCTGTCCCTATTTTATTCTCATTTTAATTAAATACAGTAAAAGGGAAATACAATACTGCTCTGTAGTGCATTTAGTTTTCAGGCCATCACTCGTTCCCCTCTCTTTATCTTTAATTAATTTTGTTATAGTTATTTTATTTGTGGTGAACCACCCACAAATCATTGGGAGCCAGGTGGCATACAAATTTAAAATGCAAATAAATGATTATTACTTCTCTTTTTTTTCCCTTTTGAAGTTCTTTTGACCTTGATAGCCGAAAACAGACTTTTTCAGCATCCAAGATCTGTTTTGCATGGGAAACATCAGTGTTATATTTAAAACAACTGTTTGGAACTTGCCCAAAGTTTAGACCATAATTTGAACAAGATAAAAAAAAATCTAGGATTCTATAAATAATTGTATAGAGATGTTATTTGTATATAATATACATACATTGTACATTTACAGGTAGTCCTTGACTTACAACGTTTCGTGACCGATCAAAGATTTTCACGCTTACAAACCATTGCAGCATCCCTCTGGGGTCACGTGATCAAAATTCAGACGTTTGGCAACTGACTCATATTTATGATGGTTCCAGTGTCCCAGGGGCCATATGATCCCCTTTTATGACTTTCTGACAAGCAAAAAAAATCAATAGGGAAGCCTGATTCAGTTCTCTTAACAACTGTGGCTAGAAAGGTCTTAAAATGGGGCAAAATTCACTAAGCAACTGTCTCGCTAAGGAACAGAAATGTTTTGAGCTCAAATGTGGTCAGAAGCCGAGGACTACCTGTGTGTGTGCATAAAATATGCAAATATAATATAAATATACTATAAAGTATATAATAAATATACTATAATTAAGCCACAGATAGTCTTAGAAGACCATGCAAGTAGATGGTCACACTAATACCCCAAAGGCCCTTTTAAATAGCCCTGTTTTTAATTATTTCCTGAATCCCAAGCAGATAAAGAGCATCCAGATGGGCCACATATCAACGTTATAGCTAATACCTGTCCTATCATTCAAAGGCCTGCCGGACACCCAGCAGAGACGAATCCGGAGTTGAGATGCTGATGAGTTATTACGTACAGCTTGGCTTTGTTGAGAATCGGTTCTTCTCACCCAGTAGAAATCTGGGCATCTTATGTACTTGGTAAGACCTTTCTTAAAATTGAACATTGTCGGGTTTAATGAAAAGAAGGACTAGGGTGATATGATAGCAGTGTTCCAATTTTTAATGGCTGCCACAAAGAAGAGGGACTCAGCCTATTTCCCAAAGGACCAGAAGGCAAAACAAGAATGGATTGGTGGAAACTAATCAAGGAGAGAAGTCAGCTAGAACTAAGGAGAAATTTCCTGACAGTTAGAACAATTAATCAATGGAATGGCTTGCCTTCAGGAGTTGTGGGTGCTCCATCACTGGAGGTTTTTAAGAAGAGACTGGACAGCCACTTGTCTGGAATGGTATAGGATTACCTGCCTGAGCAGGGGTTGGACTAGAAGACCTCCAAGGTCCCTTCCAGTTCTGTTTTGATTGACTGATTGATTAAAAAACAAAAGAAAATCCAGTTGCCTTTGGAAGGGTGGTCTGGTTCACACGTTGTGCTAAATTACCAAGTGATTTCTTTACCCGTAAACTAATGGGTTGTGTTGACCATTTTATTCAGCCCACCCTAGTTAAACCAAGAATGCCTTAGTCCAGGGGTAGGCAACCTTGGCTCTTTTATGATTCTTGGACTTCAACTCCCAGAATTCCTGAGCCAGCTAGAAGTCATAAAAGAGCCAAAGTTGCCTACCCCTGCCTTAGTCCATTGTGGAAATCAGTTTGTAACTGAGATGAATGAACCAATTGGCATGCAAACTAGGTTTCGATTTAAATTGGAGTTAATAGGAAAAGAACATTGTTGGGTGTTTTTTTTTTTTTTTGACATCTTAAAAGCATTGTAAAACGAATCATTTCTCCCCGTTTTTTTATCTCCCTGGGTTGTTAACATTTATGTTCTCTTTGTTTTTTATTCAAGGTATGACTCTTTTACAGGCGTCCCCGTTTGTCAGAAGAATTTGTTGCTGGAAAAAGCCAGCATTTTATTTAACATCGGAGCCCTCTACACACAGATTGGCACAAAATGTAATCGGCAAACGGGAGCCGGGCTTCAAAAGGCCATCAGTGCTTTTCAGAAGGCAGCAGGTAGGAGCCAGAGGGGGGGGGGGTAGGTTTCCTCCCACAGCCCCTCCCCTAAAGAAATGCCTGGAGATTGGCTTAATCCGCTTGTTTGCGATTGTGATTTCCTCTGGTTTGTCTCTGTTCCGGGTCATGTGACTGTCTGAGCTTAATTTCAAACTCTTTGGACAGAATTAACACCCAAAGAACTGTAAGCAAGAATAGCAAGGAATGTTTTTGGGTGTTTTTTTTTTTTTTTTTAGTGAAAACATTCTTTTCAAAACTTATTATTAACTCCTTCTGCCTCCTCCCTGTCAGATTTATGGAAGGCACTTAAGTAGGCTATTTAGCCAGAGAAAATTGTTGTTGTTGAGAAGTAATAACTTACAATTTGACCTCCTGTACAATTCTGGTCCATCATTAACTGCTTTCCATTCTTTGCAATCAAACTTTTCCCCCCCCCTGGCTATTTGCAGGCATCTGCAAATCTTTTCTGGTCTGGAACGCTATTGTGCAATCTTATGCAGCGGCCCCAGTGCCTTTCTGGTTGCTGTGGATTTTCAGCAATACAGTACTTGTTTGTTTGCTCCAATTATATGACCATCTAACTCATGAATTGCAAAAGGGGTTGGACGAAAGAGGATTCCCTGAAATCCTGAGTCAGCAGGGACAGATAGTTCCCGACTTACAACCGTTCATTTAGTGACCATTCGAAGTTACAACAGCACTGAAAAAAGTGACTTATTTTTCACAAGACCATTGCGATATCTTCATGGTCCCCTGATCAGATTTTGGATGCCTGGCAACCGGCTCATATTTATTGTGATTGCAGAATCCTGGGGTTACCTGGCCCCCCTTTTGCAACTTTCTGCAAAGAAAGCAAGAATATACAATATTTGCCTGAAAATCAATGCCTGGAAGTTCTTTCAAGTATTTCATTAGCCGGAACCATAACACCGGATAATTGAGGAAACCAGATTCACTTAACCAGGTTACTGACTTATCAGCTGCAGGGATTCGCTTAACAGTTGCGAATCCTTGCAGCTGATAAATGGGGCAAAACTCAATTGATAACTGTTTTGCTTAGCAATATAAATTTTTGGCTCAATATTGTGGTGGTATGTTGAGGACTATATCTATCTGGGGAGCTTGGCTGTAATATACTGCAGTTCCAATGGCTTTATATCAATCGGTATATAATTTACTGCAGTTTCAGTTCATGGTATCCATATTTTATTTAAATCCTCCTGAGGCCCATAATTACTACTATTGTCAGTCCAGAGGCCTGTTCCTCTTCATAGTAAAATCTTAGGAGCAACCACCTTCAACTGAGGAAGCAAGTTCATATGTACATATATATAATGTGCAAAATAGTTTTGAATATGGAGTACACCGATATCACCACCAGATAATAATCTTTAATGAAAATAATTACTAAATTTTTTGAAGAAAAGAAGTTTGCAGAAAACATGTTGGCGCTTTTTGAAAAAAAAGGGGGGGGAGACATTGAGAATTCAGTTATGACAAAAATCATGCCATATTATTCAAACCCTGCCCATGGACCTTTGTGGACAGAATGAAAGATTGTTGCTAAGGTTTTCATCTATAAACACAACCCTGAGCATACAAACATACAGGAAGGCATTACCAAAGAGCAGATGGTGAAAGAACAAATGTTCTATTATGGATTCTGAGTAATAAAATAAACATTTCTCAAATCCTTAAGAAGTGGCAGAATTGGTTAAACATTATCTGAAGTTTCTGAATTTTTCCCTCTGGGATTTTTTAAACATTTTGTCAGAGTTGTGATATAAAACGGCCCATGACATCTGGTGATCAGAACTACAAACTTGCTAATAAGGCTACCCACATTTGCAAGCATCCCCAATCACTAGTTGGATTCAAATTGTACTTTGATTTGTCCAGATTTGTCTTAGGATGTTGGGTGAACCTTACCATTAGGTCAAGATCCCCTCCAACAATTCTTTCCATTTTGTTTGGAATAGGAATGGAAAAAAATTCACTCTCGCTAAGATTTCAGCCTTTCGCCATTCCTCAACAACCCTCAGTTTGTTTGCATACATGAGTATTTGACAGAATGGGCTTGAGTGGGGCATGAGGACTTTCTTTAAAGATTGACATTGCTTCAAGCTTGCATTTCACAGTAATTTCACACTGATAGCTCAATGTTGGTTGGGTGGGAGAGGACATTTGCAGCAGGGCTCAGGGCAATGATCCATTTCTGTGGAATTAAAACGTGCCAATAAAACTTGACAAACCAGTTGGGAACAATGCATTTTTCTGATTATCTGATCTCAGTGCTACTATGGAGTTGAAGCTTCAGCAAATGTTTGTTTTTCAGGTTCCCAAAGAATTGGTTTGTTTGGAATTTATTTGAATTAGGTCCAACTTAGTTTGGTCTGACAAAGTTTGCTTGCTGACAGATTTGTCATATTGTCGCAGCCTTGAATGAGTTTTTAGTTTCCCTGTAGGGAAAGTTGAGTGTAGGTTGACAGAGTTGCTCAGAGATTTCTCAATTTCACAAATGCCCCTTTGTTTTGTTTTTCCTCTCCTCTCAATTGTCAGGATGATGGAATTGATGAATTAATATATATATTTTTCATGCAACCCAATCTTGGAAGCAAACTAGATAGGGTGAGAGGATCAGGAGTAAAGTCATTCTGCCAGCTTCGTAATAGAAATTATAGATAAAAAAAATAGAGATGGGGTCCCCATCTTTCATAATCGGAACTGCATAACTGCAATTGTTTTCCAATAATTTGAAAATAATTGAGGTCTTCGCACACATTTTCTGCCCTGTTTGGGCCCTTACCTTCCTCTTATTAAAAATGCATTGGATCATATAACATGAATAATAGGCATGCTAGTGAAATAAGGAGGAAAATATTTTAGAACTTATCTACCAACATTATTTGTCTTTTTTTGTTCCTTTGTTGCTCGTTTAGGGTCAGATGGAAACCAAAAGCATATGTAAACTGAATTATATACTTATGTGCACCTAATTCTTTTGCACATGTCCAACTTGGCTACATCAGAAAATATGTTTACCTTCTCCATCCTGTCATTAAGAGCCTTTGATGCTTCAGCCGGAAACCCAAGGATAAATAATCTTATTCTGAAGGGTTTTCCCTGACAGCTGAAATCGTTTCAAATGTAGCTTGTTATTTTGTTAGCTGTGGGCATGGGCTGTGTTTAAAAGAGTTAACTCAACTTGTAAGAGGCACAGTGGTTAGAATGCAGGATGGCGGGCTACCGACTTCCATCAGTTCAATCTTGACTGGCTCAAGGTTGATTCAGCCCTCCATCTTTCCGAGGTCGGTGAAATGAGGACCCAGATTGTGCTGACTCTGTAAACTGCTTAGAGAGAGCTGTAAAGCACAGTGAAGTAGTATGCAAGTCTAAGTGCTATTGCTATATAATTAAATATCAATGAATCACCTTGTCCAAATTTTGGATTTATTTCTTTTAAAGTCGCCTAGTTCCTAATTTTAAATGCCATGTCATGGTTAGACAGCCAGGAATTACCTGCTAAAGAAATGTATAAATGACTATAGAAGTAACAGAAGGAAAGTTGAACATAAAATAGCCAAGAGATAAGAGTTTGTTAATAGCTTATCTCATAAATAGCAATACCATTGAGCTGGAAAAGGTTTAAGGAGTTGAGAAGATCATCATTAATTAAACTCATTAATGAAGGCTGAAAATTGGCTGTTTCCAAGATTGTATTTCTTGCCCTTATGGAGAGATGGGCAGCAAACAAATTTAATGAATAAATAATAAAAAATAAAAACATTGAAAACACTTTATAGAACTGCATTGTTGGGAGTAGGAGAGAGAACTAGACATCTTATGGCATCTTCTAGAGCAGTGCTTTTCAAGCATGATAGCCCTAAAATGGGTGGACTTCAACTCCCAGAATTCCCCAGCTATCATGGTGACTGGGGAATCCTGGGAGTTGAAGTCCACACATCTTAAAGTTGGCAAGTTTGGGAAATACTCTTCTAGAATCCCCCAGACAATCTTCATAATAAAGTAATAGTACTGAAAACAAGCTTTGACTTGCCTCAATAATGTTTGGGTGACCCAAACATGTAAATCTAATTTAAACTGAGAGATGACTGGCTAAATGCAGCCACCATTGTGTTTTCCGTGAGGTTATGGAACTGATGCTCTAGGAGTCCTCTTTTCTGCTTCTTCCCCAATTTCAGGAGTTCTGAACTATCTAAAAGAAACTTTTACTCACACTCCAAGTTACGACATGAGTCCTGCCATGTTGAGTGTGCTGGTCAAGATGATGCTCGCTCAAGCTCAAGAGTGCATCTTTGAACAGATCTGCCTTCCTGGGATACGGAATGAATTTTTCACACTTATAAAAATGGCCCAGGAAGTTGCAAAGGTAAGCTGCGTGAGAGCAGAGGGATACATGGATCTTTTGTCATTTGCTGACATTGGGACACTAAGATGACTGCCTGTGCAACAGCCCTCCAAGAATCAAAAGAGATGGCACTTTTCCTATTATGGGATGTGAGGGAGGCAGAAGAGGGTCTTGTAATGCTGTCCTGAGCCTCCCCTCCATGGTAGATCAAAAGATCAAAACTCATTTCAACAGTGAAGACCAGAAGGCTGCTTTTCTTTCTGAAAGTTAGTCTCAGCCTTTTAGATTCAGTGATGAATATTGGTAGGGCAATATTAGAAGAAGGATTGTTCGCCTACCATAGAAGAATGGATGCTTAAAGTATCAAATTTAGCAGCAATGGCGAAAATTTCTGCTTACTTGAAGGATCATTCACAAGAAAGATACATTTCGGTCTGGAGAAGATGGATAGATTATATTCAGAATAAATATGGGACAAAAGTTTCATTTAATTTATGAGTAAATTTTAGAGTATTATTATTAATAGTTTATTATAGTTGAATTTTTATTAGTTTTATTATTATTTTAGTACTAGTATTGTTTAACAACTTGGATATTGTATTGTTTAATAATATCGACTTGTTTATATTATTATGCTTATTTTTAATTTGTTTATATCTATGTTAAAGGGGAGTTAAATCGCATTATGGACTTGGTTATTTATATAGTTGGTTAATGTTAGTTAGAGTTTGATTATTATATTTGTAACCCTGTACTCAGCTCTGGGAAGTGGGGGAGGGAGAGGAGGGGTTTAGAGTGGATGGGTTTTGGGGTATATACTGTAATTTTAATAAAACTTTTCAATAATAAAAAAAGATTCAGTGATGAATGTCAGTGAAGAAAACAAGATCCTCTGTAATTATTGCTAAAGTTCTTTTCTCTTTTTCATCCTTGGTGAGAACAATATCTTTAAGTATAGATTCCAATAACTGTACAAAGTTGATCAGCACCAATACGGAGTGCCTTGAGTGAGCTTTTAATATAGAGTCAGTAGCTCATACATGTGTCTTGTGCTTTGTCTTTAAGGTTGGAGAGATGTACATGCTTGTGGACACCGCGATGAGTCAAGCGCCGGTCAAGGAGACCATCCCTTACTCTTGGTCAAAACTGGCTCAAGTCAAATCGGATCATTTCAGAGCTCTGGCACATTATTTTGTGGCCACTATGCTGAGTGACCACCAATGTAAGAAGACTGTCAGATTCGTACATCCATTGGCCTACCTATTAATGGACCAAGACAGGAGGGATCCTTGGTGCTCTCTGAGCTTGGTTGTTTTCTTGCAGACCTTTCATTAGCCAAACTAGGTAACCTCATCAATGCTGGGTAGTGAAACGTCTGCAAGAAAACAAGCAAGCTCAGAGAGCACCAAGGACCCCTCATTTCAACGCTGAGCTACAAATATTCTCCTTTATTGGGAACCAAGAAATGGAACTATTCTGAAAATATACCCATATTCATTTCCGTTTGGGGAATCTACAGGGGGGGAAGAGATCCTTGAAAAAAAAAATTAAGATGGCAGCTTTGATTATGGGATTGACTTTGCAATCTTGACTTTTTTGGAGCCCACTGCACAGTCCCCACAACTCTTATAAATCCTGGAGCCCTTTTCTCTGAAGTTCACACCGTCAAAATTCAGTGACTGAAAGCTAGAGAGCAATGCAAGCTCCCTCCAAAATGAAGAAAATTAATTCACTGAATATTTTGTATTTCCTCTTTGAAGTGTTAGAATAAGAATGAAACGGTAGGGGGAAGTCGTTTTTAGAATGATTTCAGCGCTCATCTGGTGATACTGACAGATCTGGCGATACCAGTTGAATAAGGCTGTGCTATATCCTACTATTAATAAGTTATGATAACTGATTTTACTTCCCCACCAAAGAATTCCATTTTTGATCAGCCTTTCAATGCATTCTATTATTCTCCTTCTATTATGATTGAGGAACATTGCTAATGAAGCACAGTTGCAGCCTTAGGTCTGGTAAGATGCTTTAGACTAAAGACCCATTGTCCCTTGTCTGAACTACAATGAGGATAACAGGAAGATGGCAAACATGTATTGCTTTTCACGTTAATTTATATAAAAAGACTTGATATTCCTAGTCCTACTTAAAGGAAAGGTTCAGTGTTGGAGTGTGAGCTTTCAACAAGAGATAGGAGGGAGAAAAAAATCTATCTCTCCCTAAAACAAAATTTAGGTGGATTATAAATTCATTAAGATTGTTTCTACTTAATGGAAAAGGCAAAGCATTAGACATGACAGGCCCTTAATAGTAAATACGTAGCCTTCCCTAATGCTCTATTTTCCTTGGTGCGTTCTGGTCCACCAATGTTGGAAAAGGGGCTTTTAACCTGATGATTGAAAGATCACTTCTGGGCAACAATTTTGGAACAGACTGAAATGTGAGAAGCCATAATCCAGGAGAAAAACAGGTTCTGAAGTTGATGGTTGCCATTGAGTGTTCCTCTTTGTTCATCAGGCCTGGAGGCAATTCACCTGGGCAGCAAATGAAAGTAAAGTGGTGTTTATCTTCTCTTTCCTTTGTATTTGTTCTTACAACCCCAGTACATCAGACTGATGATGAAGATCAACAGGAAAAGGCTTTTGGCCAGCTGTACGACCACATGCCCGAGGGGATGACACCCTTAGCTGTCTTAAGAGATAGAAGCCAGCGTCAACAACTAGGTAAGGGTGAACTCTTTTTAAGATATTACCCAAGTAGCCATGGTTGATAAAATTGTGGATTAAAACCTCCAAGCATTTCTTTGTTTCAGGATATGTCATTTTAGCTTCCCCAAACTGATAACATTTATGCTTTGGGGAAGAAAGGCTTGTCTGCAGTCACTGTTTCTCAATCTCAGCATGTTTAAGAGGCATGGACCCCAACTCCCAGAATTCCCCATCCAGCATGGGTTCCATTAAAGTTGAAGTTGAAAGAACACTGCCATAGTAGACACATCATCATTAATTTGTACAGTTTTGATTTGATTAGAATAATTGTGTTCACACAGAGAGTAACAAATCACACTAAGTAATGTGATTTGTAGGATTCTTGATAGACTGAGCTGTGGTGGCTTAAAAATCCTGGGTTTTTATGGTGCAAAAATCCATCCCATTCCTTCCTTCCTTCATTTTTTTTCCCTTCTCCAGGAAGACTACATTTGCACAGAGCCATCCTTTATCACAAAGAAGCCTTAAGGGTTTGCAGCTTATGCACAAAGCTCCGGAATATAGAGATCCTTCAAGAGATTTTGTCCGTTGCACACAAGCGGTCCCTTCTCAAATATACTCAGCACGAGCAACAAGAGGACTTCTTTAGCTTGGTGGTGGTACCCAATATCCTGTGTAAGTTCTTTTCAGCCTGGGGTGACCCAGGAGTGAATCCATGTTTAGATAGAATAACTTGTGGTGATTCACACCTATAGACAACATCTGCCCAGACAGAGCAACCTACTATTTGCATCTACCATATACTCTGAGAACTATTTGGGAGGGACTGTCTTCACTCTTCTTCTCTCACACATAATATCCGGATGGAGTTGTCTTTTAACTCCTCAGGAATGCACCTCCGTCTAAGGCAGTGTTTCTCAACTTTGACAATTTTAAGGCATGTGGACTTCAACTCCCAGAATTCCACAGCCAGCAATGCTGGCTGTGGAATTCTGGGAGTTGAAGTCCACATGCCTTAAAATTGTCAAGGTTGAGAAACACTGCTCTAAGGAATCTGCCTCCTTGCTACATTTCATCACATGGATAGATTCAAATCTATCATCTATCGATGTCTGTCTGTGTGTCATCTATCTATCCTCTATTATATCTGTCTATTATCTATATATCATCTCTATTATCAGATCATTTCTATCTGTCCATCATCTATTGCAACTGTCATCTATCTATCTATCTATCTATCTATCTATCTATCTATCTATCTATCAATCATCCAATTTTATATAGCTATCAATTTCATACATAGTATATAATCCTGGGCAGCTTATAAAAACAGGGGGAAAAAAAGAACAACACTGCCATTTAAACCACTTAACAACAAGAAAAATATTGTATAAGCATTTTTTTTAAAAAAATAAACATAAAATACTTAAAACTCATTCATTCAAACAATCAATACAGCCAGTGCACCAGTTTTATCACAGCACATTTGTGGATTTCTGTGCCTATTGGCAAAGCCAAGTTTTCAGGGACTTATGAAAAGCCTGCAGGAAAGGGCCAGCTTGATCTCCAGGGAGGGGGCAGAGTGGATGATGTCCCAGAATATTGGGGTCACAGCAGAAAAGGATCTCTTTCTGGGTCCTACCATACAATACCCTCCTGGCTGACATGACTCACAATGTACTATTTCTGCTGGGCTTTTTTCTGTACTTTTCAGCCTACTTAGTTGCTAGAAATATGAAGTCTCAATTCAATTTTTATGTTCAGCTAAAGCTGAAACTCAAATACTTTGGCCACCTAATGAGAAGGAAGGACTCACTGGAGAAGGGCCTAATGCTGGGAAAGATTGAGGGCAAGAGAAGAAGGGGACGACAGAGAATGAGATGGCTGGATGGAATCACTGAAGCAGTAGGTGTGAACTTAAATGGACTCCAGAAGATGGTAGAGGACAGGAAGACCTGGAGGAACGTTGTCCATGGGGTCGCGATGGGTCGGACACGACTTCGCAATTAACAACAACAAAAGCTGTTTAGTTGCTTGAACGATGAAACCTCAGTTCAATTCTTATGTTGAGTAGCTGGTAGCTACTCTTTCAAGGCAGCTATGGCCGTTTATTGATTGTGTTATTAATTCCCAGGTTTTTAATGCTGCATTTAAGCTAAGTGTTCCCATGGTGGTTTATTAATCTATCTTATCGTCTTAGCATACTGTAAAAATGCCTAAGAATTAATTAACAAAAATCAAAGCACACTGTTAAAATTGCAAGTAGAAACTAACAAGCTCCTATCAATGGAGGGAGCTCAATTTTAGCCAATGCTTCCCTGCTGCTCTTTTGATCCTGTCATAATCATCTTGTATTTTACAGCATGAAAAAATATGATCTTAAAATGTTTCTAAAGCCATGATATTTTCAACTGTCCCAATTTGCAAAATTCGGCTTTGGTAGATGTGAATCCATAAAGAGTAGTCCCATAAGAAATGAAAAAAGTATATAATATAATATCATATCATATCAGAATCTTTGCTAACATGATTCAGATTCTAAATGGATACAGGATTAGTCCCCTTGGAATGTATAGATTGCTGAGTTTCTAAAGCTATGAAGAAAAAAATCCTCAAAGATTTAAGATTTTGCAGTGATCTTCAAGCTAAGCTACATCACACAGCTGCTATGAAATTGGGAGAGAGGTACCAAAAGAAAACATGTTGCTTTTTGCTTCCCAGAAGTGGTTAAAAAATAATAAATCTATTTGCTTTGCTTTTATTCCAGCCAACACAAATCACAAAATAGAACTGATTCCTCCTCTGTTCTCTAACGTGAAAGTTAAAGACTTCTTCGAAAGGCTGGTATGTCTGAACCAACTGCTCTGTCACTATGACATGTTGCCCTTAATATGTTTGAATGCCTTCTTGCCTCAGAATTAAAATGACTATGAAAATAATGTCCAGCTTCTTGAAATATGAATCTATCCCTTGGGAGGGCTCCTCACCACAGACTAGCAGTGGGTCATGCCTACTTATGAACAGGATTCTGTGTAAAACCCAGCCCTTTGTAGATTTTAATGCCTTCATATGCTGTGTGGAGCCAGTGAGAGGGATTGATTCAACAAACCATGGCAGGGATTATAACGTAATCCAACCATGATGGTGACAGCGGTAGCCTGGAGGCAGATTACTATAAAGTTCATTCTGTCTTGGCTATTGTATGGATCCACTATTGTAGATTGCAAAATGTCTGTGATTTGTAGTATGACCCCAAGCAGCTAGAACAATTAATCAGTGGGACGGCTTGCCTCCAGAAGCTGTGGGTGCTCCAATACTGAGGTTTTTAAGAAGAGATTCCATTTGTCTGAAATGGTATAGGGTTTTCTGTTTGAGCAGTGGGATGGGCTAGAAGGCCTCCAAGGTCCCTTCCAATGCTGTTATTCTATTATTCAGTTGTGGGTTATTGAACAAATTATAATTAAGAACGCTATATTTAGTAAAGCCAGATGACCCCCTTTCACTGTTAAAGTACCATGTGTGTTGAGGCTTTATTGAGCCTATGAAGAATAATATGTAAATTAGTAACTGCTGTACAGTTGCAGACACTACTAGGAGAAAACAGAAGATTCTGGGGGAATAGCTGTAGGGAGAGAAGCTCTCTGTAATTTACATTAAATTTGCAAAATGTGAATTGAATAATTTAACTCTGTTGCTCTCCGTGTCTCAGGGTCCACCTACGGTGTTTTCAGCCAAGCAGAGGTGGTCACCCCCTCGTCTCATTCATTTCTGCTGTGAAGACGGCATGTTGGGGTTCACTGTCAAAGGAGGCCCACCAGTACAGATTGACTGCATTGACCCAGCTTCTCCTGCAGCGGTAAGATCCAGGTGTTTCTCTTCGTAGAATTGTTCACGGTGCCAGGGTTAATTTCAGTGGAATTTTCTACACAACTCACAGAAAAATGAATTAGAATCCCTCAGATACTTAACCACCTTTCTTTGATGGGCTTTTATTTTGCGTTTGGAAAGGCCCTCCCAGATATTGATGTTACTGAATGAATTTGAAAAATAAAGTCTATTGCAAACTATAATCTAAAAGAAAAGTGGGATTCTTCCTACCCCTTTGGATTGGTACAACTTAAACATTTGTCTATTTTCTGTAGATGCACCTTATTGTAGAGTGCATCTACAGAAGAGTGGAGTAGTAATCCTTCTTCATCCTTGAAGACTGAGTTTATACATCCCACTAAATCATAGATTGCTTAACCTTGAAGTAGCAGATAAATCCCAATTGGCTGGGTCCACTTAGCATGCTAAGCCAAATCTAAGGAGGGGAAAAATTAGGGCTTAGCAGCACAATATAGGAGTTTATTTATTAATGAAATCATGAACCTGTTGATTCAGAAGTCTCACTGAGCACTGTGGAGTTTATTGCCAAATGATTGGCTGAGTGATTAGGTTTATATCCCTTTGTAATCAACAGATAGCAATAGCACTTAGACTTATATACCGCTTCACAGTGCTTTACTCCCCTCTCTAAGCGGTTTACAGAGTCAGCCTATGGCCCCCAACAATCTGGGTCCTCATTTCACCGACCTCGGAAAGATGAAAGGCTGAGTCAACCCTGAGCCAATCAAGATCGAACTGCTGGCAGTCGGCAGAATTAGCTTGAAGTATTGCATTCGAATCACTGCGCCACACGGATCCTATGTGATTAGAGATAGGAGTGTAGTTTAAAATTTTCCATCATGTTAATCTGACTTCCATGGTGAAGCTGGGCAGTTAAAGCTGGTTAGGAAACTCTACCAGATTGTCTTGGCTTAGCTGATGCCGAGCAATGCCCCATGGTTTTTTAGTTGGCAGGTTTGAAAGAAGGCGACACCGTGATTGCGGTTGAAGGTACGGATTGCAAATGGTTGGGGACGAGTGACGTCTTGGAAAAGCTCCAGAATTTGAGAGAGCAGGAGATTGAGATCCAAGTGATCAGCTGTCAAGAAAATGCACCTTCCTTGGTAAGTAAAAGCTGTGAACAGAATTTCACCACAAGACCATCAGAGCGGTCTTGTAATCTGGCCCTGTATGATGCTTTTTTACTTTTTAATTGTTCCTGCTTATTTTAAGCATAAGCCACCTAGATTTGTTTGGAGTTGGGTAGCCGAAGCAAGCTGACCTCCATTTCCCTTTTTATTTTAATTCTCAAAACCTCACCCACCACTCCAATTGTCTTAGCAAATAACGAAAGACTAATTGGTTTCCTTGGGGGGGGGGAAAGATTAAACTAAACTGGGAACTGGGGAGACAAAATGTCTATTCTTTCAGCATTGTTTCAAGCTTTGCAACTTTTAATTGCTTTTTTTTAAAAAAATAAATAAATAGCAAAGATGACATCGTTCTAATCTCCTGCACAGGTTTTGCTTAGAAAATGACCCTCATTATTTTTGTTGCTCATTGCAACTACGGGTTTTGGAAATTTCACTTTGGGCAAAGAAACCTGTTTAGAAATGATGTCACAAGGAGACAAATCTCCCGTCCAAATTTAATAATAGTCCACCTACATAGACTTGGAGACTAGCCCAGGGGGAATGTAATGAAATGCAGAAGAAAAATATCCTCCTGTCATAGAATATACAGGTAATCCTCAATTTACGACCACAATTGAGTCCAAAATGACCATGGGGAGGCTGCAATGGTCGTAAGTGTGAAAAGCAGTCATACGTCATTTTTTCAGTGCTGTTGTAACTTTAAACTGCGGTAAGTCAAGGGCTACCGTAGTTTAAACGTTGCTTCCCCTTTTGTGTTGACTGAATCTATTTTATTTTTTAAAATGCTGGTGCCTCTCCCTCTTTCCCCTACAGCACAACAAATGTGCCACCTACTCAGCGGGCATGCAGAAAACTTACTCCCTGATATGCCTGGCCATGGAAGACGAGAGAACCGACACAGCCAAGAAGGTGACGCCTAAGCCGTCGTTCTTGAGTTGGGGAACCAAAAGCAGGCAGAAAGCTGCCAGCACCCTCTGCCTGCCTTCGGCTGTCAGTGGAACCTCCGCCATTAAGAAAAAACTGACAACCCCGTTCACACTCTTCAATACCGATAGTTCATTGTACTAGGACTTGGAGACCAAGGGCGCCATCGCCCAGAAAAGGGTCCCAGAATGGACGTTGTGAATTCACAATGTAGCCTTTAGGAATCCAGAGTTGAGCAGCCTCAGCTTACAGCAACAACGACCCGCTCAAAATTGGTTTCCGGTTGTACAACTTGCAAGGATCGGAAGGTTTTTGAAGAACGCGTCATGTGCCTACTTGTTCTTGGAGTCCACTCAAACTTCTGCCCAGGTTTCTGGCTTAGTTATGAGCTCTCTTGAGAAACAATAGAATGGTTTTTTAGCTCTTCTGCTGCAAAGACTGAGGATTCGTTTTTTGTTTTGTTTTAAAAATGTGAATGTGTAGCACAGTAATGCCCCAAGGTTGACCATCTCACCTACATTGGGAGAAGTAATAGAACTGTTGACCACAATGATGCCGGATCAATGTGGTTCTCTTGCCAATTACTTTAAAACCCAATGAATGAGAAACAGGCTATAGGCCACTTTGTAATGTTCTGTGAATTGACAGTATGTACACAGCTAGTCAGAAACTTAATTCTTAAATAAATTATTGAACCTCCGGGTGATGCTAAAATAACAGGATAAATGAATAAATCTAACGGGGTGGGGTAGAAGCAATGCTACATGATAAGGTTTTAAAATCCTATTTTCTACTCTGCTTTGAGGTGGTTTAAACGAGGGGTCTCCAAATGTGGCAACTTTTAAGACTTTGGGACTTTGGCTCCCAGGATTCTGAGAGTTGAAGTCCACACATCTTAATGGTACCACGTTTGGAGACTCCTGGTTTAAACAAGCAGAACATTTTTTTTTTTGAAGCCTTCCACAGATGCAGGATTAAATCACCACGGGCAACTGGATTTTGCAGTTTCTGGCGTTCCAAATGGAACATGGAAATGAATTAGGATGGCAATTTCCAGAATTTCCCACACTAAATGCTAGCATCTCGCCAACGACCAAAAAAAGCCATCCATTGACATGGCACCCGATGCTGTGGAAAGAAATCTCCCATGGATAACCTTGAAACCAATCTCAGCCCTGGTGACACGGAATGGATCCATCGAAAACCAGCTTCTGTTTTGCAAGATCTGATGTAACTGGGTATCGTTTTCTACACCTGCCGAGCATTAGAGTAAAGATGGGGATTTCCTAATACAATCATGTGCAGAGAAATATGCTAATGTAAATAAGAGTTTGGAAAGAGATCAGCCAGTTTGATTGTTGACCAAATCCCTAGTCCCTGTCAGGTTTCAATTCAAATCGGTGTTTCTCAATCTCAGCAACTTGGAAGATGTGTGGACTTCAACTCCCAGAATTCTCTAACCAGCATATTGGCTGGGGAATTCTGAGAGTTGACACATCTTTTGAGTTGATAAGGTTGAGAGACACTGCTTTAAATAGATATATGCCTAGCTCCCCAATACTATTTTTGAGAAGGCTATCAACCGAGGGCTTTTTTGAGCACCACTTTGACGATGCATTCCAACGGGTTGATTAAGTAACTTAACTATGCCTTAAGTGAAATTTAGGAGTTCAGCACACTAAAGAACAAGCCCAACTGGAAAAGTAGTTGATGCTTGGAGTTTTATTGTCGCTATCTGAAGTTGCAGGCTAATACAAAAATAGTTGTGGTGTTAAGCTGAAATATTGCCAACAGGGTTGATCTTAACAATGATAGGCTAAAAAAAAATTTAAGGAAGGGAAATTGAAGTTCCTATTGACATTCATTGAATCCATTAGCAGAAGCCCTCCATTTTAGGAATGTTTTAGAAGAAGTTAGAATAGAACAATGTTTCTCAACCTTGACAACTTTAAGATATGTGGACTTCAACTCCCAGAATTTCCCAGTCAGCACGGCTGGCTGAGGAATTCTGGGAGTTGAAGTCCACATATCTTAAAGTTGCTAAGGTAGACACTGCATAGAATAAGGAAAAATGGAAAAGGCTGGTCTATTGATGTCATTTTTTTTTTTAAAAAAATGGATTTTTTAATGTTTCTACCCAGTAGATGTAAATATATAAATCTGAAACAATTATTTAAGAATGAGTCCTGGTTTTGACTTCTATGTGACGATGAACAACTTTTCACTGCAGCTATGAATGAGATAGGTTTAATTTTTAACCGTTGTGGTTGTTCAGAATGAAGGTCTGTTATTATCTTTTTTTTAAAGGAAGAATGTAATACTGTAGTGGCTGCTTATTCTTATTGTGCAATATTCAATCAATGCTGTGGAACTAATTCTAGTGCATAATAAAATGTAGGTTGGAAGGAGGGTTGACTTGTTATCTTCACTTACATCTCATTCTGTTATTTTTATTCCAGTTTTAATTTGGGGGGTTCTTCAAAGAAATGTGCAATGACTGAATTCGCGTGCTACAATAGGCCATGGTTAGCTAAGTTCAACATTGAAGCATAAATAGGGAAGCCTTTTGATTCAGGGAACATAGGGATTTTGAATGCATGTGGTTGATGCCCTCACTAAGGCCTATCAAAATGGGCATGTATCTGAAGTAGGATAATTTTTTTCTTCAGAGAGGAGATATGGAGTCTAATCCAATATAACTGAAGAACTGCTAAGTGTTAGGGAAGGCTATATGCACATAGGAGAAAGATGCCAATGATCAAAACTATCTTCTCTTTGTTGCTTCTCTCAAGTCTTTCCAACATAGCCTGGTTATTCTAGACTAGGTTTACGGTACTTTTTCTTTAAAAAGGACCTTGGACTGAAACCTTGTAAATCTACAGGGCTATCTCAGAAATTCCGAGAAAGGAGACTAAGAACTTTATTCATTAGCGGTCAACAGCCCTTATACTCTTAATTTCTTAAATAATAGGTTCACTTATTTCTTAAATAATAGGTTCGCTTTAAACAATACATGGTCTTGAAAGAATAAATGAGGGGATTTCAATATACACAGGCAAGTTTGAAACCCTGCTAAGCGTAACAAGTCAGAAAAATGCAGTAGATGCATAGGCATTAAAGCCTAGGCAATCAAATAAAGCCAATATAGCAATTATTTATCCTGCTGTTGCAAAAAAAATGCTCCTTTGCCAAGTTCAATCTACTGAGAACTAAGATTTTTTATCCTGTAGCAATATAATAGTGTCATTCCTCCAATGCTATGCTTGCTAATTTCTTTTAAATAAAGCATATTGTAATTTTGTAAGGGATGATCAGGCTGAGCCTGAGGGAGAGATCAAATATGTCATCTGCCATGAGTCCCTGCGCACCCACAGTCCAGCCCACTTTGAATTTCTTTCTGTTCTTAACTCTCACTACTTTCCCCTGATCGTTAGTATTCAGATGCTTGTAGAAAGCTACAATAAATTCTTATACACACTTGAACTACCTGGATCTCCTGATTTCCTTGGTGTGTGACAATTTATCCAAAACCAAGGGTTTTTTTTTTTTTTTGTCTTCTGGATAATGTACAGTATTTTTAGATTTCCCAAAGGCCTTGTCTGTAATGTTACCAGAATAACATGGATGTGTCTATGACATATTCAGTTCTTACTCAGACTCCTAAATAAAAAATATCTCCTAGAATCATGGATATGTCTATGACGTTACTCAGGTGTGGTTACCTTGCAATTCTAGTAGTTGTCCAACCTTTTTTTTTTTTTTTTTAAAAAAAAAAAAAGTTAAATGGCCACAACTGAACTTCCTGGACAAAAAGACAATACCCAAGGGCACCGTTTATTATCTTTCGTACAAGATAAGATTGCCTTAAAGGTTTTGCCCTTCTGTTGACTCAGAGGGCGAAGGCGTTGAGGGAAAGAATTTCAACCATCTTAACACAGTGTCTTCCTGCATGTGTCTGCAACATCTTCCCCCTCCAAATTGCAAAACCTGCCTAAACCTTCTGCATGTCAGCAAAAGTGCCGCATTAACCTGTTTCGCCTTCTCGGCCTGCCCGCTGTTCACTGTAGCATCCAATCATGAAAAAAAAAGTGTCCGTCCTTGGCTTAAAACAATGTCAACCTGGTCAGAAAAAGGATGCCTGTAATAATATTGTCCAAGAGTCCAAAACAGCTTCAGACTTGTCCTCTGCCCAATTAGGCGACAGTACCTACTCAGTCTTAGCTAATTTCAAAAATGGAATAACACTGAGGAATTCTGGAGTTACCAGCCTGGCTTGGAAATAGGTAAATGCTGCAAGGCAGCAATCGGAAGCCATCCTATCCCATGGCACGGAAAACTGCAGGGATGCAGGCACCCAGAACCATTCCTGAAGATATCTTTATCTCTTTATTCCATCCCCTAAGAAACAGCCCTTGGCCCAAGGCTGCCTGTAAAACTAGATGGTGGTGCAGTCAAATGTCAAAAGGGTAACTATTCTATCTGATGTGAGGTACGTGGACTTTCTTTGAAAGACGTGGGCGTTTTGCTTGAAAGGACCAAGTTACAACCTTTAAGCTCCAGAGAAGTATAACTTTGCTGGAAATGATTACAAAAGCCCTTGGGCAGCCAAGAAGGATGACTCACTCCCTCTTTTCACCATGATACTCCTACATAATTTCAGTTTGGCGGCCTTCCAGGTGCCTCGTGCAAAAGTAATAATATTCAGGTTCCACTCCTACAGCAGTTTCCTATCACGTCCACCTGTCATACCATGTTTTGGATAGAGCAGATCCAGAGGATCAAGAGTAGAGGAAAGCCTAGATGACATCTATAAATAAGGATTTTCAGAGTTATACTTAGTGCCGGAAAGAAACAAGATTCATTCCTGGGGGTTTTTTTGGGTGCTATTTGCCTTGGGCCAATTAGTTGAAGGCCAAGTGAGAACAAGTTTCTTAATTGATGATCTATCCAGCAACTCCTATTATCTCAGCATTACAGTATCTCAGCCTTGTTCATACCAATCAGAACAGGGAATTGACCCTGCTGACTTTAACAAATACAAAAATCAAACACCTTAAATCTTGCTGTTCCCAATACTCATTAAATAATCAGTTCAAGGCAGAAGTTCTAATGCTTAGAATTCATACCTTCTCCGTAAACAAGGTATGAACGGCAGGCAAAACTCAGATTAGGTTTCTCTTCTGTATCCAATATAGCAATAGGGAAGGCCTACTGAACAAATGTTATTTAACAACCTCTTTTTTTGGCTTTAAAAGTCAGAGACCCTATATTTTTCAACAGTCTGAACAGACAAGAGATGAAGTTTTCATCTCTTTTAAGAAGTATCTGAGATTGAAAAAGAATGTACTTAGGAAACTATTAGTAAAAGAACAAGAACTGTTTAAAGGAAGGCAAAGGGGATGTTGGTACTGCAGGTAATCTTCCTGGAAAAAAGTGTTCAGTGCTATTCCTAAAAAGTGGCATCATGTCCAGCTGTACGCAGTTGAAAGCCAAAAACATACCCAAGAAAGCCCAGATGGAGCAAACTTGAGGTCAAACATAATTCCCTGAGTTATTGGCTCCTTAGATGGTGGAGGACAGGAAGACCTGGAGGAACATTATCCATGGGGTCGCGATGGGCCGGATAGGACTTCGCAACTAACAACAACAATAGATGGAAATGAAAGCTCTCTGAGTTTCATACAAACTGAAATCTGACCGTGTGTGTAAGGGAAATTCCAGCCTTTCAAAAAGCTTATCTCTGATGCTGAAAACCGAGATTATTTCATCTGGGCGAAGAATGCATGGATTTGTTGAGCTAGGCTGCGGCCAACTACTCCTTCGAGCTCCTGGAGAGAGGCATTGCAAAGCTGATGGATATTCCCAAAGTTTTCCAGGAGGAGAAGGGCTTTTGTCTTTCCAACCCCTGGAATCTGCTGAACTGTATGGAGTATAGATGGTTCCAATAGCTTGGTACATTTCTTCCTTTGGAAGAGATTGCTGGTTTTAGTCTGTTCGTGCACCTGAAATGAAAGTCAAATTTAGTCTGGCTGCCCTCTTGTGGTTTTTGGTGGCTAATTATTTGCAGGTTGTCCTCCACTTACGACCACAACTGAGCCCAAATATTCTGTTGTTCAATACGATCATTTGTTAAGTGAATTTTGCCCCATTTTATGACATTTCTTGCCACAGTTGCTAAGTGAATCACTGCAGTTGTTACGTTAGTAACCCGGTTGTTAAGCAAATCTCGCTTCCTCTATTGACTTTGCTTGTCAGAAGGTCGCAAAAGGGGGTCACGTGACTCCCAGGACACTGCGACTGTCGTAAATACAAGTCAATTGCCAAGCATCCTAATTTTGATCATGTGACCATGGGGATGCTGCAATGGTTGTGTGTAAAATGTTCATACGTCACTTTTTTCCATGCCATTGTAAATTTGAACGGTCACTAAATGAACTGTTGTAAGTTGAGGACTACCTGTAATTCAGAAAAATGTTGGGTTATAGGATGGTCAGTGCTTTGGATGCAGAATGAAAGTGGCACTTTGGACTGGGCATGATAGCAGACCAGCAGTCATTAAAGTATCTGCATCTTTTTACTGGAAACAAATGTAGTTAGTTTAATGAGTCACAGGTATTGCATTCAAGCTTCTGAGCGTTTTGAGGCACTTCCTCCAAAACTAATAGGAATCACACATCCCTAGTTTTCAAATTATTTTGCCGCCTCAGACCAAGGTGTGTCTCGTCCATCATTCTTTTTCCTGCAGTCACTTGAACATGAGAAGCTCTTGTACACCAGTTCTGATCTGAAGTCCACCCATCTTAAAATTGTCAACTTTGAAAAGCACTGCTTTAAAGCAACCAGCCAGATAGATACCCATTTATCAGAACAAGCAGCTCTTGAAGATACTTACCAATTGAGCAATAAGTTGAGCTGCTTCTTTTTGGCTAGCCACCGGAAGTAAAGTCATTCCGAGTTCCAGAACAACAAATTTCTGCACTTCTGGAAAATACTGGTTACTTATTTGGGTTTTTTCAACTAATACAATCCCTTGAAGACTGCAAGCCTGGAACAAGTAGGAACAATGAGAGTAACAAGTATTAGTGACAGGAACAAACCAACAACCTAGAGCAACGTCATGTGATGTGTCACGATATATCACGACTTTTTTTCCAATTGCCGGCAATGAGGTGGGCGCAGTTTTGCTATGATGCATCCAGCCCCTGGGCCGGCAGTTTGACACCCCTGGCCTAGAGTAAGCTCATTGGGAGGGCTGGGAATGTAAAAAGGTGTGCTTTCTCCACTCTTTCTTCTCTTCACTCCACTCAGCCATGCTGCTTAAAATCGCTGATTAAAGACTAATATTTCCTCACAGAAGAATATGAGAATGAATGAATGAATGGCTGGGTTGACATCATTCAGAACTGTGCATATGAGAACCATAATACACCATACATGGCCATTAATTCCTCATATTTTCCTGCAACAGCCAATTAGATACAGATGCCCCAGTTAAAGCTTTCTCTGAGCTGAAGATAAATAGAAAGCCATGCCAGTTACCTAGGCAAAATATCTTTTTGTTCTTAAAGCAAAATTGGATCATTTCAAAAAGGAAACAACAACACAAGGAAGGAAAACACATAGAATCCTTTAAGGATAAACAAATAGTTCTTAAAATGGTGATTTTGGTTGCTGGTATAATTGCTGATAACAGTAATTATGCATGGTACTAAAGTTTCCATAAGAAAGGCTGAGCGCCAAAGAATTGAGGCCTTTGAACTATGGTGCTGGAGAAGACTCCTGCGAGTCCCTTGGACTGCAAGGCGTTCAAACCGGTCAGTCCTAGAAGAGATCAACCCCGACTGCTCTTTAGAAGGCCAGATCCTGAAGTTGAAACTCAAATACTTTGGCCACCTAATGAAAAGGAAGGACTCACTGGAGAAGGGCCTAATGCTGGGAAAGATTGAGGGCAAGAGAAGAAGGGGACGACAGAGAATGAGGTGGCTGGATGGAGTCCCTGAAGCAGTAGGCGTGAGCTTAAATGGACTCCAGAAGATGGTAGAGGACAGGAAGACCATGGGGTCGCGATGGGTCGAACACGACTTCGCAATTAACAACAACAACAATAAGCTAAAGTTTAGATTCTCCTTGAAGTGTGATGAATTGATCTAATGTTTTGCCGATATTATGTACCTAAAAAGCATGATCCATATTATACTTTCAGAGGGTGCTTACATTTCTAAAACGAACAAGTCTTCTTTTGAAGCCATTTCCTGCCACCAGATCTGCTTCAGAAATGTAGAGGATGCAGCATCTGTTTGAAAGATGAAAGTCCACAAGTCCCAGGCGATCTTCCAGAATAAGCTTAACTTTCCCTTGAAATGTGAGAAGCAATGAAACTATAGTAATGTCAGAACTACTGTAGACACATAATTCTTATTTGGGGTGAAATGCTGGCTGGGTTTACATATCCTGCTAAGTTTGATTTTAACATATTGTGTGAACAAACCATGCTTTAGCACACTCTGCAAATCAAGCTGTTGCTTTATCTCCAAGTTATTCAGAAGAAAATGCCAATGATTTCAAGACTGATCATTTCCATGTACGTTTAGCACTACAGAGTGAAAGTATGCATTTAAACATATGGCCTGCCATCCTTCATTTATAGCATATAGAACGGGCATTCAAGTTAATGAGAATTAAAACAATCTGATACTAATAATAAAATACTCCTTGTGATTTAGTGGTACCTTCTGATTATCCTAGCTTAATAAAATGAGACATCCTAATTTTTCTGGCTGTTTAGATAGGCTATGCACCCTTTGGATGTTTAGGAATACTATAATTAAGACCTCCAGACCAAACCAAGACATTAAGTTCATATTTTGTAATGTAACTGATATTCTGATTTGCTGAAAGCCATTCACCGCACTATCCTAGTTCAAAACAACCCACTAAATTATACTAAATGCCCAAACACAGGCAATGCATCTGTCAGATTCCTTTTTCAAAAAAGAAGAGTCCATTGGAGTTGAGGGACCAATATATTTAAACGAATAATGTTGGTTTAATTTTCAGATTTTGGGATGACTTGTTGGTAAGCAAAATTCTGTAATTTTATCCAAGTACAACTTACCATGCATCTCCTGAGCAATCTGGGAGCCCTTCCATTTCTCATTGCCAATCACGTGGCCCAGAGGAACATTTACAGCTCCTGCTCGGACTGGGGTGGTGTCATTTGGCATTATTAAGCTTTCTTTGTACTTGTACTCTTATTTGTCCTATCAAGAAAAAACTATCAATCTGTTATTCTGAAAATGCAAAAACTATACATTTCTCAATAACCAGAAATTGCCCATGAAATCCAGGTGGTTTCCAGCTGATGCCTTTCCATAGGGTTTTTTTCCCAGCCAAAACGATTAATTAGTGGAATGACTTGACTCCAGAACTTGTGATGCTCCATCATTGAAAGTTTTCAAGAAGAGATTGAGCAACCATTTGTCTGAAATTACCTAGGATTTCTTGCCTGAGCAGGGGGTTGCTCCAGAAGACCTCCAACTCTGTTATTCTGTTTTAAACCTGAATGTCAGATCTTCCACAACATTTATAAGGTTTTATTGTATGTAATCTTTATCAGACTTCTATGGGACAAGAAACAGCTTAAGGCAGGACAAGCAATGGATGGAAACAAATCAAGGAGAGAAGCAACCTAGAACTAAGGAGAAATTTCCTGACAGTGAAAACAATTAACCAGTGGAACGACTTGCCTCCAGAAGTTGTGGGTGCTTCATCACTGGAGGTTTTTAAAAAGAAACTGGACAGCCATTTGTTCTGAAATGGTACAGGCAGGTTTTCCTGCCTGAGCAGGGGGTTGGATTAGAAGACCTCCAAGGTCCCTCCCAACTTTATTACTCTATATTCTGTTCTGTTATTCTGTTAAGCAAGTAAAGAGCCAGTCTTTTGGGGGACTATGCAAAGAACAGCTTACTGCTGTTATTAATTCAATCTATATGTGAATCAATGCAAAGCATTCTTCTTACCTTACCGCTTAAAGACCTTGCACAGCAATCTCCAAGAACCCCCAGCGCCTTCAAATACACGTGCGAACCTGCCCACACACGCAGGCAAACCCGGGAAGGCAAGCGGAGGGAGCTCCCATGGCGAAGACTTCCTGCTTCCGCCTTTTTTTTCAACATCGCGCGGCGGCCATGACGCACTGCCGCCGCCAGCCAATCAAAGCCCTCTTCTCTTTTCCTCCCGCCTCTCCGAAACAAAACAAAACAAGGTCGCAAGGGGCGTGGCGATTCCAAACGGACGCTGGTTGCTAAGGCGAAGGCAGCATCAGCAAGGCGGATGTCGATTGGAGAAAGCGGGGAGTCATAACCAATCGCCTTGCGGTTTATTGAGGAGTGGTTGCCGGGGGAAGCGTCTTCTGTACGGGAGGGGGAGGAGGGAGCCGCTCCCTCTGGCCGGCGTGGCCTGTTCTGTCTCCCTGCTTTATTCTCGTTTTTTTTTTTTTCTCAGCCTTTTCGCCCTCATGCCGTTTTATTTCAGGAAGGGCCGAAGAGGCCTCTTTGTGAGTATTTTCCCGGGGGTGTGGGATCGATTCTTTCAAGGGGAGGGAAGATCGGAGGGAACAAGCCAGAAGGATGAGCCGGCAGTCCCGGATGGCAAGCGTGGCTCCGGTTCCCATGGCAACCAGGTGGCCGGATCCCGAGCATCCCTGGTTGGACCGGGAAGGAGGGATCAGAAAGGGAAAACGGACCAAGCAATGGAGCAGCCTGAATTCTGGACTGTCACTTGCCCAGGAGGGGGGGGGATTTCTGCACTGGGCCAGGGGTTGGACTAGAGGACCTCCAAGGTCCCTTCCAGCCCTAGGATTCAAGGGAGGCACCTGGGAGAAGTTCAGTGTTTGCTTGGCCATCCTGAAGCATGTCCCCCGTCTAACAAGTAGTCCTCAATAATAATAATAATAATAATAATAATAATAATAATAATAATAATAATAATAATAAAAAAAAAAAAACTTTATTACGGTCGTAGACCAGCAATAGCCATCACTTTTTACAATATATTAAATAATAATAATAAAAGTAGTACTAACATTATTAGTAAACAATAACATCCCTGTTAAGAAAATACATGTTTTCAGAATTGTTAGGGTCATTCCCTAATTTACGTGAGTGGATAGCCGATTAATGTGTGAGTAAATATAATGTTCCAAACATTATTAGAGATATCTCCAAAAAATTGGCACAAGTTGACGACTATAAATCTGTAACCAATTTTTTTCTTGTGGCAAGTAGTCCTCGACTTACGACCTCAAAGAAGGTCAGATGAATCTAGGGAAATTATATAAACATCACCAGGGATTTTTTTTGTTTTGTTTTCTGAAACAGAATAACTGTTTTATTGGAATATGATATTTTCTACAAAGAGAAAAGAACGAACATTTCAAAAATTACATTGTAATCCAAGAGCCAAGCGTGTATGTAAATAAATACGTAGACTGTAGAAGAAAAGTAACAGTGTGTTGCTACAGGAATAACTGTTATTTTTGTGGTGATATGGTGGTTTTGCGCATCACATTCAAAACCATTTAGGCTTACCACCTTACATTAATTTGCATGTACGTGTTCCTCCCTTTCATGTTATCGGTCCTTGTGCATGTGCACTTTTGTGTTTCTTCATTGTGTTAGTTCAATCATTGCCAACTAACTTTATTTTACATTATCTAGAAACATATAGCTCATGGCCTGATCCCCGCAGCTACCATAGCTCCTAAACCTGCTGTCCCCCGTACCCCTCCCCCTCGTAGTCCAAACCCTTCTCCAGAGAGGCCCAGGTAGGTTGTCATCTCTTGATTTGCAGTTATGTATTAGAATTAATATTATTAATGGATATTGGAATGTATAAAATGGCTTTCTTTTGCCTGTACATTTGTATATACCAGATGTATGTAGGATTACATTTGAAAGAGAAACGTGTACCACATATTTGCATGTTATGTAATTAAAAGAGGTTTTCGGCAGCATTGAACACAGTCCACTTTATAGTATAAATGTCATTAGCTTGTCTTTGAATCAGGAAAAAAGAGACTTGCTTCCAAGAATTTATAGACCATAGCCAGCTTAATATTGTCATATGGGCTGCAGCTATGCTCTTATTATTTTGCAGAGATTCAGACTCACTCCATCAATGACAAATGTTGCTCTACCCTACATCATTATCCAGATATTTGGCACTTTTGAAAAGTGATTGTATATAGGCCCGTTGTTACGCCAGCTGGAATCCTCCTTTGCACGGGCGTGTTCTAGAGAGCACGGGTGTGTGCAGGAAAATGCAGATGGATACAGAGTATAAATGACAATGCAAATGAGAGTAGGAAATGTGGCTTTCCTCTAACAAACTTTGCATTGCGGTTGGGATTAGAGTTTAGCTTATTAAAAATCAAAAATAATGAACTAAATGGATTGTTTTGATTATTCCTATAAGAATGAAGAAGAACGATACGCTATTATGGCTCAGTATTAAAGCTGTCATTGATGAATCTTTTATTTCCAGTGGGTTGAATTGATTAAATCCAGCAGTAGATTTAGTAGATCCAATATAGCTGTATAGCAGCCCACTAAAAAATGACTGTATGCAACATTTAAACACAGTTTGCCATACTTTTCTATTGTAGAGAAACATTTCTTCTTGTGTGTGAGTGTATGTATGTGCATTGTGAATGTTTCTCTATTATTTTAGATAGTTGAAACCACTTCATGTTTTAACATTCATATGCACGTAGAGTTGAGGGGTCTCAGCACAACCTGGTGCCCCATGTATATAGTCACATATGTAAGTAGCTACACATAAAGCTGGCTCTTTTCCCAGATCCGATGAAAGAAAACTTTACTAGATTCAGGAAGCAATTGTATTAAGATGTATATTTTATTTAATTTACATTATACTTTGAACTCATTACATTATATTATATATTATATATACATTACATTATACTTTGAACTCATTATCCCAGCCTCCTGATCCGTGATTTTTTTTTTAAATGGATTTTTTTCCAGGTCTGCTCTAGCAGCCGCTATTCTTGTGACAACCTTGACTGGACGAACGGTTGCCATCCCTCAGCCTCGTCAGCGATCTTTTTCGGAAAGTGATGCCAGCTACTTGCAAGATCAGGAAGAATGCATTGAACCATATGCCACTGTCACTGAGCTACGAATGGGGTAGAAAATATTGCACATTTTGGCATCCCTAATCCATTGGTATAAAATAATTTATCCCCCCCAGAAAGGAAGTCCAAAGTTCCAGCTTGATGGCCCAGTTCAAATGCAAACTACAGTTTACATGACTGTCCCTTTTATACTTTTTGCTTTCTTCCCTTTTTGTGTGCTACAAAATGATTCTAAAAATAATTATTTTTAGGGGTCTAAGTCTTGGAAACTGCATTTTGTAAAAAGAGAGTTTAAGAATAAACAGAGTTGCCAAATTCTGAATATTGCAGAAAGTGGTAGTTTGTGTATTTCATAAAACACCATGAAAACCACTGATTCGGCAAACATTCAGAAGAAATATCTGACTAGTAAAAGCATTAATATGAGAAGCACTGTGAATTTTTAATTGCCTATAAAGTAGGCTCTCTATATGATCAGGAACCCTTTTGTTTTGCTGACTAGAAAGTATATCATGCAGAAAAACTAACTAAAACATCCCCTATATTTTTTAAAAAAAACATTGGGTACTTAATATAATTGTTTATGGTCAAATGCATATTATATTGGATTACCCTTTTACTGTTTCCTGTTTATAGTCCAAACTGGCAGAGTGATGGTGATGAAAGGAAAGCAGTGCAAACTTTAGAAGCATCTGGGAGTTGTGAGGATGATGACATGGATACATTCACTTCGGACACAGAAAGAGAATCAGATCCAGACCGTCAAATTATTGATAAAAAAGAAAGCATGAGTCATGAGATGATGTATGCTATGCCACATAGAATCAAACAGGTAACCTTTCGACATTTTTCTTTTAGCTGTCTGAAATTATAAGAAATTATAAAATGAAATTGCATGAAATTGTAAGACTCCCCAGTCCTTGTTCTTGTCTCTGCAACTTTTCTATAATTATGTGGTCCGTAAAGAGATTGGGGCACTTTTTTAAATAATCATTTTTATTTTATTCAAAGAATTAAAATATAAATTTCAATTTTTTTTACAAAGACAAAACAAAACTAAATATTTTTTTTAAAATTGTGCATTTAAAAAAAAAACAAAATCATATATACATATATTGTCCCCCCCCCCAAATTGGATACTGATAGATGTATTACAACAATAATAGTAGCTTCCCCCCCCACAAAACAGCCTACTATTTATAAACTTCTACACATCTGTTTGCCACCAATTGACCTGTCATATGTTGTATACAAAAAGAGACAGTTAACACGTAATCCAACAGTGAAGTTAAAAATCAAAACCCTCTGTTAATAGCCTGTTAATAGTCTGTTAACGTGCACAAAAAGATTGGGGCAATCTGAGCTGTTCCAAAACAAGAGAGCAGCCATCCAGAATGGCCATTTACGTCCCATAAGTAGTTACCCCATGTAGGAAAGGGCCTTCAGCAGCTAGCCTCTACTTACTCAGGTTTGACAAGCAATATTTGCTTGGGATAGGGAATCTCCAAGACAGACAGGAGTTATTTTTTTGATATCAAGAGATATCCTAAACTAGTAAGAGATTTTAAATACTTTAAATACTTATTTATCAATAGTACTTAGATGTATACACCGCTTCACAGTGCTTTACAGCCCTCTCTAAGCAGTATACAGAATCAGCATATTGCCCCCCGACAATCTGGGTCCTCATTTTACCGACCTCGGAAGGGTGGAAGGCTGAGTCAACCTTGAGCCGGTCAGGATCGAACTCCGGTGAGCAGTGAGTTAGCTGCAGTACTGCATTCTGACCACTGCGCCACCACAGCTCCTATTTCCTTTCATCACTAAAAACCGTAAGGAAATCGTACAGTCTGTTGTGTGGCTCAGTTTAGGCATGAGGGATGCTTTCACTGGTCATAAAAGGCTTGGGAGGCTGTAGTTTGTTTTGCCCTGTTTAATGTGTATTCAAGCACATACGTTGCACCCCCCCCCTTTATCCTATGTGTCCTTTTATGTGTTTCCGGTTCTCCTCTTTTTAATCAATGTTCTGTTTTACAATGAGATTGTCACCTGCCTAGAGCCTTTTGGAAACGTCTATTTCCACAAGTGGTGTGTGAATTTATAAGCTGTATTGCAATATTTTTTACTTAGGAAAATCTCCCAGTCTCCTCTAGTGCCAATGGTGAAGATTCTTCTGTCTGCGAGCCAAGTTGTCTCATTCAGCCAAATGTTCAGGTGGAAGGTGAGAAGTGAGCATTAGGATTAAGGAGAAGATAAAGAAACTTTTTCACCACCTGTTCCCACCATTAGTCTGGTGTGTTGGTTAGTCTAGTCCAGGGCTAGGCAACCTTGGCTCTTTTATGACTCGTGGACTTCAACTCCCAGAATTCCTGAGCCAGCATGGCTCAGCTTGGAAACCTCTCCCTTTCCCCTCAGCGTGGTTGGCTCAGGAATTCTGGGAGTTGAAGTCCACGAGTCATAAAAGAGCCAAGGTTGCCTACCCCTGGTTTAATAGTTCAAACTCAGATAATTTTTTTTCTATATGGGGGAAGACTACATAGTAAGTTGACAGTGAGAAAGAGAGAACCTGAATTGGATGAACAGGACAAAGATGACTATATATGTCTTAGATGTATTCCTTTTCATCTTTTCCCCCGAATAGAGCGGAATATATAATATATAAAAATATATAATATAATATATATGTGTGTGTGTGTGTGTGTGTGTGTGTGTGTGTGTGTGTATGCCCTCATAGCACAAACCTCCATCTTCCTAATCTTTTACACTTGCCAAGATATTTATTTAAGATAAAGATTGAAAAATTAGAAACTAAACGAGATGAAACTAGACAGATGATGAAAGATGAAGCTTGACTAGAAGTATTGAATTTCATTTGATATATTTCTCCTTTACACCTCAAAACACATTTTTATATTACAGAAATTGAATATCCTGGAGTGAGGTTTAAGGTAAGAACAGCATAAAAATTATGTTCCATGATTTCAGTTGAGGACATATTTATGTCTTCTCATTCCATATTTCTTTAAGAAGTTCGGGAAAGGTGGTGTGGCCTTTTCTCCCGTTTTTCTTCTTCCTCAGTTTCAACAGTTCCAGAAATAGGTCAAGTCTGAGACAATTACGCTCTACAGCTATGTTGAGACTGAATTACGGTAATGTCTGCAATCTTCATTTATATATATGCATATATACATACATACATACAGATATATGCATATATATTTATAAAGATTGCAGACATTAATTCAGTCTCAACATAGCTGTAGATTGTAATTGTATATAGGTGTAAATCTTGGAATTTCAAACTCACTTGCAGCATCAGGGATAGTGGTTGCCTTCCATTCTACAGGGAGGTGTTACTTATCTATGTCTCCACAGCTGTGTTTCTCAACTGTGGCAACTTGAAGTTATGTGCACTACACGCAGACTCGGGAATTCTGGAAATTGATCTTCAGAGATCTTCATCTTCAAGTTGCCAAAGCTGAAAAACACAGAATATCTTACTGTGACAGAAGATCCTGAATCCTCCCAAGCAGCTGGAGTTGGGTAAAAGGCTAAATTGTGCGCCTTCCATTTTCGTTTGTCCTTTTATGCATCCTTCGTTTTTATTTTAAGTTATTGAATCTGGAATATTTAAAAAAAACAATAATTACATTTTTGAAAGAACTTTAGAAGTTAGAACTAAAGAACATTTTAAATGTTCATTGCGTATGTTGTGGAATGGTTGCTGATATTTGGGGGGTGAAAACGAGGGGTCCTGCAAGACATTAAGTTAAATATTTTGTCCCATTTCTAGGGAGACAACTCAGGTGAAAATCCACTGAATGAAAAACCACCCTCGTCTTCAGGTACAAACTCTCTAAATTTAAGCTTCGTGTAAATAGGTCATATTGGATTCTACAGAATAAGTCAGTAATGGCGAACCTTTTAGAGACCGAGTGCCCAAACTGCAACCCAAAACCCACTTATGCATCATCTGATGCCGGGTGGGTGTGGCAAATTGAGTGGGGTGGCTGCGGTGATAATGGCAAACTAGGTGGGATTAAAAAGTTCAGTCAATCAATTCCAACTTTGCAAGATATTTTTTTTTTCCTGTGAGAAGTTGAAATTGACTGATTGAACCTTTTTTTTTTTTTGCACACGGCGGCGGAGGCCTAAAGCGAAAAGGTTTTATAAAACCCAGCTGAAGGCCTAGCACTGGGGCGACGGCGCGCGTGCCCACAAAGAGGGCTCTGAGTGCCGCCTCTGGCACCCGTGCCATAGGTTGGCCACCACTGGAATAGGTTGAATGTAGTTCTGAATCATAATTTAACCTAACAAGAACTTGGCACTCGTTTGTTTCCCCATGTCTTCCTACACAGTCATGAGGAAGAGTCCAAAAACGGTAGTTTTATTTTCGAATAATCATAACTTGCCTTTAGATATCACTGAGGCTGGAAAAATTGTAGCTCAAATTAACAGAACAGTTAGTAGAAGCAAGCCGACTTTAAGCCTGTCATTAACATAAGCTATTGTTGAGATTTGGGTATATTGCTAAATAGTGGAACCTAAAATGGAAATGGAGGGGTTTTTATTGTACTAGAGTGGTGCAGTATGTTTGATTTCATAAACAAATTGGTGCTTTGAAATGTTCCCCAGACTTTCTGAACCTCCTGCAATGATATGCATCTTTTCCTGGGATCATACTATAGCTACAGAGGGTAGCTGTGGAATCCCAGAAAAAATTAAAGCTGCTTTAAAGAGTTTCTGTGTATGCTAGAAGAATATTTCATGTTCGCTGCAGCTTTTTTTCTACATTGATTCCAAAGTGCTGTGCTCTGTATATTTTGTATCAACAATAGCCCCTGCCTGGGATATACCTGCAATCTCACTATAAAACTTTTGGGGAAGGTGAAGAAACAGTAAATTGTTTCCCACAAAATAAAAACATAAAAATCTGTTGCAGTTTGAAATTTAATTAAGATATGTCTTCTTCCTCTTGTGCCATATCTGTTATCGGACGTTGGCGATCATGTTGGCGATCCTGTTTTTATCAGCAGCCGCACAAAAAAGTGCTGCTGAGTTTTGTCCAAACCAGTCCCTTAGATTTTGAAGCCACGATGTTCTTCTTCTGCCTGGACCTCGTTTGCCTTCGATCTTTCCCTGGAGGATTAAATGGAGTATGCCGTATTTTTCTGGGTGTCGCATCACATGTCCGAAATATTCTAATTTTCGTTTTTTAATTGTTTTGATGATTTCCCTTGGCTTTCCCAGGCAGCTTATTACCTCCTCATTTCTGATCTTGTCAACCAGCTTATACATAACAGCCGCCTGTAAATCCACATTTCAAATGCTTAAGATATGTCTTATATAACTTTAATAATTATTAATAATATAAGTATCTTCAAACTATTGAAATGTAGTAAGTACTCATTTCTGTTGTGACAGAAGCCTTATCATAAATACAAAATGCCCGCTTCTAAATAAAGATTCTTAGAGTACAGCTGTTTTTCCAAAAGACTTGCATCTATTTATGTGACCAATAAATATTTTATATCATTTCTTGGGTAGATGCAGTTCTCCACCGAAAGCAGGAACAGATGGTTCTTCCCAGAGAGAAGTTCCAGAAATTGAAAGAACAACATTGGCATCTAAACAACGCAAACCAGACCTTATTTTCTGAACTTGAACAGTCAAAGCAGTTAATGAAAGAACTCCAATTAAAAATTAAGACATTGGAAAAAGAGAACAGACAGTTTAAGGAAAAGCAGAACTCACACAGTGAAGGTGCAAAGGAATCCATTTTCTTTAAATATAATGTATTGTGTTTATGAGGGAGAGAATAAAACTAGGTGGAAACTGAGGGAAGAATGGTTGGATTTTATCATTCTACGTGTACCATTATTTAATATAACTTAGAAAACATATTGGAAAAATGGTAAGTTAGAACATATTTAACTGAAACGAATTCAGATGACGAAAACAAATGGTAATTTTTTTCTGTCATACTTTAGGAAGTACCTTAAAAACCAACTGAGTTAATAACTCATGGTTTGTCCTGTGACGCTCTCCCCTTCCAAAATTTGTGTCCTAAGAAATGGATTTCTGAATCTTCTTCTTCTTGTGCCATATCCGTTATCGGACGTTGGCGATCATGTTGGCGATCCTGTTTTTATCAGCAGCCGCACGAAAAAGTGCTGCTGAGTTTTGTCCAAACCAGTCCCTTAGATTTTGAAGCCACGATGTTCTTCTCCTCCCTGGACTTCGTTTGCCCTCGATCTTTCTCTGGAGGATTAAATGGAGCATGCCGTATTTTTCTGGGTGTCACATCACATGTCTGAAATATTCTAATTTTCGTTTTTTAATTGTTTTGATGATTTCCCTTGGCTTTCCCAGGCGGCTTATCACCTCCTCATTTCTGATCTTGTCAACCAGCTTATACATAACAGCCACCTGTAAATCCACATTTCAAATGCTTCTGGTCTCTTTAGGTGGCCTTCTGTCAGAGACCAACTCTCTACTCCATAGAGCAGGATTTCTGAATGAGCAGGTTAATTGGGTTGTTTGGGAGAAGTTTCCCATGTTCTGCAGATTCTCTTTTCTTTCTTTCTTTCTTTTTTGTACCACTTGAAAGTGCTTTTATGCACTTCCTCAGATCTTGAGGCTGGCATTTGAAGAACACTGATTTAATTTGTCATTCCAGTTGCCCCCCCGCTCGGGATAGGATTCTTTGAAGCGTATCATAAAATAGCAAGGAAATTTGAGCAGGTTGCCTTGGATGGTTTCATCCTTCTCAAAATGAGAACATCACATCACTTGTCAGCTGTAACGGAACATGCTGCATCTTGATTCTCATTTGATTTAGATTTAGGCTATTTTTTTAATGTAATTTCCAAAATATCCATCCAGGCAAGTTTTTTAATATAAATTTTATTAATTTTCTAATATTACATTCACATATTTGAAAAGCAACATGGCGATTGGGTAGTAGTAATTCAATTACATGCAAATATCATTAGTAGAGATTTCAAATTGCTGCCATTAACATTTCCTCTCTTTTTCCCTTCATATATACTGTCTATTTGTAGATTTAAAACAAGTTTTATTCTATCAATCACATGAAAAATAACTTTCTTACATATATTGATAGTTTTTAGTTTATATATATTCTAGGTGTTTTAGCATACACTCTTTTAGACAATCAATGACCTAATACATTTTTCCAGTTTTAATTTCCACGAACATTTAAATTTAACGTTTAATATTTATCATTCCCAAGATTTTTAATATACCTCCAATTCCTCTATCACCATTCCTCACAAGATCTAATGTCCAAGATGCACATCTTATCTGTTTAACCTCTCACCCTCTATATCAACAGATTTATAATACAATATAACATCCTTCCTTTCTGCTAGTTTTCAATTTTTAGGGTCTTATGCAGATATATATTTTTTTTCGTTGTCTGCTACCAGATCCTTTAATTGGATATTCCTGGTATCTTCTTCATATACATTACAGGTATAACAATTCGCTTAGTGACTGTTCGAAGTTACTGCACACTGAATAAAGTGGCTTATGAACATTTTTCACACTTATGACCATTGCAGGATCCCCGTGGTCACATGATCAAAATTTGGCTACTTGGCAACTGGCATGTTTTTATGATGGTTGCAGGGTCATGTCATCCCCTTTTGCAACCTTAAGGGGGATGCCAGATTCACTTAACAACTGTGCTACTAACTTAACAACTGGAATGATTGACTTAACAACTGAGGCAGGGAAGGTCATAAAATAATTTATTCCTGACCAAATGCCCAGGAATCCCCCTATTTATGTTTAGCAGCAAACTAGGCGTATTTAACTGCCTTATATAATTGGTGAGCTGCATTATGTTTGGGGATTCCTAGTTGTACAGGTGAATTTTAAATATTTTTTAATAATGGAACCGCCCTATCTTTAAAGAAGTTCTATTTATTATAGGGCATTCAGTTTCAAGTCAGATTTTGGAGACGTTTTAGTAATACGCACATCCTTATAAAATTTAATCTGCTTTTTCTTTCTGTATCAATTCAGAGGAAGGTGCAGAATTGGTTTTGCTAAGGCAACAAGCCCAGGAACTAGTAGATGAAAACGACAGTTTGAAAATGACCGTTCACCGTTTAAATGCAGAACTGAGTCGCTATCAAACAAAGTATAGACCAATTTCACCCAGTGAGGTACTGTTTTCTTTCAAGATAATATGGTATCGTTAGCATTTAAGCCCTCGTTGGTTATAGTTAAAAAAGAAAAAAAAAACATTGGCCTCTCTTTAGCAAGAGGTATGTGCTTCATTGCACTATTGGACTTTGGTTCTCAGACACCTTCCTTCCGATGTACCTTAATACATAGGTACAGAAGATCTTGGGTACTAATTGGGCTTATATTTTTCCTATCTTAGAGTGTAAAGATTGGAAGTCTGCCAATGAAAAAACCAATACCCCCGTGGCTGGTAAGCAGCAAGTTAACACGTTTCATTTTATAGCACCTCGTCTGTTCGCTATTGACCGTTTCCAAATGATAGATAATGAATTACCTTATTGTCATCTTAAAAAAACAACATCTTAAAATATCGTTATCTGGTTATTCAACCTTCGCTAAATAAAACTGCTTAAAGCATCGAGCTACGTTTTAGTGCATTGAAATTTCCTTCTTTATTCTCTTCAGCTTGACATGAAATATTTATCCCCGCTTCTGTTGGCATATGAAGACAGAATGAAAGAAAAAGAAGAGCTGATTCTAGAGCATGAGGCAAGTGAACAGATGTGTATTTTTAAAGTCTGTGCAAGGCAGTTTGACCGGGAAAATATTGGCATAATACAGGGGTCTTCAAACTTGGCCCTTTCATGACTTGTGGACTTCAACTTTTCCTTCAGGAAAGCATGAAGATGTTTAAAGCACAAGTGGAAGAAGTAGTGAAGGAAAATGAACAGTTACACCACAAATTAAGTAAAAATACTGGTACTTTTATTAGTACTAAAGAATGGTAAGTGTACTATTATTTGAACCTATTAGATAGTTTATGTATTGTAATTTGCTTATAAAACCTGCGCAGTGACTTTTAGTTACATTAAATCCTGTAAAAATTCAACAGTGTTTAAAGAAGCAGAAATAATATGATCAGTATACATTGTATTGTATTAAACTTACTTTTAAGCTTAAAATAACTTGCTATTAGGTTATTATTAAGTGGCTATATTTTCTTAGTGAAAACCATAACGTATTTGATAGCAGAACAGAAGCAACACACGCAAAGAATGCTTTTTTAAAGAGAAATATCAGACTTTGCCTAGAAAAAAAATGTAATTGTTTGGAATATAGCAGCTATACAGAGATTTCTCCCATAGAACACATATATTCTAAATGCATGTTGCTTTATTTTATCATTACTAGTTATTATTTTGGACTCTTTGAAGAATGGTTTTGGGGCTATTTCAAATTTCAGATCAATGCTCATTTACAGGCAGCATTTGCAAAGTCAAGCTAAGCTTGTCCTAGAGGAAAATAGAGTATTAATGGAGCAACTTAAAATACAAGAAACCAAAATAAACGATACCATCAACCAACATGTTACCGAAGGTGAAATAATTTTTTTTTTACTACACACAACAAATGTGAATAGAGAGAGATCGATTTTATCAACTTTTGTAAGCCTGTTTAGAATTACAGGTGTTGATAATCTGTGACGACTTATCAATTCAGCCATGAAACCTTTCCAGATTTATTTTTGGTTTGTAACACTTAATAAAACTTTGTAGTAGTTGATTATTTAATCTTAACATGGTGCACGTTCACGTTTCACCATGGTAAAATAAAACATGGCTATCCACCAGCCTGTGTAAATCTAAAATAAGTAACATTGCATCGAGCATACATTTGTGTTCATTTGCAAGCCACTGTCATTAGCAATATGAAAGGGGCAGAATAAAAGTTCGAAGTTAGAGACAGTGTTTCTGTTGCTAAGCGAGACAGTGAATTTTGCCCCGTTTTATGACTTGTCTTACCATGCTTGTTAAGTGAAGCCCTGCAATTGTTAAGTTAGTGACATGATTGTTAAGTGAATGTGGCTTCTCCTTTGACTTTGCTTGTCAGAAGGAAACAAAAGGTGTTCGCATGATCTCGGGACGCTGCAACCATCATAAAAACATGTGACCACAGGGAGGCTACAATGGTCATAAACATTGAAAAAATGTTTACAAGTCACTTTTTCCATTGCCGTTGTAATTTTGAATGGTCACTAAATGAACTGTTGCACGTCAAGGACTGCCTGTACTGTAGTTGCTAGTCCTGTTGTTGTTAGTTGCGAAGTCGTGTCCGACCCATTGTGACCCCATGGACAATGTTCCTCCAGGCCTTTCTGTCTTCTAACATCTTCTGGAGTCCATTTAAGCTCACACCTACTGCTTCGGTGACTCCATCCAGCCACCTCCTTCTCTGTCGTCCCCTTCTTCTATTGCCCTTGATCTTTCCCAGCATTAGGCTCTTCTCCAGTGAGTCCTTCCTTCTCCTTAGGTGGCCAAAGTACTTGAGTTTCAACTTCAGGATCTGGCTTTCTAAAGAGCAGTCGGGGTTGATCTCCTCTAGGACTGACCGGTTGGATCGCCTTGCAGTCCAGGGGACTCGCAGGAGTCTTCTCTAGCACCATAGTTCAAAGGCCTCAATTCTTTGGCGCTCAGCCTTTCTTATGGTCCAACTTTCACAGCCATACATTGGGAAAACCATGGCCTTGACTATACACAGTTTTGTTGGCAGGGTGATGTCTCTGCTTTTTAGTATGCTGTCTAGATTTGCCATCCTGAATAGGGTTTTAATGTGATTTATACTTGACAGCAGCTTAACAGGCTGCCTGACATGGTTCCGAAAGAAAGCAGATTTTCAAAGAATTTTGAGGCTTTTTCCTCTAAAAGAATCTTTTATTATTCTGCATAGCTTCGGCACTAACAAAGTTAAGCCAGAAACTGAATCCTCCCTCCCCCAAGCATCTGTAACAAAGCATAACTCACTCCTTCATTTTACAGTCATCAATCACATTCTCCAATTAATGTGAACCGTGAGGTGCCCCTCCCGTTGCAGCTGAGCTGACCTTGGCCACACTGTGCCCAGACATTGTTATGGTTAACTTGCATACTTTCCCACCCCTTAACCTACTGCTATCTGTCTTAACTCTAGAAATGCTACTCGGCTAAATAAAACAGGTTTGCTTCTTCATATATGGCAAGCAAGAACATACGATGTTAGCAGTCTTGACACTGCCACTGACATTCCAGACTTGTGAAAAGAAAGCTTTGTAGCTAATAGTAATACTGCAAATTAACGTGTGTGAGGATCACTAGTCTGGAATCAAAAAGTAACCTCCTATGAACAAAAATTGTGATCTGATTTTCCCTCAGAATAACTTGTGTTTTTTTTTTCCTCCAAATGTTGGGCAATTTATAATTTTGGTCTAGTTTCCAAATTGACCAAACAGCTCATTCTTTTGGAAACTGAGAAACAAAACCAAGAAGTAGAGATGAAAGATTGTCAGAAAAAGCTGAGAGAATTACGCTCCGCATACAAAGAATTAAAGGCCAACGTTAGTGATTACATAACAGCAGAGGAGCACATTGCATTGGAAAATAAATTTAAAAAGTAAGTGTTCTGATTATAAAAGTCCCATTCCTGTCAGTGGCTTTCCTGTACTTTTTACAATATTTTGGCATTTTTATGTATATGTATTTCACTTTCAGCTTTAGACTTCACGAAGTGGGTGCTTACTGTATGCCAAGTGTTTTAATTAAGTGCCTTTATTGTAGCTGCAGCTTTTAACATTTGCAGCAATTGCCATGTCATCAGAAATATGTATTTTTGTTTTCACGACTGGCTCAACTGCAGTTGATCTGTTCATTTCTACAAGGCATGAAAATGGACACTTTTGTTTGCTGCCTGGTTTTCATTATTGTTTCTATAGCCAATTGCAGATGGAACAGGAAAAGAGAGAGATGGAGATCCAGGAACTAATGAAAAAACTAGCCTCTGTGCAAGCAGAAACAAAGAGCCTTCTTCTAGAGAAAAATGACCTGCTGGCAGAAAACAAGACTTTAGAAGCTGAACTGGAAATGGCACGGAAGACTAAAAGGTTTAGTTGTGCTTTTGTCTTCTCTTTGCAGCCTCTCAAAACGACAGTTTTTAGCAACTGAGCCGGCAGGTAGCCCGCTTCTTTTCAAATACTGGAAGCTTTTTGAGACTGAATTTAAACTAACAATAATCAAAATTAAGCTGATACTTGTTTTAAATTAGGTTCACCTCTGTAGTCATCATAGCTGAGAAGAGTTGCTTTAAAATGTTGTCATCCTTCTCTTTAATCGTCCCCTTGGTCTACTACATTTTTTTCCCCTTATGCAGGCAGTCCTTGACTTACAACAGTTCCTTTAGGGACCGTTCAAATTTGCAACGTCTCTGAAAAAAGTGTCACGGTTGTTTTTCACACTGACAACCATTGCAGCCTCCCTAGGGTCACAGAATCAAAATTCAGATGCTCGGCCATTGACTCACGTTTATGACGGGCGCAGTGTCCCGGGGTCATGCAAAGTCAGGGGGAAACCAAATTCACTTATTATTAACTTAACAGCTGTGGTGATTCGCTTAACTGTAGCAAGAAAGATCGTATAATGGGGCAAAACTCACTTAACTGTCTTGCTTAGCAACAGAAAGTTTGGGGTCAATTGTGATGATAAGCTGAAGACTTACCTGTCGTAGGTCTGGCACTTTCCTTGCAGTCTTTTCCCAAAGCCATTAAAAGTATCCTGTTTCAGTGGCCATTGGATGACTGATTATTTTTTTTTTATTGTTTGGCTGAGGTATTAAACCAAGTTTAACTTCCTGCAAGTCTTTGTGAGTCTTGAATCCCAATACTGAATTGAAATAAAATATAATTGCTCCCTAAGAGATTTTTTCTGCCTTTTATCAAAACCACACAGGCGGTCGCAGAAGAAAGTAGATCTTCTGAAGCAGCACTTGGAAGAAACAATGGAAAAGGAAATGGCTGCCCACCAGTATCTAGTTAACATGATCAGCTTGGCAGAAAACGTAACTCAAGAACGCGATCAGCTTTTAAACCTGGTAATCAAATGAATCAAAGATGTTGTTCTTAGTTGCGAAGTCGTGTCCGACAACGTTCCTCCAGGCCTTCCTGTCCTCTACCAGCTTCTGGAGTCCATTTAAGCTCACGCCTCCTGCTTCAGTGACTCCATCTAGCCACCTCATTCTCTGTCGTCCCCTTCTTCTCTTGCCCTCGATCTTTCCCAGCATCAGGCTCTTCTCCAGTGAGTCCTTCCTTCTCATTAGGTGGCCAAAGTACTTGAGTTTCCACTTCAGGATCTGGCCTTCTAAAGAGCAGTCAGGGTTGATCTCCTCTAGGACTGACCGGTTTGATCGCCTTGCACTCCAGGGGATACGTTTAATTTATTGAAGGAGCAAAAGCATGGGTGACTTTGGGCCAGTCGCTCTATCTTGGCCCAACTCACCTCCCACAGTTGTTGCGGGAAAAATAGGAAGAGAAAAATTTGTATTCACCACCCTGAGTTATTTGTAAAAAGAATAAAGGCAGGATAGAAATAAAGAAATATATTGTCTAAAAGGATCGCAAGTAGCTGGTTTTAGGAAGGACCTCTGAGGATAAAATCCTAGGCAGCCTTTGTCAGCTAGATAACACTGGGTAGATGGTTGTGATTTAAAGTAGATTCTCATCCAATCTCTGAACTACTTGGGAATTTCAAATTTAGTAAGAATAAACTTTATCCCCAAAGAGGAAAATCTTTTTTGAGAACTGACAAACTGCTTTTATGATTTCCCTAGGCCAGTTGTTTGGAGAAAGAGAAGCACAGCGTTCTCAACAAGATAATAGAAGGAAATGTACGTCTAGGAAAATTAGAAGAGAAAGTAAAGGTAAGCTCATCCTTTTAAATATTTGTGAGATATAGTGTGGTATCTGTTACTTAATTTTTGGAGCGGAATCAAAAATGTAAGCTTTTAGGAAAACATGGAAGTAGAACAGATTAGAACATGATGCTCAGGACAAAACAGGCTATTTTGTGGCCAGATCGTCCTTGGATCCTCTCAAACTGTTTTTTCAGTTCAGAGTTACTTCTGGAAATTGCTAAATCTCCCCTGGAATGGTGTAGTGCGGACGTGGGCTCAGCATGACCTGGAATAGAATGAATTTTACACATCTGTAGCCATAACAAACATCTCACCGTTCACTCTATTTCATAAGATTGCGTTGAATTGGAAATTGATACCGCTGGTGTTTTAACTGTATTTAGAAAGACATATATTCCCAGTTTATCAAGACATGGCTACTTACTAACTAATCATGTGAAACAGTGCCAAACTTTACTATTGTCATTAGTTGAACAAGACGAAGTTGAGCATCTGAGTTCTGAATGATGCTTCAGCTGCTTTGACAGAGCTGCCCTTTTTCCAATGCAGAAGTAAACACATCATTGGCTTTCAGTTAATATAGTAATGTTTATCTATTTTTCAGCTAATTATCATGGTAGTTTTAAACAGACACCAATGCAGGTTTTGTACTGTTGTTTTCCTTTTATAGATCCTGCAACCAAGAAAATTATTTCTGAAATCCATTTAATGTCTTGAACCTGAAAACCAGAGATCTGTTTAGTTCAGCACTGCAACAGTGGTCAGTCAGATGCTTTTAGGGAATCGCAAGCAGGATATGGACTTCTTACTTTCCAGCAAACATACCTACCAAATTATTTGAAATATTTCCTAATGCAATTGTTAACTTGTTCCTTCCTTCAGGAAATCTGACCTGCTTGACCTAAAACTTTTGGGGGGTTTTTAATTTCGTTTTGCTACAAAAAGTATTCTTATCCCAGTCAGTTTTGAGAAATCTTAACTGTACTTAACATTAACATCTTTATATTTGCCATGAGGACACATTTGGAGCAAGTGTTTCAGTTTCTTGCATACCAAAAAAAATAATAATAATCATACTGGTTAATCGGTTAATAATGTTTGCAAGTGCTATTTCCAGCTTACACATTTTTACGTAATGAGAGCAAAAAGTTTCCCAGTGGATGTGTGCTTGCAAAGGCATGTCATTTAAATTTTTCTGCAATAGTTATTGTAGTGATAAACTTCATAACCTTTTATCATCACGTTACATAAAGCTGGGTAGTTTTGCCCTTTCAGTTTCAGACGTTTGTTGTTTCTCTTGTCTTAAAATAAATATTTGATTAAAAGTGACAACACAAGTTAAATTATTTTCCTTTTTTTTTCTTCTGGAAGTCCCTCAAGACTTCCAGAAGTCTGGCTTGGGGGGGGGGGGCTGGTCTCAGAGGACCAGTGAGTTCTTGAAGAGACTCTGTTGCTGATTGAATCTCTTGTGTGTGCTTTTTTTAAAAGTCTGTTTAACAAGTGCTGAAATGTGTGCTTGGAACAGCTGTTATTGTCAGGTAAGAATAGGTGACACCAGATTATTTGAATCAGATTGCAAAAGGTTGCTACTGGCTTTACAGGATTTTAAACAAGACAATAATGTCATGAATCCTGACCTGATTTTCAGAAGTAATTCTCACTTGTAAAGCAGTAGGGTTCAAAACTCAGTATGTTCTAGCCAACCATGTTGGTGCATGCTTCTTTTTAAGCCGATAGAATTGTCTCTTGCAGAATAAGACAAATGCACACAATAAAACAGAACTACCCTACTTTTTAGCATATCAGCTTCATAACCATATACAATGTAAGGATACATAGCCATATACCTAAAACTGCTCATTTTAATTTAGCAACACTATGCATCGATATACAAGTGATATCTAAACTTTATCAGAGAAGTCCATGTTGCCAGAAATAGTCTAGATTATTTTTCAGACTGTAGCACATATCCAGCTATATTTTTTATTCAGCATTGGCTAAAGTGCCATCCAATTTGACAGAGCATGAAGAATTTAAAAACTGCAGTCCTTGATCTCTTCTGCCTCCTTTGCCGAGCAAGAGATAAATCCATAGCTACTTTCTTCAACAAAGCCATGAATCAAATTAAGCATGGCCCTAGTTTAACAAAGCAATTTTTCTCTTTTATCCCTCACTGATGTAACAGTCTGGAGAGTAAGGAAAATAACTTCAGACGACTTTCTCGGAAGGAGGCATTTTTCTCACTAGCTTCTCACTGGTCCATCTTGTGAATGAGTCAGAGGCAACCTTCAAAATATATTAAAAGGCTGCATTCAGAGACATCAGATGAAGAGCTGCTTGTAGTCAGCCAACACTAAGACAATATTGCATTTTCAAGATTCCAAACTTCTCCCACATAAAGATTTTATCTTTCTAGACCATCTTTATTCATTTTTGGTCAATACTGCGGTCAGAAGAATGGAATGTTAAAAATATCAGTTCACAGACGGATGTCCTTCTTTCTTACTTATAGTCACATAAAAAAAAACACAATAGCGTAGTCTTTTCGCTGTCTAAATATCCTCTGGTGTTCTGGCATCAATTTCTAGAAGAATAGTCGCACATTCCCTGGCAGAGGCACTGACAAAAACCGTACACAAGACACACAGTCAGACTGGATGGCACAAGACTGACACAGACAATTCCCAAGGTCACTTTCTGAATCACTAATAAATAGATTCCGAGGGGCAAAGAACCGAAGTAAAAAAAACCAAGTAGCCACACTAGTATTCTGGGAATATGATTGCAGAGCTTGGAGAAAACATCTTGGTCCAGCTGGTTGGTGGAGCTGACAGATTCTGAGTCAAGGCTGTGATCTGTATAATAATCTGAGAGGGTGTTTTGGCTCGGCGTCCAGGTGGAATCCCTCTGTACTTCCATGATGGTTATCACCAGGCAGTTGGATGACCCGTGTGAAGGACTTGGTGAACCTAAGTTCTTTGGTGTCAGGAGAACTTCCTTGCACTCTGAATTCCACGTTGACTTGTCTTTGGTTACCAGTCTGGACAAGATATTTAAATCATCAGGGAGTCCTTCTACTTCTTCTTCCTGTAGCTCTGTTTCATGCCGACAGAATGGGCAGCTAATACGAAGACAGCCGCTTCCTACCTGAAGGATTTTAGTTAGGCATTTTGCACACACTCTGTGGAGGCAGTCCAGGAGTTTGGGCTTGCGACTCTGGACGTTGAATTTCTGGTAACAGATTTTACACTCCAGCTCGTCCCTCTGCACTTTTTCTTCCTCCTCAGTTTGCAGATAATTCATCTTCCCGTTAGGCACACTGTCAAAAGAGAACAGCAATAAGTTTTCCTACTATTGTTTATCATGCCTTGTTCACAAGGGTGTGTATTTCTGTGTCTGCATGTTTTTTTTTTTAGTGGAAAAAGGGATAAGGTAAAATTGATTAAACCAATTCACATTTCTCATTAGGAACGTGTTATATTTAATTTCATATAACTTTATAAAGTTAATTTTTTTTTACCTCATGCATCTTATAATCTCCTGGAAGTTATTTTTCCAACAACGGCGTATGGAACGTATTCAACCTTTTCTTGAATATTTGAGCAATATTTACAACTTTTTGCTCAGATTGTCTTCGGGTGTCATTTTCTTCAAAGCACAATTGTAATTGATTAACTCGGAAGTCGATGAAAAACTAGTCTTCCTGTTGTTTCCTAAGCCAAAATATTTAGGCACGTGGAAAACCACGATTTTGGTCCTTTCACAGTTGTATTATTTACTCTGCTGTAATGGCAGTAGTTTTCCAGGCTTTCAAATAGGACTGGAAAAAACCTCTAGCTGGAAATGGGAATTGAAGAGTAGCTTCAATTCTGGAAATTGAAGTACACACAACTTAAAGTTTTCAAGGTTGAGAAACACTGAACTAGGGTAATAACCTGTGTAATCCCCAAAAGTGATTACTCCACTGTGGGAGTTCCTCAGATATATCCTTACATGACACTGAGAAGTTAGAGAAAGAGATGAGCCCAATATGAGCTGATGAACCTGATGGGTGGCAAACATTTGACCTTCCATTTTATCTTCTATCTCAGAAACATTCATTGGAGCATTACATTCTGTTCTACCCTCCTTTCACGATTGTTTGGGTGACCTCGTATAGTATCTGTACTAGATTAAGGTTGAAGTCCTGCATGCATTTAAAATAATGCTAACAGAATAAGTTATTTTTACCCAAACAAGCATTTTTTACTGGATTAATATCCAGTAAAAGAAAAAAGAAAAGAAAAGAAGCTCCTCATTTATCTCATTAACTGCTAAAAGGTCCCCATAGCATTCAGGAAGTCCACTTGAGCAGTGAAACTATATGCCTCAAGCTATTCCTGGATCAACTGTTTTTCTGCCTTAAGAGCCTTCAGAATGGAATCAAGTGTGATCCACACTCCAGTCTGACTGAAGTTTCATAGAATCTAGCTTTTTATCCAGATTAGATTAAACAACAAAAGTAAAACAATGTATATCATAACCAGCTACAATACATAAATAAATAAATAGAAAAGCTCCTAAGGATGCATCTATGGGCTGACTTAAAGTAGATGGGCCAGTATGATCTAACCACATTTACAACTGCTTTACTGTCATCACTTCTGAACATGGAAGATGTCCTGGATCAAACTATTCCATCTGGTCCTGGTCTTGGCTATCTTGTCTTTTGCATGGGAATGTTAGTCAAAGAGTGTCTTGGAGTAAATATATATCAAGCTGTGAGCAATGTCCCCACGAAATTCAAACATGCCCCCCAAAGCCCAAATGACAACTACCGTCACATTCTTTAACAAGCAAGATCTTAATATTCTGAGTGCTAGATTCCTAGGATAGTTTCAAACGGGCAACCCATCCAAATGCTATTGTAATCTGCTTCAGTACTAATGTATCAATTCGTTTATGAAATTTTACAGGCTACGTTATTCAACGTTAACTTCATTTTTGTTTTATTCATGAAAAATCACTGCAAAATGCTGACTCTCCAACTGTAAGATCTGAAACAGGAATTTAGCCTTCACCATCAGAGTAGTTGTTAACCAGTCAGTCTGCATTTGTTGGCAGGAAAATACTCGTTATAAGAAATGTATCTTTCCTTTCAGACTCTCTCATAGTGATGTTTGTCTAATTAAGCATTCTATAATTTTGATTACTCAGAGATAAAATCCAGTCTAAAGCCATCTTTGTCCCAAAACAGCTTTAAAAGCTCCATTCGCTTTTCTAAAAAAAGGCATATTAAGTGTGGGAGAGAAGAAAAAAGAGTTACATTCCAGTATTCTAGAGAGAAAACAAATAAATAGCCATTACAGTAACAGAAGCATCAATTGCAATGCAAAGTTAAGGTTCTTTCTTTTTTTTTTTCCTTCTTGTGCAAAAATTAAAGGACAAATCACCCATAATGTAGGGTCGCATCTCTTTATCATTACCTGGACATTGATCATTAAAACTTGACTGTTGACCTTGTAGAGAAGCAGGCGTGTTTAGAGTCTAGCTGTTCATCGCGTCTAGTCCAGCCAATATTTGGCTTTGAAGCTATTTAGAACTGCCTTTCTAGGAGAAAAACCTAGGATGAAATCACTTAGTCTGCCCAGGCAGTGACATCTTTGTCGTCTTCTTTAGCAAACTGCATGTAGTAAAAATGCTCGGAGATGGAACGACCTGAGCATCTTCCTTCGATTGCATCCTGTGACTCAGGACGAAGCAGCAGCCGTGAGAAAGAACCATCTCCCCCCGTTATGATCCAGCTATGCCCCTTTTAACTGGATTCTGCTCCAACTCTCACAGGTGTATAAAAAGACCGCTGCAGGCAAGCTTGGGGATATCAGCCTCAAAGCGACAGAGCGAGAGAAGGAATTTGCAGGGAAGACTGCTCAGTACCAGCGGGAAATGAAACATCTCCAGCGGCTGCTACAAGAGAAGCAGGAATCCCTGGATGAAGCTCTGCAGCAGAAGAGGTAAGTTAATCCAAGACTCCTTCCACAAACAAATTGCATCCAACTGGTTAAAAGGGGCTGAGGAGGGGGGGCGAGAGAGAGAGAATGCAGAACTTGCTGTAAGAGCCCCATCTGGTGTACTCTGTCTGCATTCGCTCTTCTTCTCTCTGCTGGATTAAAAATACCACTCTCCTCCTCTCCCCATTCTCCTTCCCCCTCCTTGCCTCCATCCACAGCCTAGAAAACCTTGAAAGAAGTAATTGATTGCAAGGGCCTGGCAGCCAAGCCTTAAAAATCCTGCCGTCTGCTTGTCATGTCTTCTTGAAGAGGCGCACGATGGACAGGAGCGATTAACTTTTGAACTCAGTTTTCAGTCCTTCTCTCCAGAGTGAATCAGTGGTCATATAACTGGCTGATTTTAGAGGGGTCCCCCCCCCATCAAGGAATGATCAGTCTCAGATGGTCAGTTCTCTTATAAACCAACCAGAGAAGTTGCTTAACAGGGCTTAGCAAAATATTTCCTGAGTGGGGAGGATTCTCATAGCGAGACAGGTAACAAACCAAGAGTTTGGCAGCTCTTGGCTGAAGGAGTGTTAGGCTAATTCCTAAGGTGTGACGCTAACCCCCACCTCACCCCGCACCGTGGGTAGAGAGGAAGGTGTCAGAGAACGTTTTGATGACTGATTATTTTTAAGCAACACAGGAGATAGCTAATTAAGCAGTTTTCTTTGCAGATCCTCTCTACCATTGTTAGATAAAATAATGGAAGTCACGGTTCAAGCTGTGTGCCATCTGTGTCTGTAGTAACTACTGGCCTATTATAGGATGAATTGCATGATGAGACCACTGCTGACTTCTTTACAAAAGGTGCACCCAATCTATGAAACCACCTGTGCCACAATGAATGATGTATCACCTCGTTTGGTAGGTGCCTTATAGTGGGGTGGGAAGAGGTGCACCAGATGTGTTCAGTGCCCCCAATGCGCAGGAAATACAAAATGCCAGCCTCTTACAAGATCCTTACAAAACCATCTTCTCCATCTTTTCTCCCTGGTAAAACAGATTCTGTAAATGGTCTGGTGGCCATCTAAGAATGGTGATTCTTTTTAAATTAAATAAAAAGTAACATACCAAAAAGTTTAAACAGGAGATCTTTCCTCTGGAATGGGACTGGTCTTGTGTCCACTCAGCCAACTTCAACGTCACCTAAATCTTAAGAGTCTCTTCTGCATGTTAAGGCTCCTTTTGACTTAGAAATCAGCCTAAGAGCCATTCAGCCTTCCAATACCCTCTAAGACAAAACCAGATGCTAGGTGTTTATAATCCCTTCAGAGGGTTGGGTTGTTGGTTTTGTTGTTGTTGTTTTTTGGATAATAGTAACAAATGTCAACGTGATGGTGAGCAAGGTTTTCTTTAGGATGCAGTTGGAGTAAGAATTCAGCGAAGAAGATGGACCTACAGTATGTCAGCTGTTGGGCTCCAGAAAATTTAGATTTTTCTTAATACAATACCATTTTATAGTTCAAGCCTGCTCTTTCTGTAAACCGTAGAAGATTAGGTCAAGCTGCATTTGATCCATACCTTAGTTATGTTTGGACTGTAATAGTCTCAGGTGTCCTGCAAGTATTTATCCTATTTTTTTTTTTTCAAAAAGGGCAGGAATGCATGGGGGTGCATTTCTGGTGCTTGTTTTTCTGTCTTCTTCTGACTTTATTACTCCAGTCAGTTTATACTACCTTCTGCTTCTTCAATTCAGTTCAAGATCTGATAGATCACCTCCAGTGTGAATATGCCCAGGAACCATATTCCTTTTTAAAGGTCCTTTTTTCACGTATCATTGCCAAGATGTCTTTAGCAGAGTTACCCAAGATGGGGCACCGCAGTTAAGGAATTCACTCGTTCTAAGAGCAACATTTTTAAGTGTTTTCCACTGCAGAGCATGAAGTGTGTCCAAAGAAGATGCCATCCAGTGCTGCAGTCTATATATAATTTTAAATGTTTTAAATGCCTAATTTTAGGCCAGTTTTATTGAACAGCTTGAGTGCATGAGACAGAAGAATAATTAGCATTACCTTTATTAGCATTACCTTTATTAGCTGTGCAGCCAAAAACACTACAAGAATAAGGTACATATAAGCATTAAAATCAAAAGAGGTACTGCCTCTAAGCCTATAACCTAAAAAACGCATCATAAAAAGTGAAAAAAAAAGATTATTGAAAGAAAAGGAGAAGACAAAATCCAGATACCGATTTTTAAAGTTAAACAGTATTAAATAATGACCAGCTGGAGAGCTGAAGGGCAGGGCTGATGGAATAGCCAACTTCTCATCTTCTCTCCCTCTGATGCAACCTGGTAAAATGGATTATAATGAATTAATCATTCTGTAAACCAGTGGTTCTCGACCCTTTTAATGCCGCGACCCCCAACCGGTCGTAAGTCGAGGACTACTCAACTGGTCGTAAGTCGAGGACTACTCAACTGGTGCAGCACCATTTGCAGAATGGGACTTTTGGCGGGCTCAGCAGGGCAGAGACAGCCTGGACAATTCCTATTGGCTTTTGAAAGCCAGTAGAATTAGACTCTATTCAAGAGAGTCTATTCTATTGGCTTTCAAAAGCCAATAGAAGAAAAGGGAGGAGCACAGCTAAGGAAAAGGGGGAAAAAATAGCGGACTGCGTTGTTTGGCGACCCCCGTGAAATGGTTGTTCGACCCCAAATGGGGTGCCGACCCACAGGTTGAGAACCACTGCTGTAAATTATGTTGACTTTTTTTTTTTTTTTAAAGTGATATACCAAAAAGATTGTATGTCAACATGGTCAAAAGACTTTACTGAAGCCAGATTCCTTCAGTGTTGGATTAATTTCTGCTTGCAGTTCTTCTGAAATATGAAATTGCTTTAAGTAGGAAATGTTTTCTTTTATGCTACAGCCTATCAAGCAACAAAAATATATTTCTCGAATCTCAGGTCAGCTATGTGACTTTTGATCTATGAAAACCTTCCACCACCATTACCCTTGTTCTAAGAATAACAAAAACAAGGAATTATTGATTAGTAGTACGGTTGTTCTTAAGCATCTGTAGCTTGGCAACGAGAATCAGGAGTGGTGGCCTAATTTATAATGCTGTTGTTGATTTGTTCCCACCAGCGTGCTTAAGGACAACATTTGTTGTCTGGGAAATTGTTCCCAGTAGATAGAAATTTCAGCAACACATTAAAGCTAATGTCAGGGAACAAACACACAGCCTTAATCTGCTACCTTTTTTCAGGTTTGTATGTGTAGAATACGTAACTGTATGTCTAAAGAAGGAAGGATGTGTGCGTGTTTGTGTAACTCTCTTAAAACCATTAAGTATTATAGAAGTGAACATTCAACAGAACAAGCAATAAAGTTGATTGTACCATTTTAAAGGTGCATCTCCAGCTTTGCAAGAAGGTTTTTGAGTGGCTTCCTTGGGTTCATATCGTTATGCTCTTTGGAGAAAATTAGTTGTTGATGTTACATGGAGAAAAAGATGGAATTGAATTTGTAAATTAGGACATCAATACGGACAAAGTCTTTTGACAATTGTGCTTGAGAATGTTTCCTTGAAGTATGGAAGCTACCTATTTACTGCTTATTACCGATGAAGGCTTATAATATGTAGCAAATATTTGAAAGAGCAGCATGGCTGGCTGGAGGAATTCTGGGAGTTGAAGTCCACAAGTCTTAAAGTTGTTAAGGTTGGGGACCCCTGTTCTGTGACGTCTTTTTTTAATCCTTGACTTACGTCCATTCACTTAGTGACTGAAGTTATAACAGCACTTTAAAAAGAGACTTATGACCGGTTTTAATACTCATTGACAATTGCAGCATCCCAGGGTTACGTGATCAACACCCGGACACTTGGCAACTGACATGTATTTATGACCGTTGCACTGTCCCAGGATCACCATTTGTAACCTTCCCAATCAGTTCCAACAAGTAAAGTCAATGGGGGAAGCCAGATTCACCTCGTGATTCCCTTAACAAGTGCTGTGATTCATTTAACAGTGGTGGCAAAAAGGACTGTAAATTAGGGCAAAACTCACTTAACAATTGTCTTAGCTTAGCAATGGAAATTTGGGGCTTCAGCAAGGATTCTCTTGTATTCCTAAAAAAAAAGGGGGGGGGGAATGATTGCATCAATGAATTTTGATAATCACATTTAACAATGAGAATGTTAACAGTAAAAATTCCTACTGTCTTTGAGATAATATAGCTCATCTTCTCCCAAATTGGTCTCCAGATTTGTTGAGCTGCAAATCCCATAATTCAATGCATTTGGGGATCACGTTGGAAACCGGGTGTAGCTCAAGACAGGTGCTACATCTACAAAATGGGTCATAAAAAAAAAACGAACTGTACAGAGAATCCTTAACTCTTGCTCATGCATTGATCCATGATGTTATTAATAAGAGAAAGGAAAGTTAAGGTAATTCTTTGTGATGTTTTCTCAGCCGCAGATAAGAGGTGAAGATAGGAGAACATTTTATTGAACATTAGCTTAGAGATCCCTAATCATTCTTGTTCAGAGCACACGGTGTTCCTTCGCCATTGGGCAAGATACTAAAATTAATGTAATTGTTCTAACTGTACTGATGGATCGTTCACCTCCAAGGTGCTGCTTAAACATGGAGGGAGAGGAGCAGGCAAACCTAGTCCATCTTTTTTCTCTTTCTTTGTTCTCAGAGAAATGGAAAACGAACTTGAAATAATTTGGGAATCGACCGCCAAAGAAAACAGGAGGATGAAGGAATTCTTGCATAAATCTCTGGAGAAGAACGCACAGAATTCGGTCAACGCTGCTCATGAATCCCAGCTAACTGACATTTCTCAGAAAGTCCTGCTGGGTAAATACGGTTTTAGCTACTGTGATGTGGAGGTGTCCTCACCCCCTCGAGCGCCGAATGAAGAAGAACCTTAATATTAAGGGAGTGGATGTCGCTGCTTCCTCCAAGGCAAAACAGAAGTGAAAGAAGCAAACATAAAGAGCAAACTGGAACCTAGTCAGAAGCCAAGTATGATTTACCAGTTGGATTGAGAGATCGCCACGGCTGTGATTTGCATTGTACGTTAAGAAATGTTGTCTCAAGACCTTTCTAAGCCCTGAGAAGCATCTTTCATTCTGAAAGGCATGTTTCTTGCCTTTACAATTACAATTATGCACTGAATCTACAGTGGTACCCTGGTACTCATCATTAATTGGTATCGGGAAGGGTGATGGGTACAAAAATTATTCCTTATTCCCATAATGAATAATTTATTGAGTCATAAGCGGCCGACACCGACAATTTCTAGCTGGTGTGTTGAGTATCAAACAAATGATGAGTACCGGGACAAACTCCATGTCAAAATGCGCTGAGTACCAAATTCAAAGCAGTTGAGTACCAAGGTACCACTGTATAGATTCAGTGCATCTGAAAGGGAGAGGTCTCTGAATAAAGATTGATTGATAGGCAGGGTGGCTACTGTTTCAGCATCAGCTCTGCCTCTCTTAGGGTTTCCGGATGGCTGTTTTCCCTATCGGCAATTCTGAGAACAGCTTCCTAGAAAAAGCCTCATTAAATGTAGTATTGAATGGAAGCCAGAGTTGAACGGTGTTGTCAATAAGACATTTAGATGCTTAAACCAAAGGAAAAATGGAACTTATTTGAACTGACTTTACATAACTCTTTGCACTATTTATTAAACAAATTTCAGGTCTGAAATGGCTGAACTGAGCGTTGATTTAGCTCAGTGTTTCTCAACCTTGACCATTTTAAGGCATGTGGACTTCAACTCCCAGAATTCCACAGCCAGCATTGCTGGCTGTGGAATTGTGGGAGTTGAAGTCCACATGCTTTAAAGTTGTCAAGGTTGAGAAACACTGATTTAGCTGAACTTTTATAAAGATGTGGACAAAAAAGATAAGAATATACAGTTTCTAGTCCTTTACTGAAGAGCTGAATAGAAATTCTTGTTTTTTTAAAATTAGATGTCATTTCAGTTGGAGACAAAATTCAGTTGATTTCTCCCCTTTTTTTACATAAAGTATCGCTTGGAAATAAAGAATTGAAAAGTATAAGCGATATATAAGCAATATAAGGAAAGAACACGTAACCGTAGAGCAATATAAGTAATTAGGAAAGAAGAATACTTTGTAATTGAAAATACGTAGAACTCAAATTATAAATCTCTTCATATATCATGGGTGGATTCTGGAGGCAACAGCCTTATTTGATAGTTTGAACGTATGCAGCTAGGTCATTAAATTTCCACCAGACTTGTTACATTTCAGGGAGTCTCTTACACAAGACAATCAAGGCAATTAGTCAAGATAGCACAAAAAAGTTGAGAATATCCATATTTTACAAATGCAGCATTACTTAGGCAAAGCCAGATTTTTTTTATTAATATTGATAAACTGTTGAAAGTAAGGCCTCATTCCCTGCCTTTTGTAAATCATCCAAACCTCTAAACTAGTAATTCCAGGTTTGCCTTCTTTTGTAACATATTTGTGTTCTTTCAGATTTTCGAAATAATCAACCATTATCCAATCATGACCAAAAATAAATAAATTGGGGTTAAGTAGGGCCTGAAAGATTTACTAAATCCTCTATACGCTCCAGCTGCATTCCTTTGGCGGCCCACCATCTTTCCTTCTGACAGATGGTGAGGCCCTCCTTGTCATGGCAGCAGAAACCAACCTGCAGCAAGTTGCTGGGACCACGTGGACAGCATCATTTCTTTTTCTTCCCTTCTTTCTTTCCTACAACTCAGCAGCCCTTCCTTTTTTCTGGCACCATATATATATATATATGGTCTGGCACCAAGTGGGATGGAACCACCGCTTATATATATGGTCTGGCACCAAGTGGGATGGAACCACCTCAGAGCGGAAAAAGTTCTGCATCCGTGCTTTAGCTGGTTCTTATCAAACATTTTCAAAAAGACGCTTTTGCATTCACTCCTCGCCAGTAATGATCCTGACTTTGAAGGTTCTGCAAGTTTGACATTTCTGCAGACCGAAGCAAGTGCTGCATTGTAAAGCTCCCCTTTGGCAGAAGAGTCAAAAGCTATTCCATGGCTTTTGATTTAACGCTCAGAGTACTATCCAAGGTGCTGGCTGGATTCAGACTTCGTGTAAGCCATCACTTGTTGGCTTATTTCTTTGGTTTGTCTGGCCGAGCCGCTTTTGTGTGCGCTTTGGAGTAGGTTGAACTCTTCTTCAGAGTTTCACAGAGGCGTCCATTGTTGGGCTTTGTGTATAAACCCAGATTGTGTTTACCTGTGCATAAACACAAGAGTTATATTCTTTTTCATTGTTCATCTTATTGCTCTATTACCTTAATTCGGTTTGTACTCTTCATTTCTTCCTTTTTATTCTTGTAAGCTGCCTAGCGTAGCCCCATGGCAAATAAATTTAACAAATAAATTAATAAATCCAGTCAGGTATGGAGGAACGTTGTCCATGGGGTCGCGATGGGTCGGACACGAACTTCGCAATTAACAACAACAATGTCCCTTTAAGCCCTGATTCTTTATTGGCCTGGGCAATTCTGAAGAGTTACTTGTAATACCCTGGAGCTGGGTCCGCTTCAAAGGATATTACTGTGTGAATGCTGTCTTTTGTCATTCAAGCCATAGTAATAAATATGTCTCTTCTCATGGCAGTTCAAACATAAAAGTGGTTTGAGGGAGATTTTGCACTTATCTGCTATCTACTATATGCCTCTCCCCCCCCCCCCGTGTTTTTAACTTATCCTAATGGTTGTTTGGATAAATGTGTAATTTTATAAATGCTGACAGTTGTGTACTATTTACAGCTTTGTTTGTTTCCCAATTATGTATTTTTTCATGCTTTTTATAATAATAAAATACTTATTTTAAAGGGCACGGAGTTCGTACGCTATTCTTTGTTGTTGTTGTTGTTGTTAGAGCAATTGTCTAGAAGGAACCCTGAATATTGAGGACATGAAAGAGACCCTGGTGAGCACGGTGGTCTTCCCATCACTTGGAAATCAATACCATCTTATGAAATGCTGACAAAGATGCAGAATAACAATGGGATAACTGCTGCTGATTTATTCATGGCTAATTGGACTTTTAAAGAGCAAATCTCCAAGAATCATGGATCCCTTCTGAGATTAAAGAGAAATTGTAGAGAATCACTGTCAGGGTCTTCCCCTCAGCTCTAGATATAAAAGGGGAGATAATTAAATAAACAGAATTATTGATTAGAAGCATTTTTCAACCGGGAGATCCCCTGCAGCTGATGAAAGAAAGTAGCCATTTTCCCTTTTTCTATACTTGATCTGTCTTAAAAAAAATCAATTTTCTATTAAGGCTGAACTGGCAACAGATTTAATTGGATAGGAGGCAGTGCTTCCCATGTTATTCTCATCCTCCAGAAATAAGACTGCTGGAGTGCTTTGTCCACATGGGCTGCCATCATTAATATTAGATTATTGTTTCTGCATATACAACACATTGCAAGGAAGATCTTAATACTGCTGTATTTGAGGCTCCTATTTAAAAATACGGTATTTTTTAATTCTAGTCTTCCCTGCTGTTAACTTTTGCTAACATTTGTCTATTTTATGGCTTGCTTTGATTCATGTTTTAAGAGAGGTTTAGCTGGTAGCAGATTTGAATAGGCATTGAGGTCCATCCACAATGCTGTATATATGCAATATAATTGAGAATTTATTCTACCTCTAGCAACTTTCCCAACAGTTGCCTATGTAAACCAGCCAGTTTATCCAGAATTTAGAAACCATGGAGAAATGGAACAATGTTTATAAAGAGAAAGGAATTTTGGCTTAATCACAATGAGCTGGATGAATTAACCACAGAATCCCTGGATAAGGTGATATTCAGCAAAGGTTTTAAAATTAGGAAGTAATCATGTAATTCCAAGAATAAAGAAGACCAGGAATATCTGGGACATTTGTATTAGTTTGCCCTTTAATTGTTACAATTTTACCTGTTTTGGTTGTTTTCATACCTAGCTTATATATAACAGAAACACTTTCATATATTTTGGGACACTGTTACAACGGAAAGATGAGATATTGTAAAATAGGATGTTTACTCTGAGGCCAAAGGATAATTCCCCCCCCCCCAGCTTCAAATCAAAAGTTGCTGCTGGATATTAATGTTTGATGTTATAAAAGGCGCATTGCATTAAATATTCCCCCTATAATCATACCGACATTTTAAATTATGGTCATTTTAAATTGAGGGCCTCCCCAAGTTTTATTTTTATTTATTTATTAAATGTATGTGTCGCCCAGCTGATCTGTGCCACTGAGTTGCCCATTTCTATTCTTGGAAGATCTTTGATGTTGAAAAAAAAACTACAAGTTCAGACTGATAAGAAGGAAGGGATTCTGCTTATCTCCACAGTGGATGCTGTATTATTATTATTTTCTTCCTTCTTTTCCTAGTTAATGATCTGTAGGACTCTCCTTGGATCTTGCAAAGTTTCTTAGAAATGTCTGGGGAGGCGCTTGACGAAAGCAAAGATGCCTTTGAATGCAGATTAAAACACAAGTTTGTTAAGCGCTTTTAAAAGTTCTAAATATTTAGCAAGGCAAGGTTATTTTTCAGAAGCCATCCAGACGCAGGAAGATGACATAGGCTAGGGCGTTCTCCAGTTCCCTGGCCTGGATTTTAAATTTCTATCAGTATTATCTAACAAAGAGTCTAGTTAACAGATTTGTCATTCCCAGGATCCTCTTTCAAAGATTGGTGTTAACTTGGCCATCTTCCAGGTCCTTAGAAAAAGGGATGATCTGAGAGATCAGTTATGTATTTCAGTTAATAGCTCAGCAATTTCACATGTTAGCCCCAGAAGAACATTCCAGGGGCTACTGCTAGGAAAACCAAACAAAACCAACTTTTGGAGATGCAAAGGAATTTTCTAGGAATTGTAGGTACCTATTGGTTTCTCTGGAGTTTCCAAATCTCCGTTCACTCTCCTTGCAAGCTTTATGGCTTGTTTGAACCAGGAATCACCCCCAGCAATATAGCTGCATTATTTGCACAAGTGCCTTAGAATCTATGTAAGAAACTGCCTTATAGTGTGTATTCAATCGTTTGGCTACCTGGCTGGCAAATGATCTAAATTTTGAACTCTGGGTAAAGGTCTGGGTGCACAGCCAGGCTCTAATAGCAAGGCGGTCACTGCTTATCACTATCCCTATCCTAAGCACAACATTTGCAAACTCCATGTTTACATTTTCATATGGAAACATAAAACACTTGATAAGCATATTCTCACTACATCGTGTATGAAACTGTGCTGATTACAGGTCTTTAACTTAACCATTTGTTTACTGACAAATGACACTGAAAAAAGTGACTTTTCACACTTAAAATCATTGCAGCATCCCCATAGTCACATGATCAAAATTTGGAAACTGGTTCATATTTACGATGTTTGCAGTGTCTCGAGGTCACGTGATCACCTTTTGCAACCATCTGGCACACAAAGTCAGTTGCTTCACTATATTTAATTCTTCTGAGTTTCTGAACCGTAAATCTGAACCTTGAAGGAACTACAGTCAGATCTTTATTTGAAATTGTATTAGGTTTAATTGACTTGTTGTCAATATTTCTCTAACAGGAGATCTTTGCCATTTGTGCTATGGCACCATCCCTGTTCGCAGTATTTCACAAAGCCCCAGAAAGAATGCAATCATCTGGAAGAAGCTTATCATCTAAGGACTTAGCCAGAGGAAACAATAAGGCTATCATTTAAAGTGTGATTTGTTTGCAAACTTACTTAACTGAAAGTTCAGGAAGTCACAACAGTTGGTTAGTTGAGCATATCATGTAATCACAGACCCCCAAGGGTGGACACAATTCCCAAACCTATCCCTTTGCGCCTTGCCTGCTATTCTATCCCCAGGAGAGCCCTCTTAGCTGCAATTCATGAAAGTTGATGACTTTAAGGAGAATCTTTGAAGCTCAGGATTGAAATGAAAGGGCTTTGATGCTCTCTGAGCTTGGTTGTTTTCTTGCAGGCCTTTCATTACCCAAACTAGGTGACATCATTAGTGCTAGTAAGCAATGGGGTTCGCAAAAGAGACAATCAACAAGCCACAAAGGGAACAAAAAGATCAAAACACCTCCCCACCAGCAGTCAGCACCCAGATGAGCATAGGTTAACTCCAAGATTAACCTCAGACCAACAATCAAGAAGTAAACAATGCCCCTGCCAAGGAACTGCCAAACAAGCTAACAGTAAACAGCCTAACCAAAACACCTCTAAAAACACCCCCACCAACACTGACAGGGCAAGAATATAAAATGAGATCCAACCTCATTGCCTACTAACACTGATGACGTTACCTAGTTTGGTAATGAAATGTCTGCAAGAAAACAATCAAGCTCAGAGAACTCCAAGAAGCCCTCATTTAATACAATTTGTTAGAAAAAGGTTCTGCCAGGCTCCTTCTCGATCTATCGGGATCACAGTTGAGAGGTAGTTTGAGTAGGGCGACAAAAGAAAAAAAAGAGGAATTCTGAATTAGATTTGGCATTGTTTTATAAATATTTCCCCCAATTCTCTCCAATCCAGGAGAACAAAGCAACTTTAAAAAGCTAGACCTGCCCACATGCTCTGTAGCCACTTCTACTTGGCTTCATTTCAGGCTGTTTCTCAAAATGCGACTTCCGCTACTACGTTAGTGCCCATTTTTGCATTAGATCGTTTCAAAGATGCATGTCAAGGATCTTCCAAGTAAATCAGCGATGACTTAAGGTATTGTGTGATTCTGGCCAATTGTGGCTTAGTTGACAGCACTGTTGCTCAGTGGTCAATTAACTAGCATGGTGTTTCTCAACCGTGGAGATTTAAGCTGCATAGACTTCAAGTCCCAGAATGGCTGGCTGAGGAATTCTGGGACCTAAAGTCTACGCAGCTTAAAGTTGGAAAAATTGAGAAACACTGACCCCCCCCAGGCCAATGATTACATTAATCACAGAGGATTCACTTGCTTAATTAATCTGGAGCACATTTTTACTTGATTAAAGGTATTTTTAAATAACTAATCTAAGCAATTAGGTTATGGTGGTAGCTAGTTCAGACTTCTTCACCTCTTCTCTTGAGAAAATAAATGGGGGGGGGGAAAGAGAGAGGAAAAAACAGCTGGCAAAAAAAAAAGTTGCATGCCATTTGAGAAGCAGATCTGATGCTTGGAAGATGCCAAGTGAATCCCTAAGTCTTGATGTGCGCGTTTCAAATTAAAGCACATCCGCAAGCTGCTTCCACTGATTGACCACAGGGAGAAACCCCTGCAAGGATTTTGGCTCATTTGCCTAAAGGAGTAAATTACATCTTTTTTGTGTTCTTTTGAAAACCCAGTGACAAATGAGGGGGGAAACGGTAGCAATTAGCAAGGCTGGAGTCTCAAATGGGAAAGAACAGCGGGGGTTTCGTTTTCCCTTCAGGCATAATTAAAAATGCTCTAGGCATTAAAAGGTAATGTGACCTGAATTTGCATAATGACAGAATGCTTAATTACAACCCCATCTCAAATCCGACAGTGAACTTCAGCAAATACTTGACGGTGCAAGTACACACATAAGTTTCTCTTCTATCTCATTAGCCTTAACCAATTCAGCTTCTACTTACTTTGAGAGAAAACTAACCTGCCTTCGTCTGTTTTCCAGCTACTTTCTAGTCTGCATCAAGTCAAGACCGTAGGGATTGTAACTTGATTTAAGTATCTAGCACAGGGGTTTGCCAACCTTGGCAATTTTAAGATCCCTGGACTTCAACTCTCAGAATTCCCCAGCCAACATTGAAGTCCACAAGTCTTAAAGCTGCCAAGGTCGAACACCCCTGATCCAGCAGATCTAAGGAGGCTGAACCTCTTCTCCATGATGACTCTGAAGCCACAACACCTGTTACTTGAGAAAGCAAATCCAGTAGAAACCTCTGAACAGGTCTTTTCATCTATTGCATATTTCAGGCCCTGAAAGAATGATCTGTGATTCTCAACAAGAGAGGGTCAATCTATTCTCCAAAGCACCTCAAGGTAGGAGAAGAAGCAACAGATGAAAACTAATCAAGAAGAGAAGCAACCTAGACCTAAGGAGAAATTTCCTGACGGTTAGAACAATTAACCAATGGAACAACCTGCTTCCAGAAGCAGTGAATGCTCCAACACTGGAAGTTTTTAAGAAGAGACTGGACAGCCATTTGTCCGAAATGGTATAAGGCCTCCTGCTTGAGCAGGGGGTTGGACTAGAAGACCTCCAAGGTCCCTTCTGCTCTGTTCTATTCCAAGATTGTACTGACACACCATCATTTGCAGGTTGTCTTGTGGCTTTTAACTGGAACACTCAGCAAGATACTAGTTTGATTCAATGGCATCTAGGTGGAACTGGAATGAAGGTGAACAATGATTTACTAGGCAGATAATGGCTTCTATTATCATGATGAGCAACAGTGTTAGAAAGAAATATTGCCCAGGGCACACCTATCTTGGAATCTTGAACTTTTTTTCTCATTAACCGGAGAGCATCAAGTGCTTACAAGTAAATAATAGTTCTAGGTGAATTTCTTGTGAAACAAAAGGCAATATACAAATAGAAGAAATAACAAAAGAACAAACATATGTAGAAATTAAGCAGTAATTCATTCTTGCAAACCCTACCTAGTCGGCAGATAACTGACTATAAATAAGAGCAATAACCTGATTGTGCTATTTTTAAATACCTTGCCTTGGGTGAATTCAGGGCTCTAAAAAAAGGGAGAGCAATAAAGATATTCAGAATGTAACTCTGTACGGTACTTTTCTTTTTGTGAGAATCAGTTGAAACAGGCGCTAACAACTCTCCAAGAGGATTTTGCAAAAGCTTGGGGGCTGGGGGAGATACCACTGGCATTTAACAGGAGTTACAACCATGGAAAACCAGCTTTATCTCTCCACCAAAGAGAAGCTGCATGTCTGTTTGTTTTCTCTAAGGAGCCAGCATGACTTTGAAGTTTTATACAGTCGTGGCAACCTGCAATTTGCTGGCGTCTTGAGTGGTGCACGTTCCATTTGCACACCTCCTTCTCTTTCTTCTTCTTTGTTAATCCACCCAACACACTCACATGCACACATTGTTCGACATGAATTAATTGGGCCCTTAATGCCTTTTGCAAGCACCCTGGTTTAATTATTATCTTTTTTTATAACCTCTGGGCTTAAGTAGCCACTGCAATTTCCCACTCTCCTGTTTTTCAGCCGTGGGTATTCCTGATTCTGATTTGCAAGGAAGAGCAACTGAGAAAGAAGGGAACAAACACCTGTGGAAGGACTCTTTGGATGACACAGGCACAAGACCGACCACAGTAAGTGACATTCTTAGCTCCCTGCTAATGGACAGGGGATTAGTTATGAGCTGTCCTCAACAGTCCGCCGAATTGTGATCAAAGGCTTTTGAGCTCAAAGCTATTTTTCTTTAAAATAGACTTATTACCTGTAAAAAGAAATTAAGATTTATTAGGATTGTCATGGGACTTTGTGGTTAAATTTCTACCTGCCATTCAGAGGGTCGGAGAACTTCAACCCTCTGAACACTTGTTCAGGAATAAGAATCATGCAACAAATGCATCTTCTAGTTAGTAGATAGGCGGAATACAGATAGTCCTTGACTTACAACCATAACCGAGCCCAACATTTATGTTGCTAAGCGAGACAGTCGCTAACTGAATTTTGCCCTATTTTACGACCTTGCTTGTTTTGGATTTAGCTCTAAAAAGTTGCTTTGAACTGTGAATGTTGAAGCTCTCAGTGTTCATTAAAGCAGCTATGTACATTTCCAGGAGCAACAAAGGATTCTGAAAGCAGATCTGGATGCTTTAATGAATTGCCAAAGGTGCCCACTATTTTTCAAGTATGGTTGTTTCCATTGTGAGTGTTCAAGTGTGGTCATTTATATTCTGAGACAAGAGATTCCCAGTTAATCCTGATTGTATTGACTGTGGTGGGATACAAATGTAAAAAAGAAAGAAATTTCCCGGATTATATTCTATGGCATTGCTAATATAGTAAGAAAGCATATATATTAATGTGACTAAAGTGGAGGAAATAAGGAGAACTTAGGGGGAAAAAAGGAAAAAAGATCCAAATAATGTAAAATTAGTTCTGTCCTTAGGCTTGTAATTGAATCTTGGCCATCTAGGAACAAACTGTTCCATCTTCTCATCTCTGGAATATAAAGACATTTTTTAAAAGGGTATATGTGTTGAATTCATTCCTTAACACGAGGAGTATCCATTTCCTTCCATCTATGTAAAATAATTCTCTTCGCTGAGCCCCAGCTTAGATAAAGCCAAAGTGCTTCATAAAATGTCACATTCCTTTCTAAAATGTGGATTATGACATTTGACATTTCAATGCTTGTGACTTCTGGTCCCTGCTGAATAGAACAGATTTTTTTCAAAACAACTATGAGTTGTTGTTTTTTTAGAAAGCATGCCATACAGATTAAAACATAAAACCCCCCATAAAATTTACAACATAAAAAACAAACAAACGACAAATTAAAATAATCAGGTGAATGCTTTCTAGTAAATTATCCAATAAACAGCGTCCATGAGCAGTAATAAACCGTTTCATGGCAAACTTCCTTCTCATCTGATAGGATATTTTTCTATAAGTAATGCCTTGTCCTCAAGAAGAAAACAGCAACATGCAAATTCCAAAGTTCAGATGGTTCAAGGATGGTGACCTTACTTACGTGTGGAATTGTGGTTACACGATTCACATTACTGAAACATCTTTCCTGAAGCACATTGAAGTAATACATTAGGGTAAAAGCAGATCAGTTTTTGCCAGACAATTTTCTGATGTAAACATTAAGAGACTGAGATTAACTACCGTAATATTTGTGGTTTTGTTTTATTGTGATCTTCCATTCTTTGCTCCTGTTTGTTAGCCAGCTTAGCAGGTACTGTAATGCAGGAAAAAAAGAGAAAAGAACAGGGCTCTATTTTACTGGGTTTTAATACAGGGAGTCCTCAACTGACGACCACAATTGAGCTCCAAAATTTGGATCCTTGTGAATTTGGAGTTTGCAACTGCTGTACTCCATCCACCCGCTGGTAATTACGTAGTTTTCATCATGTAACTAGGCTGTTTGTCTTCATTTGATTAAAATCAAAGGACTGGAGGGAGCAAACTAATTATAATGTAGCATCTAGATAACATTTGGCATCAATGTAATTATTGTTAACTTTTGTGTTGCTTGCAGAGATTGCTGATATTAGCAGGTTTGTCAACCCTAAGAAAGCTGATGGAGAACGTAAGACACAGGAAACAAAGTTCAAACCAGGCTCTCGATGACCTGTCTGTTACAAGCAAGAAACCTAAATCCATGAACTTACAGAAAGAGGCAAGATTTGTATCATGTATTCTTTTAAAGTAATTTACAGATCCAAGTTCAATTTTTCTCCTTGGTTGCAACACCGTAGGTACAATATCTCCTTTATTGATTTTTGCAGACAATAGCACAATGCTGTTCTTATTATCTTCCATATCAATGAGAGATTCCAGGTACAGCATTTTCCCACCTGAGGTTCAAATTGGACCAAATAAAAACCCAACAACAACAGGAGAAGCTTAACATCTTCCCATGAGGTCTGGTTCCTGGCAAATAGATGGGGAAGAAATGGAGGTAGTGACAGATTTTATTTTTCTGGGCTCAAAGATCACCTCAGGTGGGGACTGCAGCCAAGAAATTAAAAGACGCTTGCTCTTGGGGAGGAAAGCTATGGCAAATCTAGACAGCATACTAAAAAACAGAGACATTACCCTGCCAACAAAAGTGCGTATAGTCCAGGCCATGGTTTTCCCAGTTGCAATGTATGGATGTGAAAGTTGGACCATAAGAAAGGCTGAGCGCCAAAAAATTGAGGCCTTTGAACTATGGTGCTGGAGAAGACTCTTGCGAGTCCCTTGGACTGCAAGGCGTTCAAACCGGTCAGTCCTAGAGGAAATCAACCCTGATTGTTCTTTAGAAGGCCAGATCCTGAAGTTGAAACTCAGATACTTTGGCCATCTAAGGAAAAGGAAGGACTCACTGGAGAAGGGCCTAATGCTGGGAAAGATTGAGGGCAAGAGAAGAAGGGGACGACAGAGAATGAGATGGCTGGATGGAGTCCCTGAAGCAGTAGGTGTGAACTTAAATGGACTCCAGAAGATGGTAGAGGACAGGAAGGCCTGGAGGAACGTTGTCCATGGGGTCGCGATGGGTCGGACACGACTTCGCAATTAACAACAACAACAACAACATGAGGTCTGGTACAGAAGGAGGAGGCAAGCAAAGAGCAGCCATTAGAGTGATCACAAGAGCTTTGCTGAGTTACACCATATAGGCGCATCCACTAGTCATAGTGTCTGGGTCATCCATATGGATTCTGAAAGGTGACAACCCTTTTCCACTTTTGTTAAGCCTCGTTGGGAGGACACCCAAACAATATCTTCTTTCTCCTTGCCTGTAATGCCAGCATTTGATTCACATCATACATGAAGCAAGAAATCATACATTATCAGGCGAACATTCCATTTCTATAGGGCCAAAAGAGCAAGCCAAGCACCCCCCCCCCAGTCTCCGTGTTAACACGTTAATTAGTAGGAAGGTGGTGGCTGAATAGGTTACCAAAGTTCACAAGAACTTTTTAAAATCTTCTGCTGTCAGGAATGTTGGGTTAATGTTTGCATGGTGGCCCAAGCTGTTAATTTGTATTGTTGACAGGGACAGGAGTCTGATTTATGCATGAGTTTTCTCCGTCTAATTATTTGGTGGGTTTGGGTATCAGAAAAAGGTAGATAAAGCACAGGGCATTGGTTACATCACATTCCTTATCCACAAAAGAAAGTGGCTTGGTTTTGCCAAGAATCGAAACAATACATTTCACATAAATAGTTGGTCCAAGGAAAGATAGGGAAAGAACTGATCTACTTTACCAGCAGAAACAAATTTGGTTGAAGGTAAATTAGCTAACCGCATATTTGCTCCTTGAAATATGGAATGAATTTGCTTTTCTTTTTGAACACTTAGAGAATCTTAATTATATGTCAGAAGGCCAAAAATCTTCTGGAGAAGATTCCTTCAGAATTCCCACTTACTGTTTCTGATGATTGGGAACCCATCCAGATATACCAACACATCTAGAACAAAAGAGATTAGAAAAGCAGTTTTAGAACCATTTAGTTCAAAGTAGATAAAGAGTCCTACTAAATTAGGCCAAAGATAGACCTAACAGAAGCATTTTCTTTCCAAACAAGCCAATGAAATGCTTTCCGACCACTTCTAGGTACAGCAGCCATTATTATCTATGAATGCTCAATGTATGGGATGCTTTAATTCAGATTGATGCACTGAGCAGGAACTTGGGTTGACCTCTTACAACTGGCCAAGTCTCATTAGTCATTCCTCTCCCAAACAAAGCTAGATGTAAAGTGGAGGAAAAGAATGAAGTTCTCCATTACCAAAGCCACCCCTGAAACATGGCGATGCAGGAACCTGCCTCTCAAACATCGATTGGATGTTATATCCAAGCCACACCCACTCTTCCTGCCTGACCAGTGAGAAAGAGTCATTGATCTTAAGAAACCTCACTGGTCCTCCTCTGGTATAAAGGCTTATGAGATACCCAACAGACTCGGAGGAAATGGTTGTTAAAGCTATACTGTATCCCCCAAAGTGGGATCTTTGTTTTCAATTAATTTGCAGGCAGATACAATACTAAAGCATTACAATGGAGTTAGCGGATGGATTAGCGTGATTGGTGACAATATCTGTACAAAACCCTCTGTATTCTACTATGCCTGATCCCCAATGATTGGCTGAAGTCAAAATGAGCTTTCCAGATTGAAAAGTTCTTATGTTTGGAACCCAGGTGAGTCTTTGGAAATCAAGTTGACTTCCACAATGCCACTTGGAGTTCCTTGTGGTAGGAATGAAGGCCAGAGAGAAACAGCAGCACAGACTAACCATCTTGTTTATTATTGTCTCTTGTATTGCACTGTACTGTAATCAAAAGTTGCAAGTGTGTAAGATTCACAGAGATGCCTAGAGAAAAATAATGGTTATTCCTCGTTTTTTCCCCCATCTGACTATTGCTTTACTACCCCTGCAGGTCCACTTCTGACAATATCATATAAACAATGCTTGGCTAACCAAACTGTCTCAAATTTAGTTGCTTCCTTTCTTCCCCACCCCTCCCTTTTTAGGTGGGTCTAATCAGTGGAATATGTGTCATCGTCGGCACTGTGATCGGGTCTGGAATTTTTATTTCTCCAAAGTCTGTTCTGATTAATGTTGGAGCGATTGGACCTTGCTTGATTATCTGGGCGGCCTGTGGAGTGTTGGCCACCTTAGGTAAACTGTTTCTCGTGCTCTCCATTTCTTTCTGTACAGAATCATTTCTAGCCAGAGGGCTCACTAACAGCTCCAAGAGACTTCTAGTCTTTCAGCTCTTTTTCCCACTTTTACAATTTATTTGCTATATGGACAAAGAATAAGATTAGCAGCAATCATCTCTACATGTTTCTTCTTCTTCTTCTTCTTGATCATGGTTTGAATTGTTTACAAAAAAAACCCCAAGCCAGTAGCCAAAAAAAAAAAAAAAAAAAAAAAAATGAGATAAGTAAATTGTGGAGATCTTGCCAGGATACTTGAAAAATCTGGATTAATTCTCAACCCATTCATTTATTATTTCCACAAATCCAGCTCTGGATATTATATTGGGTCCTCCTGAATTTTTCCCACAGGATAATGTTGACAAAGACAATTTTGGGAAATTTCAAGTTACACATATTTTGTATAGCTAAAATGGCTACTAATTCTAAGAGACATGTTTAACAGTAAGGAGGAAAATTAAAATGACAGTATACAGTTTGATTTTTTTTAAGAATACAGCATATATTTAGGGATATATATGTATGTATGTATGTATGTATGTAAGTCTTTGGTTGTTCGGGTTTTCTCCCGCGTAAAATTGGAAGTGTCTTGGCGATGTTTCGACGAAGTCCCATTCGTCATCTTCAGGCTGGTGTTTTCAGCTTCGTGCTGCTCGAAGCACGAAGCTGAAAACACCAGCCTGAAGATGACGAATGGGACTTCGTCGAAACGTTGCCAAGAGACTTCCAATTTTACGCGGGAGAAAACCCAAACAACCAAAGACCTACATACAAACACCCGCGAAAACTAAGAAAGCCAAGCCAAGCTTCCTTTTCACACCCTATTTTCCGTTGCTGTTGTGATGGAATACAAATTTGACATTTGCCCTCCCACCTTCACGAACTGGCTGATGGGTTACGGAAAGATGGCTTATCACACTAACCTATTTGATCCCTCTTTTGGTGTCTGTTTCTCTGCTGTAAGTCTTGCTCCGCTCAGTCAAGAGAGAGCTGCTTACTTCTGGTGGTGGGGTGCAATGGTTACAGTGGCAGAGTTAGCAATGGGGAAATTTCTGCTGACATTCTGCTCATCATCTGCAGGGTATGGTGGCCATGAGGGTACAGTTGAAATTCCATCTGTTGATCATGTGTCTCACATGCGTGGGAAAAGGTACATTGGCCCCATTGTGGAGCCAAATGTACTTTGTTGGCCACCCAGGATTTCTTGAATATGTGGAAAGCTATGTAAACGTGATCCATAAATAAATAAAACTTCCCGTTCTGCCTCGGTATTAATGGTGAAATTCCACTTTCAGGGGCCCTTTGCTTCGCTGAACTAGGCACAACGATAACCAAATCGGGAGCAGAATATCCTTACCTGTTGGAAGCCTTTGGGTCCATTCCAGCCTTCTTGTTTTCCTGGTCTAGTCTCATGGTCATCAAGCCCAGCGCCTTCGCCATTATCTGCCTCACTTTCGCCGAGTATGTGTCGGCTCCATTTTACCCGGGATGTGAGCCTCCCGTGGCGGTCATTAAGTGCCTGGCTACAGCAGCCATTGGTGAGTCTTTGGCTTTAAGGGAGGGAAAACAAGTTAGGGATGGAAGCAGAGGTAGATCTGGAAGAGAATGGAAGACACACATACCCCCCCCCCGGCGCGCCTGTGTTATCCATCTGAAAAGAGATTACAGCATTCTTGATCAGGGGTGCTCAACCTTGGCAACTTTAAGACTTAAGGCACCAAGCTAGAAAGCAGGGGGCGGTGAGTTCAAATCTCGCCTTAGCTATAAAGCCAGCTTGACTTTGGCCAGTCATTCTTTCTCGTAGCCCAATCCACCTCACAAGGTTATTGTTGTGGTGAAAATAGGAGGATGGTTGTGTTGGCTATGTTCTTCACCTTGAGTTATTTGTAAAAAGGATAAAGATGGGATAAATAAATAAATGTCATTTAGGTTGATTTCCCATCCTAGTGAAGAAAATCGATGAACAAAGGGATGGGTTGGGAGACGTGCTGTTGTCAAGACACGCTGTAATGAAATCGTTTTACCTTTCTGTCCTCTTTACAATTACAAATTGGTGGGCGTGTCTGGAAAGATCTGAACACCGTTCTTTTCTTCCTTAAAGAATATTTTGTGGTTAGAAAAACAAATGTAGAAGAATGATGGCAAAACTTGGGAAGGTTTTAACGCAAGATGATGTTGACGTCTGGACCCTCCATAAAAGGCGACAAACAAAACAGAGCGATTGTACAATTCATGCCTTCTCTGTCCGCATCTACCTTTTCAAGCTGGGGCTAAGAACTAAAAGCAAGGAAAAAGCCAATGTTTTAAACGATTTTATCATCCTTTGTCTTGCAGTGGCCATTACAGTCTTGAATTCACTGAGTGTGAAATGGGCAAGCTATGTTCAGAACATTTTAACTGCTACGAAAATGGTGATTGTCATAATTATCATTGTAAGTGGCATCGTTCTCCTGGCCAAAGGTATGTTGTTGTACGTTATAACCCTTTAAATGGTCAACAACCAAACTGAGTAGGTCTTCACAATGCAGGATTTCAAGCTAGCCTGCCCATAGGGAATTTTTGGAGTAGAAATCCACTAGATCTGGGGAATGCTACATGGAAATGATCCCCTGAATGACCTCCTCTTGTTTGTGGGGGTCATTCAGGGGATAGCAGTATTCCAGTATTCAAATACTGGAATACTGCTATCAGGGCACCCCTAGTTCTAAACTAGCCATACCCATCTCCTGCAACCGTTCTTCATATTGTGGATGCTCCATCACTGGATGTTTTCAAGAAGAGACTGGACAGCCACTTGTCTCAAATTGTACAGGGTCTCCTACTTGAGCAGGGGGTTGGACTAGAAGACCTCAAGGTCCCTTCCAACTCTATTCTGATTGATTGAAAAAGGCTGATCTAGACCTTGCACCACATGCAAAGACTGGATTTATAGTCTAGTCTGGTCTGGTCTAATCTAGTCTTGTATACAGGTGGTTCTCAGCTTATGCCTATAATGAAGCCTATCAATTACAGTTGCTCAGTCTAAAGAATGCCTACGTGGCATCTTGATGGCATCATCAAGAGACTTGATGATTTGTTCGTTAGAAAATTTTCTAGGGCCACCTACTGCATACATATTTATACAGGATTTGTTTTGTTTTTCAGGAAACACAAAAAATTTTAACAATTCTTTTGACAGTTCCTCAATTTCTGTGGGTGGCATAAGCCTGGCATTCTACAGTGGACTCTGGGCCTATGATGGATGGTAACTTATTGATATTTTTCTAATTTCCGATTAAATCATTCCCACCGGTAGATCCTTTTGAAGCATGACACTTGAAAACAACAGCAGTTGAACTCATTTTACATATTTTGATGTTTCGCAGAGATGAACAATAAAGCTGAAACTTTCTTCTCCTTTAGCCAGACTTGAGCACAAGTAGCTACAGAATTTCAAACTTCAGCTGGAATGGCTGCTATTTTAGATGGCTTCTAAAAAAAAGCTTTAGAAGATGAGCAAAGAAGACCTTTTGGTCTTGAAGGCAGGCACAGAGGGCTAGTTCTCCTTGCATTGTTGCTAAACCACAATTCTCAGTGTCCCAAGATCAGTGAGGTGAAATATTAGGAGTTGCAGTTCAGCCCCATGTGGTGGGCCACATAAGTCCTCAACTTACGATCAGAAAATTTGTCATTAAATAAAGCAGTCATTAAGTGGGGTATCACTTGACCGAACCTGATTTTATGACCTTTTTTTGGACACAGATGTTGTTAAGTGCGTAAGGCCACCTTTTGCAATTGACTAATGGCGAATTTGCGAATGCCAATGATGTTCAGGTGGTGCTCCAGTTGTTTTGGGATGATGATGATGATTACTTAACTTTATAGTCTGATGTAGTTTATTAACTCCCATCAGATTCAGTAGACGTTTCCTTCTGCATACCTAGGATTGCAGTTTGGACAGAGTAACTATTGATATTTCTTTTCTTCCAGGAATCAACTTAATTATATCACAGAAGAGCTTAAAAATCCTTACAGGTAAGGTAGAGAATCTAAAAATGGACATTTTCACTATGCAAGGTCCTGCTTTCAAATTATAGCAATAGCAATGGCACTTAGACTTATATACTGCTTTACAGTGCTTTACAGTGCTCTCTAAGTGGTTTGCAGAATCAGTGTATTGCCTCCAATAATTTGGGTCCTCATGTTACTGACTTCAGAAGGATGGAAGGCGGAATCAACCTTGAGCCGGTCAAATAAGTTGCATGTCATGTAGGGCAGCTATAAACTTTGAAGAAATAATTAAATACAATGTGGGCCACATAGTCTGTGTCACAATTCTGTGGTCCAACCTCTTTATCATTACAATAAATCTGCATACTCTGAATCAGAGCAATGGTTAGAATTTAGTTTTGCAGGCAAACTCTGCCCATAGCGTAGAGTTCAGTCCTGAATGGCTCAAGGTTGACTCAGCCTTCCATCCTTCCGAAGTTAGTAAAATGAGGACCCAGATTGTTGGGGGGGGGGCAATGTGCTAACACTGTAAACTAGTTAGAGAGTGCTATAAAGCACTGTGAAGTGGTATATAAGTGCTATTGCTGTTGCTATTGCTATCTGCAAGAATCTGAGGACTGCCTCAAGGGGCTTGATGTATCTTTTGAATTGGGTAAACCCAACTTCCTGATTTGGAGTTACTTTTAATGAAAAGTAATTAATAAATAGATTAATAACGCAACCCACAAAGATCAGAAAAACCTAAGCAGGAAGATGGTATGTCTGGATAATAAATAATCAATAACATTTGAGTGTATGAAAACGTGAAATAGAAACACCTTTTCTAAAATAGCAATATTTGAGCATCCTCTAAGGACAAACTTTATCAAAATCACTGAGCAGTGCAGAACATTATCTATAAACCAAGTTCCTTTTCTTTATAAATATTTTTTGTTCAGCTGCAAATATGTGGAGATATAATGAACTACCAAGTTTAAATGTACATATGTATTAATGCCATATATTTTCACATTGTTTAGAAATCTACCATTGTCTATAATAATTGGAATCCCCCTGGTCGCGGTGTGTTATGTTTTGATCAATGTTTCTTATTTCACCGTCATGACAGCCACAGAACTGTTACAGTCTCAAGCGGTGGCAGTGGTGCGTATCATACGGAATTGCTTGGACACAAATTTGTCGTCTTCGTAGCTATCTGTTGTGTAGCCGTGATTCTTTTCGGGGGGGGGGGATACAAAATGCCACACATTTAAACTGAACTGTGTGAATTCTCCAAAAAATAAATCTTTTGGATGGACAAATTTGATCCAACTCACTGGATAATTTATATCCAAGGGCTACGCTTGGATATGTTTGGTCCTCCAAATCATCTGGAGAACCTCTCCAGCAGATGATTATGAAGTGGCTGTCTGGGGGTAATGCTTTAGTACAGATAGTCCTCGACTTACAACAGATCATTTAGTGACCATTCAAAGTTGCAACAGCCCTAGAAAAGGTGGCTTATGTCCATTTTTCACATTTACAACCATTGCAGCAACCTCGTGATCATGTGATCAAAATTCAGACGCTTGGAAACTGACTCATCTTTATGACGGTTGCAGTGCCCCGGGGTCATGGGATGCCCTTTTGTGACCTTCTGACATGCAAAGCCAATGGGGAAGCCAGATTCACTTAACAACCGTGTTACTAACTTAACAACAGCAGTGATTCATTTAACAGCGAGAAAGGTGGCAAAATGGGGCAAAACTAACAACTGTCTTCAGTTGTGGCCTAAGTTGAAGACTTCTTGTAAAGACACCTATGGACCTCACTGGAAAAAAAAGACACCCCTGTTCACAGGATTATACAGATTGAGGGGTGCATTTATGGTATCCCTTTTTCTGCAACCAGCTTTGTGAGCTTCTCGTTTTAAAAGGTGTTTTTTTTTCCCTTCCATCTCCGCAGACATTTGGGGACCGGGTCCTTTACCCCACTTCTTGGATTGTTCCTCTCTTTGTGGCATTTTCAGCCCTCGGGGCAGCTAATGGGACTTGCTTCACCTCTGGCAGGTAAACCTCAGAACAGTCTGGTAGGATGTTTTAAGAGTCTAGTTGCTGTATCTTTCATGACAAATAAACATCCCCCTATTTGGCTAGAAATACATGCTATTGCTTCAAAGGCACTAAATATGGTGTCAAAACAGTCTGCACAAGCTAATTCACTCTGTCATCAAGCGAGGCCTTTGAAAAGATGAAGAGCTGTAATTTACAAGGTAACATCTAAAGAGGTTGAATTTGAGATATTCCTGGCTTTTCTCCAGTCTGGATATATTTCATTCGTCAGTGCTGCTTTTTAAAACTCCGCAGCCCTGATCCAAACAAGACACAAGAACTATTTTCTATCAGACCGACACTGAAATCTCATCAGGATGGAAAATTGGGTCTTTGGTGATTTTTCTGTAGCAAGTGAGGAGAGAATTGTGAGGGGGGGTCAGGTAGTAAAGCTACAGACAAATTTCATGGTTAATTAGCAGTTCTTGTTTCCCAATGGAGCGGTTCTGTGCTTCTGAGTGTCTTCTTTAATTCTTGCCATCGTTTTTAAGACACGGAAATTGCTATTGCAGCATTTTCTTAAAGAATTGTGCAAATTTAATGGTCCGAAGGAGGATTTTTGCAACATCAGTTCAAACCTCTCCAATTCTCCTGTAAAAGGGATGTGGTACATTAGGATCACTGAATAGATAGATAGATAGATAGATAGATAGATAGATAGTCTTTTATGTTTTGTTCGGTTCCTATGGGAAAATTCGGGGAGAGAATATCAGCAAAAGAAGCTTAAATCTGACCTTTTCCACTCTCATTTATTATAGCATAGGCTAGAGAGGGAGATCCAGTTGGGTGTAATGGTTAAAGCACCAGGCTAGAAACCAAAAGATTTTGAGTTATAGTCCCACCTTGGGTAGAAAGCCAGCTGAGTGACTTCGGCACAGACATTTTCTTTCAGCCCTAAAAAGGAAGCAGTGGCCAAAAAAAAAAAAAAAAAAAAAAAAAAATCCTTCAAAATCTTGCCAAGAAAACTGCAGGGACTTGTCTAGATAGTTGCCAAGAGTCCACATTGACTTGAAGGAATCAAATCAAATAAAAAATGGTCTTTAACGCATTGGAGAGGCGGAATGCATTCCATATCTTGACACTGTCAAGTGCTTTGATCAACTAAATGCCATTTTTCTTTTCCTGACTCCAAATCTTAATGTTGCGTACCATGAAAAATCCAAGCGTTCTGAGAATCGCCGTGTGTTTCAAAATGCTGCACTGACTGTTTTTTGTTCTTTCTGAGCATCGAGAGATATATAGAAGAGAACATTTTGTTCAGCTCGGGCGAGCTTTTCTTACTTTTCTGTATCAAGCAACACTGCTCCAAAAAAAGTGTTGTTTTTTTTTTTGTACAAAACTGTTGACATTAGAACAGATTCATCTTTGAGGCAACTGAATAGCCTTTTGTCCAAAATACAGGCTGTCTTCGACTTTCAACAGTTCATTTAGTGACCATTCAAACTTGCAACGGCACTGAAAAAAAGAGACTTGTAACTTTTTCACACTTACGACCGTTACAGCACCCCGCATGGTCACAAGATCAAACTTCAGACCCTTGGCAACTGACTCATATTTATGACGGTTGCAGTGTCCCCGGGGTCACGTGATCCTGTTTTGCGACCTTCAAAGTCAATGGGAAAGCCAGATTCACTTAACAACCGTGTTACTAGTTAATCCCTGCAGTATGTGTAAAAAAAAATTCTACTTTCGGTGCCGGCAGCAACGTTACTAGCCTCACTGCAAAAGTGTAACAAAAGGAAGGCTGTTGGGGCAGTGATATATTTGCCTCCCATTTCAGGGAGTGAGAAAACCAATAACTGGGAAAAGCCACTGATGTTTTAGACGCAGGATTCTTTCCCTTTTATTATTCAGTCTTGAACAAAATTAGCATTTCTCCTTGCTCATTTTTGTTCCAGTTTATTAATAATTTACAATGCTAGGTTTTAGCGGTTTTTAAAATGTCCCCTTTGATACCAGCATTACTTCCGAAATAAAACTTTGCTTCTGCTGCTGCCTGATATAAACTATAATCCTGTTTATCCGAAGCAACTATCCTGTGGTGGGAAAAGCATGATTTAAAAAAAATTTCTATTTCTTGTTATTAACTTAACAGATGCAATCTTTCATTTAACAACTGTGGCAAGGGAAGTCGTAAAATGGGGCAAACTCACTTAAACGTTTCACTTAGCGACATAAATTTTGTGATCGTAACCCAAGGATTACCTGTATCTGCGTTTGGTTGTTTTCTTGCAGACGTTTCATTAACAAACTAGATAACATCATGTTTTGCTTTTCTAGACTTGCTTATGTAGCAGGGCGGGAAGGACACATGTTAAAGATTCTATCTTACATCAGTGTTAAACGTTTAACGCCGGCACCCTCTGTTATATTTTATGTAAGTATTAGCAAAATAAGAATTTCCAGCTTCAAACAAAAATCTACAAAATTTAGCTCTATAATTTAATTTTAGTAGAACAACAGAATAAGAGTTGGAAGGGACATTGGAGGTCTTCATCTAGACCAACCCCGTGCTCAGGCAGGAAACTCTAGTCTATACCATTTCAGACAAATGTTTTTAGAGGATACTTGAAATCTCGCAGTATTTCTTATTTATATTAATTCTTATTCTTCTATTTGTTTCTCTAATGATCTTGTATTAAGAAAAAGCTGCATGTTGGAAATCAGGGCAGTGATGGCGAACCTTTTAGAGCAGTGGTTCTCAACCTATGGGTCGGGACCCCATTTGGGGTCGAACGACCATTTCACAGGGGTCGCCAAACAAGGCTGTCTGCCATTTTTTTCCCCATTTCTTTGGCCACGCCCCTGGCATCCGGTGATGTATAAGTGGTTGGGGGTCATCACAACATGGGGAACTGTATTATGGGGTCGCGGCATTAGAAAGGTTGAGAACTACTGTTTTAGAGACTGAGTGCCCAAACTGCAACCTAAAACCCACTTATGCATCGTCGGGTGCCAGGTGGGTGTGGCCCATTAGGTGGGTGTGGCCCATTGGGTGGGCATGGCTGTGGTGGTAACGGCAGACTGGGTGGGACTAAAAAGTTCAATCGATCAGTTCCAACTTTGCAAGATTTTTTTTTCCCGCGAGAAGTTGAAATTTAGTGATTGATTGAACCTTTTTTTCTTTTGCACACGGCGGTGGAGGCCTAAAGCGAAAAGGTTTTATAAAACCCAGCTGAAGGCCTAGGACTGGGGCGACGGTGCGCGTGCCCACAGAGAGGGCTCTGAGTGCCGCCTCTGGCACCCGTGCCATAAGGTCGCCACCACTGAGTTAGGGAATCTTCATCTTTAATAACTGAATTGTGTCAGTTACAGCTGATGTTTTCTTGAAAATCACATACAGGCAGTTCTCAAGTTACAATAGTTCATTTAGTGACCGTTCAAACTAAAAAAGGCACCGAAAAAAGTGACTTATGACCGTTTTATACTTATGACCATTACAGCGTCCCCATGGTCACGTGATTCACATTTGGATGCTTGACAACTGACTCGCATTTATGCAGTGTCCCAGGAGTCACGTGATCCCCTTTTGTGACTTCTGACAAGCAAAGTCAATGGCGAAACCAGATTCGCTTAACAACGGTGTTACTAATTTAAGAACTGCAACGATTCACTAAACAAGTGTGATGAGAAAAGTCGTAAAACGGGGCAAAACTGACAACTCCTTCCTGTTACATGCCATTTTGTTTTTCTTCTATTCTCAGGGTATAATAGCATTTTTTTACGTCATCCCAGGAGACATCAACACCCTCATTAACTACTTCAGCTTTGCAGTCTGGTTCTTCTATGGCCTCACCGTATTGGGACTGATTATTATGCGCTTTACAAGAAAAGATCTGAAAAGGCCTATCAGAGTAAGTATCTACCCAGGAAAGTATCATCCTGGAATTAAGGAGAAAGTCTTTCATTGGGCAGCCATTTCTTGCCTCCCAGTGCAAGTAGAGATGGAAAATTTGAAAATTTGTTATTGGATTACAATTTCCTTACCGCCTCACCCAACAAGAAGGGATCCTGGGGTGGGTGGGTTAGGGTTGTTTTTTTGCTTTTTGTAAAAATATTTAAAAATTTTCAATAAAAAAAAAGAAGGGATCCTGAAAGCTGTCCTTCAGCAACATCTGGAGGATCATACACTTTTCAATCTAGCTTACCAGCAGAGCACTGAGAAAACCACACAGGCATCTTCCAGCTTTGGAGAACTGGCGGTGTGGCTTCACAAGTGCTCGCTTGCTCGGTTTTGCGGTTCTTATATTTCAGGGGTGGTTCCTATATTTTAGGGGCTGTTTTGCGGTTCCTATATTTTGTGGTTTTTTGCGGTTCCTATATTTTAGGGGCTGCCACAAAGAAGTAGGGGTCAACGTATTCTCCAAATGATGCTCCATCATTGGAGGCTTTTAAGAAGAGACTGGAAAGCCACTTGTGTGGAATGGTATAGAGTTTCCTGCTTGAGTAGCTGGTTGGACTAGAAGGCCTTTAAGGTCCCTTCCAACTCTTTATTCTTTTATTATTCTGATCTCAACTGCCCACCAAAAGCATCCCTTTTGCTAATCAAGTGCAGTTCAACACTTCAACATATGTTTCTGTCCAGGGGAAAAAACTATTTTTCCTGATAACTTTGCTGAAAGTGGATATTTGAAACATGTGATAAATATGACCGTCAACAAAGAAATACCTGGGCAAATTTTCTAGCTTTGTGCCTTGCAAATGAATACCTGGGATAGGCTTACTCATGCCCTGAGCCATAAATAAATACTATGGCTAGCCAGAGTAAGCAGAGAGGTAATATTAGAAGTATTAGGTTGAATGTATTGTGCTTTTTTAAAATTAAGCCAGCTATCCGATTTGTTTCTCCTTTACAGCGATAGCTTGTTGGAAATTTATAAACTACTCTCTTTAAGCACTGTTGGTTTCCCAACATCCTTGTTGGGAATCTGAGCTGATGGGCACTGGGTATTTTCTCAATATTTTAACTAAAGAACGTATATGGGCTTGAATTCCTATGCTCCCTTCTTCATATGAGAAGTCTATTAATGCTGAGACAAGTTCTTGGGTTCTCCCAATTCTGAAAGTGAAGTCGATCACGCCCTCCGCAACTGATAACTGGAGCTATCAGTTTGACTGAAAGCAAAACATTGCCAGGATAAACACAGATAGGACCAGGCAACTGGCAGATATGGGTTGCCTAGGCAAATTACATTCAAACGGAACAAATTGCCGCATGTTGATGGTGTAAACCTGGGGTTCCCAACTGGGGGTACTCGCACCCCCTGAAGCTGCGAGACCATATTCCAGGGGGTACGAAAACTTGAGTTTTCAAAATTATAATCTATATGCAGGGCTTTTTTGATCATAGAACACCCGGCACCTTTTTCGGATGGAACCTTGTAGTGTAGGCAAGGCGGGTTGTATGACATGTGTGAGTTCTGGAACCTTTTTTTTAATTACAAAAAAAGCACTGCGTATATGCATAGTTCATTGCCATTATTTCAAACTTTTGTAAGGGGTGCGAGAATAAACCAGAAGCGTTCTAGAGATGAGGGGGTGAAGAAAAGGTTGGGAGCTGCTGGTGTAAACAGACCATTTTCAGTATCTTCAGCTAGAACTGAGAGGATTATTTAGCTTTGCCAGTTACATCCCATTATCTAACAGTATATTTGCTCTCTCCTGCAGATACCACTCATCATCCCTATTTTTGTGGTGCTAGTGGCCATCGTTCTGGTCTTGGCACCTATTATAAGTGAACCTGAGTTGGCATATTTGTACTGTGCCCTATTTATTCTTAGCGGACTTATCTTTTACTTTCTTTTCATCCACTATAAGTTTGGCTGGGCTCAAAAAATCTCAGGTAAGCGCATGGATAGTGAATTTCCATCTAAAAAGGGGTAGAGTTTTCCCTAAAAAACCCCGTTTAGCCCATTTTCCTGCTCCAAAGAAGCAGGAGAATGAATGCAGTCCTTAATGAACGCAGTTCATTAAAAGAGGTTATAGGATTGAATGGAATTGAGCAAAGCCATCAACAAAGCAAGGAAAGTTAAATCAGCTAAGTTAAAACCTCCTAAGAATGGAGGCTTTATAAATAGCCTCACTGAACTTTATTGCAAATGGAAGCCACTGGAGAATCATTAGCAAGTCTGCTAAGTTCTGAAATCCAAATAAAAGTGGACTTCACATTTAATTGCCAGCTCATTTTCTTTCCCTGAAACATCCTTTATACACTGATATTACCTAGTCTGGTTTTCAAACCATCTGTAGGAAAACAACCAAGCTGAGAGATCACCAAAGACTCATTTCAACCTTCAGCTACAACTATTCTCCTTTATTGGTACATTTTTTATTGATACAAGCACAGAAGTCTTTAAAAAAAAAAAGCATGGTAGAAAACTTAATTCAACACTTTTATAATCTCTTTCCTAGAATAGAAAAAAGTATCTGAGATTCTGACTTCTTCCTTCAGAATATTTCTGAAGGCTTTTCTTATTTTTAAACCGGTGGCACTTGTGGGTATCCAAGTATATATAAAATGCTTGTCTTATCAGAATGGAATTTGCAAAGTTAGATATGTGATAGGATAAAGTCCAATTTGTTATCTTTTTGATAATGACAATGTTTTGATAACGACAGCCTCCTAAAGTGTTCCTTCACATGTTATCAAAGATCAAGAATCCTTGTCCCTCAAATACTAGGCAAGGATATATCTTTAAACTTTTGATGGTTAGTTACTATGCTAAGAAGTGACGACTTAAAATCTCACTCTTTTAAAATGGCTCAAATTGGGACTTAACTTTGCTACATTAAAAAGCTTTGCTAAATTATAAAACACGTCATGGGATTAAACTTCAGTGGAACAAACTGCTTTTTACATAATGGGATAATTTTATGGGGTGGGTGGCCAGTGATTCTGAACTGACTTTCTGCTATTTCTGGGACCAACGGATAGCGAAGTTGGGAAGAAAATTATGTTGAGTTATAGTTTAAGATGAGCTCAATTGACCCCAGTATTTACTCTCTGCTAACTTCATAGCAATATACTGTTAATGTAGAATGCTGAGGACACAAGGATTTGTGACGAGATCTCTAAATTGATCTTGTTAGCGTCACCACCAGGCTCATGCAGCCAACCTCGATTTGAAACTTCTCCAGAAAAGGGAAAATATTAAAGTAATGGAATACCTATAACTCTGATAACCTCTGTTATTTCAGAGCCCATCACCATGTATCTTCAGATGTTGCTGGAAGTTGTTCCACCAGAAGAAGCTAGTGAATGAAAAAAAGATCCGATTTTTCCTTCTGAAACCGACAGAAACAAGATCCTTAAACTAGCTCAATTTTGCCAAGCAAAATTGAGCGCGGGTGCTTTACGGAGTATGTGGGAGACAGCGAAGATCTTACAAAGATTTTTTTTTCATATTTACTTACCGAGGAAGGAGGACATTTTTTTTTTTTTGCATCCATTGTGATTTAAAGATTTATAGCCAAGCATGGGGAAAAAATCAAGAAAGAGGGACTTTCCGCTGCTAAATTCAAAATGAAAAGCATTTAACAACTGAGAATGACCCTTTGGGCAGCCTCCTAGGACAGTGTGTCTGAGCCACCCATCACCCAACACAGAAGAGACCAACTCCTGCATTAGATAGGCCAGAGAGCCATATCCAAATGGCAGGGAGACGCAAAAAAGTTGGTCTGTTTACCTCTAAGAGCTGAGGAAGTTAACCAGTCTGTCCTTGGCCTCAGGAGGTGAGACAGTGCAATGCTTTCTCTGTACTTAAAGCATTTGGCAAGATCAATGGATGGGATATTGGCCTGGCATGAGCTCTAAGCCTCATAGTCTAGACAGGAATTTTCTACACTTTTCCTCCTCTGAGTCTATGTTTTCATTCCTGTGGAGCTTTAACTATGAGGTTGATGCAGAGTGTTAACAACCTTCTGGACTGTACAACGTTGGATGTTTAAGAAGCAAGGAGGACAACCGCATCGCGCCCCAAAATCTAATTGCCAAGATACAATCGGAAGATAACAAAGGTGTCTGTAGCATTTTAAAAGACTGGTGAGATTTATTACTGCAATCCTTAAAACCGGTTACTCCCCCAAATATACAGGACAGCATCGTTTTCCTTTTAGAAAATACCAAGTATGGGAGAAACCAGGACCATATCAGAGTTGGGAGACCACAGACTTTTTACCAGTACTGAATATTAAGTTTTTGAAAATTATTCAGAGGCTTTTTATAAAAATGTGAGAACTTTCAGAACTGTTTCCTAAAGGTTGCTGTTTCAATATTAGCCTCTAGGACAGTGATGGCGAACCTTTTAGAGACCGAGTGCCCCAAAACCACCCCCACCTTCGCTCTGCCCTCCCCGCTGGGCCACCCACCACCTCCACAGCCCGCCACAGATCACCCAGGCAGCCCAGCAGCACCATGGTAGCCATGCCCTTCACCCATGCCCCGCAGCATCATCTGCGTGCGATGGGGCGCAAGGGCAGTCTTGTCCCTGGTGCCCGGCTACCATGTCCTTGGCTGCGCTGCTTTGCATGGGCCGTGCCCAGGGCGACTCTCCTCTGGGGGGGGGATGCTGGTGAGGAGGGGGCCATGGGAGGAGGCAGGGCTGGGACGACGGCACGTGTGCCCACAGAGAGGGCGCCAAGTGTTGCCTCTGGCACGTGTGCCATAGGTTCGCCACCACTGCTCTAGGACAATTTTGCCTCTAAAGTAGTTTCAAGCCACAAATAGTGAAAGGTGTTACAAAACAGATGTTATTCATTTTAAATTTTAATGAACACTTCTTTTTCTCAGAAAGACAACTAACAGTTAACAAGACCAATATTAATGCAGAGAAGGATCAACTTAAACTTAAGATTGTTTGCAGACATGTACTTCCTTTGTTACTTTGATCAACTTTGCATAGCTATGGAACTAGAGGAACTGGATTGTACAGTAACTGTAGATTTTCAGACCTGGCTTATATATTTCTAACACAATGTCTAAACTTTGAAAACTTTGCTGGCTGAGGAATTCTGGGAGTTGAAGTCCAGACATCTTAAATTTGCTGGGGTTGAGAAACATCCTTATAATGAATGTGAGTGTGAAGAACTCCTGACTACAATAAAAAAACCTTTGCCCTTAACTCACAACCATATAACAGAGCCCTCTGTGTCAATAACATTTTGCAATTTAATATTCTGTATAAGTTGTGTCTATAATTACAGGTTTTCTGTATTGACATTTCAGATTTTCTAGGTTAACATTCCAAGAAATTATGTGATTTACTTTCTTCTGCTCGAGGAAGAAATATGGGATGTTTTGATTGACACAGCTGGTATATTGCAATGTCATAACAAAGCTATACGCTTGAAAGCAAAACCAAGTATGTGAACATTTTCCAAAACAAAAACACCACATTTAATATTATGAAAAAGAATCAAACGTTTTTCTTTTGCAATGTTATATTACTGCTTTATCCCTCACAAAGAATAAACTATCTCAGCATTTTAATTTCCTTAAGAGCCAGTTTACAACAAATGCTCAGCTTATCCCGTTAGCACCATATAGCATTACAAAAATATCTCAGATTATATTGTTTTTTTTAAAAAAAGCAAAATTAAAAAACATGCTTTCCTTGTGAAGTATTTTGATATAACTGCAACTTAAAAGGAATTTCCAATAGCGTACCTATCCTAGTCTAATCGTTACATTTGATGTAACTATCAATTCGTGTATCAAATTAAATTTCACCCAAATTTGTTAATATTCATTTGCAACGAGCATGTTTAGAATTATAACTGTCAATAATTGTGCAAATTATTGCACAAATGTGGCACCCCGCAGAAGTTCTGTTTTCAACATCTGGGTCATCAAAATTTAATAAAATGCTGAGATTGCATCACTATGTAAAAGCCACCTGATGCACTTGCAAAGGGTTTTGTACTATCTATTTTAGATACTTTAAACTTGTAGGGGATCAAAAACTAAAGCCCAAAATATAATTAACAAGAGGATAAATCACTCTCTGAATCACTGTCTTTTGAAGATTCCTCCTCCTCCTCTTCCTCTTCACACACCCCTATAGGAATCTGATACTCTTTCTTAAGACTTGATCCTGATAGAGAAAATCACATTGTTGTTATACAAAGGTATGAAAACAGACTTTTAAAGAATACTGTACATTTATAAGCCAGCTTTCAGCTTTACCATGAAATACAGTGTAATCTACAAACAGATCCCTGCATTGGTACTATGCAGGTATGAGTTGGCCCATGTCTCAGTTTGCGTTTGGTTGACCAGGTACACAAGCTCATGGAAGAGATCAAACTTACAACGGCACTGAAAAAAAAAGACTTAAGAGGTGTTCTACTATTTACGAACTTTACAGCATCCCCATAGTCACGTGATTTGGGTGCTTTGGCAACTCGCATGTACCTATGACAGTTGCTGTGTCCCAAGTCACGTAATCATCATTTCTAACCTTCCCAGATGGCTTCTGACAAGCAAAGTCCATGAGGGAATCCAGATTCACTTAGCAACGGCAATAATTCACTTAACAACTGTGGCAAAACGGTTGTAAAATGGGGCACAATTCACGCAACAATTGTCTTGCGTAGCAACAGAAATTTTGGGCTCAAGTTGAGGACTACCTGTACACCCCATTTCCAATGTGATATATGAAGGTGGATACAGTTCTTCCCCAGAACAGTTTGCAAAAGCACAGAACCACTTCCCATCACTTTAGAGGTGAAGATGCTGCACATAAAACAGTGAACTGCTTACCTACACCGAACGGGCTTCTTTCCTCATTATCATCCAAATAATCAAAGTCAAAAGATACATGATGATTCTGTTGACAAATATTTTAAATGCCTCATTATATCATGCAAATGCTTTAGCAACTATCTTTATTATTATTATTATTATTATGGATCATCGCACAGTCAGCCAGATGTTCAGACTGGATTTGGCATTTTGTCTACCTATCGAGTCCTTACCCAGGACCTGGGATAGGCAGATGTGGATGTTTGATGGTATTACAGATATCGTCGCAGGATGGAAGCAGTTCCTAATAAGGCCGCCTTTTGCAATTGACTAATAGCGAATTTGTCAATGCCAATGGTGTTCAAGTGGTGCTCCAGTTGTTTTGGGATTGCACCCAAGGAGCCTATCACTATTGGTACTACCCTTGCTTGCTTTTGCCACAGTCTTTCTTCTTGTTCTATTATTATTATTACTATTATTATTATTATTATTGTTATTTACAACTCACCTTCTGTTTTAACAAGTTGTACCAAGGTTCCTTCTTCACTTTTACAAGGAGAATGGTGGGCTCATCGCCCTTAAGTACACAAGTTGATTTCTCTCTAAGGATACTTCTCTGCAGCTCCATATCGGCGAAATAAAATTTGCCATTTGCCAAAGCACTGCACAAATGTTAAAATATCCGTTGGTCAAAAAGCAGTAAAACCATACTTGGAAAAGATTTGGTCTATACAAATCAACCTACCTGAAAGTGATCCTCTGTTCAAAAATCCTGCAGTCATAATTACGAATGTTTTGCAATTTTATCTTTACAACAACAACATCTTCCTTGTCAAACCATTTTATTGTTGGATGGAAGCTGAAATGTTAAAACAGTGGGTTAACGTGGATGTTTAAAATACAAATGCTGCTCATATACGAAGCTAGATACGGTACTCATGAAGTAACTTAGCTTATAGGCAGTGTTTACTACTCTTCCATGAATAATCTAAATAAATTTGTCTGTTCCACCCACCCCCAAATCAGCAAAACAAAGCATCCAACTGAAAAGTTGAATATTTATTCATTGACTGAGATCTTGGCCATGACCCCAATAAGTTGAATTGCTTAATCCTGCCAGCTACATTATGTAATTGCATTTTGCATAGATAGATGCAACTGTTCAAGCTTTACATTATAAAACTAAAAACAAATATACTCTGAAAGAAGATACAGTATCATCAAGTAGGGTAAAAACATTTAAGGAAAGAATAATTAGGTATTGAAATTGGAAGAGTAAAGTACTTAATTTTTTTTTTAAGTAGAAAAATAAACATTATTTGATTCCAAAGCCATGCAGCTTTGGTGATATGTAAAAACAAGAAACAATATACAGAATGCGTGAAGAAAAGAGGGAATCACTTTTGGGGAATTTGCAGGATGTGTGTGTGTGTGTGTGTTTGTGTCTTTGCCAGTTTGCCTTTCGCTCTTCCACAATTTTTGTGGAAATAATTTTGCTGTGATGCTGCCTCACTCTTTAAAAAAGCATTTTTTAGTTGTCTGGCTGGTGACTAGTGCAGTGGTGGCGAACCTATGGCAGGTGTGTGCCAGAGGCGGCACTCAGAGCCCTCTGTGGGTACGCGCACCATGCCCCGAAGATGGCAACCATCCCTCTTCAACCAGCCGCCCGCTAACTCGCCGAGATCCCACATGGCCAGATGCATCCCAGCACCCATGCGCTCGCTGGCTTCTGTGTGCAGGGGCCGATGGTGTCAGGCAGCAGCCACCCTGGCCCCTGCCTCACCTTGCCCTGTGACAATGGCACCCCTGCCCTGCCTCGCCTTGCTTCACCCAGCAGGACAAGCCTCCTGCCCAACGCCCCACCTGCCAGAGACCCCTTGGATCTCTCCCCAACCCTGCCCGGCCCCCACAGGCGTCCCTCCCCACGAGCAACATCGAGGTGATCACGCCCACCTTGTCCACACCCACCCAATCTGCCATGACCACCACAGCCACGCCCACCCAGTGAGCCACACCCCTCTGGCACCCGGTGATAAATAAGTGGGTTTTGGGTTGCAGTTTGGGCACTCGGTCTCTAAAAGGTTCGCCATCACTGGACTAGTACATGATTTGCATGTCAAATAAGATACTTTCCACCACTGCTCAAACAACTCTAACTTTGGACTTCCTCTGAGTTTTAAAACTTCACCAATGGGTATTTTCCAGATACCTTCTAAAAGCAGCCCTTTGAACCCCGGGATAGACAAGGAGAGAACAAGAAAAACATTCCTCTCCACCTGCTCCGTAGAACTAAGGCACATATAAAGGTTGATACCGTTTAGGCAAAGTCTGTGGAACATCTTCCGTGTTCTTCTTTTGCACCGCTTCATCTAAATTAAGAAACAAAACAAGTTAAATTCTTTTCCAGATTTCAATGGGTAAACTGAATGCAATGTTTCCAATTGCATTTAATTAATTAGAAAGGTTGTTTCAAGGTAAAGATAGCTACAGAACAAAAACAGTCCTCATCTCAATATATTTCAAATGGCAATCATCAGCACTAATGTTGCTGAAGTATATTAAAGGACTGAAAAGGAAACAGCATCTCTCAGAAAGCAATTCTCTGACATATTGTGCCTTGGCGCTGGATGTTTCCAAAATGCCAAACCGAAGAGAAACAAGCCAAGTTTGCACATGCCTTTTTCCTTAGTCCTCTGCAATCGTACCATTAAGGATCAGAATTTTTCGCAGAACATAGAATCATAGGGTTGGAAGAGACCTTGGAGGTCTTCTAGTCTGACCCCCTGCTGAAGCAGGAGACTCTGCATCTTTCCTGTTTTTCGGAACAAAATTCCTCCTATGGACGCTACATTCCGCACGTTCATTTACTGCACTGTACTTACTACAATGGTTTTCTAAAGAGACTTGAGAATCATCATCATCGATAGTATCTTGGCTCTGTGGCGATTTCTGTACAATGGGTAGGGCTTGTTTGTTTGAGGTCTCCGAGATAAGAGTTGCAGGATCTGAGACTTTCTGTTCAGCAGGTTCGGCCTTCTCCTTTCTCCCATCCGTGGGGGGAGGTACTCTGGAATGGAGAGACAAGATCCATATCTACACCTTACAGGGACTTTCGTGGCCCAAACGTTGGATCAGCAGAGCTTTTAGTCAAGGGAAAACGGGTTTAGCTTCAAACAATATATATTTTAAAGCTCTCAGATCTTTTTTTTTTTTTTTTGCGCTAATACCAAAGCTCAAGGAAGCACCTGTCTTCTACTTTGTTGCTGGCGATAGGACAACACTGCAACCTTGATGATGGCCTTGAATTTTGATTAGATAGGTCTGTTGTTACAGAAACGACTAGTATACACTACTATATAAAAGTAGAAAGCTGAGGTTTTATGTTACCGTCTTATTCTATTGCACCAAAAGGAGTTGGAAGTCAATGCTTTCCTTTTCCTTTTCCCCTTTACCCTACACTTTTTTTTCTCTTCCCTTTCCCCACCCTTATTTGCATTTGTCTTTGTATTTCTGTATTTCAGGGGTTCTCAACCTTGGCAACTTTTAACACTTGTGGACTTCAACTCCCAGAATTCCTCAGCCAGCTTTAATTCTGGAGTTGAAGTCCACAAGTCTTAAAGTTGCCAAGGTTGAGAACCTCTGCTGTATTTTATATCTTGATAGACTAATAAAATGTTTGAAGGCAGATGCTCTCAAGTGGCCTGAGTGCAAGAACTGGCTGGCAGGGAAGCCAGGGTGTATGGAAGGAAGCCCACTAAGGTGGCCTCTTCTTGAAAACCTTTGCACCAGGCATCAAGGAGGCAAACCATAGACAGCTACTTAGAAATGCAGTCAGACCAATTGGTTTAACAATGCCTCTTTTGTTTTTGTAAAGAATGCAGAAACCTTGGGAGATGCTTGTATCTAATAGGACAAAAATAAAAAAAATTGCTAGAAAAAGAACGCCATTCTCGACCAAGTTGGAAAGCAAAGAGCTGTATTCTTGGTTCTTTGCTCCCCTCTAGTGGATTGTGAGGTTTAGGTTTCTGTGGAAACCTAAAGCTGGAGCTTTCTGGCAAGAAAGTGGAAAGGTGGAGGTTGGTTCCTAGCCTCCATCCAAGGAGCATCTCTGCTCCGAGAAGGGAAGCAGGATGATTCAGGCCACACTTGGAATCCTGCATCCAGTTTGCATCCAGGGATGCAAAAAAGATGCTGAGACTCTAGAAAGAGTACAGAGAAGAGCAACAAAGATGATTAGGGGACTGGAGGCTAAAACATATAAGGAAAGGCTGCTGGAATTGGGTATGCCTAGTTTAATGATGAGAAGGACAAGGGGGGACATGATAGCAGTGTTCCAGTATCTCAGGGGCTGCCCCAAAGAAGAGGGAGTCAAGCTATTCTCCAAAGCGCCTGAGGGCAGGACAAGAAGCAACGGATGGAAACTAACCAAGGAGAGAAGCAACCTAGAACTAAGGAGAAACTTCCTGACAGTTAGAACAATTAACCAGTGGAACAAACTCCCACAACCACTGGAATATTATAGGGCATGAAACTAAGTACTAATATAATTATTTAACGAGTATCATTTCAACTTGATTCTGAATAGCCACCATCCAGTTTCAGTGTATGCAGCCAGTGATTACCCATAAAATATATCTTACAATGCAGGCTTATCTTTTTTCTCATGGGGTATTTCAGCCTCATTAAATAATTTCTTAAGTTCCTGTATATGCTCAGGATTGTCTACTCCCAATCCAGTAGATAGGATTTCAGAGCGGATATTATATTCGTTGATGGAAGTTTTCAGGTCTTGAAGTTTAGTGATTCGAATCTAGAATTACAAACAAGTGACATTTATTTATTTGCAGACTTATTCTTTGCTGCTCCATATTACTGCATGACTCTTGCTCCTACTTATGACCACAATCTCATCCTTTTGTTATTTTATCCGGTCTCTTGGAAGATGGTCATCCACCGAGACTGCATTTTTAATTTTGGACATTTCTAGAGCCAGCTAGACCTTACTGTCCTTCTCTTGGTTCTAAGATTTAAGTTTCAAGTAGATGTAAAAAAAAATGACAAAAAAAGAAAGCAAAATTCTGTTGAAAATTAGAATTTCAAGGTACTGCTCACATCTATTACCCAGAAGAAATTACCTATTCAGTCTAATTTCAAAACCTGGGAAAACTTTCAAATCAAGTAGCTGACTTAACAATCATCCGCTAAGTGACTGTTTGAAGTTACAGCAGCACTGCTGAAAGTGACTTACAATCAGTCCTTGTACTTATAATTATTGCAGCATCCCCATGGTCATGGGATCAAAATGACCGTGCTTGGCAACCAGCACATATTTACAACAGTTGCAGTATTCCAGAGTCACGTGATCGCCATTTGCGCCCTTCCCAGTTGGCTTCCAACAACCAAAGTCAACGGGACAAGCTGGATTTGCTTAACAACCACGTGATTCACTTAACAAATGCAGTGATTCCTTCAATATGGCAAAAAAAAAAAAAAGATTGTAAAATCAGGCGTGACTCAACTCAATGGAAATTCTGGCTCCAATTGTTGTCATAAGTTGAAGACTATTATTATTGTTATTATTATTTTCAAAGGAAGAAAATAGGGGACAGTTGAAACTCTGCATTACATACCACTGGATCTACCCAAATTGTATTTCCCAGGATAAGTGCTATTTTTGCTTCATGTGGTTTCCCTCTGATTTTGTCATTAATGTATCTAGACACCTAACAAAAAACAAAAACAATCTTCAGAGGAGAGGCACGTTCCTTTTCAATGACTGTAACATCCTTTTTAATAGAAGCTTACTGAAGTAGTATAGTGTAGCCGTAGGGCAAGCAATTATACGAACAGGTGCCTATTAAATATGTTAATTAACACATAAGGATTCAGTGTATCCCAGTTATTATTCTGCACAATGAAAGAATTAAAAATAAACCGGGGGGGAAAAAGCATATTGGTTGTTTCTTGTTTAAAAATCAGGCATTTAGGCATTATTTAGCATGATAGTTCATCAGAACATCTGGAAAAGATAATATCTGAATTATTAAGACAAAAGTATTCGGTGTTTGCAAAGAACAAAAACCAAATCAGATGAACTCCAAATTTTGAGAACTTACTTTTGGATTCCATTCTGCTTCATTATCGATGGGTTTAACCCTACAAACTATGAACTCCACAGCCTGAGGAGGCAACGCTCGAAACTGTTCCGGTAAACTTAGCAAGTTATAATTTTGAACATAGCCAGTTCTGCCTTCATCTATGTACTTGATGTGAACGTTGTAAAACACACCGGGGTCTTCTTTTTGTCCAATGTCCAGCACTTGAACCCTTTAAGAGAACGCAGGAAAAAGACACCAGGAAATTCCAACTATTAAAACACGCAAATTGGCCCTTTGTGTGTTTTAATAGTACACACTACCACAGTGTGTAATTCAGGGCAACAAATGAACTGGGCATTCAGTTCATATTCCCTAAGCCAGTGGTGGCGAACCTATGGCACGGATGCCAGAGGCGGCACTCAGAGCCCTCTCTGTGGGCACGTGCACCATCGCCCCAGTCCTAGGCCTTCAGCTGGGTATTATAAAACCTTTTTGCTTTAGGCCTCCGCCGCCGTGTGCAAAAAAAAAAAAAAAAAGTTCAATCAATCAGTCAATTTCAACTTCTCGCAGAAAAAAAAAAGATCTTGCAAAGTTGGAATTGATTGATTGTACTTTTTAGTCCCACCCACTGCTGTTACCACCGCAGCCACACCCACCCAATGGGCCACACCCACCTGGCACCTGAGGATGCATAAGTGGGTTTTGGTTTGCAGTTTGGGCACTCGGTCTCTAAAAGGTTTGCCACCACTGCCCTAGGCCTACAACCTACAACCATCTTTGGCCTTTAAGATTCTGCCGCTCAAACAAACCTGTTTGGGGAGGTAACTTTAAGGGTGAGACTTTCCTAAAGCTCACAAGGAGGTTGGCTATCTCTGCATAGGGCCTACATATGGTCCATTCGTTACCCTGGTAGTAATGAAGTTAGGCAAGAAAGAGACTCTCTGACAGACCAGGAAGTGAGTCTATGGACACAGTGACATTTAGGGAAACAGCGTTGTCTGCTGCTTCTTCTTCTAATTTAGACCATCAATACACCAGTCGTTACACAGAGAGCCCTCCGAGTGTGTCATTCATTTAGTGATTGCTGTGGAAATTATGGTAGTGCTGAAAAAAAAAAGGAGGTACACCCGGTTGTTGAAGTTCCAGCCACTGCAGCACCCCTATGATTGGAATCTGGGCGCTCTGCTCGCAGTTATGACATTGGAGGGAGCTGCGGTAACATGGTCACCTTTTGCAATCTTCCCACAAGCAAAGTCTATGGGGAAGCTGGTAGGGAAGTTTGCAAATTGCTCTGGTCAATTCCTCCTGTTTTCTTTCCGCAGCCTCTACTAGTCCTCCTGCAACTGTTATCAGTTCTTCCCTGGCCTCCAGCAGCACCCCACCACCACTCCTTAACTGGGACTCCTGCACCCCTTAATAACCGTCAGGTCTTGGAGTTATGATTGCAACTGGGACCGCTATTGCCACGTGGTGTGGTCATGTGGCACTGTGCTTTATGACTGCAATGCTCAGGGATGACTAAATTAATTTATTTCTACCACAGCCCACATATCCTACCTATGGAAAGACTTTTCTTCCCGCAGTCCGTAGATTGCCAGCTTCTCCACTTTGTCAACCGAGGTCCGCTTGCTAGATTCCTGATAGTAATCCTTTATCGCCGTTTCAAGAGCTGTGTAGGAATGACCCCACTTCCCTACCAGGCGGCCGAAGTAGTTTGTGGCATCCACGATAAAAAGAGGCAGTATCTGAAAATAGAAAACGTGTGTAAAAGGCACGGCACAATTCCCGGAAATCAACAAAGGAAGATTTCTACCAGGAATTATACTTATTGTAAATGCCCATTAAAAATGCACCTGTTTTAACTGCTTTCTCCCCGTTTGCTTTTTTGTTCAAGGCTTGGGGGGTTTTTTTTGGGGGGGGGAAGAGGGGAACAGCTAGCACCAAAGTATAGGAAGCTGAAACAATTCTGCGAGATCTTCTAAAACAGTGATGGTGAACCTTTTAGAGATCAGGTGCCCCAAAACTGCTCCCCCACCCCTGCTCCGCCCCTTGCCCCACCCACCTGCAGGGCCACGCACTGCCTCCATGGCCTGCTGCAGCAGATCGCCAGGCAGCCCTGCAGCACCATGGCAGCCATGCCCTCTGCCCATACCCCACAGCATCATCTGCACGCTATGGGGTGCGAGGGCGGAGTCTTGTCCCTGTTGCCTGGGGGAACTCTCCTCCAGGGGGGCTGCTGGTGAGGGGGGGCTGTGGGGGGAGGCAGGGCTGGGGCAACGGACAGGGCTCCACGTGCCGCCTCTGGCACCCGTGCCATAGGTTCGCCACCACTGTTCTAAAACAATGCAAGACACGGGGCAGTTGGGGTGATATCCAGCTGCAGAGAGAGGCATGGTGCACGAGGGAAAGTATTTTCTGTGAGAAAGGGGAACAAGCTTCCCACTCTGATCCACAGGGCGACTGCCCTGGGCCATGGATGCTCCTCCCCTCTGACAACAAGTTTCTGCATCCATCTCTGTTGGGTTGTGTGGAAGAAAAACATCCACACCTGGTAGCCATGGTTTTCTTTCCTTTTTCCTTTTGCTGTGGGAGGAATAGCAACCTCATGCAACTCAGGTAGTCCTTGACTGACAAGGGTTTGTTTAGTGACTGTTCAAAGTTACAATGGCACTGAAAAAAAGTGACTTATGATTTCTCATGCGGTATGTCCACGGTCATGTGATTTACATTCAGATGCTTGGCAACTGACTCATATTTACGACGGTTGCAGTGTCCCGGGGTCACGCGATCCCCTTTTGCGACCTTGTGACAAGCAAAGTCAAGGGGGAAGCCAGATCCACTTAACCTTTGGGTTTAAGGTGACCTGTTTTATGATTTCTTGCTGGGACATGAAACCCAACCAAGTCCAGCTTCCAGAAAGGATAGGTTTATTCTCATTACACACAATCACATTCAGAACGGAGTTTCATCTCCTGCCCGCGTTTAGAGTTGCAAAGACCTGCTCACCTATTTTAAATATTTAGAAACTGAAGGTGTTTTACAGACTCACTGTTATAACTCCACCTGCTTGCAGAGCTTCATCGGCTATTTTTGAGGGCATGTCAGTCTGAAGGTTAATGCGATGGCGATCTGGACAGCGGTTTCTATTTCTGTGTGATCATAAGGAGACAATTAAATTAAGTAACACAAGAATATTAGGATAGCAATTCCAGAATGTTGCGCTGTTTGGAACCACAGAATAAAGCAAGCCATTACGAAAAAGTAATCTATGTAATCACAGGGGCAGAAATGTCCACAAAACAAACATTTACAAACTTGTCACTGGAGCACAAGAGAATGTTATGGTGAATAAAAATCAAAGGTTCTACAAATCCCAAATGAGAGCCACAGAGCCCTGCATTCCTGAACAATTCTGCCTCGACAAATCCATGCTTTGATGCTGTTCTTCTCCATGTTGAGACTCTAGAAAGAGTACAGAGAAGAGCAACAAAGATGATCAGGGGACCGGAGGCTAAAGCATATAAGGAACGGCTGCTGGAATTGGGTGTGTCTAGTTTAACAAAGAGAAGGACGAGGGGGGGACATGATAGCAGCCTTCCAATATCTCAGGGGCTGCCCCAAAGAAGAGGGAGTCAAACTATTATCCAAAGCCCCTGAAGGCAGGACAAGAAGCAATGGATGGGAACTAATCAAGGAGAGAAGCAACCTAGAATTAAGGAGAAACTTCTTGACAGATAGAACAATTAACCAGCGGAACAACCTGCCTCCAGAAGCGGTGAATGCTCCAACACTGGAGGTTATTAAGAAGAGACTGGACAGCCATTTGTCTGAAATGGTATAGTTTCCTGCCTGAGCAGGGGGTTGGACTAGATGACCTCCAAGGTCCCTTCCAATTTTACTATTACTATTATTATTATTCCTTAACAAGCTGTTTTGATAAAAAGCCAACTCTTATTCTTCCTTCCTGTTAGTTGAATGGCTCAGATGTTTCACATTATCAAAGGATAATATAATGCGGCCAGAACAATTCTCCCAAACTGCTGCCATTCAATTACTGCCTGCTATGTTTTGCTAAGTTATGCTGTTATAGCAGGAGAACTTGGTAAACAACGGCTGAAACTAATGGCCCTGGCCCAAAGGTGCTTTTCCAAAAAGCAGCTGGACTGTTTTTCCTTGAAGACGTTTCGCTTCTCATCCAAAGAAGCTTCTTCAGTTGAACCGACGAAGCTTCTTGGATGGGAAGAGAAATGTCTTCAGGGCAAAAACAACTTTCGGCTGCTTTTCGAAAAAGCACCTTTGGGACAAACATGACTTGGGTGACCGAGAGTCTCCACTGACATAACTGGACTTGCCATTTCCTTACTTGCATATTCCATAGGCCTTAATGGAATGACAAATTGGCTGCCCGCTTCTCTTTTCCTCTTTGGCTTCCAAGATTCCCCGGGTAAAGTTGTACAAGTCGGGGGGGATGAAGGCGTCTGCCCGTTTCAAATAATGCAACACTCCAACGGCGTGGCGGGCGTTTTTCTCTGTCAACAGCAAGATGGATTTGGCTTTGCTCTGTTCTTTTCCCAGTGATGGACTCTTTGCACGGACAGAAGAAAAAGGTCGGAAGAACAGAAGAAGAGATCATTACATTGTGAGTTGGACGGAAAATTCTAGGCATAAATAAAAAAATCCTTTTTTTCTAGGCATAAATTAAAAATCCTTTTTTTGGGGGGGGGGAGGAAATGAATGAGAAGTAGAGTTATTGGCAGAGCAAGAGGATCAAGGGCCACTGAAGTGTCTTAGAGCAGTGGTTCTCAACCTGTGGGTCGGGACCCCATTTGGGGTCGAACAACCATTTCACGGGGGTCGCCAAACAACGCAGTCCGCCATTTTTTTCCCCTTTTCCTTAGCTGTGCTACTCTCTTTTATTCTGTTGGCTTTTGAAAGCCAATAGAATAGACTCTCTTGAATAGAGTCTAATTCAATTGGCTTTCAAAAGCCAATAGGAATTGTCCAGGCTGTCTCTGCCCTGCTGAGCCTGCCAAAAGTCCCAGTCTGCAAACGGTGCTGCACCAGTTGAGTAGTCCTCAACTTACGACCGGTCGAGTAGTACTCAACTTACGACCGGTTGGGGGTCGCGGCATTAAAAAGGTTGAGAACCACTGTCTTAAGAGAGAAAAGAGGGAAAGACCCAGTGAGAGCTTTTCAGTTTGAAATTGCAGAACTGTAATTACATGCTGACAAACAATTTATGAGGATTTACTCAGACCTTCTTTACTGGATTCTGGAAGTTAACGGACAGGCCGTGTAGACGGGCACCAAAGATTCTTGGAGTTGGAGGAAAGCTGAAATGAACGACACGTGTTGCGTCTGTAAATCTTACAGCTGCCATGCAGTCATCCGTTAAAACTGGAAACAAAAACCAGAAGATCCATAAGGCAAAAGCCTCTTTTTATGTGCTGTCAAAAACGGGAAAGAACACCCCTCTTTCTAGGTACATCTACCTCACTTTATAATCCACACAAGCCTACAGGATTCTGTAAGTTCAGTTCTTACATAAGGATTCATCTCATTGCCTGATTCCTAAATTAAAGGAGTGTTCCTATATATGGCTTTCAGAGTATTAATTAGTTACTTGGGAGGAAGCGACAAATAAGACAAACCACACCCTTTACATGCAGAAAATAACCACCTGGAACAGGTAGACAAGATGGGTTAATACAGTGGTTCTCAACCTTTTTAATGCCGCGACCCCCAACCGGTCGTAATCAAGGACTACTCAACCGGTCGTAAGTCGAGGACTACTCAACTGGTGCAGCACCGTTTGCAGAATGGGACTTTTGGCGGGCTCAGCAGGGCAGAGACAGCCTGGACAATTCCTATTGGCTTTTGAAAGCCAATAGAATTAGACTCTATTCAAGAGAGTCTATTCTATTGGCTTTCAAAAGCCAATAGAATAAAAGGGAGTAGCACAGCTAAGGAAAAGGGGGAAAAAATGGCGGACTGCGTTATTTGGTGACCCCCGTGAAATGGTCGTTCGACCCCAAATGGGGTCCCGATCCACAGGTTAAGAACCATTGGGTTAATAGAAGCATCGAGAATACTGTTCTTACTAATTCCATCTCTTGTTTTTCATTATATGATTAACCCCTACCCTAAGGTTTAATAAGACCATCGTGATAGCTGGTCACAATCGAATTTACACTGATCTTAATCTAAATGCTTTATAAATTAATCAATTAAACCATAAGTAGGGAAGCTCAAGAGTCAATCGGATTTCGAGAAAGAGCCTAGAGAAGGTACTTACCCAATACAACATGGGTGCCAGGGCTGATGGTTTTGTTCCACTGCTCAGCAATATAATCAGAATGAAATCCAACTCCTGGGTTTATTTTCAAGCAAAAGAGTGAAATGCTCTCTACCGCCTGAGGATGCAATCACGTCAAATAATATGCCACGTTTTAAGAGAATTTTCATTAAAAGCTCGGTTGACAGAAAGTAACTCAAGTCATATAATGTGAGCCATTTATTTGGGTCAGAGGAGGACGTGCGAATCCATTCCTTATTGCTCACCCATCTATTACAACTCCCACAACAAACCATGCTTAACATCCTTCCTTAACTTTGCTTAAACATAGGTTCTAAAACGGGGGCATCCAGCCTTGGCAATGTTTAGGGAAGGACATACCTTGTATACCATGTCTCTTTCTTCTAGAGAACTTGTAAAAATCAGAGTCTTTTGAGCATCTGTCGGGGTAAAGTCTAATGTCTGAAGTAAAGTGGAGATCCTGTCACACTCAAGACACAGCTGCACAACCTGAAACGACATGTTATTCAAACTTGTCAGAATGCAAATCGTTCGTTTTAAAAAGCCTTTCAGCAAGTGATTTAGAAATGCAAACCTAGCTCCATGATGATTATTTTCTTAGGCAGAAATCCGCAATCATTTTTTTATACGCGGTCAAAGGACCAAAAAGATAGAAATTGCCAATGGTTCAGCTGACGCCCAATTTCATCCTTGGTTCTGAGGGGACAATACAGGGAGTCCTCAACTTACGACTGCAACGGAGCCCAAAATTTACGTTGCTGAGGGAAACATTTTAAAGTGAATTTTGCCCCATTTCGCGACTTTTCTTGCCACAGTTGTTAAGTGAATCATTGCAGTTAAGTTAGGAACATGGTTGCTAAATCAGGGGTTCTCAACCTTGGTAACTTTAAGACTTGTGGACTTCAACTTCCAGAATTCGCTTCTGAGGAATTCTGGGAGTTGAAGTCCACAAGTCTTAAAGTTGCCAAGGTTGAGAACCCCTGTGCTAAATGAATCTGGCTCTCCCCCTCATCTTTGCTTGTCAGGATGCAAAAGGAGATCACATGACCCCAGGACACTGTGACCATCATAAATATGAATCAGTTGGCAAGCATCTGAATTTTGACCACGTGATCTTCGGGATGCTGCAAAGGTCATAAGTGTGAAAAATGGTCATAAATCACTGCTAGAACGGTCACTACATGAACTGTTGTAAGTCGAGGACTACCTGTACTGAATTTTAGAGATGCCATAACACATTTTTTTTTCCCACAGAAGAATCTTTTCCCACCTGGACACTCTTATATGCCATGAGCTGAGCAGCACAGAAATTTGACGATTGTTATGGTTTAATATGACTTTTATGCTTTTTACCTATTAGAGCAATCTCAATAGCTGCCTTTGGTGCATGTGCTAAGTTAAAACCCACCATTATATAGACAAGACATATAAAAGCAAATTTTACCTGTTGCACTTTCCCATATATGGCAGCTTCTTCCATGGAGGTAATTACAATATATGGATCGTTCATAAATTCTTTTGATAAAATCTCTACGTTTTTGTCCCAGTGGTTTCCAACAGCAACAATCTGCTGCGGTGAAAACTCCTTTTCTTCAACACTCAGGATAGATTTATAGTATTCTAAAATGCTAAGTATCTATAAAAAGGGATTAAAGCTTCATCGTTACCTTCTGCATTTTCTTTTTTTCAATATAAAAGTTTTAGTTGAGTTTTATGGAGTTAGGGAAGGGATAGGACCAGGATAGGGATTAAGGTTCAGGGTGGGGTTAGGATTGGGAACAACATTGGGTTGCCCCCTCCAATAACATTTTCAAGCTTTAGCAAACAGACTATTGTCTGGGTATATATGCTCAGTTAACACTAATTAATATAACAGTAAATAGCTGTAGTGAATATGATAAACAATCATAAACAATATCAATTGGTCAATACATATCATTCTTCTTGCTAATATATATTCAAAATAACGTATCAGATTCGTTACCTTCTGCATTTTCAACAGAGAATGGCTATATAGGAGATTTATGAATGGAAATGATGGGGCAGGAAAACAGCATCTTACTACCTGCTCCTTTGAAATGAATTATGATTTGGGCGTATGTATTGCTAGATCCACACTTTTTCTGTTTTTCTTCCCATTCCATTGCATCAATTGCATCAAGTTCAAGCTCTCTGCCCCAATGAAATATTTTATTTATAGGGAGTAACATAAAAGCGCAGCTGATTGTTTTGGCAGAGGGGGAAGAAATCTTTTCTGCCACTTATTCCTTCATCAGAGGCCAAAAGGTGCTTCCAAGCCCAAACTCACCTGATCTTTAGCTTCTGAGAATAATACATCAACCTCATCAAACACCAGATGACACAACCTAAGGAAGACTAAACTGTGATGCTCAAGCAGCCGCAAAAAGCTAAGTGGGGTTGTTACAATGATTTCACCTGTAAAATGAAAAGGAGCGCATCGTTTGTACCAGCTCATCGGATTCAAAAGTGAAAATAAAACATTAGTAACGGCTCAAATACACTGACACTAACTGGTATCTCTGAAGGATACTCTAGCCTGGGGAAAGCTGGGAAATCTGAGGTAATTTGTTATGCTTTGTGGCTTATAGTGATGCTTCTTACAAACCCCGTTACCTGAAACGAAGAAAGCTTTCGTTTGTTTTGGCTATCAATACAGGTCAGCCTCAACGTACGACCACAACTGAGTCCAAAATTTGTTATCTAAAGACTTTTTAAAGTGAGTTTTTTACAACTGTTCTTGCCTGAGTTGTTAAGTGAATCACTGCAGTTTTTAAGATAGTAACAATTTTTAAGTGAACCTGGCTTCCCCATTGACTTTTGCTAGGTCACAAAAGTGATCCCATGATCCTGGGACCCTCCAACTGTCATAAATATGAACCAGTTGCCAAGCGTCCGAGTTCTATCATGTGACCGTGGGGACACTGCAGTGGTGGTTAAGTGTGAAAAACAGTCATAAGTCACTTTATTCAGTGACGCTGTAACTTTGAACGGTCACTAAATGAACTACTGTTAAGTTGAGGACTGTCTATGGTTACGGTTAAACAGTTTAAGAGACAGAGCAACAAAGATGATTAGGGGACTGGAGTTAAAACATATAAAGAATGGTTGCTGGAATTGGGTATGTCTAGTTTAATGAAGAGAAGGACGAGGGGGGACATGATAGCAGTGTTCCAATATCTCAGGGGCTGCCCCAAAGAAGAGGGAGTCAAGCTATTCTCCAAAGCGCCTGAAGGCAGGACAAGAAGCCACGGATGGAAACTAATCAAGGAGAGAAGCAACCTAGAACTAAGGAGAAACTTCCTGACAGTGAGAACAATTAACCAGTGGAACAACCTGCCTCCAGAAGCGGTGAATGCTCCTACACTGGAAGTTTTTAAGAGACTGGACAGCCATTTGTCTGAAATGGTATATGGTTTCCTGTCTGAGCAGGGGGTTGGACTAGATGACCTCCAAGGTCCCTTCCAACTTTACTATTATTATTATTATTACAATGACATTATTCTAAAATTCTGTTCCTCCTGCTTAGGATTGCTCTGACTTTATCTGCTCATTCCTTCACGTGGGCAATACAATTAATCAAGTTTTGCTTACATCCTCTTGAAATTCTTACATTCTTGATTTCTTCCTTATTCATTCCCAGAAAAAGCAACATCGGGTGGAGAGGCCGGGAGCAATGGGTGTACTTTTTCAGGAGCTCAAATACCAGTTCTGCTTTCTTCTGGCCAGGACATATGATTAATGCTACTGGCTACATACACAAAACATTATACAGAGATGAATCAGAAATTATGTAGATTGCACTTCTTAAAAAAGTAAGTTGATTATGCATTGCAAACAATACAAACTTACTCAGATACCCCAACATTTTACAATGTTTACCCATGTTTTTTTGATTGATTTATTGCTATCTTTAGATCACTGCCCTCTTTCTAAAATCATTTTTCCTTCCATGCAAAAAAATTCATTAAAAAAAAACACATTCAAAAATGCAACAAGATAACTATGAACAATAATAATAACCTAACTATAGCCTACTTTAAGTACTTGCCACCAGTTAAGGCAATTGTGAAGCATTAACTGAATATTCCACTTACACCGTGTCTAGCTGATAAGGATATGTAGCAATTTCTTGATTGCAAAAATGTAATGATGGGCAGAAGATATGAAAGTGGATTACTTTCAGAAGAGATAATAAGTGAATCATATCCACGGGCTATTGCAGGCCAGGAATAAGACTGTACGTGACTAGGTCCTTGGAACTGATTTCTTAAAAGTTCCTTTCAGAAAAGAAACACAAAATAGTTGGTTAAATATTGCTTACAAGAAATAGAACAGAATACTTTATTTGACCAAGTGTGACTTGGCACACAAGAAATTTGCTTCCGGTGCAGAAGCTCTCAATGTACATACTAAATATACTTAGACACAGTACAATACTATGAGGATTAGCTGTTCAGTAGAGCAGAGGTCCCCAACTTTTTAGGGACCGGTTTTTCCGCGGACCGAAGGGTGCATGGTTTTGTGTGCTGCCTGCATCTCATGGATGGGGCTTTGCTTGTTTGTGCGGCTCGGTTGCTGGCCCACAGACCAGGGGTCGGGGACCCCTGCAGTAGAGTGATGGCCTGAGGGAAAAAAACTGTCCCTGTATCTTGTTGGTCTGCAATGCCCTATTAGCAGGGATCCCCAACCTCTGGGCTGCAAACTGGGCCATGGAAAAGGCTGGCGAGTGCAAGCATGTGTGCATGCGCCATTTGCGTGAGCAGCAGGCATGCATGCACACAGTTTGTACAAATGGAGCTGTTCGTGTGCTTACCAACCCCCCCCCCCCAGTTTGCAAAGCCAGAAACGTTGGGGAATCCTATAGTGCTATCCCAGGGGAGGAGTTGTTAACAATTTATGTCCAGGATGTGAGGGGTCTGTAGATATTTTCTCACCCCTCTTTCTGATCATGAAGTACACAGGTGCTCAATGGAGGGCAGGCTGGTTGCAATTTTTTTTTTTTTTTTGGCCATCCTAGCTATCCGTGGGAGTTTGTACCTGTCCTGCTTGGCTGCTGTACCAAACCAGACCGTATAGGTGACAGACTCAATAATTTCCTCTGTAGAACAGTATAAACAACTCCTTGGGCAGTCTGAACTTCCTAAGTTGATGCAGGAAGAAAATTCTTTGTTGTGCCCTTTTAATGGTGGTTCTAAGTTAGGTGTCCATGTCAAATCTTGGGAGATTAAAGCCCAAAACTTGAAGGAGACTACTACTATTGAAGGAACTAAGATTAAGCTGTCATTAAATAATGTTCCTTCCCCCCCACCAGCACCAAAATGGAAAGAATTTATGTAAACCAGTGGTTCTCAACCTTTTTAATGCCGTGACCCCCAACCGGTTGTAAGTCGAGGACTAACCCGGTCGTAAGTAGAGGACTACCCAACCAGTCGTAAGTTGAGGACTTTCCCTGCCCGGGAACGCCGCGCATGCGTGGTGCCGCCCCCTGCGCTGGCCAAGGCGTAGCTGGCAAGCGGCAGAGACGGAGCAGGCCAACCACCAGCTGGGCTACCAGCTGGGCCAGCCCAAGGCAGGTAAGGCACCCGCCGGAAAAGGGAAAAAAAATTGGCAGACAGCCTTGCTTGGCGACCCCCGTGAAATGGTCGATCGACCCCAAATGGGGTCGCGACCCATAGGTTGAGAACCGCTGATGTAAACAAGCCTAGGACCGCTCTGGCAGTCTCAGAAGCCTCGATTATTAACTGTTGTTAATTACTAATACCACTATGCTAAACGCTGCAAAAAATAACCAAAAATGATTATTAGCATGCTTTTGTTCAGAACAATGTAGCCATTGCTATTTAAGGAAGCTGATCAAGGCACGACCAAGACATTGCCGTGTGCTTTTCTGCAATATGGTAAATGATATCATATAAAAGATTATAAATGCTACCTTTTTTAAAGCTGGAAACAGTGGTGCGGTTTCAAGGGATGGACATGGTTCGATTTTATTGCTCAGCACAACAGGAAGACATGTAGTGATATTCAGCTTAAGCTCCTAAGAACAAACCAGTGAAAGGCTAAAAGGCAGTATTGCAATTTTTTTTAGTGTTTCAACCTGACACAAGTGTTTCCCCCTTTTTCAGTTTATTTTTCCTTACCAAATAATCAAAAACACCCAAAAATGAAGGCAAATATATACGTGTCCCAGGATAATTGGATCCTGCAACATCCAAGAAACTTCTAAGAACGAAAACATTTCTCATTTCAGCAAAACGTTCACCCAAATTAAAACATTAAAAGTTAATCTACTTGTTTCTTGAACTACCTCTGTTTCTTGTCCGGTGGCCATTTTCAGAGAATCAGGGTTTAAAAACTGTAGAAGCCTGGAAACACACAAGTTGACTTTTTAAGTCTTCGTTAAAAGTTCATTCATTCAGCCTTTGTTTCAATTACGAGCTGTAAATACACCTGCCCATTCTTTATGCAAAGTACATTAAGTCCTTGGGCATTATAAATATTGGTTCTCAAGATGAGAAAAAGCTTACTTTGTCCCAAGGTTCTTCTCGTAGAGACCATTTTCCACTTCCTGGATTTTGGTGCTTGTCTTAGGTAAGTTGCTAAAACGAAACACAACTGTTTGAGAAAATCTTCGCAATATCTGTAAACTTAAAACAGCTGGGAAACTGCACACATGAATTGGGATTCTTTCTAAACCTTGAGATCCTTATTCTCCCTGAAAAGCAGCATTGGGGGGAGGGGGGGGGAATGTAGAGGTGTCCTCTATTCACAGGGGTTTTTTTTTGATCCCAGCTAATTATGAAAAATGCAAGTACCCGTATATGCCGGCGTATTAGGCGACCTGGCGTATAAGACGACCCCCGTCTTTATCGCCGAGTCGCCTTCCTAGAACGTTGTCTTATACGCCGGAAACTACCAGTATTTCCGGCGTATGACGATTTGGCGTATAAGTCTTTGGTGCCAAGTTCAGCGCTTCCGGAAGTCGTCTTATACGCCAGCATATACGGTAGAATAGACCTGGCTATTTTACGGCTACATCTGGCCCTTTGCCTGTCCCTGGCTGGCCCATGTGAGCTCAACTGGAAATTAAAAATCACATCCTACAGCCGCCTGGTGGCAGCAGCAATCACTGCGCGAAGGGATATCGGCTTGGTCACTCACCACCCCCTTGGTTGAAGCATGGCCTTGTGGGCGAGTGTGCATTAATGCAGCCAGGAGCTTTTGTTTCAGCCCTGCACAATAATCCCAGTTCCTCATGTGGGCCCTTGAATAAATTAATTGCCCACCCTTGAACTGAAATGTAAGCAAGATACGTAAGAAGTGAGCTATTAAGCTGAATTTGATCAATATTTTGTTGAAGAAATCCATGGATCATATTAATATTTTAAAACACCCCTCAGTCCCTCGTTAGAAGAACATGAGTAAGAAGTCAATTTAAATTTAAACATTCGTTTTGCTCTCTGGTGCCAGCCAACCATTTCCCATGGTTTTTGTTTAATTAAATAGTATCTTACCAGCAATGAAACAGAAATGAAATATAAAAAATTAAAATATACCTGACCGTTTGCAGGTCTGTTGGTACAGAAAAAGTTATTCCTTGCTTCAAAGGGGAAACAGGCACCACTACATCCTAAGCAGGCAAATAAAAGTATCTCACATTTTTATTCAGGACTCTATGAAAGGGGTCACGGCTACGTTTATAATTGAACGCATCTCACTATATTACCAGAATAAAAAGCAAGATAGTTGATATCACATTTCTTAAAACAGTTAAATAGGAAAATAGCTGATATGTGCTATCAGCTCCTATATAATCTGTACATGATTATTTGGAAGTAAACCATTCAAAAAATGCAATGGGGCTTTCCCAAGTTTTTCTTTTCCAGTTACAATACATATTTCTTCTGAACTTAAAGTAAATGATGCATAGTGCTTTTGCTCAGGAAGCAGCTCAACAGCACTCTATGATCACCATCATAACCTAAATAAAGATAACCTGGATGTTTTAACAGTTCAGCAATCCTTGAAATGTGAAAACCAAGAAGAAACAAGGATGTATTTAGTACTTACAGACGGTTTTGTATTATGTAAGTTAGTTTCTGGCAAATGCTTAAACTCTGCTTTCTCAGAATCATCACAAATTAGAGCAGCACCTAAAAAAAACAGGTACAAGTGTCTTTTTACTAAAACGCTTAAAATACATCTTCTGAAGACCATGTCCTAGAAATAAAATGATAAAAAATAAAGTTAAAATAAAATAAAATTTTCATTTTTATAAACACCTGTCTCACTGAGTGTCTCTGGGTGGGCTACCACAGGTAAAAACAATACAAAATATAGGATAGAACATAGCCCACTCTAGAACTCCAATTTGGGTTTCATTCAAGGAACCAAACTATGCAGCTTAGTTTTTTCCTGTCTTTTTGATTGGTTCATGGGAGATACCCTAGCACAGGCCTACAAACACAGGGCCTATCGACTCCAAGCAGCCATCATGTATCTTTGTGTCTTGCTATTATTTTTTTTAAACAAATCTATAGCCAAGCATCGCTGCAGCTTCTTCAGCCCTGAGTAGCAGAGACGAAACTAGCAGGGCAATGAGGCCTGGAGGTGTCGGAGGCACTAGCCCAGCGGTTCTCAACCTATGGGTCGCGACCCCATTTGGGGTCGATCGACCATTTTTTGAGGGTCGCCAAAGGTGGCGATCCACCATTTTTCGCGGCGCTGTGCACGCGCGCCGCACATGGGGCCGCCGCCGCGCACGCGCATCGCGCATGGGGGCGGGCTGTGCACGCACGCCACGCATGGGGGGCCCGCCCCATGTGCGCGGCGCCGCGCATGCGCAGAACGTTTGTGTGACGGGGGTCACCGTCACACACCCGTTGAGAAGCACTGCACTAGCCTCATTGCCCTGCTAGTTTTGTCTCTGCTACTGCACTGCTAATCAGAGAACACTGGAGTAGCACGTTAGACATTCCTGGCAGTTGGGCCAACCTGCTCTACTGTGCAGACAGACCATGTTCCAGAAGAGGCTTCAACTCAGCTGCTATTACCACTCACCTATGACTTGAGGAACTGATTTCTCATACTCACACATCTCTGAAATCTTAGACTCCCGCAGTAACGCTGGCCACAGAAGCAGTACAGGATTCTTCTCCTCTGAAAGAGATTCCGATACTCTTTTCTGGTTTGCTTTACCGAGTTCATAGCAGGCAAAGTTCTTGGCAACAAGATCATCGTTCACACACACCTGTGACAAAAACAATGTTTGGCAATGTGAGGATTAATGAGGGAGAGAAATTAAAACATATGAAACTTTTCGTGGTGATAGATTAGAAATGACTAATGTGATATACTTCAGTAACGAGGCATTTCTAGTGTTTAAGGAGTTTTGTCAAACTAGAAATATCACATTAAGAGCAGCATCAAAGGGCACTGCAATATTTATCTAAACTATCTTAAATGTGCTCTGGCTGTTTTAACAGCTACAGCGTACATCACCGCTAACAACAGAGTCTTTGCTAGGGTATGCAGAACTTTGAAACAGAGTTTTAGACCTCAATTTACAGAGCAACGATAAGTAACATAATTCTACTCTAATACTTGCAGCACAAACGTGACTATAAGCGCTGCATGAAGAGTGTATTGTTTTCTATTCTGCTGGCCAGGTTTAACATGGTCAGCAAGCCAATACCCAATTTAAAAGATTGCATGTAATTTGCAAATATTACCTTTTCACCACTTATTGTGACATAAAGATAGACAGCAAAATTATCCTCTTCAACAGCACATAATTTGGCCTCCACTTGAGTGGCTGCTATGAATAAAATGAGGCGTATTAGATTACCATAGCAGTAAGGCTTTTTTTTAAAACATATCAGTTCTTTATACTGGACATTGACTAATACAAGCAGTTCTCAACTTACAATCAACCGTTCGTTAACAACCATTTGAAGTTATGATGACATTGAAACAAGTGTCTTATGACTGATACTTGAAGTTATGATTGGCAGTGTCCCCAGGTCACGGACTGCGATTGGATACTTGGCAACCAGCCTGTATAGGGAGTTCTCAACTTACAACCACAACTGAGCCCAAAATTTCTGTGGTTAAGCAAGACATTGGTTAAGTATTACTCCATTTTACGACCTTTCTTGACACAGTTGTTAAATGAATCACTTCAGGTGTTAAGTTAGTAGCTTGGTTGTTAAGTGGATCTAGTTTCCCCATGGACTTTGCTTGTCAGATCGTCACAAAAGGGGATCCCATGACCGTGGGACGCTGCAGACGCCATAAACATGAACCAGTTGCCCAGCATTTGAATTTTGATCACATGACCATGGGGATGCTGCAAAAGTCGTGACCGTGAAAAACGGTCATAAGTTACATTTTTCAGTGCTGTTGTAAACTTTGAACGGTCACTAAACAAACTGTTGTAAGTCAAGGACCTCCCATATTTGTATAGTTGTAGGTCATGGGGACTGGGGAGCTTGTGTGATATTTGTGTTCAAAATGCATATTTGCTCACTTAGACTTAAAAGAGGAATGTGTTTTGCTAAGATGAATTCTGCACAACTCTCAATTTATAAATGTAAGTCTCCTAAGTCTATTATTCCCCGCCAGTTTTATAAAAATAGATTTGCCATATAACTGAAATTATACAAGAGATTATTCTAGTTTTTCTTTACCATTCAGGAGGTTTTGGAAGTACTGGACAGCTGCAATGTCCCATTTGCTAGCAGGCCTAGAAACAAACACACGAGGCTTTTTTTTTTATGCATTATACTGCAGCAAAATAAACAGAAAACATACGAAAAAATCTGGCAAACGGCATTTGTACAAGCAGGTATAAAACAGGAAAGTTCTATTGACTAGTAAAGTTATTTTTACTGATTGATTTTTATCCCACTTTTATTATTTTTACAAATAATTCAAGGCAGCAAAGACACCTAATTCTCTTCCTCCTATTTTCCCCACAACCTCCATCCTGTGAGGAGAGTTTGGCCAAGAGAGCAGCAGTTCTCACAGCAGTTACGCAGAAAAGATCCTCTTTGAAGTTAATGGAAATATTTCTTAGAATATTTAATGTAGTTTCTCTGTAGCCATACTTACACTATCTCTGCATTGTCATTGTAGTAGTTGACACGTAGTGTTAGTGGTTTGACACAGTACAACCTAAGCTTTTTAGCTCTATAAGGCAGTCTCATAAATGATTTTAAGACCACACAGATCCTGAAAGAAAATCGGTTTCACAACAGATTACAGCCAATAATTTTCATGGATTTAGTGTTCAAACGGCAGATTATAATAACTTCTCTTTATAAAAAAAGTGCTGCTTCTTTATAGAGAAAACCAGATACAGTCACCTAAAAATGAGCACGATCTTATGTTCTTCAGAACTTTCTGACAAATCTATTTCTGTTCTCATTTCTTAAATTTACAAACTAGTCAACCCAAATTTTCTAAAAAAAAATAAATCCTAGACTGAGCATGAATCCAAAAATGTCCAACTATGTCTACATTAACTTATCAGCTGGATCAAACCAACACAGGAGGACCATAACATTGGGCAGACAGGTAACATTATGACTAAAATGTTTCAATTCTTGGTCCAATCCTTTGCTGGGTGATTTTTACAATTATAAACACATACTTTTCAGTCTTTACAGGAACAGTTTTGGCATAGTCCACAAGGAAACATTCCGCAATGTAATAATCCGTGTATGATATGATTGAATTAACAACAGCTCTGCACCAAGATTTCAGTTCCTCATAGTAAACAGCGCAAACCTAAGAAAGACATATAAATGTTTAATGTTATACAATCTGTGTTGTTTTTTTGATAACAGATAATTGGCAGAGTATGTGTGTGATAAAATACAGGTCAGACAGGAACCAGAGAGTTCTATTTTTTTTCAGGTATTCTTCCAGACATTTAAATTGCTTATTTAAATCAACTTCCTCCTAAGTATTTCCCCTGCAAATGCAGTGTATTTTTTGGATCCATGAAGCATTGATCCCTTGGTTGCAACAGAAAGGGATCTACTGACTTGTCACAGGACCCTGACATTATGGCTTGAGAGAACAGGACTGGCCCAAAGTCACTCAGCTGGCTTTCATTCCAAATCCAATTATTTCCATATTATCTAGCATATGGGTTTTGCAGAAGATACGCCTATTTCCATGTTTTCTGTTCAAGATTAAAAGACAGTAATGTATTTTCACTGTCATGAAAAAAATATTACACCCTAATACTAACAAGTATAACATTCTAATATTCTCCTTCCCTCACCATCAGAAAAGGTTTCTTAGCCATTACCTTACCACCCCACTAAGCCATTGCTATGATCAAGAATTCCAGAATTATTTGTTCAATATTTGTTATCACAAGTACATTGCACAGAAGTATTTTTGGAAGGATTGTTATCTTTAAACATATAAAAGGAAGGAAGGAAGGAAGGAAGGAAGGAAGGAAGGAAGGAAGGAAGGAAGGAAGGAAGGAAGGAAGGAAGGAAGGAAGGAGCAAGCTACATTTTTCTTCCAGATATATCCAAACAAATCAGATTGAGAAAAATCACCTGTCCCTCTTCTAGTGCACAGGGCTTGGCATCCACACATCGATAATATTTGTTATAGAATTGATTCATTTCAGTCTGAAGTGTTTTATATTCCATTTCATTGTCTATAAATTTTCTGCCTCCTATTATGCAGACCCAAAAGCAATCTGGATTTTCAATCTAATAAGTATGATAAAACCCATATTAAAATATGTTCACATAGCTTTACATGTATTTAATATACCGAAAGTTAATCACAGTACCTTCAGTATTAAGACTTCAATCATTTTTAATTCCAATGATTTTTTTTCATCTAAGGAGAATTACAAGCTTTATCTGCACCTCTGAAAATGCAACAGATCATCAATCAAACTGCTTTCGCCAAATGAAAATATTCCTGAAGTAATTTTGAAGCTGAAATGAGCAGGATATAATTTTAGAAAATGCATACATAAGATTTCAATACAACTTGAGAAAGTTACCAGAGAAGAGATACCAGAATACCAACAGCTCCGTTAATAGGGTCCTCCAAATATATTTGATATATAAACTCAAACATGACACCTGAAGCTCTCTATATCCTAAACGGTGTAAACCACTAAACACAATGGGTTCATTCGTTCCTCATTCAAAGCCAATTTCCCCTCTCCAAAGCACATTATGACTTAACATAATAAACCAAGCCATTTGGCTATTATGATTTAGTTTAGTTTGAAATCACAAAGAAATTTGCAATTTATTTTGCAAGACATAAAATAGTTGTTTGAAATTACAATCAAATTATGATTTATCCTGCAAGGCATAGTTAACAAAATAAAGGTTTCGCATATATGAAAACTGCCAATAGAATTTACCTGAGCGTCTACTGACAAAATTGCAACATAAATTGTAAATCTGTTTGTCAGAAGAGCAATGGATTTCTCAATTTCAGCCTGCTGCTTCCTAGGTGGGCAACTTGCAGTCCGATGCCTTTTACACTAGACTAGAGCTACCTCTAATCACAGCTGCTAATAATAGCTAGCAGCATCCTTTTCTGACATTTTGAAATGAGAAAATGTTTTTTTTTTTAAAAAAAACCCATCAATCTCGTAATATTTATCACAGAAAATGCAGCTCCAATTCTCTATTAAAAAAAAGTGTTTAGTTCAGCTGGCCCCTGCAACTGTCTCCCCCCCCCCAAAATAAATACTGCCATTCCTAGATTTCTAAACCACTTTTCTTCTTTCCAAGGAACTTAAGTTTCCCCATTTCACTTACAGCTGTTCAGAACTGGGTGGGGAGGGAGGCTGAAGTGCTACCCAGAACTGGAACTGGTGAAATCCCCAGGGAATCCAGAGCAGAAGGCTAATTGGGAAATCAGGGAAATAAAATATTAAAAAAGGGAATGACATGAAAATAAAACAAAGGAAGCTGGGGAAGCCAGAGCAGGCAGCTAGAGGGAAACCAGGAGAATCCAATTTAAATTAAAAGAGCCCACACTAAAAATGCAAGGCACTTCCCTCCCAAGAGTGTTGCCTATTGAGCGGCTGCCATATTTTAACAATTAAATAACTTAAGTACCACCAAGCCAGATTTTAGGAGTTGTGTTTACGACTTTTTAAATCTAATTATACGATGGAGACTGATTTTTGTCTTTAAATCCTTCAGCCGAGATGAAAACCTCGCTTGGCCAAAGCCCAACACACAAAAATGGTATTATTACTATTATTATCGTCCTCCCACCCACCACCATTAACACCCACACACGGGGGACCCTGGCTTTTAACCTAAGGGGGCTCCTCTCGTTTGGGGAGGACGAGGGAGACTTGCCGGGAGACAACGGCCGAGGCCTGACGCCTCCCCTCCCGCCGACCGGCCCTCCGCGGCTTCCTCGCGACCCAGAAGCTCCCTTTCCCCGCGCACGAGGCTCCCGCCAAAGGCGCCATTCGAACCCACCCGCGCATGCTCACTTGCGCACTCGGCGCCGACGCAGCCTGACGCACGCGCCATCTTGTCTCCAGGGCGGGCCCGCGACGACTACGCATGCGCCAGCATCTTCGCCCGCCCCTGCCCGGTTCAGCTTTCGGTTTTGGCAGACGTGGCGTCCGTTTGCGCAGAGCCGGAAGTTTTATTTCTATTTATTTATCTTTTATTTCTCAAAGAAAAAAAAAAAAGGCTGGTTCCTGCCATCATAAATAAAATACACAGCGATACTGATGTAAAAGGAAAGCATACATCTTATGTTTAGGAAGAGAGATAAAGTGCCCGTTTTATAAGAGAGATACAATGCCCATTTATATAGACGTTGTGGGTAATTATAAATAAGGAAACGTCTGTTTTAAGGATGTGAAAGGAAAGGAGGAAAAATTGCAGAGGAGGAAGAGGTTCCTGCTGATTGACTAGGAAGGATTGTAATAAGCTAACATCCATTCTATTGAAAATGATTGACTAAATCTTTAAAAACTTATAAAAAGGGAGATAGGAGCAGCCCATTGCAGCTGCCACCCAAAGTTAACCTGGCAACCATGGGTTAAATATATATTCTTTTGACCTCCGTTGTCTGGTGTGTTTTATTGTACTTGTTCCCATGTTTTATCGGATTCATTGGGCTCTAACTACTGGAAAAGAAGGCATCTGATCCTTTAGACAATACTAAGAAACATTTGTAATGATTGTATTGCAGAGTCTTGATTTCCACTCAGATATCTTAATAAAAATCCAGCTGGTTCCAAATATAGTGTTTGAGGAGAAATGACCATTTGTGGGACAATTTAGCAATAACAAAAGATCCATAAAGATCTTACTTTACCAAAAAATTATAGGCCTATATCTCTTTTAAACGTGGATTATAAGATATTTGTAAAAATTTTGGTAAATAGGCTTATGAGGGTGGTGCATCATCTTGTGCATAAAGATCAATCAGGGTTTATAACAGGAAGGTATATGAAAAACAATGTTAGACAAATTATTAATTATTAGAATACTTAGATAAGAACAACCAAGTTCCTGCAGGGCTCATATTTTTAGATGCTGAAAAAGCATTTGACCAATTGAATTGGCATTTTATGTAAGAGTAATGGAAGAAATGAATTTTGGTGAAAATATATTACAAGCCCTTAAGGTAATATATCAAAAACAAACAGCACAACTTATTGTTAATGGAGGTCTTTCGGAGGTTTTCACAATAGAGAAAGGTACTAGACAGGGGTGTCCTTTATCGCCATTGTTGTTTGTTTTAACATTGGAAATATTATTGATCAAAATTCGAGAGTCTCAGGAAATTAAAGGAATATATGTTAATAAAAAAGAATATAAGTTAAGAGCTTTTGCGGATGACTTGGTTGTTACTTTGTCGCAACCTGATTATTCTGTAGTAAACTTATTACAGTTGATTCATCATTATGGCTTGGTCTCGGGTTTTAAGATTAATGTAAATAAGACCAAAATTTTACCTAAAAATATGTCTAGTCAGGAGAAGCAGATTTTGACTAACCTGACGGGTTTTGAGATTGTTAATAAGGTAAAATATTTGGGGGTGATGTTGTCTGTTTCTAATGTAAAATTATTTAAAAATAATTATGAAAGGTTGTGGGTCAGGGTACAGAAGGACTTGAAGAACTGGGAAAAGTTGCAATTATCCCTCATGGGAAGAATTGCAGTGATAAAAATGAATATTTTACCCAAGTTTCTTTTTCTGTTTCAAATGTTACCAATTTTGAAAAATGAGATTAATTTAAATGAGTGGCAGAAGGGTCTTAATAAATTTATCTGGGCAGGGAAAAAGCCAAGGGTTAAGTTTAAAATTATGCAAGACTTCCGTGAGAGGGGTGGACTTAAGGTACCAAATTTGAAATTATATTATGATGCGGTGGTTTTAACACTAATCAGTGATTGGGTAAATTTGACAAATTCTGAGATACTTTATCTAGAGGGATGGGATTTACTTTATGGGTGGCATGCCTATTTAATATTCAATAAAAAAATGGATTGGGCTTTTAAATCTCATATCTTAAGAATTTCTTTACTTAGGATTTGGAGAAAATATTATAAAAGTGATTTCAAAGTACCATTATGGGCTATACCTTGGCATGCGATAGAAGCAATAAAAAGAGGGGTTAAAATGGATATGGTGTCTTACAGACAGTTACTTAAATGGGATGGACAAAACTGGCAATTAAAATCACGGGAAGAGTTAGCGCAAGAAAACTTTATTTATTCTTGGTTCCAATATAGGCAATTATTAGACAGATGGAAGATGGATTGTAAGGTGGGTTTTTTTAGAGAAGATGAAAATCTTATCAAGCAAGTGAAGGATTCAAGACAAACCCACATTAAGAGAATTTATGCGGTTTTAGTTGAATTGGATTCAGAAACGGAACTAATTAAAGATTGTATGATAAGATGGGCGCAGAATTTTGGTGAGCCAGTCTCATTGGACACCTGGGAAAATATTTGGGTGAGAAATGTCAAATTTACACAAGCACAGAACTTAAGGGAGAATTTTTATAAAATGTTTTATAGATGGCACCTTGATCCACAAAAAATGTCTTATATGTACCCTGACGTGCAACCCAAATGTTGGAGATGTGGTTATAAGGAGGCTTCCTATTATCATATTTGGTGGTCATGCAGAGAGATAAAAGCATTTTGGATCAAAATATGGTGGAATATCCAGAGAATTTTTAGAAGGAGGGTAAAATTTACTCCGCAATTATTTTTGTTAGGTATTGTTACAGATTGTGATACAAAGGAGGTTGTTTTGATGTTAAATTTGATTACAGCCGCTAGGCTGTTAGTAGGACAATATTGGAAGAAGGAATCTTTGCCTACATTGCAGGAATGGTTTCTTAAAGTAGCTTATCTGGCGGAAATGGCAAAGATTTCGGCTTTCTTAAAGCAACAAACGCAAGAGAAGTTTCTTGCTGTTTGGGATAAATGGATAAAATTTATACAATTTAGATTGGGTATACAAAAATATTATATAGTTTTTTCATAAGTTTTATTTTTATATATATTATAGATAATCTTTATATATATATAAATATAAAGTTCTTAATTTAATTTTTATTTTTACTTCTTAAGCCTATATTCTGCTCTGGGAGCTCAGGGGGGGGGGAAGGGAGGGGGGGGTTTTGGGAGGGGTGGGGGTTTTTTTTTTATATATATGTATTGTTTAGTTTTATTTTTTTGTATATGTTGTCTCTTGTTTTGTATTCTTTTTTCTTTTTTGTAAAATTTATAAAACTTTTAATAAAAGATCCATAAAAACACTGTTAAAGGTATTTTTAACAGGCACTCATTAGGGTTACATAATACAGTTAATGTAAAGGCACAACAGGTGACATTTCAAAAAATAAGAACAGAGGTCCAAGCCTTCAGTGGAATTTATTCCCTGGTTAGTCAGCCTAAACAAATTAGTCTAAAACAGTGCTTCCCAGATACAGTTCTGAATATATGCATTTAATAATTTTACAATCTGCAGTGCACTTATTTCCAGGTAGAGAGAACAATACTATTATGATACATTCAAAAGTACTCAGTTCTTTTCAATTTTGGCAAATGATCTATCAGTCAACAGGAGCATCTGCAGGAATAGTTATTGCCTTTAAAACAGCAGATGCACATGGGTGATCAAAGTTCCACCCTTTTTAATGTTTGTTGTATGCACTAAATGCATATTAAAAAGGGGTGGAGCTTCAATCTCTTGATCCATGTACTCTGGATGCCTACTTATCATTGATGATAACTGTAATAATAATTCAAATATGTTAAAATATAATTTGATAAGCTTTTGTTTACAGTACTGAACTTTAAGTTGCAAACTACTTCAAATCTTTTAAGGATATTTCAGTATAGCTATAATATACAAGTAAACAAATAAACAAATTAAATTTGGGTTCATAGAAGATAGATCTCTATTCCAGAATAGGCACCTTTGCATGACCAGAATTATACTGATCAACACAACTTGAAACTGAAATAATTTACATAAATATTCAGGTATGTCCACAAGATGGCATAGTGTATTAATTCTTCGTTATTCCAACATCTCTCAAAATTTAGTAATTCCAGTATGAGAAATACTACAACTGACAGTTGCAATCCGCATTATTTCACATTTTAGAGGCCACTGTAACTGGATTTATATGTTTATATTTGGATTCAATATTCATATGGATAGTTACATTAGTAAGGCTTCGTATCACTATCCGGTGAAGGTTTTTGACCTCTTTCATTAGTTCTTCAATGTTTTTATTTGTTGTCAACACAGGTTTCCTTTCGCCAGTAAAATCGGGATCTTTTGGATATAAATCGTCACCTAAAATATAATTATTTCTCTCGGTTATATGTATAGTTACAGGTATAAATGTAAATTTTTGATACTAATAATACCTTCAGTCTAAACAGTGGTATGAAAAGTTGTGACATAATATTAGGAGACACTACTTTTAACAGAAGTTTTTGTTTCAACATACCAAAAGCAGAAATATTAAAGTAGAGGTGCACAGGAAGGTATGAATGCAATCATTCTACCTTTTATTTACTGGGTTCATAAACATGTTAAGCAATGATCTAAGATTTACAAACCACGATTACTGCTTTCACAGTACACAGCACTCCTACAACCAAGTACATAACTTTATAGCTAATATACTGTAAATTCATTGTAACAGAAGATTAACGAATATCTGTTCATTAATCCTAGTAAGTGTACTAGGTGAAATTTAAATTATGAAATTTAAATTTTAATTTCATAACATTATTTATCTTTTGTCCTAAACAATCCACTTTCTGGAGTATGGTCCCAGCAACCCACTTATTGGAGAAGTAGATTCATTTTGCAGCTTCTGTTTAGTGTTCAGTGCATCAATAAACCAGGTTTTTAATTTTATTTTTTTTTTAAAAAAGGCCAGTTCTTTATTTTTACCTACCTGGCAACAAATTTATGCGGCCATCTGAAGCCATCAACTGAACTGGCATCCAGCGTTCACAACCTTCTAAAGCTCGTCCTGAGCTAAACCTCTCCAGATCATGAAGGGATGAAAAACGGCAGAGCCTACATAACTCATAAAGCTGAGGTGGTGCTATCCAGATGTCTCCAGAGTTAAAAAGTTCAACAGCTTCTGAAGGGGTTGACCACTGTAAAAGAATAAAGCCTTAAAGTCAATCTCCAGGCTATGTAAATTCCCAATTAAAGGGATATTCTGCAGATATGTATTTTGTACAACTCTTAATTCTGTTTCCTGGTGTTCCTAGTGACAGTTTTAGTCTATTTTAGTATTTATTTTTAGCTCTTTTATTACATATCAATCTGACAGTGGATGCCATATGTCAGCTAGCAAGTTCAGAAATAAATTGTTTTAAATATCATTTGAAGGTAACAAAAGATATTACAATATATTTCGAGAGTGCCAAATAGACAACTGAAATTTTGGATCAACATTTCTGAACATATTTCCAGGGTTTTCACGCATAATGACCACTAAGTTTACTTAGTGACTCAGGCATTCGTTTATAGACTGTGGTGTTCACTTAGCCACCACCACCACCACAAAAAGAATTTGTAAAATTGACCATAGTCAGCCAGTGACCTGCTTAACGACCTCCACAACTTATGACCATAATTCTGGTCATAAGTGGAGGACTACCCCATGCTGGCTGGGGAATTCTGGGAGTTGAAGTCCACCCATCTTCACCTGGCTAAGATGAGAAATACTCAATCGTTTGGACTCCCTTCCCCACGTCCGGCCAAGCCACGATGCAAACCAGGTTTCTGGAAGCAAGTAACTGATCAGATCCCAGGCTGGGGCTCCCCTCTCTGCCCAGTCCCGGCCCTGCTTGCAGGAGGCCCCGCCAACCAGCCAGAGCCCCGCTTGCAAGCCGTGCCTCCCGGGGATCCTCACCCTGCAGCCCGCCACCTCCTGCCGGTCGTGCGACACGGCGGGCGGCTCCTGCCCGGGGCAGCAGCACAGGTAGAAGGCGGTGTCGAAGCGGCGCTGGCCGGGCCTGCTCCGGTCCACGGGCGTCAGCCAGTTGCCCCACTCGTGCAGCGCCCGCAGGTGGGGCGCGCAGCCCAGCTGGCGGCAGAGCTCCAGGAAGCTGCCCGGGTCGCCCTGCACCCGCCGCCGCCACTCCTCCAGCCCGGCGGCCGAGGGCAGCAGGCGAGGCGGCGCGTCGGCCCGGGAGGCGGCGGGCTCCAGCAGCAGCAGCCCGCTCTCCTCGAAGGTCTCCCGGATGGCGCAGATGCGGAAGGCCACGTCGGCCGGCAGCGAAGCTTCGCCCAGCTCGGGCCGGCCGGCGGTGAAGAGGGGCGGCCGGGCGGGGGGCTCGGCGCCCAGCCCGCAACGCGGCCCCTCGGGCAGCAGCTCCCGCCAGGCGGGAGAGAAGTCGGCGGGCTCGGCCACGCCGCCCGGGAAGACCTGCGCGCTGGGCATGAAGGCGCTCCGGGCGCTGCGCTGCAGGAGCAGCACCTGGTAGTCGAAGGCGGCCGAGGGCCGAGGCCGCCCGCCGCCCACCGCCAGGAGCAGCGTGGCCGCCTCCCGCCAGGGCCGCGAAGTCATGCCGGGAGGGCGAAGGGGCCCGCGGGGCGAGGGCGGCGGCTCGGCTCGGCCGGGCTCTGCACGCGGACGGGCGGGCGGGGCGGAGGTGGCCGCGTCTCCTGCCCTTGCGAGTCCCCGCAGCGACAGCCCTGCCAGGTAGGCTGGGTGGAGAGAAGCTGGCGCTGCCCCTCCCGTCTCCTCCCAGCCCTTCGGGGATTTGGGAGATTTCATCCGGGGCTGGGAAAGCCGCCGGGCGGTGGTGGGACACCAGGCTGGGGACGCGCCGCCTCCTGGGCTGGGAAGGGCGGCAGGTGAGTTGATGGGTGGGGTGAGAGCCAAGTTTGCAAAAATGGATTGGGGTCCTCTAGGACTCGCTTAATGGCCTCCGCAGCTGATGACCCCTAATTCTGGGCTCAGAAGTGGAGGGCTGCTCTGTGTTTGCTTAGGGACTGAGGCATTCATTATCGACTTTGGGGTTCGCTTAGCGGCCACCACCGCCACCCAAAAAAAAAAAAAGTTTGTAAAGTTGATTGTGGTCCTGTGAGTGACTTAACTTAACGACTTCCACAACTGAGGACCATAATTCTGGGTTCAGTTCCTGCCATAAATGGAGGACTACCCTATCCTGGCTGTGGAATTTGGGGATCTTTCAGGTGGTCAAGATGAGAAACACTGATTTTTATTTATTTTTCTGTGGGGAGCCATGGAAGGGCAGAGCCAGGACAGACTTCTCTTGAGTTGCATGGGAGGCTTTTCCCAGATGCAAAGGCTGTTTGCATTCTTGCAAACTCCTGTGTGGGGGTGGAGGGATTTAATAGATTGGCAAATGTCAAATAAAGCCTTGACTACAGTTCAGCTGCCAGCTCATTCATCTACGTGAAGCTGCAGTTATGCAGCATGCCTTTAGGTGGGAAGGTAACAGTATTGTGTGTGTCTTGGAGTATAGTCATGCTGGGCACATGACCCCGGGACATCTTGTATAACATTGGCTCCCTCGTCTAAGAAACGAGCATCGCTTCCTAGAATCAGACAAAACTGGGCAGGGGAAGCCTTTATCTTTACTGTTATTGGTCTCTCAATAAAAGAGAGCGAAGATAAAGCAGAAGCAAACTTACCAGTTGTCATTCTAGTCGGTCTTAATAAAGTTGATTTTTTTAGGCTTCCTGTGGAATTGATTTTTGGAGCTCGTCTACTTTACAGGACTGGCACAAGTGTTGTTAAATCCGGCAAATTTGGTTAGCTTACGTTCAGATTATTGTAGGTAAGCTTGTCATGTAACCTTACCTATTTTTAACTTGATCTTATGTCTTAAGTCACCGAAACAAGTGAACGTAAGTGAGCCTAACTCTTCAGGGAACCACTCAATAAAAATAGGGATGCAGAAGAGGTAGCAGTTGGGACAGATGAATGTTTATTCTGGGCTCGCTGATATTAAAATAAATAAATAAATTGCAGTTCTGTGATGAGCCTGTTTTTCAGGGTCAGAAAACCTACTTGGTACATACCATAGAGGTGGAAAAATGACTCTTAATTTTCAGCAGAGAGATATTAAAAGAGACATTTTGGCAATTCAAACATTGCAGATGAAAAAGCCAGAGTCTTTTGTCGACTATACACCTTGTAGCTCTTTCCTAAGCAAGAAATGTTTAAACTTGAGCAATTATGAAACATGGATGCCATGGTTTAGTTCTGCAAGATTACGCTTAAATCACTGACACCATCATTGAGCTTATATCCAGGGGAATCATATGGCTCACAATTTTAATGTACAAAACGCTTTGTCGTTTTTCAAAGGGGAATTTGAAAGTGTCTTATATTCTTCTGTATCATAGATACTTAGAACATAGAATAATAGAATTGGAAGGGACCTTGGAGGTCTTCTAGTCCAACTTCTTGCTCAAGCAGGAGACTATACCATTTCAGATAAATGATTGTCCAGTCTTTTTGAATGCCTCCAGTGATGGAGCACCCACAACTTCTGGAGGCAAGTTGTTCCTTAGTTGATTGCTCTGTTAGGAAATTTTTCCCGAGTTCTAAGTTGCTTCTCCCGATTACTTGACTGAATCTACACAGTGATGTTCAGAAGTATTCAATCTTAATGTCCAAGATTGTAGTCTTTGCTTCGCTTGAATACTCTCTATTAACTTTTGACAAAGAAAATTTAATGTGCAGAATCCAACTCCATTTGGAATTACTGGAATACAGGAAAAAATGGAATGAAGTGTAAAATGGATCAATGTTTCTTTTAATGCCATCTTTCAATTGGAACCTAATTTGTGAGTGAAGTTAGAATTTTTAATAAGTACAACAGGCCATTTGGGATATACTGCACACCGCAGTTGAGTTTAGCAAAAAGTGCATTTTTGTCCCAGCTTGGTGCCGTAAGCTTAGAAACATAGCAAAAGAAAAGATTTAAAGGCCTATAATTCAGCATTCTTGCCAAATGACTTTATAAAATGAAAATATGTGAGAGATAAATATTGCTAAGGAAGTTCACAAACACACACACAATTTATCTTTAAAAGTAATCTGTTCAAAAGACTGGCAAGTTAATAGAAGAGGCTTTATTTTAAATAAATAATAGCAATAGGTTTTATCCTGAGCATAAAAGAATACCCTTGAATCATGGAATGCCAGTTCACATTAATACTGAAACAATAGTTTTAACATGGACCCAACAACCATTGGTATGCAAGAAATTAACACTTTTTAAAAATCAAACATTCAGTGTTCATAATAACTCGATTACCATTCCTGTCGTAATCCCAACTGCATCATACTTGTAAAGTATGGCAGAATTTGACTTTTTAAAATAAAGAATCCTATTAAAAAGGGACTTTTCTTTTTTTTTCTTTTCAATGAAAACATACACTTTTGTTACAATGAAAGTATCTATGGCTGTAAACACAAGACAGTTAACAAGTTTGTTTTTAAGAGAGTAAAACAACTTGGCTTTAAATAAACTTTAAATAAATACATAATTCCAATCATGTCACTGTAATCGTGATGGTTGTAGGGCTGATGATTTAATCATCTATATAGAGTCTGAAGGCTTTAAGACCTAGCTAAAAGAAAACCTCCATGTGGGTTAGGTTTTTATCAGCAATAAAATTCTGTGGCCTAAACATGAGATTTCTAGATATTTTCTTCCAGAAAGAAACATAAGACAATGACTATGTTATGTACCTTTGAGCAGATGTGAAAGTGAACAGCTTCCTACATTTTTGTGGATGAACAGAAGCATATCATGTTTTAGATTATTTCACCAGTTCCTGCAGATCAATCTGACACACATACATCCCATAAATGAAGATAGTATCATTTAAGGATGCCACCAGTCTTAATCTCCTTTTCATCTGCTCAGCTTTGCACACGAGATAAAGCAGCTATCCCTAAACCATATTGCACAGTCAATGGTGCTGAGCAGATGTGATGAGAGCTGAGTGAAGATATTAATTAATTAGATGGTGACAATCCTGTGTCAGGACTTGATGAGATGTAATTTAGAAATAGCTTAGAGAGAAAAACAATGCAGAGACGGCTAACTGATGTACAGACTTGAGTAGCACCTTTCTAAATCAGGTCTGCTAGGAAAATAAATCTTACTAGAATTAGGAACTGTTTCCATGTAAATTTTTTCATAAAAGTAACCTAACTCTCAGGAAAATAAGTATTTTGCAATGACGTATTTATGGTTTTAATCTGGACTTGAGTTCTCAATGTGCAAAGAATACTGTTTTAATTCCAAATTAAAAAGGTGTGTTGGGAGCATTCCAACTAGGCAATTATTTTTCTGCAGCTTCTTCTTCCCATCCTATAACAGTGTTGCATGCAGCCTATTAAGAGCACTTTAAGTCTAGGTGTTCTCCCATAAAATATATGAGACGCATTTAAGAGAAATATCTAGCCCTTGCTAAAGCAAATGTGGGTCTTTTCAATAAAGAAGGAATGTTCTCTTCAAGTGAAATGGAACAATACAATAGCAGCTGTTTGAATCACACTACAGTAAACAGAGATGGGTACTTTAGCACCAAAAAGAATACAGTTTTGACATCCTTGTGACACCCGGCCCTGTCTTAAAAAAGCAGACATTTACAATCAACTGTCAAAATATATTGATGCTTTAAGAGTACCTGGGAATGCAGCATTTCTTTGCCTACTGAACGCAGGACTATTTATTTCTGAGGTAACATACTTAGATTTGCTTGGTTGCAAATGTAGAATCTTGTTTGACCACACAGCATCCATTAGCGCTAGCCACTCAAAGTGTAAATTGAATTATTTATGTTCTGCATTTCAACCCTGTTCTTTTGCATATTGATTCAGGAGCTAAAAAGCGGATGTATTAAATACGGAGAGTTCTCGGCTTGCAACATTTCATTTAGTGACCATTCAAAGTTACGGCCCTGAAAAAAATTGACTTATTGACCTGTTTTTCACAGTTAATGACCTTTGCGGCATCCCCATGATCATGCAATCAAAATTCAGATGCTTGGCAACTGGTTCATATTTATGACTGGTTCACTGCTGTGTCCCAAGTTCACGGGATCCCTTTTTGTGACGTTCTGACAAGCAAAGTCAATGGGGAAGCCAAATTCACTTAACAACCGGGTTACCAACTTATGCAGTGATTCACTTAACACCTGTGGCAAGAAAGGTCATAAAATGGGCCAAAACTCACTTAAACGACTCACTTAACAACAGAAATTTTAGGCTCCATTGTGGCTGTAAGTTGAGGACTACCCGTAAACAAATGTTATTTCTAAAAAGATACCTATAGGGTGTCAGCTCCATAGCTCAAAGTATTCTCAGGAATTAGAGCCACTCATTCCACTGAACCTCAATTTTTAGAAATTCACCCACTGAATCTGGTGATTTCCCTTGTAAAGCTTATATAAAACAAGACTGCATCCGTCCAACTGCAAGTAATGGGATCAGTATGCTGATTCTAAAGCCATGCACAAATATAAAATATGACGGACTTAACAGATTGGTAAACAGAATTTTAGACACTTTATTTTCCTGTTTATCTCTTAATAATTGCATAGTAACTTGCACGTAGTCCATACCTGTAGAAGGGCTGCTGTTGACCTGTAAATTTAGCTTAGATATAATGAATTACTCTATGCTGCCGGATTACCTTTATCTATTAATGCCAGGAACTCATCTAATATAATTTTTCAATTAAGCAAGGTAATCATCGTAATTGGCCCGACATCCAAACTCAAAGAGATTTTAGGTTAATCTTAAGGTTTGTGTCTTTGCTGACTGGTACAGCTTCAATTTTCAAGCTGTACATCATCTTTTAAATTATTTTCATCTATACAATTATAGAAACTTGACTCAAGAGTCCCATAATTTTCTCATGTATTAATGAATAAGTATACCTGAGATGTTGTTAAAACCTCATGTCTCTATTTTAGAATGAATAGTTTTCAGTATCTCCTCCTGTCTGTTTAAATAGAATTACTTCCTTTAGGATTAAGTCTCTAGCCCTAAACACAGAGGAAAAAGTCCTGTCTAAAACCCAGAACTTGCTGAAGATCATATTTTAGTTTAAATACAACACCAGTCCCAGCATCAGTACACAAAAAGTAACCTGAAAGAAACTGCGATCATCTGATGCACATTCAGAATTAAATCTCACTGAATTCCATGGGATTCCGTGGTACAGCAGTAGACTTCAAACAATGATTTACACTTATGTGTAAAGTGTTTAAAGTTGGAGCTAATGTGGAACTAAGAACCTATGGACAAGGAGTGTGTGTTTTTTTCTCCTGTTCCCTGCAAAACAAACCTGGAACAGTAGTAAGCTGAAAATAACTCATTTTTCTCTAAATGCTGCTGAAAGTTTTCTTCCCTAAATGTGGATTTATATACTGCACATAGCAACAAAGTTCAGTTCCATTTTTCATTCACAAACCCAAGTTTCTGCGTTTGAGGCTGCAACCAGGATCAAAGATAAACCAATATACGCGCCTCTCTCATCTTCACCTCTCATTCACAGCCCTCTCTGCATCCTGGGCAAATTATTACCCATTTGTAAACATGAAAATCCCCCCCCCCATCCCAGCTTAATCACAAACCACATTTGTGTTCCAGTTCCCGAGGACGGTCTTCTATAAATAGCAGTCAAATCCCTACCAGTGGTAGTTATAATACCCACATATTATTAACCGTGAAAGGCCCAGCCAGCAGGCTTTTCAAATCCATATATATAAATATACTGTATATACCCGTGGCGATCTCTCTCGGATCCACCGTCGCGGAGCGTTTGAAAGCACCCATTTCAGCCCCTCCAGCCCCCCCCCCCCGTTCCCACGCTGTGGCTGCTGTAGATGGCAAAAGGTTACCCCCCCCCCCGTTGCAAGGAAGCGCCCAGCCTTAGGAGAGCTTGGCCACGCAGACGGCCAGGGCGATGGCCATGAGGAGGACGGCGGTGAAAATGATCCCGGCCAGGACTCTGCTGGGATCGCAGAGGGTTTTGCTCTCGGCCCCCGAGGTGGCGCCCAGGGAAGAGGCGCCCCCGCTCACGGTGGAGTTCAGCTCGGCGCCGGGGTCTTGCTTGGCCTCGACCGTCCAGCGGGGCACGTTGACCTTCATCTCCATCTCGTAGATCATCTCGCCCACCTGGTGGATCTCCTGCTCCAGGTCGGTCAGGTCCGCCACATCGATGTCGGGCTCGGCTTCGTACTTCATGTTCTGCACGCTCATGGCCCGGGCGGCCAGGGCGGAGGTGCCGCCGCTCAGGCCGGTCCGGATGAGCGGCTTCTTGGGCACGCGGAGCGGGAAGGCCTGGCCCAGCTCCAGGGCGCGCCGCATGTCGCTCTCCAGGATCTCCAGGCAGGCGGCGAAGATGACCCAGAGGCGCTCGAAGTCGGCCCGCTCCTCCTTGGCCAGCGCCTTGTCCCGCAGGGCGGCCGTCAGCTTGGCGCGGGTCACGCCGGCCAGCTCCTGCGCCTTCCGCCGGCTCTTCCGCAACTCTTCGCGCAACTCCTGCGAGTCCGCCGCGCCCCCGACGGTCAGCACCAGGTGCCGGTAGCAGGCGGTGACTTTGCTGAGCGCGTCCAGCAGTGCCTTGCACTCCTCTCGGGCCATGGCGGAGGCGGAGGAGGCGGCGGCGGGCGGGCTGCTCAACACAGAGGACGCCACCGAGCGGAGCGCTGCTCCGAGCAGCCCCGGCCGTCCGGGGCGCGCATGGCCGGAGCCCGGCGGCGCCCTCCCCGCCTGGAGCGCGAGGGCGCCTCCGCCTCCTTAGCAGCCCTCCCCGCAGCTCCGGCCAGGCGAGGCTGCCCGGCTCGCCCTGCGCGCATCCCCTCCGGGGGGGAAAGCGAGCGCCAGGCGGCTTTCGCGGAGCGCCGTCTCCTTTAAGCCCGCCGAGGCTCCGGGCCGGGCGCGGTCTGGGCGCTTAGGGTTAAATAGCGCGCAGCTGGCGCCGACGGGGCCGCCCCGGGAGGATTCTGACACCGCTGCCGCTGTCGGGCTGGCCCGGTCCCCGCCCCGCCGCTGCCTGCCTGCCTGCCAGCCAGCCAAGCTCCACCTTCGCCGCCTGCCCAGCCAGCCGACGCGCCGGGGCGGTTGCGCGCAGGCCGGGGCTCATTGGCTCGCCCGCTGGGTAGGACCCGCCTCGGTGGCCGGACTAGGAACGGGCGGTGCTTGCGGGACTGGGGGGGGGGCGGAGGAGAGGGGATGCCGCCGTTGCTGCTGCTGGTGCCGTCGCCGCTGTGGGGAGGGGGCGCACCGGAGACCCTCGGGGACTTCGCAGGAAAGTGAGCGCCCGTCTGGCCCCGGGGACGCGGGTTGCGGGAACCGGGGTGCCGCGTTGGGGAGCCCCTTCCCCTCCGGGCCTCTCCCGATGATGGGTCTGCTCGGGGCGGCCGGGAGGGAACTTCGAAGCGGTGCAGAACGGAGCCTGCCTGCCTGCCTGTTTGCAGGCCTCCATGCGCCTTCCCCGAAGCGTGCAATTGCTCGGAACCTCTGCTCCAAAAGGTGCTGCTTCCCCGGTGGGAGCCGAGTTTGCAAGCCTTGCTGGGAAGCCGGGAGTACCGAAGGTCCGGAGGGTTCCCTCCTGCTGCGGAGCCGCAGTGCCTGGCCTGATGGGGGAGGGGGGTGGGGTTATCGGGGCCTAAAAAGTCCTCCGGGACAGGCTCGGGGCTGCCCCGGCTGCAGGAGAAGGGGTGGCGCAGGATCTCCACCGGGGCAGGCGGGCGAACGAAACCCCGAAACCTTTCGCGTTCGTTTGCAAAGAGACGCGGGGAGGTTCCGGGCTGGTTTCTCGCGGGGAGACCCTCCCAGGCTGGATCCGAGGGCTTCTCGCGCTGCGTGGTTTTCTTGCACCGGCCTTTTCCTGTGCATGCCTCGGGCTCCTCTTTAGAGGGGGAGAAGGAAGCTCCCCGGGGCCGCTGTGTGGGGCAACTTTGGGACGCGTGGAAGTTAAACTGCGATGCGTCTCTAACGCTGCGATGGAAAAAGGCCCGGACGTTGAAAAATCGGTGCCCCGGCCTTTTCCTCCAATTTAACTTACTTACTCAGAAGTAAATGATGCAGGAGTTCAGTCTGGCTGACCCAGGAAGTGACTTTAAGTGACTTGTCTATGCAGTGTTTTTCAGTAGTGCGCTGGGAATAATTTGACATGGTTTTTTTGTTTTTAGCAACTCCCATAATGGAGCAGCTAAAGACACTCAAGATTAATTCAGTAGTATAATCCAAAAGCGGTTTTTTTTTTCAGTTTGGGCAGCTTTAAATTGGTTGGACTTCAACTCCCAGAATCCCATGCTTGCAGGGGAATTCTGGGAGCAGAAGTCCGAGCAACTTCAAAGTGGCTTAGGTTGAAAAACACTGGTCTAAAAAGAAGTATCAGTGGACTTTTCAAATTAGTTCCCGCTGAACTTAAGAGAACTGGGTTCTAATAAAAACCAGAAATTGCAGGAACCCAGCCCAATCATGTACCACATAATTTAATCCCCACTGGTTGAGCATGGTGTTAGGCTGAGTGGTGTTTTGCCTGGAATATGGATTCTGTTCTCTAGAGACATATTATTGCAATGTTTTAGTTATTCCTCAGGAGTCTCTTCAAATTACAAGAGACCTAAGCATTTTAAAAATGAAGAATGCTGACATGTTCTAACTTGCAGAAAACTGCATTAACTTTACCATCCAGTGTGTGACAATTGCTTGTATGGTTCCTCTTTTAAGTTTATTTTTACTGCAAAGTTTTAGTCTAGTTTCTGTTTCTCGCACATTATCTATGGTTAATGTTTTAATTTTCCGGTGCAATTCTGATCACCCAGTTTGATTTGATTAGATAGGTAGAAATAATGTCAAAACCGGTGTGTTTTAAAAAGGATCAGTTCCTGGGAAATAAACTATGCAAACTCTGGATGTTGATTGCAAGCAAGTAGCAAACTCAAATTTGTTCAAGTGGACATTCAAACATGCATTGATATTTCTCAGTAACTAAATTGTATCAAGTCATATGCTTGTGGTATATGTAAACAGCATTGTACTGTATTTTATCAGCTAACTTTCTTGGGCAGAGATGTTAACAAGTGTACATTTGAGGCTATGCCATAACAGTGTTAGCTGCATGATAAACACATTTAAGTAGCCATTATTTACAGCGGTGTTTCTCAACGTTGGCATGGCTGACTGGAGAATTCTAGGAGTTGAGGTCCACACATCTTCAAGCTGTCAATGTTGAGAAACACAGGTTTACCATAATACTGTGGATAGCTTCTGAACAGATATTATCCTGGAACAAGAAGTTCAGTGTTTCCCAAGCTTTTCCCCATACTAGCTGGGGAATTTTGGGAGCTGAAGTCCAGATATTTTAAAATTGCCAAGATTAGCAAACACTGAACTAGATTAACTAGATTTCAATCTTGCATACCATACAGAAATTATTTTCCATTGAGTTTGTTTTTTTAAAAAATTCCCAGTCAAGTTATTTTCCTTCTGTATACTAACCAGACTTAATTGCAGTTAGATTCTGAGCTTACAAGCTGGCTTGGTGCTGGCACTTTTAATGAATGTATGAATGTCCACTTTTTATCTGAGGAAAATAGTGTGCAAAATACTCACGCTGAGTGCTTGGTGTCAAAATATTTATACAACTTCTCTTAACTGGTGGAGAGTCATTGTTTCTTCCCTATCTTATCCAACTACAATAAATAGATTCTGTTATCTCATAATAATTGGCTGTAATCAGCTGTCTGAATGACTGTTAAGGAAAAAAGCTTCAATTTTTGCTCATGTGTATCTACCCCAAATTAAGGCCGCCTGCTGCATGAGTGTGTGTGTGTCAAATTGTGTGGAAATTTGAGAAGTTCCTGAAAAGAGCAGAAGTTCCCTCAGAGAAAACTTTCTTGGAGGTGATGGTGGTGGAGGACAAAAAGTGTTGTGGCTTTTTAAACAACAGATGATTCCTTCTTTTTTGGCAAAATTCTAATTGCATTCTAGTTCTTATTACAGAGGCCTTGATGCTCTCTGATCTTGGTTGTTTGCTTGCAGATGTTTTATTACCCAGTTAAGTAACATGATGATGTTACCTAGTTGGGTAATGAAACATCTACAGGCAAGCAATCAAGCTTAGACAGCATCAAGGACTCCACAATTTAACCCTGAGCTACAGATAATTCTCTTCCATCCTAGTTCTGACTACAATCAATTATTTATGAGTTTATTTCATGTAATAAGCTGCCTAGAAAGTCTGTACTGTTACCAGATAGCTATAAAAAAAGTGAAGGTATTAGAAGCCAGGTAAGAGTGTATTTGTTCTTTGGCCCAACTTTTGAATTAGTCTATAGGTTTGGGTTAGAAGACTATATTAAATGGTTTCTTGTGAATTAAGAGTAGGGCCTGGATTTGGATTCTGCAGGAAATCCTAAGGAAGTGACCCAGTTCTAGGAGTTTCTGAGATCCTGGCTCATATTCGGTTATCTTGCTTTTATTTTAACAAGAAGAGCAACTCAATTGTGGCATCCTTCCGTTGGATGGTTTCTTTCGTTGATCTGGGAATTAAGATTCCATTGCTGAAATGATCTGCTTTTATGAGTTGGAGAATATAGAACCAAAGCGTATCTCATGAAAGGAAGAGAGAATGAATCCTGATCCACCAAAATTTTCTTGTAAGGGGAAAGCTTCGACAGGAAATTGTGTAGGTCCCATGTCGGTGGAGCAATTGCACCAATAATTTTCTCTGTGGCAATTCAAGAATGCCACCAAGACGTAATGGTACAATCTTCAAAGAGGAGATCACTCTTGAAGTAGAAGGCAACACCCAGCAACTTGACTACTGTAATTAAAAAAATATGTAAGAGTCGGATCTGGTTATAAGTTGGGAAATTACCAGAAAATCCTGAAGTTCTAGAATGGACAGAGAAATTGAAAAAAAAAACATATTTCAGAAGCAGGAGCTTCTGTATTACCAAAGAATCCTGCACGAATATGACTGTATTGTCAGTTGGAATTGAGCAATTGAATTTGCTTCAAGGAAGTCATAATATTTACTTACTACCAACAACATGCTGTAGCAAAACATATTTTGGATCCCAAGAAGGCAGATACTGTATAATAGTAGAATAAAGTAGACAGCACTTCTTAAAAGGATAGTGGTAAATTATTTTTTTTAGTAACTATTTTCTTTGATTATGTTGCTTCAGATTTGACTCTCTTCTTGGGGGTTATGTATTAATTTACAGAAAGCTGTTGGGCTGGTTATTTTGGTGGCCCCTATGGCTGTGTATGATGAAGATCTCTTGAGGAACCCCTTCTATTTAACCATGCAGAAACGACGGCCTGATCTCTTTAGGAAAGTTGCTGAATTCCATGGAACGGTAAGTAAATTATAACAGCTGCCAGGATTGTCTTCAAGAAGGGCCAAGAGTGAGCATAGGATTCAGCTAGCTTAGTGTTTCTCAACTTTTGCCACTTTAAGATGTGTGAACTTTAATAATAATAATAATAAAGTTGGAAGGGATCTTGGAGGTCATTGAGTCCAACCCCCTGCTCAGGCAGGAAACCCTACACCATTTTGGACAAGTGGCTGTCCAGTCTCTTCTTAAAAACCTCCAATGTTGGAGCATTCACCGCTCCTGGAGGCAGGTTGTTCCATTGGCTAATTGTTCTAACTGTCAGAAAGTTTCTCCTTAGTTCTAGGTTGCTTCTCTCCTTGATCAGTTTCCATCTGTTGCTTCTTGTCCTGCCTTCAGGCGCTTCAGAGAATAGCTTGACTCCCTCTTCTTTGTGGCAGCCCCTGAGATATTGGAAGGGTGCTATCATATCCCTCGTCCTTCTCTTCATTAAACTAGACATACCCAATTCCAGCAACCGTTCCTCATATTTTAGCCTCCGGTCCCCTAATCATCTTTGTTGCTCTTCTCTGTACTCTTTCTAGAGTCTCAGCATCTTTTTTACATCATGGTGACCAAACAGAGACAAGCTTATTTAAAATAGTTATGTACCACTTCCCATGATAATGTCAAAAGGATACTTTTATGTCTGATCTCTCTGGTGAAGGAACTGGGTAGGTGACACTGTATGTAATTGAGGTATCACAGGGCTGTTGAGCATAGCTTCTACGATGGGAATAATTTGAGAAGTTTCTTTAGCAACTCCCATATGGAGCAACTAAAAGACTCTCAGATTAATTCAGTACAGTATAATCTAATCTGTGTTCAATCTTGTTAGTTTGAAGACGTGTGGACTTCAAATCCCAGAATTCCCTAGCCCAACTCACCATTCTGGGAGTTGAAGTCCATTACATCTGCAAGATACCAAGGTGGACAAACACAAATCTAATATATACTGGTCTTTGGCTGCCATAAAGATTGATTTATTGATAATCTAAAAATAATTGGTATCTATTCCTTGGTGCTCTTTGTTTAGTTCTTCTTGGAGAATGTGCACTCAACCTTTTATTTGTTCAATTTTTGATGAAATTGGAGACAAACCAGTAGGGGGTACTAGGCCCTGCTTGTTTTTCATAGTTAAATAACAGACTTGGAAGGGACTTTAGAGATTTTCTAATCCAACCCTCTGCTCAAGCAGGAAACCCTAGGCCATAGTTTGATTTCTAATACTGTAGTTAGCAAAAACATGATGGATTTGAGATGTGCTATGTGCAGTAACATCCTGTAACTCTTTTCCTAGATACTGGTGCCTTGTAAAGGCAGTCTTTCCAACAGCATCATTTCAGCTTGCCAGTTTGACTCTTACATTCTTAAAACAGCAGACAACAATTTCCACACTTTGAATGGAAAGGTATGGACAGTGGAAATAATGGGGGGGGGGGGGAGGAGAGGCAGTTCAGACTTGGATCCATAGTTTTTCTGCAGTCTCACTTGTAGAATAAAATGGGCAGCAAACAAATTCATTTGTGATGCTCTAAGAAATGCGATAAACTAGCAAGGTTCGATTAAAGGATTTATTAATCTGTTTAGACTGCATTACGTAGACATGTTTATCTGTAAGGATGGTAATTTCCATGGCTGGTGGTTTCCAGGGCTAACATATTTAAGCTGTAAAGTTCTGAAGGTCCATGCGATGGCAAAAGAGATGGCGTTTGGGGTACTCTTTGCTGCATTTAGTGCAGTGGTTCTCAACCTGTGGGTCGGGACCCCATTTGGGGTCGAACGACCATTTCACGGGAGTCGCCAAACAACGCAGTCCGCCATTTTTTCCCCCTTTTCCTTAACTGTGCTACTCCCTTTTATTCTATTGGCTTTTGAAAGCCAATAGAATAGACTCTCTTGAATAGACTCTCTTGAATAGGAATTGTCCAGACTGTCTCTGCCCTGCTGAGCCTGCCAAAAGTCCCATTCTGCAAACGGTGCTGCACCCGTTGAGTAGTCCTCGACTTACGACCGGTTGAGTAGTCCTCGACTTACGACTGGTTGGGGGTCGCGGCATTAAAAAGGTTGAGAACCACTGATTTACTGGCTACCTGAACACTGGCAAACCAGGTACGATAGCCATAGTGGTTTCAATCTTCTTCACTGAAATCTAATGAGACTTTTAGCAATTATTTATTTCTCTTTCCTCATGAGAACAATTGATCTTGTGGAGTTTGGCTATTTTTAAATCTTAATTTAATTTTGGACATCTATAGATACTATTTCGGGAATATGGTTGGTGCCTCTGAGCCTGCAGGTCTTACGTTGTTACTGTCTGCTCAGTTACTGAATTCTTCTTTTTCTTTGTCCCTCTTTCCCTATATAGGAAGTCTTTATACAAGGAAATATGATCATCCTTGGGGGTGAATTTAACCAGCGTTGTTCAATACCTGTTCTCTTTGAGGAAACATTTTATAATGACAGGGAAGAGAGCTTTAACATCCTTTGTATAGCTCATCCGCTGGAAAAAAATGACAATAAAGGTAAAGGTTTTTCTCAGCGTTGACTGCAGATGCTTGATCAGTTTTTAAATGCCTCATCTCTGCACAAGTAAACTACTTTTTCAGTCTGAAAGGAAATCATTAAAAAAAAAAAAATGAACCTGCAGGAGCGAAGCTTAAATCCTCTTCACACACTTGTGAGGAACAATTTATCTGCAGCTGGGTTCACCCACTGCACTAGATCATAATATGGCTTCGTTGAAGTTGGCTTGGCGTCCTGAATGAGCCCAGCCATATTGGTTTCTAAATTTTGTTTGGTGCTGTAGAAATCCAGCTAATTGTGGCTTAATCAACCAGCTATGTTTAAACAAATCATGACTTTGGATAATGTGTCAACAAGTCACAAAGCGAGCAGAGGGGACTTCTCGGATTCCGGGAAGAAGTTTGTCAATAGAACCATCCTAGTTTCTTAATCCTTCTTTAATATCTGCCTCTATAAATTTCACTGTGTGAATTTACCGCTGCTTCTTGGAGTAACCAAGGATCTTTCTGTCTTGTTGACAAGTGCCTTCCCATTTCAGAACCATCCTCAACGGCCTCCAACTCTTACTCCTTGAAAAACATGGAAGATGTGAAAGAATTCTTGGGAAGGCATGCAGAAAAATTTGATAAAGCTATTGCATCTTTCCACAGGACTTTCAAGGAGCATGACAGGAAAATCCTGCGACACTATATAGTTAGTATTTCTACTTCCAATGGATTTAATACTTAACTGCACATGACAAAGGATTAAAAACATCAAATTAGGCATGTGAAAATTCTGGCCATGTCATATGCGTGCCACCTAAAATAGGTTGCTTTCTTTGGAAATGAATTAGTCATATGTTGGCTTGTGTAAGTAGAACAATCCTGTAAGACGTTTGTTTGCAAATCGTTTGAATCGGGGTGCAGCTCTAGGTGTTACCACAATGTTACATATTTATTTATTTATTAAATAGATATACCATCCATCTCTGAAAAATGTCTGTGGGCAGTTTTTTGAGAGTGCCTCAGATGAATCACTAAATAATGTACGCCAGTGGTTTTCAATCTGTGGTCCTCAGATTGAGGGGGTGGACACAGTGTCACAGGAGGGTCCACGAAGGTTTGAAGAAATGTTATAATTTAAATCTTGAATTAAGTCTTGATGGTCCGTCGCCATAAAAGGTATTTAAAGAGGGTCCATGGGGAAGAAAAGATTGAGAACCACTGATGTACACAGTTGCAACAATTTTTTTTATAATTGTCCTATCACTCTGTTTAATTATTCCAATGAGACTTGGCTGGTTAAATGCTTGAATATTCCTCTCCCCATCCCCTTAGTTTTCTCAATGCACTTTGCTTTGATCTTCAGGATTCTGTGAATGCCCTCTACACCAAATGCATCCAGCAGCTGTTGAGAGATTCCCACCTTGTAAGTACAGATGTGGGCATGTACCGATGTGGACTATGTGTGTCTTAGGAAACCTTCAGATTCATTTTGTTTTCTCTTTCTCGCAAATAATTTAGAGAATGCTTGCAAAGCAGGAACTTCAGATGAATCTGATGAAACAAGCTGTGGATGTGAGTATGCTGGGGGGGGGGGTCAGTAGGATCTTGGTTCCTCTTTGAGTAAACCTTCAGCATCCTTTCTTTGCTTTTCTCTCTTGGTACAGATGTATATCCATCACTCTCTCTATGATGTCATCTTCAAATACGTGGGGACCATTGAAGCCAGTGAGGTAGGTACCCAGATGTGCCAGGCGCTCCTCCAGGTGCCAAAGTTACTTTGGGAAATAACAGGTGTAGTATTCTCCAGGCTGGAATATAAGAATTGTTGCGTTGTTAGGGAGGGTCCTCACTGCACTGAATGGACATTCCTTGCAAAATCCATGTGGGATTTTCGACGTGACAACTTGGGAGTGAGAACTTTGCATGAGAACTTGGTAAACCAGGGACGAAAGATCCTAGAATTAAAGGGGTAAATCTGATCTAAAGCATCTTCCTAGACCCTTTAATGGCACTCTACCTGAAGTCCTAGAAGTTAGAGAGGACACCGTCCTTATTTATATTTTATATTTCCTAACTGCCCACCACTTGGAGAGGGGCTCTGGGCGGTGGACAATTTCATTCTTACAAGAAGGCAGTAATACACATTCATGTGCCAAAAGATGCCCATCTACCAGCTTTTCAAGCCATTGAGGAATAGTTTGGTCACTTTTTGCTTGCATGGTGGCATGCCTTCAAAGCAGCTGAGCTAGTCTGCTGTACCCGCTTTGGTGATATTAGTGCAGTTTCCGCTCGAAGCTTTGGATTACGTTAGCTTTTTTTCTTTTTGTCGAAAAAAATGTAGGTTGAGTGGTAGAGTCATTGGACCTATCCCTATTCAGGGGTACTAGGTTGGTAAATTAAGTTCTGTTAAAAGCCTCTTCTGCCAGGATTTACAGTGATGCTTTTCCTGCTTAGGATGCAGCTTTCAACAAAATCACCCGAAGTTTACAAGACCTGCAGCAGAAAGACCTGGGTATCAAGCCTGAGTTCAGGTGAGTTCTCGACTCTTTTTTTAAAGGATTTTCCTAGCACAGTTGAGTTTTGTTTTATTTTCGTCCCGGGAAGAGCGAAGAAAAAATGGACAAACCTGGGAAAAGAGGCAGCTCTGAGGCCAACGTCTTGCTTCTTCAAAGAAACAATGGAAGGCTTCATGAATTTTTATCAGAGAGTTTCACTGGTTTTAAAAGGACCTCATCATATGACCCAAAGGATGCAATTTGCTATTCCTGCCTTAAATAGATCTTGGCCCAACCTTTCGCTCATGGCAACATTGGGCTGTTTTTCATTTTGGATATATGAACACTGAAACTGTTGTGTAAACAGGCATTTGCTTTTAGTTTCCGGCAGCAAGCATCCCACAGTGAACAAAGGGCTTGCTTAGCAACTGCTACATTCACTTAACGCCCACTGCAAAAAGGCTATGGAATTGGGCATGGTCACGTGATGACCTGCTTAATGACCGTCGTGACATAAGTCCATAATTACAGGCTCTATTTGGGTCGTTAAGTCGAGAACAACCTGTATGTCTTTTGAGAAGTTATGTCCTTTTATTTTGTGCGTTAAGCCTTTTTTCTTTCTGACCGCGCCGTCTCCAGTTTCAACATCCCGCGTGCCAAGCGAGAACTGGGGCAGCTGAACAAGTGCACCTCTCCACAACAGAAGCTCCTGTGCTTGCGCAAAGTGGTCCAAATCATCATGCAGTCTCCAAGTCAGAGAGGTGAGTCACTGCGGGGAATGGAGTCACCGTTCCAAGGAGTGGCTTCTCTCTCCTCTTGAAAGTATCGTCCGTGAGCTTTTAAATCTGGGTCCAGATTGTGCTTTGCGTTACTTAAATGGAAAACAGAGGACTGAACACAACCTTTGCATGGAAGTCACTTTTCACTATAGGGCAGGGGTGTCAAACTCAATTTCATTGAGGACCGCATCAGCATTGCGGTTGCCCTCAGGGGGCCAGGTGGGTGCGGCCTACTGGGTGAGTGTGGATGGAGTGGGTGTGGCCTACTGGGTGGGCATGGCCAGTTCTACATTGTTCGCATCAAAGGTGCCTGTGGGGGCCTGGGCAGGAGTGGGACAGATCTGAGAGTCTCTGGCAGAAGGGGGTGGGACCGGGGCAAGTGCCAAGGCATGGTCCACTGGAGGAGCCTCACTGTTCCTCTCAGGCCATGCCGGGGGTGGGAAGGCTTATAGAGCTATGACTGAATGCGCTTCAGCATAAATGGCCACCACAAAATTGTACATTGGCTCCTGGTTGGCCTGGGCCAGGGCCAAGGCCGAAGGGGCCGTTCCCTCATTGTTTCCAGGATGGCTTCCTGGGCCACATGAAAGCACTTCGCGGGCCGCATCCGGCCCCCGGGCCTTGTGTTTGACATGTCTGATCTAACCGATGGTCCTGCCACCTGTCCCTCAAGATCATTTCTTCTGCTCTCCAGAAAGGGTTATAGGTTTTCCATCGTTGCTTGGATCTCTACCATCGCTAAGAATCCGGCCCCCGGGCCTTGTGTTTGACATGTCTGCTATAGGGAGACATGCAATGCGAGAGTTGGAATGAAAATTATAATTCACAAGTAGTGGTTGAACCCCTGGACTTTGCGCCCAAGTCCTCTTAATCCTTGGCCTGATGGTGAAGGTTTGAGTAGATGCTGGGGAATTCTGGGAGTTGAAGCCTGCACATTTTCAAATTGCTACGGCCGAGAAACAGTATTTTACAGGGAGTAAAGTACAGTGCAGTAGCTTCACGGGAGAACAAAGCTCTTGAATCAAGCCATTTCAAAACCGCTACAAAGTGTTATTAGATTGGTCATTAATTTATCATTTTATTTAGATTTGGCATTGTCCATCTATAGTCTTAGGAAACCTCCTAGCGTATTTCTAAAATGCCTAAATAGAACGATTGAGACATTCTTTCTAAATAGGCTGCATTTCTTTTCTTCTCTCTTCCCCCTTCAGTGAACATGGAGACCATGTGTGCCGATGATCTTCTTTCTGTGTTGCTCTATCTCCTTGTGAAAACAGAAATTCCTAATTGGTATGTAGACTGCTTTCCCTGTTTCAAAGAATCCTATAAAGCTATAAATCCTATAAAGCTCTGAGCATGCTTGTTTTCTTGCAGACATTTCATTGCCCACACTAGGCAACATCATCAGCGCTCTGGTGAAACATCGTTAGAGAATCCTCCTTGAACAGGACATTACAACCACACTACCTAAAATCATACTCTCATTGAGTCTCAGAGCTCAAGTATTGCAGTATGTTCCACATGTGGCTTCTGAAAGCCACTCAGCTCCTTCAAATGGTCCAGAAGTGAGGGCTCATTGATGCTCTCTGAGCTTGTTTTTCTGCAGACATTTCATTACTGAAACTAGGTAGTATCATCAGTGCTAGATGATGGTGGTGACGATGATGCTGTAGCACTGATGATCTAAGGTCATCCATCCCCAGGATAATAATAATAATATTTTAACAGCAGCATCATCTAAAAATGCCAATATCTTCTGAATACTAAACAGTACACATACGTTTTTTTTGCTGCTTTCGGGCATCAGCAATTCCTCCAGCTCAAACATTATGTATTTTTGGTCACAGATTTTTGAAATGTGTAAAGGATATTATGAAAGAGACCTTCATGATTATTCGGCGTGATGTGCAGATAGAAACGAAACATCTGCTGCTTAACTGCTGTATTTCCATGGATTACATGGATTATGCACATTAGAAATATACTCAGGTTCTTGGATGTCAGTTATAACTTAAAACTGATTTTTAATTCTTTGTGTCTTGACTGTCAAAACCAAGGATTAAAAGCTCACACATTTTTGTACATGTGCACCACACAATATTCTGTGGTACCTCTTCAGAGTTTTGTACTAAATGTATTGTGGCGAGTTTTATAGCAGGGTGATACTAGGCAAAAATAAAGCTCAATAGCTAAACATAATTGGAGCATATTTTCTTTAACTGCAGAATAGATTATATAATCAAAATATGCAGAAATGTTGTTAGTACTTGAATTCTGCGTTGGTTTTTCCTGGCTAGGCAAACTCTGTTACTGTACCATTTCATATTCTGGTTAATCTGGGTGCAAACGTTTGGTCTCAAAGATTGAAGTATATCCCAAATGTTGATGATAGATAAGATAAAACTTAAGGTTGCCATTTTGGATTCCTGCATTCCAGTTGAGTTCACATACTCCATTAAGCCATAGCGTGGTTTGCTTTTTTTTGCATGTGACAGTGTTCTGAAAATCCAGCTGCTTATGGTTGAGACCCGTAATATACAGGTTAGAGCAGGGGTCCTCAAACTTGGCCACTTTAAGACTTGGGGACTTCAATTCCCAGAATTCCCCAGCCAGCATGGGGAATTAATGGCCAGGTTTGAGGACCCCTGGGTTAGATCATTGGATGAGCCCATTGGGTTAACCCAACTATTCAGTAAAAATTGATGAAAGGCTTATCAAATTTAAACACAGCCATAGTGTGGTTTGGTTTTGGCTTCGTATGTTGTACAAACTCAGTTGTTAGAGTTAGTAAATATAGCTTAGCAAAATGTGCAAGTCCAGCCAGTAGGACTGATTTAAGAATATCTTGGCGTTGTGCCCTTGGTGAACCTATCTTTAATCTCTCCTGGATCACCATGATAATCAGGAGGACCTTATGAAATAGAAATAAGAACAGTTTGGTTTCTTGCAAAGAGTAAGCTCAGAACTTATCCGAGTTGAACTATTTGTTCGTAACTGAAGACTCGAGCAGAATTAAAAAACAAATATCAGAAAATGCCCATGTCTGTTTAATGGATAGAAATAGGGTTCCCAGTTGCGCAAATTGGTTTTTTTTTTTTTTTTTTTTTTGCTTCCTGACAGCTGCTTATGTAGTTTTATTCCTTGTCTAGGATGGCCAACCTGAGCTACATCAAAAACTTCCGATTTTGCAGCTCAGCAAAGGATGAACTGGGCTATTGCTTGACCTCAGTTGAGGCTGCAATAGAATATATCCGTCAAGGAAATCTTTCTGACAGGACACCGGTAAGCCCCTGTAATGCTGTATATCCTATCCCAGCCTGACAATCTCTCTAACAGTGTCCCCTTTTTGTAGGTCTGCAGGATTCTAGCCATGTTTATCAAAGGAGCCCAGAGAGCTAGCTCTCAAATGTATTTCATTTGTCAAAGCGGGTCATTATCCTGTGTAGGCCGCTCAAGCATTTTAGTAACTGAAGCCTTAGGCTGGCAGACTATAAAGGCTTGAGGTAAAATAAACCCCGTCTTTGATCTTGTGCTTGCAAAGAGCATGAAGGACAAACCAAGACTGAAATTCTACGCTGGGGGAAATATCCTTGCGTAAATGTGGCTTTGCTGTTCCCTTCGTCTCACTTGTAGATGTAGGCTTTTGTGTACTTAGCACAAATCAGGTCCTAAGGCAGGAGCCTATTTTTATTATTTTTGCCCGGCATTCCAATACAGGTGGTCCTTGACTTAACAATCACAAGTGAGCCCAGAACAGTTACCGTATTACAATTTTAAAAACAACGGTAAAAGTGGTATCGTATCTTTGCAATAACTGTGCAAGCGCTGCTGTTATGTCGTCATTAGACTCAGCTGGTCAAGGGAAGGTAGAAAAAGGATGAAAAGCAAAGGCCTTCCCAAAAGCAATAAGCCTTTCAAAAATCCTTCGATGCTGTTCGTTAAGTCAGCTTTGCTACGCTTTACCACCTTTCTTGTCATTTTTGTTAAGCGAGTCGCTGCAGTTGATGAGTTAGTAACCTGGTGGTTAAGTGACTCCGGCTTCCCCCGTTGACTTTGTCAGAAGGACGCAAAAGAGGATCACGTGACCCTCCCCCCAGGGATACTGCGGTTCTCTTCAAAATATGCCAGCTGCCCAGTGTCCAAATTTTGATCAAGTGACCATGGGGCTCTTGCGACGGTCCTAAGTGTGAAAAACGGTCATAAGTCACTTTTTCCCCGGACCGTTGTTAACTTCAAATTGTCACAAACAAGTGGCTGTAAGTCAAGGATTACCTATAGACGGGGCCAAGACAGAATAGGTTTTGATTGAATATATAGAATCCGACTTAATTTGAGATTGTGCTGGGATGGTAATCTGGCATGCATTTAATAAAATCTGTCTCCTCCGGTGACACCAAAAATCAGCCTGTGTCAACAGTTCACGGAGGGCCTTTGAGAGATGGATTATTTCAGAGTGCCATTGATTTAGGATTACGTTAGTCCTTTTTTAGAGTTTAAAACAGTCACCTTTAGGTTTCAGCTTTCTGAGCCTAGCGTAGCCAAATCATATAGAGCCATGCTGATGCATTAAGTGGAATATATTTGAACAGCTTTACATTCTGGGCTGAGTGAGTGAGAGTGAAGCGCTAAATCCAACAACTTTCGTATGTCAAAACATACAGCCAAGTTACAGTGATTTTCTGCCAGCAGTAAACTGTTTGGCTTGTGCAAAGTGTTGTCACATGTCACTAAAAAGCATAGCAGATAGTTTAGAAAGCACTAATGCTTTGAAGGCTGTCTGGAGATAATTTAAAAAAACTGGTGGATAGGGAACTTAAGGTCTTTTCTGGAACAAATATAGGGGTAGCTGGCAGATTTTAACCATAATAACGATTAATTTTTAACTTCAAGTGCTGCTAGATGGCTTCGTTACTGTAGGCCGCCCTGCCTTTTCGTTCAGTTTATGCCGTCTAATAAAAACCTAGCCGCTTCCGTTGCTCTCTGCATTTAACTTGAAAGTTGGATGCAGCGTGATAAAGCATCAACAGTTATACCCTGAAAATGCCAAGGATCTCTTTCACAGTGTTTGAAGGCACAGTGAAGTTTTATTTATTTGTTCAATTTCTATGGCAGCCCATGTCAATGAACAACTCTGGATGGCCATAGTTTTCCCCTGATTGGGCTTTAATTGACCGGCCAGTGTTCCTTTTGTGACTGGAAATATTCTTACAGCAGTAAAATCATGATCTCCTCCTCCTTTTCTGTAATTGAATAAAACACGTGTCTTAAAATCATGTGGAGGCTTAAGGCGCATTTCAGTATCACTGAAATGTCTACCTCAGGTGGGCTGTGGACCTGGCCTCTATTGGAATATGGCTTATGTCTTGTCCCTGAACTGGTAGGACACCCCTCCTCTCCCAAGTCAGTTAGCCTGGTGCCCTTTCTAATTTAGATTGCCTGTTTTACTAATCACCCTGGATGCAGAATGCTGGATATTTAGCATTCTGGAGTTTAAGCTAGTGTTGAATTTTCCATGACATGAAGCAACAGGTCTTTTAAGACCCTCTTCCGTGGTCCAAAATACATAGGTTGGAAGCTGTATTTGGTCAATTTTGGGAGAGCCACAGGTACCTCATTTCTGCTTTAAGACAATAGAGTTGCTACAAAGTTGTTGACAAGAGAAACTTCCAAAACCTTAGGTTCTCCTGATCTGAATCGAAGCTGGAGGAGGTGGACGTGGTTCCTGAATCAAAGCTGTACCTGTGAGACATCTACAAAGAAAAGAATGGAACTTGGGGGTGGAGTTTAATGGCTTGGTTTGGATCACTTGATGTTTGAAGGCCTTGGGGGCTCTTTTCTGGAAAAGGTTTCACTCCTCTTCTGCACTTTAAATCACTTGGGCAAGGCTTTCACTTCGCTTCTTGATGGGTTATCTTCTCAAGCAATCTTGGGCCACTTGTCTTTTCCTTTTTAAAATGACAGAAGTTGGTCCACAACTGTTGCTTGTTAAATCTCGAAGCCATGTTAAATTAAAAAAAGAAAAAGAAAAAAAGGAAGATGATGTGTGGAATAGAATTAAATGGTTGCACTTTTTTTAATAGTTTGCCTGCCGCTAATTTGATGATTGTTCATAACATGTTACTCTGCTAACGTCTGAAGAAGTTGAAGGCAAAAATGTGTTGGGATGATGCAGGTGTTTGCTGCCTTCTGTAAAATAAAATACATTGACAAATTGGAGAATTGCGTGCCGTTTTTTTTTAAGTAAAATGAGTCAGTAAAAGATGCCCAGTTTCCCAGTACTTGTTTAATTTTTTTTCTTAGTACTTTTGCTGTCTACCCCTCAGTTTTTAAAAACTTCTTATTTCAGATGTTAGAATATGGAGGGCAAATCAGGAATGGTTGTATGCATGTTTCTTTTGGATTTGCAGTGTATCAATTCCATGAGTTTCATGCTTCAACCTCTTTGGCTTAACTTGCATTTAAACCCCCAATGCCGTGCTTACATGATAGATTTAATCAGGGAAACCAAACTTTAGCTTACTCAACCTATTTGCTATATGGCTTAGGAAGTAAGGAAATTGTTTGATAAGATGTATGTTGGGAGCTTGGGGTGCTGGCTCTCCCCTTTACTGCTTGAAAATAAGATATCTTGTGAAGAGTCAAAATCATTTAGCAAAGTATATATCTCAATCTGAACTGGATTGGGGTGGGGTGGTATAAGAAAGGGGAATAAGTAATATTATTTATCAACTAGAATTGTTCTAAACTGACTCGCTAATGTTGCTTCATTACCAACTGGACTGCAGTCGGTCTTGATACAGGCTGCAATTCTTTCTGAGATTTGAGAGGGAAAAAAAAGGATAGGAATATAATCTCCTGGGTTATAAAATGTAAAAACTGCCTTCTCCAGTCAAGCATTCACCAAAGATGTTGGGACTTCTGCTCTGCATGGTCTGTGCTGTCAAGATCTGTTGAGAGTTAATGACACACCTAAAAGGACCAAGTTTCTCATCCTTGACTCCTGTGTTTTGTTGATCTTTTTGTTGATCTTCTACCCAAGGATTTCTGGAATGGCACCAGGTTGCCTGTTCCAATGTAAAACGGGTGGGAAGTCTTCAGCAGATGAGATCACCATCTGTAGCATGGGTATCAAACTCGCCATGTCACGTGATGTGTTGTGACTTTTTTTGCATTGCTGGAGCTGAGGTGGGCTTGGCCTCCGTATGATGTACCTGGCCCACGGGCCGGCAGTTTGACGCCCCTAATCTATAGCAACACTGGTTAGTTGACCTCATGTGCGGAGCACAATAATTTTATCTGCATTTAGCTTAATGCAGAACAAATCAAGCCTTGCTTTATAGACAAGCATATTAGCTTAGAATATGTATGAACTCTGTCATCAGAGCATAGCCGATTATAAAACGTTTTGAGCCTTGAATCAACAGTGGTCAAGTTCATATTTTATGATGGTTTGCAAACCACAATAAGTTCACACGTGAAGTACCAATCTAGAATTCAAAGGTATTCCAGCTTTGCGTGATGCATCTTCTCTCTAGAGACTTCCACTCTCTAATTATTGTTAACAGCTCTCTTTCTCTTACCTGTTCAACATATCACTTCACAGTTGACCCTTTACATTTTACCTTCCTGGGAGAGAATTACTCAGCCAAAAATCACCTTTATGATAAAATAAGCGGCAGTAGACAAGGGCATTAAAAATCTATTAGCAGTAGTAATTTAGTAAGAAAGTTAGAACGGCATTAAAAAAAATGATTTATAACTGGTCGTCACACAACTATCGCAGCATCCCTATCATCACATGATCAAAATTTAGGTGCTTGGCAACCACCATATATTTATGACAGTTGCAGCATCCCAGAGTCACATGATCATCATTTGCAACATTCCCAGACAGCTGCCAATCTACTGCAGAAAAATACTTGTCATCCTTAGGCTATCACACACACCTTGCCGAGTTGCATTGTAAGATAAAAAGGACTCCTTATGGATGCCACGTTGAGCTTCTCTAAGAGGCAGGATATACATCAATCAGTAACATAGTTGGTAAAAGTACAGAAGTTTTCTTGTATGACATTGTGATTCTCTCTTTATTTTTCTTTTATGCTCCCTTTTTTTTTTTAGGATTCTATCTATATGTAAGGTTTTGGTTGAAAGTTGGAATTCATTCTATTCATTCGTTAAATTGAAACTGAAAATCCACCCTTTGGTGCTAGAAAAATCGGTAGTGTCCAATTTTGAGAGTTGGGCTTTAAAATGGAATTCACCAGTTTAAAATGGATCTGATGTCTGCTAAACCAGTGGGAAAAAAGAGGGTTACAAATACCTGTTTTCTGTTAAATGTTTCTCCTTGCTAATAGCTTCCCTCTCTCCCTTTTCCTTTTGTAGGCATCTGAAGGATTTAGTGAAAAGCTATTCTTAAGACAAAGAATGAATCTTCTCTCTCAACTGTCTACCACTCCGATAGACTGCCTGTTTAAGGTTTGGATTGCATAGCTGTTGGATTAGCGCTGCAAGAATTAGCAAAATATTATGCTTCCCCTTGCAATCTGTTGGAGGACGGTCTCCACTGTTATCTGTGGACTGAAATTGGGTGTTTTGGAATTGATAAAAGAACAGCTTATCTTTCCTGGGCCATTTTTATTGGCTTTTTAAATTATAATTATGGAGGCTTTAATCAGAGTAGCATCAGCATTGGTGGAATATGGCTTGAATTGTATTTATTTTCTAAGCAGTGCCTGCGGTGATTTCTCCTTCCACTTAATCATCTATCACTGGAGAGGTGATGCTGGGAGGAAAGCTTTTCTAGAAGTGATTTCTTTGGGCACATTCCTAAAATTCCTTCTTCAGTTAAATATTTAAACTTTAATGCGCTGAGAGTTTGTTTGGAGCAGATTATGGCTTTGCTGGCACAGAGAAGCTGCTGAATCAGTTTGATGTTATCCTTTTTTATTGCTGTTGAAGTTGTATGTACGATTTTTAAATTTATTTAAAAAAAAAATATCCGCTTCTTTAGGAATGCTTGTAAATGGAGAGATGACTCCACACTTCAATCCACATTTTCAAATAAATTTATACGATCCTAAGAAAGGGTCTGGTTAACCCGTTCTGCGATAGTAAAAGATGTTTTTATCACAAATAACAGAATAACAGAGTTGGAAGGGACTTTTGAGGTCTTCTAGTCCAACCCCCTACTCAAGCAGGAGACTATACCATTGCAGACAAATGACTGTCCAGTTTCTTTTTAAAAGCTTCTGATATCCAAATAATCAGTATTGTTTGGACTTCACTCCTGTCTTGTTAAGTGGTGTAGTTCTTACATTTTTAAAATAGCTTATGGAAATGTATCCTGGACAGCTAAGTTTGTAATCTCACACCTGCCTTTTCCTACCTGTTTTTTCCCCAGGTGTATTGGAACCACAGTTCCAATAGGACGTAATATAGCAATTGGAGAAAATTGTTTATACCTATTCAGCGAGATTAAGATGTAGTATTCTTGGCAGACTCGAATAGACACCCATTCATTTTTACCGTTTAACAGTTACAGAGATGTCACAGTGGATATGCAGTCTAGAACTGGAATTGTTAGAGAGATGGTAGACAATAAAGCAGTGACTTGTGAGGGAAACACACTGGCTCTTCTACCAATTGCTGTGATGTGAGAACTGACCTTGAATCCTTCTTATGATTCTGCAAAGGTCTTTCTTCTCCTGTGGTGTCTTTCTTCTTTGTTTGGGTTTTGAACCTGCCCAGATGTGTCTCTCTCACATTCTTCTTTGCAGCACGTGGCTTCGGGCAACCAAGAAGAAGTAGAATGCTTGTTGAGCCAAGGAGACAGCGATAAGGACGCTTTGCAAAACATGTGCCATCCGCTCTGCTTCTGTGACAAATGTGAGAAGCTAGTTTCTGGGTAAGAGTCATATTTTTCTCCAGGAGTTATCCCCAGTGATTCAGAAAGAAAGTTAAGACATTTGCTTCTGTCTTCAGTGGCTTAATTTAGATTTAATACCAGATTATGGTCTGCATGTGCATAAGGATTGTTCAGGCACTCATTCAGTCATCTTCCCAAGGCTGAATAAAATAGGCCAGCATTATTGTTTGTCGCACAGTCAGCTATAGTAGATGTTCAAACGGGATTTGGTGTTTTTAATCTACCTATCTAGGCCTTCCCAAGGGCAGATAGGCAGATGTGGATGTTTGATGCTGTTAGAGATATCGATCGCAGGATGTAAGCTGTTCCAAGTAAAGCTGCCGTTTGCAATTGATGGATGGTGAATTTGTCAATGCTGATGCCATTATTTTTAGGACAAAAGGATTGAAGCTGACAGAAGAGTTGCTAGCAAGCTCAGAGGATGGCACAATTGTAGCCTTACAACCACCGTGTCCCAATAGGGTCCATATTGTAGTACTTCTTGTGGACAGAAAAAGCTGTGAGGATATTAAAATACTTGTGTTCTATTTCAGTTTGATTATGTCCTTTATTATTGCTTTAAGGAAGCTGAATGATCCTTCGATTGTTACACCATTTTCTAGAGATGATCAGGGATTTACTCCACTCCATGTAGCTGCTATTTATGGTGAGCGCTGCAATTTTTTTTTTTCATTTTTCAAATGTTGTAACATAGCCTTTTTCTGATACAATCACAAATCCTTTAGCTCTGTTAGTTGGGTGTTCTGAAAGTTTCAAACTCTTTAGGGCAAAGAGGCCAGCAGAGTCTAATCTAATCTTTACGCTGTTTGAAAAATTATTACTTGGTCTTTTTTGAAGTTTATTTTTAATATTGTTATATTTGGTTTTGCTTTATGTTTGGTTAGCTGCCCAGAGTTATTTTGTTGAGATGGGCAACTATATACATTTGCAAAATAAAGCAAGAGAAGAAAAAAGTAGGATTGCAAAAAAAAATAAAAAAATTCCTTCATTAAGGAATATTTTTGCTCGAAATGAATTGGGATATAACACTACCAGCAAATACCAAGTCCATCTGTATTTCACCTTCTCCAATAAAAAATAGGTATAGTGTCTCTGATAAATGTTAAAAAATACTTTAAATGCTATATAAAAATTAATACATTCTGTGTAAACAACAGGAGTGACATGTAAAAAGTGAACTTGGAAAAAAGGAGAATTGCATTTTAAAAGCCTACATCGGAGAACTGCACGTGAGAAAGGAAAAAAATGCTAAGGATTATTTGCGTTTTAAAAAAAAGATTAAACAACCTATGTTAAGAGCTAGGAAAATTACAGGAAGATATTGAAAAAGCCCTGAATTATGAGATACTGCAGTGGCAAGTGATTAGGCAGCTAGGATGATGGATAATGCTGGGAGCCCGGATGTGAAGCAACATTATGAAGGTCACAGTCTGCCCAATGATATGATGTAATTTTCAAGGTGACAGTTTGCAAGATAGGAGCTTTTCTCTGAACTGCATCCTCTGATTATTTTGGTTTTCCCAGAAGGAAATAGATAGTAGTTTATCTTGACTTGGCAGGGAACAGGTTTTTAAAATCATTTTGGTCCCTCCAGTTTCTTGCCTTGCCTTGAGGGAGTGTGAGCCTTGTCCTAAAACAGGGGTCTTCAAACTTGGCCCTTTTATGACTTGTGGACTACAGGCATGCTGGCTGAGGAATTCTGGGAGTTGAACCACAAGTCATAAAAGGGCTAAGTTTGAAGACCCCTGTCCTAAAAGCTTGCATTGATATCCTTGGCAATATAAAGTCATTTGAATATTTGAGGGCAGATTCCTTATTTGGTGATAATGAGGTTGCTTAGTTAGCTTGCCCCCAAGTTCCTAAATAAAGGATGCTTTTTGCTGTAGGCCAGTGTTTCACCACCTTGACAATTTTAACAATGCTGGCTGTGGAATTCTGGGAGTTGAAGTCCACATACCTTAAAATTGTCAAGGTTGAGAAACACTGCTGTAGGCCTTCAGTTGGTCTTCATCTCTGACCCTCAGGAATAAATCAACCTCATTTATAATTGCTGGATGTTCTGCAGCTCAAGCCGTGTATCGAAAAATCTGCTGTTGCGGGCCCTTGGAGAGATATTGTACAGTTTGCATACGAAGGATAAAAAGAAAATTATTACCTTTCTCAGAACCAACTCTGAAAATGCAACAGGCTTTTTAAAAAAAAAACAAAAACAAAAAAAGAGCCAAATGTTATCGTTTGGGTGTTAATGAGCAAGTTTCTCTTCCCCCAGGGCAAGCCTCGTTAATTGACTTGTTAGTCTCCAAAGGCGCAGTTGTCAATGCCACGGATTACCACGGGTCCACCCCACTTCATCTCGCCTGTCAAAAAGGATATCAGAATGTCACAGTAAGCCGTTTGTGAACCACGTTGCGCTACGTGTCCTTCTATTTTTATTTGTAGACTGACAAAAAGAACATGTAGGTTTTTTTTCAGCCCCGAGTTCTCCTGAAAGGAAAATCTGGGCTCAGTTTCTTTAATAGCGGACTGGTGTGTGTGTGTGTGTGTGTGTGTGTGTGTTAGAATACAGGTAGCTAACTTACGACCACAATTGAGCTCCAGATTTGCATTGCTACGCAAGACAGTGATTAAGTTGTTGTTTTGCCCCATTTTACGACTTCTCTTGCCACCGTTGTTAAGTGAATCACTGCAGTTATTAAGTTAGTCACAGAGTTGGTAAGTGAGTCTGGCTTCCCCACTGACTTTGCTGGTCAGAAGGTTCAAAAGGTTGATCCCGTGACCTCGGGACACTGCAACCGTCGTAAGTACATGCCAGTTGCAAAGCCTCTGGATTTTGATCACGTGATCACGGGGAATCTGCAGCAGTCGTTAAGTGTGAAAAACGGTCACAAGTCACATTTTTCAGTGCCGTTGTAACCTTGACAAGTCACTAAATGAATGGTTGTTGAGTGAAGGACTAGAAGACACCAGAAGCTGTAACCTTCTTCAATCTCAGCTGGGTGGATTCCCCCTCCCAGAATCCTCAGCCATGGTCTTGCTAGCTGGAGGATTCTTTGCTAACCTTTGGCTTCTAATCCCTGTTGTTGCCCTTCTTCCTAGAGTTGGTTGCCCCACTCTACCTAATGGAGATGTTGGCCCTGTATATGGGGGGGAAAACGCTCTTATACTGATGCTGGCCTGCAGCCCAAAGAACTGATGCATTTAGCCTTAAGTTCTTCTGTACTCGCTTCCCATTGTCTTTTGCAAGGGTTACAATAACGTCTCCATAAAAAGCCAATCATGAATAAAACATTTTGATTGATGAAGCTGCGTCTTCCACCATTTTTGGGTTCAGGAGTTGGGGGGTGGGGGTGGGGAGGTGGACTGGAGAAAACAACTCAATGTTGTAAAATTTATATTCCATGAAAAGTGCTTCAGATGTTTCCAAAGTCGCTCATTGCCATATTGTTCCAGCCACTTCTGCTGTTGTCCACCGTCAGGTTTCTGGATGCTCTTAACTTTTTAAAAAAAAGTTCTTTTAATAAAAGAAAGAGAAAGCTCCCATACATCAGAGCAAAATGCCAGCTTTTAGAATCCTTTTTATTGGCAGCGGTGTCGTTGGGCCTTCATTAAGAAGAAGGACTGATTTATTTATTAAACAGAGGTCTTGGCGCTGGTCATTTCTCCTTTGGCAACCTTTGGATAAACACATGAGTCAGCCATTTTGTGCACGTGCCTCCTAGATCAGGACTTTTCAACCTTTTCACCCATTGTACCACTTTTAGGATATAGCAACATCCGAGTACCACCAGTCGCCTAGCAAGGTGTCAAAAACTTGATGACCCAAAAAAAAGGGGAAAAAAGTGATAAAAGTACAGGTAGTCCTTGACTTACAACAGTTCGCTTAGTGACTGTTGGAAGTTACAGGGGCACTGAAAAAAGTGCCCCCCAAGCCACAGCCGAGCAAGACACCTGCCTGCCCACCCGGCGGCGTTCTTCCTCCTGTCCAAGGTTTTCATTGTTGTGAGCATTTCTGTTGAGGATTGGCAGCGGGGATGGGGTGGGGGGGGTGTTTGGTTTTTATTCCTCCCATCTGCTGGGTGCTTGCAGCAGGTTTTGGTCACTTCACATGACCCTGGGACACTGTGACCGTCCTAAATATGAATCAGTTGTCAAGCATCTGAATGTAAATCACAAGACTGTGGAGATGCTGCAACATTCCAGCTGATCGGCGCATTGCCTTTTTCTTTTCAGCTCCTTTTGCTACATTATAAATCAAGCACAGAAGCTCAGGATAATAATGGCAACACTGCACTCCACTTAGCCTGCACTTACGGGCACGAGGATGTAAGTAGATAGTTTAAAACAGCAGTTTTCAGAAGTGTCCTTCACTTTTGTAGTTCAGGGGTGTCCAATCTTGGCAACTTCAAGACTTGTGGACTTCAACTCCCAGAATTCCTGACTGAGGAATTCTGAGAGTTGAAATCCATAAGTCTTGAAGTTGCCAAGATTGTACACCCTTGCGGTAGTTGATGAAGTGTCACTTGGACCATAACTTTCTTTTCCATCTCTTTTGAGGGGCAAGCAAATTTGAAATGTTTTAAGTTTTTCTCTCTCTCCAATTTTCAGTTATTCTTGCGCATATGAAGATTGAAAGTGCTATTAATTGATTTTTATTATTTTTACACTATCTTTTCTCCATTTCCCGAGCTCAAGGCATCACTACTAACTTTTCAAGGTTTCTCTGAAACACATTAAATCCAATGCATGTTACTATAAAATTGCAGTAATTAAAACACTCCACGGGAAAAAAATCCAAAAAATAGTCTGGATGAAGACATGGGTGTATTCTGAAAGTGGGTCTGCTGCTGTTGTGGTTCTTGGAAAGTAAACATCTCAAGGGCAATGTTTGGAACAGTCGGGTCTCCTTTTTCTTTTGTTATATGGAAAAATGTGTGAAATGCGTGGTGTGCTTAACCCTGTTGTTTGTGCTGTCTGCTATTTATGGCGTAGCAGGGTTAATCTGGATGGATAAAATGCAAAACAGCAGCTTCCCTTAGGCTGTGTATAAGCCGTTGCCTTCATGCAAAGTTCTTATCTTGGTTGTTCTTTTTAATTTTGTAGTGTGTCAAGGCTCTGGTTTATTACGACGTCCATTCTTGTAAGTTAGACATTGGTAACGAAAAAGGAGACACGCCTCTTCACATAGCTGCCCGCTGGGGCTACCAAGGGATCATCGAAGTTCTCCTGCAGAATGGAGCCAACCCAGGCATTCTCAACCGGATGAAAGAGACACCCATGCAATGTGCATTAAATTCAACGGTACTTTTTAACCAGCTAAAGTATTCTTAGCATGCTTTTTCAATAACTTTGAAGCCAAGGCATCCTGCATATTTTCACTGTTTGACTACAGAGAGGGCAGAGGCCTTAGCAATAGTAATTAAAGAGCCGTGGTAGCGCAGTGGTTAGAATGCAGTGTTGCAGGCTGACTCTGCCCATAGCCTGGAGTTCGATCTTGACTGGCTCAAGGTTAGTCTATCCTTCTATCCTTCTGAGGTTGGTAAAATGAGGACCCAGATTGTTGGGGGCAAGATGCTGACACTGTAAACTGCCCAGAGAGTGCTGTAAAGCAGGGTCCCCACTACCGGGCCATGGCCTATTCGGAATCGGGCCACGCGAGCAGTGGGCCGGTCTGGACGTGTGCCTGTGCAGCTTGCCTTGGGCGAGCGGTGGGCTGGCACGTATGTGCACATAGCTCATCATGTGCAAGTTGAACTGTGCATGCGTGCGTGCCAGCCTGCCTTGCACCAGCTTGCTGATTGTGCAGCCCAGTTCCGCTGCTGTAAAGCACTAAGGAGTGGTATATAAGTTTGCTATGGCTATTGCTATAATTAACACATGATTATTATTTCTGTGGTGTCCTTAGTGCTCTCTAAGCTTGGTTGATTTCTTGTAGATGCTTCACAGCTTTGCACAGCCATTTAAAAATAGCTTCTGATTTATAATGTTGGAGAAAGGTCACAGTTGTGTTTCATGAATGCTCATACACACAGAAGAGCTGTGAGAGAAATGTAGAATCTCTGTCTGTGTGCTCTTAGATTTGCTTTCCCAAAACTTTCCTCTTTGTTTTTTGGCATCTTCAATACAAATTAATAAAAACAAGCAGTCTTGTGACATCTTAAAAACCTAACCAGTTCAAGTTTATTGCTACTCTGTTTGGCTTAATTATTTTTTCACTTTGGCTAGATTTATTTCGTGAAGCTACAAAAAAACCCTATATGATTTTAAAATGCATTTGACTAACTTCTCTTAAGTTTCTGTATATTATGGCTAGGCCATTGTTCTTTAACTGGCGTTCCCTGAATCACCCACAGTTGGCTGTCTTTGCAGAAAACATTTGAATAAAAAAAAAAAAATGGTTTACAAGCCACAAGAAAGCAGACTATTATAATTTAGCACTATCTGTGAACTCAGTTAATTTATTTGCTAGTAGAATATTTGATATCCAGGTGGGTAATTTCTTGGGATCTGCACTTGCTTGCTCATTGGCTTTTAATCTCTCTGCAGATTGTATCCTTAATGGAACTGAACTACCTCACTTTTGAAAAAGGACAACATGCTTCTCAGGTAATTCAAATGTGTTGGTCCTAACTCTCTTTGTATACAGCTATCCTGCTGATCAGCTGTTAAATAATTTCTTTCTCCTTTTGCTTTCTTTATGGGGTGTCCAATAGTCACCAGTCCGATCTTCGTGTTGTGAGGACACCATCAGCCAAGTATCATCCACCTCCAGTTTATCTTCCATAATACTAGTGACAACGGTGACACCAGAAGAAGACAAATCTAATTATAAAGAGGTAAGCTGATGATCTGGTGAGCATTTGGCAGGGCAGTCCAAGTTCTAATATAACTCCTGTTTTGTCCCTCTTTCTTAAATAGCATCAGGCTCCATCCATTTGATTGGCAGATTCGGGAGACCGAAGATGCATACATTCCCTTATGTGCGGCTAAACTTCAGATTGCAGAAGGAATATTGAAGTAGATGAATATAGATGATGAAATATAGAAGATAGAGGAGATGATTGCATAGATTTATACAGGGAAGGGGTGGGGGAAGAGGCTGATCTTTAACCGGAGCCTAGAAACTCAAAATTTTTAAGCATCTCACAAGTTTTAAAAGAGAAGGTATTTCAGAATGAAGGGGGTTCTACTAAGAAGCCTGCTTACAAGATATTTAATGCATGGTTCTTGCACTTAGCAAGCAACTAGATCTGTAACAGGAAAGGACATTTGTAAGACCTACCTTCCTTCCTTCCTTCCTTCCTTCCTTCCTTCCTTCCTTCCTTCCTTCCTTCCTTCCTTCCTTCCTTCCTTCCTTCCTTCCCTTCCTATCCTGCTTTTATTATTCTTACAAATAACATATCTGATACACCTTCCTCCTATTTTCCCCACAACAACCCTCTCAAGTTGTAGAGTTACTAGCCCAAGATCACCCAGCTAGCTTTCATGGCTAAGGTGGGGCTTGAACTCAGTCTCCTGCTTTCTAGTCTGGTATCTTAATCAATAGACCAAATTGACTTTCTATCCTGGTGTCTAAATTTTAGGGTCCTTTTATGTCAAACCAAACCTTCAGCTCTAGCAACCATTTAACATCTTCGTGGCCTGTTCTGTCTGTGTTGCACCTTCTCGGCTAGTCCTAAGAGCAGAAGCCCACTTTGCAATACTGTATATCACTTCTGTAATAGATGCCAATGCAGGTAAAATGCTTTCTCTTTCTGGTGTTATTTGTTCTGTAGGTGGACAAACTTCTAAGAGCAGTTGCTGATGGAGACTTGGAGATGGTAAGAGCAGTTCACTGGATTCGTGCTTTGCAAGACTGTAGATGCTGGTGGGCACATGCATTGATGATGGTGCTAAGTAGAGTGTCCCAGCATAAAGATGATGCTGCCACTCGGTCTCATATTCAAAGCTTCTCCGGACAGCTTCCATCTTTTCCCCCCATAGTATCTTTTCTTTGCAAAAAGGTGGATGCTGGCTGGGTATATCAGTTTCACTAATTAGTGAAAATCGTTGAATTTGTGCAATGTGTTAAGTCAATCAAAATCTAATTCTAGATAGACCCAATTTAATATAGTAGGAGAATGTATTTATAGGGTCTTGAAGATTTACTCTTTTGTTAATCTAAAAGCCAACCAAGTCATACAAAGTAAGAGAAGCAACCTAAAATTAAGGAGAAACTTCCTGACAGTTAGAACAATTAACCAGTGGAACAACCTGCCTCCAGAAGTGGTGAATGCTCCAACACTGGAAGTTTTTAAGAAGAGTCTGGATGGCCATTTGTCTGAAATGGTATAGGGTTTCCTGCCTGAGCAGGGGGTTGGAGTAGATGACCTCCAAGGTCCCTTCCAACCACTACTACTACTACTACTACTACTACTACTACTACTACTACTACTTCTTCTTCTTCTTCTTCTTCTTCTTCTTCTTCTTCTTCTTCTTCTTCTTCTTCTTCTTCTTCTTCTTCTTCTTCTTCTTCTTCTTCTTCTTCTCTTCTTCTTCCTCTTCCTCTTCCTCTCCCTTTCCCTCTCCTTCTCCTTCTCTTCGTTCTTCCTTCTTCTTCTTCTTCTTCTTCTTCTTCTTCTTCTTCTTCTTCTTCTTCTTCTTCTTCTTCTTCTTCTTCTTCTTCTTCTTCTTCTTCTTCTTCGGAGCTAAAAGGTGAATATTTAGAGCAGAAGTGCCCAACTGTGACAACTTTTAAGATTTGTGGACTTCAACTCCCAGAATTCCCTAGCCAGTGTTGACTGGAGAATTCTGGGAGTGGTCATCTACAAGTCATAAAGCTGCCAGGATTGGAGAGCCCTGATTTACAATTCTCACACATTGCTTTGGTCTATCCATGATTGGGTTGGGTTGTCTTCACAATTATATGAATGCAACCATTGTGGTTTCTCAGTAAGCATGTATGATGTAAGTCTATAGTAAATTGTGGACAAGGAACCTGCTTTAGGAGGCGTTGACTGGACCTAAAGAGAAGGCATGTAAATAAGTTATATTACTTAAAATGCCAAGAAGAAGGTGGATTCCTCGCCAGAGGTGAAGGGCACTTAAAACATCTGATCCCAGTGAATTTTTCTTCTAGGTCTAGATGGAGCACATGTTGAGTTTTAAATAGCAGTGCTTGCAAAAAAAAAAAAAAAAAAGAGCTTTTCCTTTGTACAATGCTCGTAATCAAGAATTTTTCCTTATGCTTCCCTCATTTCTGATTGGGGGAACAAAGTGCTGTTTTTTGCAAACAAAGTTTCTTCTAGATAAAAGTTAGCATTCTGGCTTCAAACATGAACCGTATTGAAAAGATAAATAAAATAGCAGCAAGAGCCGAGGAAAGACATTGGCCTATTCTGGTGCAAAGCCTTCTGGTTTTTAATCCCCAGCAATCCCAGCTAAAAGGATTGAGCAGAGAGGAACATCAAAGTCTAGATAAAGAGGTGATGTCTTTTCCAATTTAGATCACATCTCCTTAGCAAATTCATCTTGGCAGTGAGAACATTTAACGGTTTTATTGCTTGCCTGGTAGGAAATGAAATGTCACGAGGGGCCACCGTTACGTTTTCTGGCATGTCTCATTTAATTTGCCCATTTCTGGGGAAATAACCAGGCAGCTGTTCTGTTCTTGCTGAGATGACATCTTTACCCCTGGGCTGAAGAATTGCAAACATGCAGATTGATAAGATTTCAAAATGCTTCTGTATGTCCAGGTGGGCAAAAATCCTTTCAGGCATAAAACGAGATTTCCAAAAGCCAACTGTTTTAGTCTAAGCTTCTTCCATTAGGCTGGTTTTTAATGTGTAGGAAAGCTGCGAGGCTCCTTACGAAAGGGTGCAGAGCTTATAAAGATGGATTAACTGTAGGGAAGGCGACCTGAACAACCCACATATTTTCCAATCCTCTGCATTTATTGTAGGTGCGCTATCTCTTGGAATGGGGAGAGGATGATCTGGAAGATCCCAAAGAAATCAGCAATATGAGGATCCCAGAATTATGTCATCCTTTGTGTCAGTGTTCGAGATGTAGCCCTCTGCAAAAGGTTGGTGGCTGCTCCCTATTGGGTATGTTGATTTGGCTTGTGAGAAGTCTGTGATTAATCACACTTGTCTTCTAAAGATGTTCCCATGAACTGCTGGGGAAAAAGCGGCTTTCCTCACTAAGTGGACTTGTTGTAAGGATTGAGTGGCTGATGGAGGGAAATTCATTTCACTCCTAAGGAGAGGAGTAGCTTTTCCAGAGAAGGTGGCTTTATAGCCATGACTCAGCTGCCTCTTCTACAGCTCGTTTGGGTGTTGTCTAGTCCAGGGCTTTTCAACCTTTTCACCCATTGTATCACTTTTAGGATACGGCAATATCCGAGTACCACCAGTCGCGTAGCAAGGTGTCAAAAACTTGATGACCAAAAAAAAAAAAAAAAAAAGAAAAAAAAGAAAAAAAAGAAAAAAAAGAAAAAAGAAAGAAAAAAGTGATGAAGTAAGGTAGTCCTCTTACAACATTTCGCTTAGTGACTGTTCGAAGTTACAATGGCACTTTAAAAAGTGCCCCCCCAAGCCACAGCTGAGCAAGACACCTGCCTGCCCACCTGGCGGCGCTCTTCCTCCTGTCCAAGGTTTTCATTGTTGTGAGCATTTCTGTTGAGGATTGGCAGCGGGGGTGGGGTGTGTGTGTGGTTTTTATTCCCCCCGTCTGCTGGGTGGTTGCAGCAGGTTTTGGTCACTTACATGACTCTGGGGACACTGTGACCATCATAAATATGAATCAGTTGCCATGCATCTGAATTTAAATCACAAGATCCTGGAGATGCTGCAACATTCCAGCTGATTGGTGCTTCTTCAGGGCTCAGCAGAAGCGCCAGGATCAGCACCGAGCTCCAGCTGGAGCCTGGTGCTGATCCTGGCGTTTCCACTGAGCCCTGACAGTCCCAAAGAAACGCCAATCAGCTGGAAAGCAGCACTGTTCCTGGCGCTTCCGCTGAGCCCTGACAGCCCTGCAGCTCCAGCTGTCTCTCGCTCAGGCTTGTGCGGTGCTGCCACCGGTTCAGCTCATTCCCCTCCCCCTACTTTTCCAGGATGCTGGCGTACCACCTGCCAGATGCCAATGTATCACAGGTGGTACCCATACCACTGGTTGAAAATCCCTGGTCTAGTCCTCTGCTTCAGAAAAGTTTTGTACCTGTGCAAGTAAGCTGAGATCTTCCTTTCCCAACGGTCTGGTGTCTTTCTTGTCATCTTACCTCCCCCTTCCATTTTTCATTTGTAAATTTGCAGATCAAGGGCTTCTTACTTCGAGGTTGATTAATTATTGTCTGGAAAGTCCTCCTTAGCTCCAGGTCAACCAGTATGATTTCATGCCAGTGCATTTTGCATTAGCCCCACTCACGGTAACACGTAAAAAGTCTGAAATAAAAACGTGGTGCGTTTTGTGATTGTTATATGTTGGTCTCAGCTGGTTGAGGGAATGCAGAAATGCCGGGCTGATGTCCTGTGTGCTTTTATTTCTCCCACCAGAAGTTCTTCAGGCTGCCTTCAAATGGCCTTGGAGTGAACGTTACCAATCAAACTGGTCTGACGTCACTGCACATTGCTGCTCTACATGGACATGTGGACTTGGTAGCCCTCTTACTGAAACATGGAGCAAACATGGAAGCCAAAGATGTGAACCAAGCAGGACCTCTCCACTTTGCCTGCCAGAATGGCCATTTCCAGGTAAGGCCTCAGATGGGAAGCCTGTGAATGAATACATTGGCCTTCAGATCATGGGTAGAGACAGCCTGTGGCACCACTTGTATTCATGCTGATAATAAGTAAACCTCAGTCCAGAGGCGTCACTTGAAGCACAAATCGATCCTGTTCAAATTAACCTACTTTGGACATATTATATAAAGATCTAGCTCTCTGGAAAAGGCTGTTCCTGGGAAGGATGGAAGGAAAAAGAAGAGATGGGGTAGACTCAGTTTTAGTGGTGATGGAGACACCATTGGAGGACCCCAAAGACCAGGTTAGGGACAGTTTTTCATGGAGTACATCTGGAGAACATCTCATCTGTGTGGTCACTAGAAGTCAACATCAACTTGATGGCACATAATCAGAATCAATAATTAAAGCAGACTTCAGACTTTTCCTCCCCAAGAGTGTGTGGAAATGGAAGGTTTTTGTTGTTTTGTGTTGAAACTAAACTAGCTATAATGCCCTTTTTTTCCAACAGGTAGTGGAATTTCTGATAGAGTGCACTGCTAAGCTAAACAAAAAGGATATTTATGGAAATACCCCCTTAATGTATGCTTGCTTGAAAGGCTATCAGGAGATAGCAGCCATTTTATTACAGGTGAGAGATCTTTATCAAGTGTTTTTTTTTTTACCTGTTTTTCTATTTTTTTCACCTTGGTACTTATGAATCAATTACTCCTTTTTCATGGTAGCAAGGACTGAGATTGAAAATGTTTTGTTTTCATTTTTACCGAAGCTTGCTTCTCACATTTGGAAGTTACAGAAATATGGGGTTTGTTTAAACAAACAAGCTGTTTTCTCACTTTGTCTTTTTAAGACTGTGTTGAAGAGAAGGCACAAAAATGTGCATATCATCTCTTAAATCCAAGGGAAGAAATGTGTGAAAGTAAAGGATTGGGGTGGAATTCAACTTAGCTGCATGGTAACCCTGCAGAAAAAGATCATTTTCTTCATTTCCAGTTCAAAGGATAAGATAGCACACATAGGAAAAGCCTTTTCTTCAGACTTTAATAAAGAACTGCTACATAAACTTTTTTTTTAGGAGATATACTAAGAAGATGGGAACTTTTTAAAACTCTTGAATGCTCCTATCAAGAAAGTCTTATGTATATTATTTTCTTTGAATTCTTTTTTTGCAGGGCCCTGGTAGATTAAACTATGTTGTCCATGAATGAATCAATTAAAATCAGAAGACTTTGAAATTGGCAAGCACGGCTTCTAAAAGAAGTTTGTTTTCTCCTTTTCTGTTTTTGCTTTTCCAGCATGGAGCCTCAGTTAACCTTCCCAATAACCAAGGCAACACACCTCTTCACAAAGCGGTGATAGGAAATTACAAAGCAGTGGTTCAGTTGCTGCTGCAGCATGGCGCATTGGTGCACCTTAGGAACTACAGGCAATGCACCCCTCTTGACTACGCTGAACCTGTAAGTGGCGCATGAAGTCTCAGAATCATTATATATGCCAAGAAATGCTTAAATCTTTATAGGGCTCGCAACATGCTTCCCAACCAATCCTCAAAGTTCTGCTCTTGTAGTGCCCTCGGAATCACGCGATCGTGATCTGGGTGCTTGGCAACCAGCCTGGATTTCTGGCCATCAGTATCCACAGTCATGTAATTGCGATTTGCTATCCTTCCTGCTGGCTTCCCATGAGCCAAGTCAGTGGGGAAACCAGCAGGAAATCGAAGTCACAAGAAGTCCTTGCTTAACAACCGACGATGATTTATTTAAGGGTGGTAACCAGAACTACCAGAATTGCTGTTGCTGAGCAGCTAGTCATCTGACAGTATGCTTTATGACTTCTTGGCTTAATGAAGACACCAATCCTTAAGTGAGGACTATCTGTGAAGACAAAAATGTCCTTATCCAAACCAGGCCGTTGTTTCAGGATTGCTTAGGATGACTGGGTTGCACTTTATGCTCGATTCAGGTCTTTGTGGTATGATCGCTCGTGCTGAATTTTTTAAACCACAGTTGATACGTATGTCCCACAAAGTCAATCCATTGTGGCCTAATCAGTAAACCAGGAACTACCAGTTCATCCCATAAGCCAGGTCTGCTTGGAGATACTGAGCATTGAATCGGGGGGCTTCTTGTCTGCAAACCTGTTCTTTCTTCACTCAGTGAAGTCTTTTCCTCTTCTGCATTAATAGAGCATATCAGATTTAAAGATGGAACAATGGGTTTCAGTTTAATCTCAAGATGTTACGGTTGGGTGACATGTGCAACACCAGTGGGATTCAGTAATCTTTTTAATAAGAGCAAATCCTCCTGTTTATCCTCTCTCTTCCACCGTGTTTAAAGAATTCAGACCTCCTCAAGCTTCTTCAGGCTGCAGCATCTTCTGAGGAGGACGGACAGACGCTTTGCAAAGCTCGCATAACGCGGAAGATCAGGAAAAAAAGTGAGTGCTCCATTGTGACTAGTGAAATCTTATTGAGAATAAGACAGTCCTCCAAAGCAGGTAGAACACAGGGATATTGTTTTGATTGCTCTCTCTCTCTCTCTCTCTCTCTGTGAGTGAGAGAGAGAGAGAGAGAGAGAGAGAGAGAGAGAGAGAGAGAGAGAGAGAGAAGCTAGTGGTCAGTGTTTGCCTGACTGTTGTTGGAGTTTTTGCAAATGATAACGTTTAAGTGGATGCAATCCAATGAGGCTGGCTATTACTTTGAAACAAAAGTGAACAGCAGTGATTTTGGATCTTAATCTGTGGCCTCAAGCTTATTTTTTTGCTTAATGCTGAGTTGTTGAATAGTGTGGTAATGCTGAGATGTTAAGTAGTGGAGTTTGTGCCAAGACCAAGGGTGAACTTGGCTCTAGAAAAGCTAACCTTTTTTATTTTCCCATTGTATAAGCAAGGTCATTTACCTGTGGGTTAATGATTCGTAGCTTTAAAACCCGACACCCACTCTGAGAATCTAGAAATGAAAATGGGTGAAGATTTACTTTTCTGTTCACCATTGACTTGCGAAAACATAGATTGCAAATTGCATGTCACTTGCTTTCATTACTCAGAATAAGAACAATTGCCCACCCTCAGTCCTCCTGCAAATTGGTCTCTACCCCTGGTTGGTGCATTTAAGGAATTTGCAATATGTAAATCAGATTGAAAGTGCATTTATTCCGGTGAACCCTCTCTAACATAGCCAGGAAGAGCCTTCTAGAAAACTCACGTTACAATCTTTATACAGCTGTTCTTGTCCGGGGTCCTATTTCAAGGTAGACTGTCCCTTGATTGTTGTGATTTCTGCACAAAACTTTCTTTCCACATGGCATTGTTTTCAGCTTGCACCTAACAAAATGCAAATGGCAAAGCTGGCAGAATCATTGACGATTCTTTGGTCTATGTGAGACAAATAAGCAGAGTTGCTGTATTTAAAACTGTTTCCCATAGGAGTGATCTCTGTGCCTGCACATGTACCTACAGCTGCAGACAAACATAGTGGTGAGAAACCTCTACAGATAGTCCTTGTTTAGTGACTGACTCTTTTAACAATCATTTGCAGTTACGACAGTGATAAAGTAACTGTCTTTGCATTATGACTACTGCAGGTCTAAAGCAAAAGAAAGCTGAAGATGATTAAGCACAAGTTATAGTTTCACTTAGCAGCTGCTTCATTTAATGACCAAGTCACTGGTCCCAATTGTAGTCGCTAAATGAGGACTAACTGTACTTTGTTTTCTATAAGCAATTTTATTTGGAAAGTGAGCATCCAAACGCATCCTGTACTTGCTGTCTAAAATTCTATAGTCTGTTCCAGATTTCATTCTGCCTGAAGTATTGATCCATCCATAATCCAGTCAGCATTACAAGATGCACTGTCACGATGATGCTGAACCTACTCAGGCCTTTCTTTAGGATGTCAAAAAAGCAGATTATGCTGTTCATTTTAATGGAGGATTGCCTAGTCAAGTGCTCAAGAATACTGCCCATTTCATGAATTTTGTACTTTAAATCTACAGTCAGTTTTAAGACTCCGGAGACAACGGACGATCTCATTGCCCGGCGCCTTCAACTACTCGAGTCAATCCACCGATTTAACAAGTAGGCTTCAAATTTTTGTGAAGTGTTTAAAACGCTCGATTCTAAAAAGATATTGCCAGAGTAAATGTGAAGAGCTGATGTTACCTCAGATGTTGGAATCTAGTAAGGAATGGATCTTTTGACAATCTCCCCTGAATTATGGGGACAAGTTATAGTGAATCAGTTATTAATTACAGATGGTCTTCAACTTATGACCAAATTTGAGACCGGAACTTCCATCATTAAGCGATGCAGTTAAGTTAGTCGTGCCCAATTTTACAGGCTTTTTGGTCACAGCCGTTAAGTGAATCGAATGGTAGTTAAATGAATCCTGGTTGCCTCATGGATTTTGCTTGTCGAAAGCCCAGCTGGGAAGGTCACAAATAGCAATGCTGTGGCTCTGGGACATTGCAACCATCATAAATACATGCTAATCAGGTGCCCAAATTTTGATCATGTGACCACAGGGACGTGGCGACAGCCATATGTATTAAGACTGGTCGGACGTCACCTTTTTTTCAGCACCGCCATAATTTTGGTCGTTAAACGAATGGTTGTAAGCTGAGGACTATCTGTAATCGGTATTATCAATGTTTTATATTGGCTGTTCTAAAAATAGAAGGACTGCTGGGTGTCTATGCATTTCAAGATTACTGAATTTAACTCAGAAGAAAGATATCTTGAATTTGAGATAATCCATCCAAACCAGGAAAGGACACGTTACAAATGTACATGCATGATTATAGACACACCCATGAGAAGCCATTTCTAATTTAGACATTTGGAAGAATGGTTTATAGTCCGGAGAATACCTTTAAATGGTTTGGTTTCAGAGCTTTAAATTTAACAAACTTCAAAGGGGATATCCTGGCCATTGAACTAGTCCTTTCTCAGTTGAAATATTGCCCTCTGGTGGCTGGGCTGAGGAACCAAGTGACATAGACTGGAGTAACTTAGTTTTCCCTCTTGCGTTCTCTTAGATCAAGAGACTTGCGCAAAGCAATAACAAAAGATAAAAGTGTGCCTAACTTTGATGAAGAATTATTGCGCCAGGTAGGTATACAGTAATGCACTTTTGTTTGTTTTTTTAAAACACAAATAAATTCTGCACGAGGTAAAACTTTTAGCTATTTTTTTTATAGAATAAAAACATGAACATTTGGGGCAGAAAAAGGAGGAGAGGAAAAAGTAGAAAGGAAACGAGATTTGAATAGTGAAGGCAGAAACCTATGTGGCTGCCAGGACCTAGAGCAAGATTTGCCAATTTTCTCTTTGCTGTAGAAAAAAAAAAGGGGAAATGAACGGTGGCTAGCATCAGCAGGGAAGACTGAATTCTCTTTCAGTGTGAAATTTTAATGTCAGCCTTGCAAAACCTTATCAAGGCATTTTGATAGTCTCCAACCAGAGATTCTAAATGTATCTCTGATTAGGGTATACACTTATTTCAAGCTTGGAACACAATGTGACACTTTTTCAAAGATTTTAGCCGTAAGAAACAAGAGCAATTTGAAACAAAACTCTTTAAAGAGGAGAAGTGGGTTGGAAATCCATAAAACGAGTACAAAGTGAACACTGTTTTGGAAGAAGTGGAACAGTCAGAAAGGATATATATTTTTTTTGAGATGGACTTCTTTGCATTTCAACAGGATAAAAACTAGCATTCTTCCCTCCTTTCTTCTCTAAGCTACCTATCAAGAGCTTTAATAACAAGCAGAATCCAGTGGATGTGTTAGAGCAAATCCAGACTCATAATCTTGATGCCAATAGCTGTGATGGACCTGTAACCGCTGAAGGCGATGCAGGGATAGCGCCTTTTAGAAAAAGAGAAGTACATCGGAGTCACACTATTAGTGTGGGACTTTCAACGACAGATATCAGTGACTTCTACAGTTTACCCAGAGATGCAAATGCTGCTCCTACTGACAACTGTCCTGAGAATTGATGCTCTAAAACAAAATGAATAAGAAATCTGGGTGTCTTGTGTAAGGAACACGAGATTCAGGTAGAGTGGTTCAACATTGAAGAGGCTACGTGGGATCAAAGTTTTCAAAATTACATTGGACGTTCAGCAGGAAGAGAAGCTTCCCCCTCTGACTTGGCATGGAGTTTGCACTGCCGGAGACGGACACTACTCTTTATTTTTGAATAAATCATTAAAATCCCATATAGTAGATCTATATTTAAAAAAAAAAACCTAGAAATATATCGAGATCTCAGAATCTATATAGTATTGCACTCTCTAATCAATTTTAATAATAATAGATATGTGTGAGAAAAAAACCTTTTATGGCATTTTGAAGGATTGTTCTATTTTTATTCTGAAAATGCAGTGGTTTTAGTTGGTGAACTGCTGATGGCCGGAATGCTTACAGCCCTCCCAACAGTATGAGGTGTGTTTAAAAGTTTAAAGAGGCCAAATTGTGTAGCTCATTTAATGCTCACCAAATTGACTGCAGTGGAGGCTGGAACAGGGAAATTAAGAGTAATGGCTTTTAACAAAAGACACATTGCATCCTGCAGAAGAGAGTAGAGTAGACCCTCATTAAAAAAGAATTCCCTCCGAGCAAAGTTGAAACTTCTATTCAGTATGTTTGTATTATATGAACTGCCCACATAACTGAGCAGCCCAACCACATTAGCTATTTTAAATATGTATCTGTGGCACACAAAACAGGCCTACTTAAGCAGAGCACATCTGATTTAAGTTGCAATTTTCGAAAAGCAGCTTCATTGCCCTTACTTTCAAAGGCACTTCCAACTGGTCTGTTGTGCACTTTTAGAAACAGAATGTCAACTTTAGGTGAACATTCCAAGTCAATTATGGTGAATAGCGCAATACTTTCATTTCATATTTTGTGTTTATGTAATGTTTGTATACAAAACTGCTTTTTAAATTGGTTTAATATGTCTTAATAACTTGTTTTAGGTAGTAAGGTTGTCTTAGAATTTCTCTGTACATTAATATTACGGTTTAAAAACTGAGCTTTAGTTTGCTGCTGAAAAAGTTTATTTTTCTACTAAGTAATTCACCTAATTTTCATATGTGCCTTGGACTTGTGCCAAATAATGTAAACTAAAGTAGTAAAATTAACAGTTATGTGTTCTTAATGTCCGACTCTTTAATTTAAATCACAATTTGTAAGCTAATCTGTGAGCATCAAAGCAGTTTCCTAAAATGTTCAGAGTGTTGCTGAAACCCATATTTTGGGAACACAAGATATTTCTTGAGGATCAATTAGATACCTGAACAGAGGATGAAAACCCCACCTGCCTGGTTATGCTTGGGTTCAGTTTAATGTGTTATATAAACCCAGCTATAGTGCTTATTCAACAATCTAATTCAATTGTCTCAAGACAATGAAGACAGTTCTGTGGTCCTCAAAACTATTTACAGCCACTATCCTAAAGAGAGAGAGAAGACTTCCAGTGTTGTACAAAATGTATATTAAGAAAAAAATACTTTGTGGAATAGGAATAGACAAGAATTGGTCACGGCTAACTTTGCTTAATGGAAAGGTTTTAATACATTTCAGAGCCCATACAAGCCAGAAAAAGATCTTGTCTTTTAACACTGACTTACATAGGATAGATTGTACGCATGGATCAAACACTTATGTTCAGTAACAAAAAGGCATATTGTTTACAGTGGCATCATGCATGAAAGGTGGTCTTTGAGCTGCTTTACAACTCTGAAATTGGGAAATAATTTCAGTAGAATAGAATGTATTTATGTGGTGGTGAATTACACCAAGACAAAATACAGAAACTAGCCTGTAATTGATTTTAGCAAACATTAAAATCTTCTTTTTAAAAAGAACCTTAAAATTATACTTTGGCTAAATTATGTTCAAACATTGAAGCATTTATTAATCCGCTTCTGTATAAAAACAACGTACTGAAGGTTTTCTTTTCCCAAGCAGACTTTAATTAAATTTCATGATGTTCTAAGCAAAGCATCCTGAATTTGCAATCAGCAAATCAGTCAACAATACATTATGCAGCCATATTTGTGTGAACCAGCCTGCCTTGCTTGGTTCCAAACCAGATTTATCAAACTCCAGGAAGTGTTCTGACACTTAGTATTTCTGATCCTTTGAAACCGTAGTAATGCTAATCAGGCTTCAAAGCCAATTTCAAAAACATAGCCATCAGGGAATTTTGTTTGGCATTAATCACAGCTAAGATAATTGAAAATGAGGTGAGAATTTTTACATGGGGGAGAGAATAAACTCGATGGCTCCTCAACTTTTACTCATGGATAAGAAATGAATACTTTATGGGTATATTGTATGTCCCCCCCACTTAAATATAAAAATGAAAATTTAGCCTGTAGACAAATTGGTATTTGTTGGTAAGGTAGAATTTCATTTCTTATGGGACATGAAGTACCTATAGAAGAGTCAGGGCTTTTTACATCTGCCACTTGCACAGTAAATTTAACTACACAGTGTCAAAGGAAAGCTGAAACCTAAGAAATGGAGAATGAATCCTTATTTCTCAAGCTCATATAAAACCTATCTAAGAAAACAATTTCACTTAATTATACAGAAGGCAAGCTTATCCGTTTTACTTTTTATAAAAATGTGTAGAGAACATTGTGTAAACTTTCATCTATGATAGAACATACTTTCCTTGACATATTCCAGACAATTAGCAGTTGGCAACTGTTTTCATATTTCATTAATTAATCTTCCTCATCGGAATCCAACACTTTTCTTCTATTGAACTAGAAGAATGATAGAATACAGGTGAATCAGGCTTAAAATAGTTTGAGGCTAAATTGTCAGTAGTTGATTTATAATAACAATATCAAATGTTTATGAGACACACACATGTACAGCAATTCTAGCACTGATGTGTAATCCCATATTATTGCTAGGTAGTCTTCCTATACAATTTTGAAGGTGCACAAAGTGAAACTGTACTCTTAAAACCTATATACTTAAAGTCTGTAGCATCTATGGGGGGGGGAGGGAGGTAGAAGAAAGAATCTGCACAGTTTACAGATAAAATTAAAAGAAAATAAGGCATATCAAGAAGAAGAAGACAACTGACTAAGGTCAAAATCCAAAGAACCAAATAGCAAAAACAAAACACACAAATGGGTTCAATAGCCATCCTAACCCTAAGCTTGAAAGAACAGTTTGTGGAATATTAAAAGAGTGGGAACAGTTCAAAGATAAAAAAGTGAAGGGGCAAAACATTAAAAGGGGCTAATAAAAAAATGCAAGGTACTGAGCAGATAATATTAAATAAATAGGAAGCCTTTCACATCCATAAATTATCTGCTGCCAGTTTCAGTGATGTAATTTGCTCTATTCTACTTGAAGAGCTACATCAAATACTCACTGCCAACTATGCTGTGTCTACTTTTCTTCCTTTCTTTACAAACCAGATTTCATTAATTTAAATTAGTTTTAAGATATCTTACCTTTACTGTTGTTTTTTTGTCTGTTTGCTGACTCACTTTTTCAAGTATTTCTATCAACCCTTGTTCTGATATCTAAGTAGTCAGGAGGAGAATAGAAAGAATATTTACTTGGTAGAATGGTACACAGAGCTCTAGCTGAAAAACGCAGGGTTTTAAAATATTTACAGTTCTCATGTTGAATTACTGGTACCTGATTTATTAAGATACAAATAGCAACAATCCACTGTTCGAACTATACTTGTGATTGTGTCCTCCACATACAGTAGCACAGTAGCAAAGAACAAAAGCAGAAACAAAGATGGGAAAACAGTTAAAATATTATGAATAGCTAACTGCTTGCTTTGCTAGCTATATTAATTGTTCAAGTCACTAATATCCAGAATGCTCAGAGGGCTTGGGAGACAGGCTGCTTCTTCCCCCACTGAAGCAAGTTCTTAAAAAGGCAGGAAACACTCCTGCTTAGCAACATCGCCAGTGGAAGTTCTTTTGGAGCAGGTGGTTCTTTAAGGGTCCATCCATACTCTCCTTTATATAAAACAGTTTCTTGGTTCTCTGAAACCAGAGAGGAAGTTATCCAAGGAGAGAGATAAAGGACCATTCTAATTGCAGTGAACATTTTACAAGTTTTTGCCAGGCTGTTACACCATCCGAATTCCAAACAAGGAAAAAAAAAAACCACCAGATTTTTATTCCCTTTTCAAATAATAGCCAACCAAATGTACTTTGGGAAACCACACCTCTGAATACTTTGCTCCACACTTCTGAATACTTCGCTAGAGAGCAATATTGCAGGGAACTAAGAACAAGAAAAGAAACTTACTTTTCCACCTAGCTGTCCAAATCTTGCCATCTGTATAAGGTAATTTTCAACTGCCTTTGCCTTTTCTGGCTTTACAAGTGCTAAATTGCTTACTGCAAGAGGAAAACAAATATTTGGTTAATTAAATATAATTCGTTAAGAGATATATCTGGGCTGCTCTTTCAAGAGCTCAAGACTACAAGGCAATCTCCCTTCATTTTAACACCACAGCAAAACTGGCCTTGGCTGGGTGGGAGAAAGGCCCAAAATCACCAAATAAATTTCCAAGGCTGATTATCTCTCCAACCCTAGTCCAATACTTTAAACACCAAGCTGCTTCCCACAATTTTATATTCAAGAACAAAAAAATTATTACATCTATCCCAGACCTTAATACTGAATTAAGAAAAGCAACCCGTATACGTACTCGTGTTTAAATAAAAACGTTTGTAAAAACTGACCAACTGGAGAACGGTACAAAAGTTTAAGGAATGGTTTGTATTCTAACTGATCTTAGTACAATGATTGCTTTAGGTTATGCGTGCACCACTTTTTCAAGTAACGAGATGAAGTAATTGTTGTGAATATTCAGGATGCTATAATCAAGACAAAATCAAATACCTACAGGTAATATATAAATATTGCTATAATTAAGGATACTAAATATAGCATACTCTCATGCTTTTGGATGGATGATACCAATAAGATACAGCAATTCAAAACTGATGAGGTGGAGGACTGCTGACCAATGAAATTCTGAGTATGTGTACAATGTCAGTGCCATTTAGGCATGGATAGTATTACACCCTATGACATGCTTCCCTGCAATTAAGTAAGACTTTTATCTAGAGGTTAATGCCAAGACTCCCCTGTCTTTTTGAAACTCAAGTACTTTGGCCACCTAATGAGAAGGACTCACTGGAGAACAGCCTAATGCTGGGAAAGATTTAGGGCAATAGAAGAAGGGGACGACAGAGAATGAGGTGGCTGGATGGAGTCACTGAAGCAGCAGGCGTGAGCTTAAATGGACTCCAGAAGATGGCAAAGGACAGGAAGGCCTGGAGGAACGTTGTCCATGGGGTTGCGATGGGTTGGACATGACTTCGCAATTAACAACAACAACCTCTGTCTTTCTGTAAGACCCTTGAAAACCTGGTTCTTCTTTGGGCATTAGGCCTGAATGTTGGATGAACGCATCTTGACTGAAAAATCTTGAAAGAGATAAGCAGTGCTTGGCCTGTGAATCTGTTAGTTTTGTTGCTCTGTTGATTTCCATTCAAGAAGTTTATTGTATTCTATTTTCCCCAAATTGCTTTTTGCAAATTGAGTGATCATATAAATCAAACAATAAATACTTACATCTGGCACGTGCTGCTTGATCCAAAACCTGAGCCAAAATATTATTTCTCATTTCAGCTTCCCTGTAATGATGAAATAATTTTACATAGCAGAAAATAAAAATTGGTCCCAAAATGTTAACCTTTCTGCTAAAACGCTAATTATAATATCTGTTAATTTTATAATTCAATGCATGACTTAATTATGTATCATATTTTGGTATTTCTTTTATTAATTATTCCAGCATATTAATTTCTTAACATTAGCATTTCTACAGTTTAATTTCTACAGTTTTCCAAAAACTGAAAATCAAATCAGTTTTACATCTATAAATAATTGCCAGGGCAAATTTTTTAATCAGGATGACAGATTACAAATTATCCCAGAAAGCTTGTATCCTAATAAAAAATTAATTGAAAAAATCTAAAATCCATTTATTTTACCACTTTATTGATCATATCAATCTTCCAGCATTGAACAGAATACTGATCAATTATAACCGTTGCTACTAAAATATAGTAGCAAAAGTTAGTGCACACTAATTATTACAGCTTTCTCTTTTGAAAGGTGGAACTTTCGAAAGGGTTATCAAATATTTAATAATATTCTATTTAAAATGTTGCAATGCATGTTTTTGAAAGAAAATATATACCATGAAATGAATGATTTCAAAAGCACATAAAATCATATTTATATGATCTAAATATTCTTAAAGCCAAAAGATACGAAACTGAATGTTCATAAGCTATCGAATGTGCTAGGTTTGGGATGTGCCTCACTGCTCTTAGAAAAAAAAAAAAGAAAAGTTCCAGTAACAAATTCTTAACTAACACCGCAATACCTCTGTTTTGATTCTTGTTGTGCAATTTCACTGGAAGGATCCTAAAAAGTTAGAAATAATCAGGTTATTGTAACTGAAGAATAAACTGAAGATGTTTCTTCTGAGGTCTGATTGGCGAAATGCTAAATTATGCATGCTGTCACCTTAACATTACAAGGGTTTCAAGGGCAGAACTGCTCAACATCAAATGGCTGTTATACGCACAACTATTACGGTGTCTTAGTAAAAGAGAACTTAAGGGTCACAGGAACATTTTATTTGGGTGTTTTGAACTGCCCAGCCTCTCACCCTTTTAGAATACGTAAATTGCAAATATATACAATCTTCAGTGCTTCCTATGTCAAAAGCATACTGTTTCATATTGTCTACAGAAACAAAACTGCTGTATATACCCAGTTCTCAGCTTATCTGCAAATATGCTTTCCAACTGGAAAATCCTCTACTTTGGTACTTCTCTGAAGTGGGGTAGCCCAGAGAAGAAATGCTGGCGCTTCCTACACAGAAATGGAAAAATAAACTAGCCAACTCAAATCTCTTCCATTGGAAAACAAAGGGCAGTATCTTCATTAAGTAATAGCCAGTTTGGCGTAGTGGTGAAGACGTTGGCCTAGAACAGTGTTTCCCAAACTTGACCATTTTAAGGCATGAGGACTTCAACTCCCAGAATTCCACAGCCAGCAACGCTGGCTGTGGAATTCTGGGAGTTGAAGTCCTCATGCCTTAAAATGGTCAAGTTTGGGAAACACTGGCCTAGAAACTAGGAGACGGTGAGTTCTGGTCCTTGCTCTGGCATGAAAGCCAACTAGGTAACTTAGGCCCTTCCCATTCTTTCAGCCCTACCTACCCCACAGGACTGTTGTGGAGAAAACGGGAGGAGGAAGGCGTGCTAGATATGTTCGCCACCTTTATTTTTATTTATTTTTATTTTATGAGACTTATATACCGCTTTAAGTGCAAGCACTCTCTAAGCGGTGTACACCAGTAAGCAATGTGTATATATATATTTACATTGCCCCCAACAATCTGGGTCCTTGAGTTATTGATTAAAAAATAAAGGCAGAATAAAGATTTTTTTTCTTAAATGCCAGCTAGGTGACTTTGGGCCAGTCACTCTTTCTCAGTCTAATAATGCACCTCACAGTGTTGTTGAGGCGTGGAAAAGGTACCACAATTAGGTGTGTTGGCTTCCCTCTCCCTCCTTCCCTCTTGGGGAGCTGCGGGGCCCCGTTCTGACGAGACGCGCGGGCCCATCAAGCGGGGCTGAGGGGGGGGGCGTCGTGAGAAGCCAGCCAACACGCGTGTCGGGAGGGTGCTGCCCGCCTCACCCCATGTTTGGCCTGCAGCTCGGCCAGCTTCTGCTTGCGTAGCGCCTCCAGCTCCTCGTCCGCCATCGCCTCGCAGGCCGGGAGACGGGCCGGAGCAGCCCCGCCGCGCGTGAGGGAGACGGACAAGCAGCAGCAGCAGCCCCGACCGCGCCCGCCGCGTCTCTCACGCCTCTTTCGGGCCGCCTTCTTTGCGCATGCGCGGGGCCGCCTCCTGCTCGGCTGAGGGAGTCGAGTGCCGAGCGAGCGAGCGAGCGAACGCACGCGCCACGGGCCCTCCGGCCGCGTCTCTCGATGGACTCCGCTTGCCAGGCCTAAGGAGTTGAGCGCCGATCACCAGGATCCTGGAAGGAAGGAAGGTGAGATAGGGTGGCAGGTGGGCGCGCTTGGCTGATCTTGGGAAGGGAAGCAGGCTTGAGGGCCAGGTAGGATGGACTTTGTAATACGCGCAAGGATGGGTTTTGTAGTACTGTTGCAACTGGCGAGCTAACGGGTTTTCTTGCCCCTGAAATGGATTGCTAATCATTTGCCACGTCAGCTGTAACCTTCAAGCAGAACGGATGGATGGGAGACGGGTGTAGGATTGCGGAGTGGCCCCAGAAATAAAAATTGTATTGTTTGGTTCTGGTAGAGACGACCCCCCCCCTATTTTATAACCCATCTGGTGAAACGGCTGGGTTGCGACCACCAGAGGGAGCGCCGGCTCTATCCAAAATTATTATTTTTCTGCTGTGGGACAGGAAGGAACGAATGCAGTTTTTCGGGTTTTTGTGCTGTTAGGCAGCAGTTTGCATCGGTAGCATACATTTGTGAGGCTGTAAACCTATGCTTCCTTATGTGGCCATGTGCTCCGGCTCTCCCTGAACACGCAGCAGTTTCTCTTGGTATTTTATTTCAGAAGTATAGCTTCGCGTCTCGTTCAGTGCTATTGAGGCTTCTTCCATATTTTAAAGAACCTAGCACGTTTCTGTTATGCAGGATTTATAGAAGAATGGAGATCAACACCTGCCTCTGTTGCAAACACTTTATGGAGCTCCCGTCTTACGGTTACCGTAGGAATCCCCGTGATATAGTCAGGACATAACAGATGCAGGTTTTAAAACAAAACTTCACCTGGGACACAAGGTGCCCACCCTGCAAATCTGTGTACGGTTGAGATTCATTTTGCTTGTAAATAAAATTATAGAGTTAGCACAGCCACTCATCCTTGAAATAAACCTAAGCTCTTTTATCCTATCGTTTAGCTCAGTGTTTCTCAACCTTGACAATTTTAAGGCATGTGGACTTCAACTCCCAGAAGCTGTGGAATTCTGGGAGTTGAAGTCCACATGCCTTAAAATTGTCAAGGTTGAGAAAAAAATGCTAGCTCTTTTCCTGCCCGGGAATAATTCATCACAAACTGACTGTGTTTGAGAATCTTGGAAATACATGCGAGGCGACGCATTGCAAAGACAGGAACGTTCTCCATTTGGAGAGCCAGAAAAATAAGCTTTGGCCGAGACTTAAGGCAGCAGGGTCTGTTGCAGTAAGTTGAGAAATGCTTTAAAAACCGTGTTTAGTCCGGCCACAGTTTTCATGAATGGCCGCGGTGAGCCACGTGCGCAGTCATTGAAGCCGCCCGCCTCGCCGCTGATTGGTCAATCTCCCTCCCGACGCCCCGCCCCAGCGATCTCCCCCCGCCCCCCCAGGGCCGTCTTCTGGTCCAGCTCCGTTCAGGATTCTGCGGAGGCGGCGCATCTTCTCTTGCGGCTGCTGGCAAGGATGGAAGCGGGGCGACTGGCTGTCTTTTCGCCACCCCCTCCCGGAAAAATTGCCTTCGAGGGGCTAGCGGCTTCAGCATCCTGAGCCCAGAGCCTCGATGCCCCCAGGGAAATCCAGCGCCGCTCGGAGCTCCAGCTGTGCCCGGCCAGGCGCTGCAAGGGCGTTCAGGATGCTGGCGCTGAGCGCCCTTTGGCCAAGGCGCGATCCTCGCTGCGCTGCTCTGCCCCAAAATCAGCGTTGGGCTTTGTGCCCGCGATCCTGTCGCCTGCGCGTCTCGGGTGGCCCTTGCCCTCTCCATGCGGACCCTGCGCCGTTCCAGCTCTTCTGGCGTTCTGGAGGCACCTGATAGGGACAGCGCAGCTGGCTAGGCGGGCCAGATCCTGGAGAGGGCAGGTAGAGGGGAAAGATGGAAGCTGAAATGCAGGAGGGGCGCGCGTGAGGGGTGGGAGGTGAGGTGGAGGTGAGAAAGAATGGCCAGTTGCTAAAGGTAATGGAGTGGAGGTCCTTGACTTACAAACTGTTCTGTGGGTGAATGTCCAAAGTTGCAACACTGAAAAAAGTGACATAATCATCATCATCATCATCATCATCCTGCGACGAGATCTGTAATACCATCAAACATCCACATCTGCCTATCCCAGGTCCTTGGTAAGGACTCAATAGGTAGACAAAGTGGCAAATCCAGTCTGAACATCTGGCTGACTGCAATGATCCATAACAACCAACAACAACAACAATAATAATAATAATAATAAAGCTGGAAGAGACCTTGGAGATCATCTAGTCCAACCCCCTGCTCAGGCAGGAAAACCTACACCATTTGAAACAAATGGCTGTCCAGTCTCTTCTTAAAGACTTCCAGTGTTGGAGCATTCACCGTTTCTGGAGGCAGGTTGTTCCACTGGTTAATTGTTCTAACTCAGGAAGTTTCTCCTTAGTTCTAGGTTGCTTCTCTCCTTGGTTAGTTTGCATTCATGGCTTCTTGTCCTGCCTTCTGGTGCTTTGGAGAGTAGCTTGATTTCCTCTTCTTTGGGGCAGCCCCTGAGATATTGGAACACTGCTATCATGTCCCCCCTCGTCCTTCTCTTCGTTAAACTAGACATACCTGGAATAGTTCTAATAAAATAACAAACTTTGGCCTTACGTCTCTCTATATCAATTTAATCCCTTCCACTCCTCGAAGAACTGATTTTTTTTTCCCCAAGCCATCCTTCAAGTCACCAGCTTTAGCTACCAGCTCAAGCCCTGGAAAGGAAGAATGAGATAGTAAAGTTACACCCAACTGTACCGCAGCCGCATTGGGCATCTGTTATTCAGATATTATCTGCTTGAACAAATTTAATGTGACATTGACTTGATATCAAAAACGGTTAGAAGGTTTTTTTTTTCTTTCTCTTTTGAGTGATGTTAGTATTATAAATGGCTCGTAAGCCAAAGGGTTTGTTTTGCTATTACCTGAGTTATTCGTCTTCGTTTAATGGGCAAGAAGACAGTTTAAGGAATTACAGCCGACAGAAGTTCCACACACAAGTATTTTAATCTCGTGTTCCTTGTCTCTCTCTAGATGGCGGCCCCCGAGCATCTTTTTATCAGCCAGGGCAATGACAGCTGATGTGTCTGGGGACAAGCATCTCCTCTGCCGATCAGAATGAGGAATAAGAGGTAGCTTTTATTGTTGGTGGCTGTCAGGGTTAATGATGAAGAGAAAAGGAATGCTTTCGTGTCCCCGAGAGCGCCATTTGAAATATTAATGAAATAATTTTTCAAGAGTTCAGAAGATCATATTTTAAGAGCGTCGGGAAGGAGAGAAAAAACGATGCTTTCCTGTCTCCGTTTTTATCTAAAAGCATTTCTCTCCCTTCCGCCTGACAGCTTATAAGTATTGATTTCATAAGAGGCCTGTGAGGGCTTACAGAGGAGAACCATAGGTTTTTCTAACTGGGGGGGGGGAGGCTTACAGGGTGGGTGGGTAAAAAAAAAGCCAAGATGCCAACCGCTACAGTGCAGTTGAAGCTCCGCCCATTTTTTTTTAATGTAAAAGGTGGGTGGACTTTATTTGCACCAATCGCGATGCTCATAAAAATAGGTAGAATTTTTGACTCGGTTGCCCTGTCTTGTCTTTTTGTCATATGCGATGGTCCTTGATTTATGACTGCTCATTTAGGGACTAGTTGAAGTTACGATGGACACCCCCCCCCTCACACACAAAAGATACAACCTGGTTCCAAAAATTACAACAGATGCCCCCACCCCCTTGGTCATATGACTGTATTTTTGAGTGCTTGACAACCAAGCCAGCGTTTAAAACAATTTGCAATGTTCTGCAGTCATGTGACCGGGATTTACAATTTGGTTTTTTTTTTCTGAAAACTTGCAAATGTTTCTAGGTTTTGGCAGGTTTTGCCAAAAGCACCCCAGAACGAACAATGGTTCCACTTAGGGACCACTATGTTTGCTTAATGTCAATTGCAAAAAAGACTGTAAAATTGGATCGGTCAGGTGGGTGACCTGCTTTACGACTGTCATGACTTACAACCATTACAGTCATAAGTCAAGGACTACCTGCATAGTCCCCTCTGATTTATACAAGCTATGTCTTAAGCAGATTTTGAGTTGGGCAGCTTCTCTCTCTTAATATAATTCAATAATAAACTACCTTAAAATTTGATGGAAAAATGGAAGCATTAAAGGGGCTCTAGGTTGCCCACCTCTATACTGATTAAGGTTAACTCATTTATTGTGTTTCTGCATTTTTGTGGGCAGCGGAGAGCGACAGTACCTGGATGGGTTAGCACATACGTTTATTGAATAGTTAAGTAGATCAATAAATGTAGCCCACTATTAGCAGATCTGTTATGACCTTCTGGCAGCCAATCAATACATCTTTGCAAATGAAATAAAACTTCATTACTATAGACAGGTGCTTTCATAAGTATAGAAATGTATTGGTTGAATTAATGTAGATGGTTGATTATAAGTACTAATCATAATTATATTGATTAATAATAATCAGATTCATCTCCTTTTCCACTTGACATTGTTTGCTTCTGCGTATCCTGACAAATCTCTAACACAGGTAGCAGTATAGTAACAACATTGGCCATGTATAAAATATATTTTTCCCATTTCCCCAGTTCTAACAATCAACATAAAGTCAAAGTTCTACCTAATAACTGAAAACATTGGAGGAGTCTTTGAAGCTGAAATAGAAACCGGGGTCATCTTCCCGATTCACGAGTCTCTTTTAAATATATATTTATTTTGTTTTATAAACAAAAATAGAAAACAGAAAAACAACAATAAAAAATATATCCAGCACTAACAACAACAACAACAAAGAAAAAAAATATGACCCCAGTATAAATTAATTTAACATTAAACATATAGAATCCACCTCTGCTGGATGTTGAAAAAAAGAAAAAAGATGATGAATTCTCCTCCCCTTTACATAACAGGTCTACAAATAGTTATAAGCTTTCCCATCCCTATTTAATAAGAATATTATATTAAATAACAAATATTCCTATCTGATAATCAAATAGACCCAAGCCTGTTGGGTTCTGACAGACAATGGAAGAGTTATGGGAGGGTTATGTCATTCTCTGTGGTGAATAACTTTTGCACTTATTAAATATGATGGAATGTAAGAGAAGAAGTGTATGAGGTCCCAATCTTCACTCCTCAGTTACTGGATATGGTCAGCTAAAGAATAGTAAGACATTTGTGCTATAATGTTCATTTGACTTGGAGAAGACAGAGGAGAACTTTGAGCTGTTACAGGAGAATTACAGAAAAGATCTTGTAGAATTCCTCCAATTCCCATTGATCTATGTAAGAGAAACTAAAATATCCCCACAGACTTAAGAAAGGCTCGTAAGAATCCTTTCAGCTCAGTCCATGCAGTCGCCTAAAATCGTAGGAAAACTATGTGCAGCGAGGATTTTATATGTGCAAAAATGGAAAGATCTGTCAGTTTGCACCACAGATAGGGAAAAACGGTGGAATTGTCAGGAATGGCAAAAGTACCAGTCTTAATCAAGGACATTTATCCCACTAACCTTGATTTTGGGTTTTGATGATGAGATTAGCTTTTTGTTATAGAAATGGCTAGTAGCTACGAATTATACAAAAGTAATAATTTTACTTTGTAATTTACTGTACTGAAAAAAGTTGGAAGTTACGGCCTTTATCTCTTTTTTTTTCTTCCCTTCACATCTCTTTTCCCTTTCCTTTTCCTACCCCACCTTCCCCGTCTTTAATTCCATTTGTATTTTTTTTCTTTTTAAAAATAATATCTTAGGAAAACAATGGAGAGGAAGCAAACACGTTGACAGGAGGATCTCCTGAAACTTGGAGCATCTGTCTAGAGATCACGTAGGTATCTTTCCTAACATCTGCTGTGTAAGATTCTTTTTAATTGGAGACATCAGATATTGATGTACGAACATGGGAATTGCAAGTTTTATTGGAAGACTGGAAAAAAAAAATCCAGACAAGATTAGAAAATGCTGGCACTTCTTCTCATCTTCAGTAACATATTCAGGCTGCAGAAGTCATCTTTTCTTGAGGCTGAATTTCTCAAATAAATCATGGGCGTAGCTATTTGCCTTTATTTAAGGCAATTCTGTACATGGCATTAGTGAACTCAACTTTATCTCTACTTTGGTTAAAAAAAAAAAAGCAGGGATTTCTTGCAGCGTTGCTGAAAACGGCTTGGATTATAACCTTTGAGAAACGCTAAGCCACAGTAAAAAGGATAAGGGTGGCGATAAATCCTGCAGAATATAAAGCTCTTTGGAAAAAGGAGAGAAATTAATGCAGATTTAGTATCATTTATTTTAGCAGAAAAAACGGTCCCCAGCGGTGCTTGCAGAAGCGTTTGCGCCTGATCAGGATATGTCTGGGACAATAAAACATTTGCCTTGGAAAGAAACATAATGCACAAATAAGGAATATATTGGTGTCAACTGGAGTAATAGTTAGTATTTATGTGTCTGTAATTGTTTTTTTAAAAAACAAAACAAAAACCCTTTCTTGTTTGTGTTATATGTACAAAGATGGGATTGCAGTTGGGGTTTCTTTTTAAATTTTTATTTTCAATTCATTATGTGCTCTAGGCTCAACAATCAGTGGTGTTTCACCATAGTAGCTAGTTTTTGCCGCTGTGTTTACATTACAATTGCCTCTCAAGGTTTGAGACAGGATTGATTGTAGCAACGCAGAGCTTTCTTTCACATTTGGCACAGAGGTTTCTTTCACATTTGGCACAGCTATTACACAAATTCTGTATGCCTTCCTCCCCAATGCAGATAAAAATCTGGATATGAAATTTGCCTTCTTCAATTCCTCTGCATTGTCAGTTAAAGTCGCTGCTCAAGGATTTAAGGGGATGTTTTCTGAAGGGGATTTTCTTCACGTTCCCATGTTAGTCAATCGGGGGAAATGTTTTTTTTCCCACGACAATTCCATGTTTTAATGCCTGCTTTTAATTAAGCAATATTCCAGCCCTGGTTCTTTTCCTCTCAAAAACAAAACACACCATCACTTTTGATCAATGTCAGCAGACATGAAGTAGTTAAAAATATTCTTGCCGCCACCGCAAAAGGCTTGCGGAAGGTCAGAGACTTCCAAATATGTTTTTAATCAATTGTAGTATTTAGCTGTACAGTAGGGAGGAAACTATTAAACCCGTGACTGGAAGTTCATCGAAGTAACTCTACATTTTAATGAACTGCAATTGGGCTGAAATTAAATTTAGTTTTTGCCCAGGCCTCGCTCACTTCTTTTTGAGGACCATGCTACTTTTTTTTTTTAAAAAAAAGAAATTTTGGCTCTGGCTTAACAAAAATTAGGTACCCTCTGCATTTCCATTGCTAAGTGAGTCCCACCACCCAATTTTATCCTTTTTGCCATGGATCTTGCAGTTGTTAAGTGAATTGTGTGATTGTTAAGCAAATCCGGCTTCCCCTATTAACTTGGTCGGAAGTCGGATGGAAAGTCACAAATGGTGATCACGTGACACTGGGGCACCGCAACCATTATAAATACATGCTAGTTGCCAAGTGCCCAGACCTTTAAATGGGACCGCGGGGATACTGCACTGGTCTCAAGTGTGAGGAGTGGTTACAAGTCATTTTTATGAATGCTGCTTTAACTATGAACAGTCGCTGATGTATGATTTTAAGTCGAGGACTATCTGTATCCATGCTTTGCAGTTATCAAGCATGTTAAGTCAGTTGTGTCTGATGTTAAAAAGCCGAAGTGGCTTGCTTTTAAGCCCCCCCTGGGAATCTGTTTTATCCACTCTTGAGAAGCACTGGCTAAGGCAGGGGTCCCCAAGCCCCCTTGGGACTCTTGTTTTATCCACTCCTCTTGAGAAGCACTGGCTAAGGCAGGGGTCCCCAATCTTGGCATCTTTAAGACCTGTAGACTTCAGCAGGGCTGGCTGGGGAATTCTGGGGGTTGAAATCCACAGATCTCAAAATTGCCAAGGTTGGGGACCTCTGGGCTAAGGTACCATACACTGATCGAAATGATGTTCTCTCTTAAGAAGCTGGGAAATGGGTTTATTAATAAGCAGGGTTAAATGTATTAGGTGAACCCTGCCGAGCTGACCTGTATTTTGGGAGAGAAATGTAGGCATCACCGAGTCAGCCGTTCAACTTAGCATGAATTAAATTTGACCGATCTAGAGACCCGTCTTCTTGGCCAGATCAAGCATGCATCCCTACAGGCTTAATTAAACTTTTAGAACTTAACTGAAACACTTTATTATTGAATTCTGCTGAACTGGCAAGGGACTCCAACCTCATTAAGGGAAACCAAATTATTGAGGGACTTTTGCACCCTTAGCACAGAAAACACGGTCCAGATCCAGGTTTGACTTAAAGGACACCCTGTTGTTTTTGATTGCAGGAAATCCTGCCTACCTGAATGTGAAATTATTTGATGGGTGGTTGACAGAACCTCAAGGATCCCTGCAGCAGTATTCCCAGGGAGAAAGTCTTTTCATTAATTGGGAAATGGAAGAGAACTCTGTTGGGGAGCTTTCATCTCATTTACCCATCTTGATTTAATTAAATTTGGGAAGTGCTAGTCGAAGCCCCGCTTCTTGTGTTTAGAAATTAATGGTAACAATTTTCTTACGTGCATTACTTGAATCAGCCAAAGATACCCCTAAGGATCCTTTGATGGCTTTCCAGAAGCACGTAGCTGCCACCACAATTTGTAACACCGGCTGCATTCCACTGGGAGTTACTTTTAGTGCTTAAATCAGGAAGACAGAGACCATTTCCTTTACTTTCCATCTATGTCAGTGGGGTTTGTGTTAAGAGGACATTCTAAGAGAGGTTGTGCCCAAAGCGGTTGGGCGACTACTCAAAACGTGGAGAAGTTCTGCACCAAGCAAACTTTTCTTCAGTTCTGTAAACAATGTTCAAATTAGCAATAATTTCGTTCTTAGAATTAGAATTGCAGAGTTGGAAGGGACCTTGTAGGTCATATAGTCTAAACCCCCCCCCCCAAAGCAGAAGACGCCACAGCTACACCATTTCTGACAGATGGTAGTCCAGTCTCTTCTTGAAAGTTTTCAGTGATGAAGCTCCCACAACTTCTGAAGGCAAACTTCTGTTCCACTGGTTGATTGTTCTGTCAGAAAATTTCTCCTTATTTCTAGGTTGAATCTCTCCTTGATCGGTTTCCATCCGTTATTCCTTGTCTGGCCTTCGGGTGCTTTGGAAAATAGGTTGACCCCCTCCTCACTGCGACAGCCCCTCAAATATTGGAAGACTGCTATCATGTCTCCCCTGGTCCTTCTCTTCACTAGACTAGCCATGCCCAGTTCCTGCAACTGTTCTTCATGTTTTAGCCTCCAGTCCCCTAATCATCTTTGTTGCTCTTCTCTGCACTTTTTTTTTTCTAGAGCCTCAACATCTTTTTTATAGTGTGGAGACCAAAATTGTTTGCAGTATTCGACGTGTGGTCTTACTAATAATGGACTAATAGCACTCTCACTTTATAGAGTGGTATTAGTCCATTATATAATAATAATACTAATAATAATAAAGTTGGAAGGGACCTTGGAGGTCATCTAGTCCAACTGCCAGCTCAGGCAGGAAACCCTATACCAGACAAATGGCTGTCCAGTCTCTTCTTAAAAACTTCCAGTGTTGGAGCATTCACCGCTTCTGGAGGCAGGTTGTTCCACTGGTTAATTGTTCTGTCAGGAAGTTTCTCCTTAGTTCTAGGTTGCTTCTCTCCTTGATTAGTTTCTATCTGTTGCTTCTTGTCCTGCTTTCAGGCGCTTTGGAGAATAGCTTGATTCCCTCTTCTTTGTGGCAGCCCCTGAGATATTGGAACGCTGCTATCATGTCCCCTCTCGTCCTTCTCTTCGTTAAACTAGAGATACCCAATTCCAGCAGCCTTTCCTTATATGCTTTAGCCTCCAGTTTCCTAATCATCTTTGTTGCTCTTCTCTGTACTTTTTCTAGAGTCTCAACATCTTTTTACATCGTGACCAAAACTGGATGCAGTATTCCAAGGGTGGCCTTACCGAGGCCTTGTAAAGTGGTATTAATACTTCACGTGATCTTGATTCTATCCCTCTGTTAATGCAGCCCAGCACTGTGTTGGCCTTTTTGGCAGCTGCAGTATACGGCTGGCTTATATTTAAGTGATTATCCACTAGGACTTTTTTTAAAAAACAAGGCATTACAAAGTTAATGGTGCAAATAGAATATTTGTAGCTCAGGGTTGCATGGTGGGGTCCTTGCTGCACTCTTATTTTCTTATAGATATTTCATTACCCAACTAAGTAACAATATCCCAGCCAAGGAACTACCAGCTGAGACAAACAAACAGTAAAAGAGGAACCACCAAGAACACACTCACACTGACAGAGCAAGCCATCTGTATATAAACAGAAAGCAGAACCCATTCCCATAAGCACTGATGACGTTACCTAGTTGGGTAATGAAACATCTGCAGGAAAACAGCGAAGCTCGGAGAGCACCAAGGACCCCAAATTTATTGTCCTCACAAAACTTCAAAATATGCACAAATGTGAACTCATACATCCATGTAAGGCACATGATTTACAAAGGGTCTGTTCTGGACAAGGTAGGAAGAGTTTTGGGAATGCTGAAATTATATTTTCCATTAAAAACCAAGTATCTGGCCTTTTTAGGAGAATTCTTTATGGTATTCTTTCTCCTCCTTAGGACGTTACACACTCAAAATGAGGCGGAAGCAAACCACAGAAACTGAACATGGTTTCACATCAGAGCAATTGGGAAACATTTTCATGTCAACACTTCTTTTAACGCCTTGAAATACAGCTCGTTGAGCTTTACTGCACTCTACCAAATCTCAATTACAACATTCTATGCACAGACAAAGCAACAATTAAGCATGGAAGGAAAGAAAGCAAATTGCTACTAATGGAATTGAAATACTGTGTAAAAAGCCTTGGCAGTAACGATGGTTTGAAAAACCACAGAAAGTGGGTAGGAGTGCAGTGACCACAAGCACTTGGGTGTCCCTGATTTTTTTTTGCCGGATCGGGAGCTTAATTGTTAATAACACCTCCCCTACTAAAACTTTGATGAAAATGGACCACACTGCAGCGGATACTGAAGACCAAGGAACTGACAGTTGAAAAATGAACTTTCCTGTATAATAGTCTTTCCCAACCGTGCCACTTTAAAACATGCGGACTTCAACTCCCAGTCAGCCAGGGGAATTCTGAGAGTTGAAGTATACATATCTTAAAAGTTGCCAATTTGAGAAACACTGCTCTAAATAGTCCAGTCCTATTCTCAGTCCTTAACGAAGATAGGGAACCATAAAATGTCAAAAAGATTTCCAACTTATAAGGCCCATGATTATACCAAACTCTGACAGACTAAATGGGAAGAGAAGACCCCCAGAGACCCTTGGTGCATAGGATGTAGATGAGTAGTAGACGGCATAAAAGACCTTTCCCCTATCTTTAGATCTTTTATAAAAATCATAGAATATTGGGATAGAACTTATGAAATATTTGCTTTTCACGAGCAGCCTCTTGTCAACTAGTTTTTGATAACTTACATATATTATGGCAGTGGTGGCGAACCTATGGCACGGGTGCCAGGGGCGGCACTCAGAGCCCTCTCTGTGGACACGTGCGTCGTCGCCCCAGTCCTAGGCCTTCAGCTGGGTTTTATAAACCCTTTTTGCTTTAGGCCTCCGCCGCCGTGTGCAAAAAAAAAAAAAAAAGTTCAATCAATCAATTTCAACTTCTCGTGGGAAAAAAAAGATCTTGCAAAGTTGGAATTGATTGATTAAACTTTTTAGTCCCACCCAGTCTGCCATTACCATCCCAGCCACGCCCACCCAATGGGCCACACCCCGCCAATGGGCCACACCCACCGACTCGACGATGCATAAGTGGGTTTTGGGTTGCAGTTTGGGCACTCGGTCTCTAAAAGATTCGCCATCACTGCATTATGGGATGTGTAAAATGTTATAAAAGTGACCATTCTTGAAATGTCAGAGTAATTAAAAAACTAAACACTTTCACTTGATGTAAAACAATTTCACCTTTAAAAAAAAAAAGAGCCATTTTTATAAACCAACACTTTCTGCTACTGCTGTAGCAAAGCTATGTGACGTTTTGATGTTGAGCCAGTTTGTAAACATGGAATGTTTTGTTGTGAAAGACTTTAGTGAAATACATGGTGTACGAGGGCAGATTTCTTTTGATTTCCTCACAGAAGCGAGGGAATGGTGAAGGTTTTAGATGGGGATCGTTTTCTCCAGGACCATCCATCACCTGTAACGGAAAATGCAAGGCTGTTTTAATTATTTTGAAACTGCTTTATTTTTATTTTATTTATTGGTAGAGGGAGGGAGGGAGGGGGAGAGAGAGGGAGAGAGAGAGAGAGAGAGAGAGAGAGAGAGAGAGAGAGAGAGAGAGAGAAATTGATTGATTGATTAGAATTCACTGGGTATATTTAATAATTAAGTGCTTTAGTCTGGCAACATTCCTGTCTACAGGTGAGCAACAATAAAGAAAATACTCTGAGATATTTCTCCCTGTCGTTCTTGGTTCCTTGGGCCTGAAAACCGGTTTTGGGAAGACTTACGTGGCCGTTGGCAATATCCAGAAGGTCGCGCAACCGACAACCTCTGTTATGCCTTCTTTCATAACAAATGCTGTCCTCCAAGATCACAAAGTCAGTGCCAAAAGATCTGAGGACCCTATGAACGTCTTCAGGCGATCTTTTGGCATACACCTGATAAACCTGCAAATGAGTGAATGAACTGGATTTAATTGCCTTATTAATTAATTAAACGTGGGAATGAAGGCGGGTGAAAGGAAAGGAACAAGCTATACATACACACTAACAGAGATCAGCCATGATGATTAGTCACAACAGTCTTATGGGACCGGGGCATCGATGTGGCGTCAGCGGAGGGGGCAAAGTGGCATTGCAGAGGGCGGGACAACGGCACAGCGTCAGTGGCTGGGGGGGTAGGGCGTCGACTCTCCCGAACAGTCCCAATATCTCATATGGCCTCATGAGAAAATTAACTGTCCACCCCTGATCAATAGCCTTAATATCACTTGCTAGAAAAATACTGTTTAGGATCAGCCAATCCAGATTATAGCCCTACATGGGGGGGGGGGGAAGCAATGCCCGATGTTCAAGGTGGCTTCCAGAAAAGGCCAAGGAAGATGGGACGTTATTGCGGATGCATGCTGGATAATTGAAAAAAAAAAAGGCAAAGAATATAAAAAAAGAAGTCAGTGCTTCATCGGTTTTAGAAAACGCCTCCGATTGTATTGACTCTGGATTTTAGGGACCCAAATGTTTCTAACACCCCGGTCAATGTACTAGTGTTAACAGCTTTTGTATTATACAATTTGTGTTCATCACAATGAACATGAAAGAAAGGATATGCATGTGTGTGATATTTGTTTAATTTGAGGGAGGAGCGAAAAAAAACAACAACTTATGCACCACTGCTAAAATCAAGACCAACCTAGCTGGAGAAAATCAGATCCTTTTACCTCCTTTGTTCTTTCTCGCAGACTCTTATCTTCATAGTGGGGATGGTTTGTTAAAATCCTTCCAGTGCAAAGCTTAACCCCGGCTAAGAGCTGCATACTTCCGGCAATTACTGCTTTCTCTGGAGTGTTGGACCTGAAGGAATATTTAGATTTACTTCATGAAGGGCACATTGATACTATTCCCTTCACTGCTACTTTTACCAGCTTACAGTCCAGGAGTGAATAATGGTGTAACATTGCATTTTGGGCTCACTATTGTCTTCACCAGTACAACCTACGAAAGCTGCAATCATGAAGGAGATCCGAAACCTGCAGAATCCAGAAGGTTTTACGCCTACTTCCCAAGTTGGTTCAAGGAAATTCAGGTCACTAGATAGCTTACAGCAAGAGCTGGCAAGTTTTTCAGGCAAAAATCAAATGATTAAAATAAAAATATCAGTGTTCACTTGCAATGATCAGATCTCATGATGTCACTTCTACGACCGTTAATTAAATTCAGTTGGTCTGGAAATCTATAGAGAAGCAGGAGAGAGAGATTCTTATATAAATGAATATCAGTGAAAAGGGCTATTATTTTGTCTTCGTGTTCTTCCTTCAAGGGAAAAAAATGCACTTGAAAGACAGACGTAGCACCTGGCCATCTGTTCGCCGTTTTGTCTCCTCCAAGCTTTTTGCACGTAGAAAAAATAAGAGAGAAATCCTTGCAAAATTCTGTCTGATCTGGGGTAATTCCCAAAGGACAATCTTGCCAAATAACCAGGCACAGTAAAATGAAGCACACACCCACATATATTCTGCCAGTCATCTGGCTCAGCAGATGTTTCAAGGATACACGTTTTTTAAAAACACACACACAACAAAAACACCTCTCTTGAAGAATTCCTTTTCATTTCGCTTTGGAACTTCCTGATATATGAATTTGTTATGAACAACTGTGGTTAAGTCATTGATTTGCAGCCACTCGTTCCGTGGCCATTTGAAGTTATCGTGGCACTGAAATAAGGGATGTACGACTATTCCTCACACTTCTAACCGTCACAGCAGCCCCACAATCAAATAATAAAAATTCAGGCACTTGGCAACTGGGATGTAGTTAATGATGATTGCAGCATTCTGGGGTCCGCCATTTGAAACCTTCCCGGTCAGTTTCTGACAAAGAAAGTCAACGGGGGAAGCTGAATTTGTTTAACGATTGTGTGATTCATTTAACAACTGCAGCAAAAAGGTAGTAAAATCAGGTGTGACTCAGTTAGCCACTCTCTTGCTTAGCCACCAATTGTGGCTGTAAGTCAACTGCGGTCGTAAGTAAGTACCTGTACCAGAAGCAGTGGAGCAATAGAGAACCAGTGTGGTCTAGTGGTTAAGGCACCAGGCTAGAAAGCAAGAAACCATGGGTTCAAGTCCCACCTTAGCCATGAAAGCCAACTGCTGACGTTGGGCCAGTCACTCTCTCTCAGCCCAGCTCAACCTCACAGGGTGATTGTTATGGAGAAAGGAGGGGGAAGGTGTGTTGGACCTCCAAGGTCCCTTCCAACTTTATTATTATTATTATTACTTTGGATCATCGCACAGTCAGCCAGATGTTCAGACTGGATTTGGCATTTTGTCTACCTATCGAGTCCTTACCCAGGACCTGGGATAGGCAGATGTGGATGTTTGATGGTATTACAGATATCGTCGCAGGATGGAAGCAGTTCCTAATAAGGCCGCCTTTTGCAATTGACTAATAGCGAATTTGTCAATGCCAATGGTGTTCAAGTGGTGCTCCAGTTGTTTTGGGATTGCACCCAAGGAGCCTATGACTATTGGTACTACCCTTGCTTGCTTTTGCCACAGTCTTTCTATTTCTATTTGTAGGTCTTTGTATTTTGTTATCTTCTCCAGTTCTTTCTCTTCTATTCTGCTTTCTCCAGGCACTGCCACGTCCACTATCCAGACTTTTTTGTCTTTATCGACAATTGTTGTTGTTGTTGTTGTTGTTATTATTATTATTATTATTACATGTTTGCCTCCTTGAGTTATTTCTAAAATTAATACAGGCAATCCTCGACTTACAACAATTCATTCATCTGAAGATACAACAGCAATTTAAAAAAATGACCTATGACTGTTTTTCACACTTAGAACCATTGCTGCATCTTCATGGTCACGTCATCAAAATTCAGACCCTTGACAACCAACTCATATTTCTGACGGTTGCAGCGTCCCCGGGGGGGGGGTCACGCGATCCCCTTTGGCGACCTTCTGTCACGCAAAGTCAACGGGGAAGCCCGATTCGCTTAACAACCGTGTTACTAGCTTAACAATGCAGTGATTCACTTCACAACTAAAGCAAGAAAGGTCACAAAATGTGGCAAAATTTCACTTCACAACTGTCTCACTTAGCCATGGAAATGTTGGGCTTGATTGTGTTCGTATGTAGAGGAGGGATAGAAATAATCCAATAAATAAAATTGCCTCAAGGCACGATGGCCACTAGAAGGGAGGGGGGGGGGAATCAGATCAAGCATTCCTGACAGAAGTTGCCTCTCTCTCCTCAGATCTTTCTCCCTGAGGCAGCCCCCTGAATGCTCAACTGGAGTCTTCCTCAGCTAATGTGCTTCAAACGACCAAACGGCAGTTTCCCATTACAGAAAGACGAAGCAATTTTTACAAATGTCTGGATAAATGATGTATAAAATGAAAGGATAATTTGTTTTTATAGGTTCCTGCCAAGCTTCATATCCAGGCTGCTCAACCCTCACGCAATTTATTCTGCAAGAAATGCCACTAAATAATGACAAGGACTCAGAGGTCAAACTGATTTACATTATGTAATTTAAATGTCACTCCAAGCAGACCTGATGGCATTTATGAACAAATAATCTCATTTATTTTGGAAGCTCCAAGCTTCAACAAGTTAATTACTGTTAAACTAATGGGGTAAGCGGAGTGCACTATAGTATAAAATGGGAACCTCTGCTTTATGTAGGCTTTCCAGTATTATAGGATTATTGCAAAAGAGCTCAGTTGAAAGAGAAAGCCTCAATGGGAATTACAGGAATTTGGGGGAAAAGACAGAGCTTTCCCTTCCTTTTGATCTTGGCAAAAATAAAGATTCATTTCAAAATTAGAGGAAAGAAGTCATATTTCTGTGCACATCTGGCAAACTTCAATCGCCAGTG